AAGGCACAAACACATCCGACAAACTGTGTTCACTCTTGGTCAGGCCGACTACAACTCACACCGATAGACTGCAGCTTCAATAGGTAGTCAAGCAGGATGGGGCATTTTGGTCTTCATGGTATGCATAGTCACTAGAGTATGGCTGGCGGTGAGAAGGCAGCATCGGGTTTGTCCATGGAATCCAGCCAACCATGGATCTTGCAGTCACCGACTCTATCCTAATGAGACAATTGAGCAATGGTAGAGTTTGCCTTTGCTCTACACGGAATTTTGCCATTTTGTGATGTTTATCGAATCCCCCTTGTGACCTTTGTACAATCCATGCATGCAGCTTTTAACGTGAATGCATAATATCATGCTCAACCAAACCATCACCACAATTGTATTTTGGACAAACTTGGCAATTCGCAGGTGACTGATGCCGCAACATGCCACTATCACATGGCTTGCAAGCAGGCCCGTCGTATTAGGCCAGCTAAGAAGTTTGATACAGTGATGACTGGCCACTGGGTACAGCTTCCGCTCGTGATCGCATCTAGCAGCAAGCGATGTGCGCCGTGATGGGGGTCAAAGGTGGGGAGGTGTGGGATTGATGCACGCAACGGGAGATTCCATGACTGAAAGGAGGGGATGTGTGTTGTGGATGCAAAATACAGAAATGCAAATGAGTGATGAATGGCGCTGGCTAATATGACTAGGACACGTTTTCGCACTGTGGGTGTGGAAATAAAATCTTCCTGGGGCAAGGACCCTGGTCTGATCTCGTTTCCGAGTGGTTGGTTCGGCTGTATTGCCGGTGCTGTTTGGTCGGACCGGACTGTTTGCTCCAAAGAGAGGTCCGTTCTTGTGATGCCTACGGAGCATTTAGCGGGTTGTACTTGAAAGAGGTAGCCAAAGCCAGACCTGACCTAACATGATCAAGTCTAGCGAGATGCGAGGAGTTGGTAGGCGCTAAAAAGAAGTATCAAATCCTTCATGCCGAGAATTTCCCCGCTCTAAGGATTCCAGTCTACTTGCTACTAACTACGGCACTCGCTCGACATGCAGAATTTACCGCTATGTCACTTAACTCCATTACTAACAGCACTAGTGTAGACCCGCCCATGATGTGATACTAAAAGCTCGCTCTTGCGGCACCAGATTGTGGTATGACCAGCTGTACTAGGATCGATTGGATGGGACTATATTGTCTCTAGTCCAATCTGTCTATATGTCACATGGAACAAACAGCTTGCAATCAGTCAGGTCGAGACAAGATGAGACGTGAGCATATTGGCATAAATGAGTGTATCGTATTTTCTAGGGCTTAGTAACTCCTGCGCCTTCCTTATGCTGATGCGAGTTGCCATATGTGCTTCCTGCTCCTCTAGGTTCTGGTCCGTCATGATCTAGGAGTCATAAGTGGGGGAGAGTGGTGGGTGGCAAAGCGCTTTCTAGATGGGAAGATGTGCGGGTGAAGTCCAATAGTAGTGGAGGGGTAGTGCACCAATGATAGGAAATTCTCTGACTGGACTGGGCATGAATGGGGTTTTAGTCTAGACGTTTCTAGTCGCCCGCATCGGACCGCAGAGCGCAAATTGAAATTGTTTGGATGACATGAGTCCCCGGATGCAATGGTATGACACTGCGTTGGATTTGGGCTTTTTAGCATGGATGCCTCACATCGCCGGTCTACATAAGCTCAGATAAGCGCAGCCAGCTTTGTGTGCTCGTCCCTACGACAGAGTAATAGAAACTGTTTATGGTGCAAAGTGATGCCTGATGCAGTTTACCTGCCAGGTGAGGTCTGCGATTTAGTATACCGCCTGAATCTGCTGAAAGACAAAGCTGTAACAGGACAGGACGGGCAATTGCAGTTGTGTTGCAACATACGTCGACTATATCATATATGTAAATTATCATCAAAGACAGCGACCCGCTTGAGGTGGTACTTGCAGCACCCACAATGCATGCCACATGATCACGACGCTTTTGTGATGAGGAGTCATGAAGCGCTACGTGTACGAGTCAGAAACTTAGATGCCCAGGACTAGCTGTAATGACCGGCTATGGATATTGCCGGCCCTCCTAGATGTCTATATGACATCAGTTGATTCAGTTCTTGCTCCAAAGTGACACAACCAAATGTTCCCGAATATGTATTTGTAGGCAAGTTGGCTAAAAGGGGGCAAATGATGAAACAACTGCGACGGTGATCGAAAAGTGGAGCGGCGCTCAAGATCTGCGCTGTTGTTTCGGAACGTTAATGCCACACAAAACCACACGCATTGCAGAGCTCGCCAAGTTCATCTGTGGGGTTTGGCACAGTTGCCTGTTGAGGTGCTGCGCAGTGTTGAACATGTTTTCTGCTCCGTCGGCACAGAGGTGTCACATTGTCATCAGTCGAATGCGAAACACTTGGATGTTTAATGTAGTGCACCACAATCCGACAATGCTAGCTTCCAAAAAAAGAATATTGTAGACCATGGCCCATGCTGCCATGCAACGGCGCGTTTTAGTTCAGAGCTGGAAGCTAGGGATAGGTGCGCTAGTAAACAGCTACTACCACAGTTGACTTCCAGGGCTCAAGAAATGTTTAATGTCGTACCTTTGTGCGGTAAGGTAGTGTATACATATTGAGTGTTATTAATATGCTTGGTTATCAAGCCCGCTTCAAGTTGCATTGTCGGTACCGAGGAACCGCAGAGCTTCCCTCTCCAGCAGACTCCCGCAGCTTGTCCACCAACAGTCCAATCCGCTTTTTAAGACATGGAATCTGAAAAGGAAAGCATTATGGGAGCGATCGAGCTAACTTCTTGAGATGTGCATGCTGCCATTCCTGGGTCGTTGATGTGGATGAGCTGCAGATGTGCTGTGCTCAGGGTTGTGGCATTCCAGTCTCATTTTTTTAGGGATAATATAAATTGTCAGCTCGTCCATGATCCAATGCCCTCCGTATCTGTAATTTCTAGTGTATGTAATCCCCCCTTGACATTGTACCATTGGAAAAATGGAAGCTAGGATTACCATGCGTGCTAATCGCTCGTTAACCATAAATTATGAGGTTGCCACAATCCTGTCACACGCCACCCTCCTGGATCTGAGCCCCAGTATTTCTTCGCTAGTCTCGCGCCAACATGTCAAAATCAAGTCTAGCTGCGCCGCGACCCCCTTTGTAGCCCCCTGGCAGAACGCCTCACAGTACATCTCACAGTGCTACGCTGTGGACAAGCTAAAGATACGGCAGATACCTTAGGTCGACTACACGCGCGTTTTCAGTTACAGTAGCTCTATGCGGGCATTATATACATAGAGGTACCGGGATAGTTGCCCTCCCTAGCACAAGACGCTTTCAAGCTGCCCCATCTCTCCTTTCTGGGCACGACTTTGTTCCGGAAGATCTAATAATAATAAGCAACCAGCAACCGATAGTTTCATCATCCATAACAACAAACCAGCACTTATTTTCCCCCACCACTGTCATCCACTTCGTGTACCGGTTCCTTCTGTCTTTCAACTTTCTTCGACCTTTTGGCTCACTGCCGGCATGATTGTTTGATTCATACTCGCCCCCTCTATGTGCTCTAGGTACGACAACGACGGCATCAGAAAGCTGTTGCATCCAGGATTATCACCAAGCCATTTATTGACTTGATCTATACCTATCGACGGGTAAGTGGAAACAATCAGTTGTGTTCTGCCGCTGCAGCTTATCACCTCCGTCACATACCCCCGAGCTCTGCCTATCTCCTTCATCCTCGGTCTTGGGACGGTGCCAAGCACATCCTCATACCCGGTATCATGCACTTCACCGGCGACCGACATACTCCTATTCGTTGTGTCATCTGCATCAAGTGAGCATTTCAGGTCTCTGTCGTTCAAGCCATGCGCTGGGAAGGCAGAAGATAGTGTCTGTACGATGGACGTGCAGGCCCTGGTTCCGTGACTGCCGGCTGCAACAATATCTCAGATAGCCAAGACAGGTCAGCAGGCTTCTCTGGGACGTTCTTCCTGCGTTTCTTCATCCTACAGATGTTGTGCGTGTTTCAGCAGGGCAAAGATGCGAGAAAGACAGCGGTATTAGGGCGGCACGATATGGGCAAAAACCAACATGTTGGCGCACCGCCGCAAGTAAACATGAGCCGCAGGTAGTTCCTGAGACGGGTGCGGATTGCTTCATCATTCTTTTCTCAGGGCGCAGGCTTTTTTGACATAGATCGATGGATTGTCGCATTTGCACGGGCAGTGGCGGTGGCATTTCTGTCAGCACTGCAACGGCTCAAAGTTCAACGGTTGGATCTGTGGCGGTGTGCTGGCGGTTGTGGGAAGCGTGGTCAATGGTTTGAATCCGGATGGGGGCTCTTTTGTCTGGAAATTTTCTGTGCTGTCAACGATAACCAACTACCTACCAGATATCGGTAGTCCCAGCGAGTGTTTCCACTTGGGCATTGTTGGCAGCCACAGCAGTCCATACAGTACCGCTTGCCGCGGCACCACTGGCACACCACATCACCCGCCATGGCACTATCCAGCGATTTGATCATTTCGGCATTTCATCTCCATACCGATGGACCTCAAGACCCGATCTATCTGCCTGCCTGCCTTACCTGCTCCATATGATCCATCAATCCATACGTGGATGGCACCTTCCCTGCTTCTCTGCCCTTCTTTCTCCTTTCCCACAGTCGCTACACTTATCCTTAATGCTTGATTACCGCCGATTTCTTTCCTGACGTTTTTATCAGATCTTTCCCTTACGCTTTCCCATTCCGCCACCCTTTTTTCTTGTGACCTTGTCACGCCTTGACTCAGGTTTTCATTTCTAACTTCTAACCCACCCCAGCGCACATTCCTGATCCACAAAGGCTCCATCCGTCCCACACCACCTGATTTCGGGTCCCGGGTCCCGTCGTGACGGATCATCGCTAAGATCGACCCGCTCAGATTCTCCATCAGGAAATAAACACCCGGGCTCACCGCAGGCGGTGCAGTTCTCGGGGCTGCAGCTTCATCCCATCAACATGACAGCGCTACCCAGCGGCCTGCTGCCCGAAACAGCCAAGACCGAGGAGACTTACGCGGTGGTGAAGAAAAAACTCGACAAGCTGCAGAGCCGGTATGAGGCCCAGGAGTTGAAGGCACTCGCGGAGTATGAGTCGCGCGTGAAAGAAATCGAGTCCGAGTATGAGAAACAGCGAGATGCGCTCACGCAGCTCAACTCTCCGATGCGGGCGACCTTTGAGAAGATACTGAAGGAGAAGCGGAATCTTGAGATTTCTGAGTTACAACGCCTTTTTAAGGAGGGAAAAGAGACGCGTTACAGGATTTACGATGAGGAACGGAGACGCTACAGGGACGAGGCCTTCATGGCCATGAATGCCTTGATGAGCGCAGGGGTAAGTTTGGCTCGGGTTTCATCTCCAATCGAGCATATGCAGGTTGCTGACTGTGCCCTTACCTAGTCTGGTCCCATGCTCGAGGATCTGCCGATGCCACCGTCCCTGAAGCCGGGGCCAGGACTTTCTGAAGGTTTCGCGAACACTGCTTCTCGTCCTGGAACACCCAGTCCTCCGAGAGTTTCTTCTATGAGACGTGAGCAAACAGAGACGCCCTCAAAAAGCTCGAGGTCAACATCTCTTCAGACTTACACGAATGGCAGCCATGCCCTTGTGCCGGACCTTGTGCAGCAGTCAGCACCTGTTAGTTCCCGGGCCTCTTTAGCTCCGCCAGTATCGCCAATTCCTAGCGCAAAGAATGGAGGAGAGTCGCAAAAGAGGAAATCCCCCAACGACTCGACTGAAAGCTCCCCGGAGTGTGTGAAACGTACTAAACTTGTGCAGTCCAAGATCGAGAGCAGTGCCTCAGAACCTCCATCGCCCACAGCTCTGCGGGCTCCGAAGGCACACAGGACCATCACCTTTGCCGAAGTGTACGGCGAGCCTGGCGGCGAGAAACCCAAGTACAAGCATATTATTGTCGAGTTTCCTCCTCGCTCCAACAGGTTTTACATTCTCAAGTGCGATGAGCATGGCGTGCATTTTGGCGAGAACCCATTGCGCGGCGCGGCCAAGCATCTGGCCAGCGCTCAGCACGGCAACATGTCCAAGGCTCACACTACGGCAATCGAGACGCTTGGATTCGAGGTCGTCGATTGCACTTCAGAGTTGATGGAGAAGAATAATGCCGAGGTGATGCAGGCCTTCCGCGAGAATTACAAGCCATTCAATGCAAACCATCTCAGTCAGGCGAAGCGTGCAGAGCTCGGCTTCCCGCCTCTGGAGACTCCCAACTGGCAGAAAGCTGCTAGTCAGCGAGCTGCAAAGGATCGCTCTGCCAACGCCAAGAAGCAAGGCAGCGTCACGCATCCTGAGGTTGGGAGGTTCTACGTCGCGCGTACCGAGACGAAGTGCCCCGTCTTGATTTTGCCCAAGAACGACCTGGCTCCTGTCGGGCTGCAGGGCACGCTGGCCTCGACGGGCATTTTCAGTGACTCGGACATGTTCAAGCTGCCCAAGTGTTACACCTACGAGAAGGACGGTAATAACAGAGTGTTGGGCATCGCTGGTTGGGCCCCTGGTTACGAGGATGGTGGGCCCCTCGTGAAGAAGCGCGAATTCCCCGTCTTGGTGGTTAACAACCCCGATCCGTACGTTACATCCGAGAAATTGCCTGCACGTATATTTACTTATTCGGTTGTGCTAACTGTTTCAAGTAACTTGTGGAATATCGGCTTCATTGAGGCGTCAAGCCTGGCAGAGCTCGATTTTAACGATGAGAATTCGCGGTATCTTCCTTTCTTCAAAGAGGCCAGGGACTATTATTTCAATCGCATTCTGCCACATCGTCGGAATCAAAACCTCGTACCTCCATCGTTTTACACCGAGCACTATGGGTCGCGTAAGTGCTTAGCTAGCGCAGCGTGGACGCAGTCCTTGCTAACGTGATGTCGTACAGCGACACCACATCAGAATGGCCAATCGCATCATCAATCGTTTGCTGAGAGCGATATCGAGATGCGAGATGTTGACGCACCGGATGACGCTGACCGGTTCTCAAACCACGGCAGCATTCTGTCTAAACACCCATCTGGCGTCGCATCGGCTCCTTTGTCCCCCGTTGCCGCGGCTCGAGTAATTGCAGCTCAGGCGCTCGAATTACAAGCGCCGACTCCTCCTGTTCGGGCCTTTACCCCGATTAACGCCCCCTCTCCCCAAGATGTTGGATCAAGGAATGTGTCGCCCAACCCGGAAGCTTTGTCAGGAGCACTTCCTACGCAGGCATCGGCTCCCGTGCGGAAACCTAGCCCAGCTAGCATTGAGAACATCCTCCAAGAGTTCCCTCGCCAAGATGCGCCGAAGGCAACTCGCAAGCCGTTGCCTTCAACAAGACCGAATCCGGGTTCGCCGCCTAGGGCGTCGTTTGTGGCTATTAACCATGCAGCACAGCCATTGCGCGAGGCCCGAGCCGGCTCGGTGCCCCTTGCGGAGAATCGCCGTCTCCCGAATGTTGCTTCTGAGCCGATGCGGCATTCGGCGCCGCAATCTCCTGCGCTGACGTCGGTCAGCGTGCATATTCCGGAGCAGTCGTTGCAACGGTCCCCGATGCCTTCGCCGCCCCCTTCGACGACCATGCCGCAGATGCCAGTTCCCCAATCCCAGCCCACGCCGCAGCCCACTCGTGCTAATTCCCCTACTCTTGGTTACCTCAAGCCGCTCACTCCTATCAGCACGAGCCTTGCTAAGTACCATCTCGAGCCGCTCACTACAAACAACTCGTCCCTGTCCCCTGGCGAAACCCCGACGTCTGTTCTCAGCACGGTCATAGTGCAGAGCGATATCGCCACTCCGACTATTAGCAGCGATGTCTTCGACGTCTTTGGGCTTGTTGAAAACAATGTCGAGCTCTTCCCCGCCGATATTACCTCGACTCCGTTCGTCCGTCTCGTCACGGATAACACCTCGGGCGTGATCTCCTCCGTGCCCGACGCCCCGGTGCAGGTGATTATCGACCCGAGGAGCATCAAGCTTGTAGAAAGGACACAGAGCCGCGATGGCGCGACGTGCATGGTCAACGTGACGTACCATTCGACTCAGGAGAGTGGCAAATTGAAGACGCACACATTGGTGTTTGAGAAGGTTAGACAGGAGGGCGGTTATGGCGGCACAGTCACCAACGGTGCGGTACATGCCAGACGGTTTTGCCGGCGCGTGTATGAGTGGAACGATATGGTGGAGTTGCCTCCTCCGAAGACTTTGAGCGAGGGCCAGGAGCTTGTTTGGAGGCCTAGGAATGGGGGCAAGACCGAGCTGAAGGAGAAGAAAGATGAGGCGGCTCAGCAAGTTGCTGCTGTTTCTGACGCTTGAAGCTTCCTGAAGGGAAGTCTTAGTTACGTTTCCATGTCTTTGCAGGTTTTGCTTGGCGCGATCTCTTCTTTTTTTTTTTTTTCCTACGATACTATCTTTTCACTGGATGGCGGCGTTCTCTTTTTCAGCATGGGTTGCATTCAGGAAACGGAATAATATCATCATCAGCATGTCGATATGTGATTGGGCGGATTTATTATTGTTCTTTCAGCCATCTTTTCTTACTACGACGTTTAATGCCCTTATATTCCTCGTTCATCGACCACCGCTACCGGGCATATTCCTCTGACACTGTGCGGAGAGATCAGGGTTAGGTTTTAATCCGAGTGATTTTTGCTGGCCTGGCTGGCGATGCGTTTGCCCGAGGAGTATGTTCTTGTTTGACACACTACGTTGTCTTTCTCATGGACTGGTCATTGATTGGACTTCATGGTTGGCGGCGTTGTCATGGGCGGATTGGTGGTTTTGTCATCGTTCTGCGTTGAGTTCTTGCCTGGTCATTATTTATTTACTGAATGGGAATACATACTGCATTAGAGATAAACAATACGCCAGCATAGTGGGTGATCTTTTTTGGCTGGTGAATTGCCTTATTTTTGAGCAATCGGAATAAGGTAGACGAAATAAAGACAGTTTGGGAACATTTCGTTTAGGAGTTGGACTTCTTAGAAGTTCTGCATGCAGTGGTGATGTCATGGTGTTGGGTACTGTTCCCAAATTTGTTGGCCTGTGCTCAGGCCATCGAGGGCCCAATTCCACGATAGTATTATGGCCAGCAGTAGGCTCTAGCGATATTTTGACCGAGAATCCGGAGAGGGACTATTCTGTAGCACTGTTTATCACGAAAATAAAGCCACTGAAGCACTTTTATCTTCTCATCAGCGGGCTTGTGAAGTACTGTGGTATATCTCCGTTGTCCTCTCCCACTCACATCGCAGTCTGCGACACCCCCCGACGGTGGGCATGGGTGTTGCCCCGCATTGGCCAAGACAGCTGTCAAATCGTCAGTCCCTGTTGCCATCTTTTTCCCTGATCAAGTAGGTGGCAGATGTTGTCCTGCGGATGTCTTGGATTGTGGAGTCTGGAGATGCGATGCGGGAGAGCCCAACCTTCAGGGTCTGAAGATGGACGGTAACAGAGTTTGAGGTTAGTCCAAAAAAAAATACTATGTCTGTGAGGCATTTCATGTCTTCTTCTTGGACATTGTAGTATGAGTAGCTGCTTACCACTGTAGGTAAAGGATATAGCCTTTCTGATAGTTTGTCCCTTCCGTGATGGCTATACAAGCCCCAAACACCGAGTGCACCAAACATGAGGCAACTTCATGATGGCGCGCAGAGAAGCAAAGACCATAAACATGATGGCATGCTCGGGCTGATGGATTTGGGCTTAGGTTTTGGCTAGAGTGCATACTGACCTGCAGTTTTCATTGCGCGCTGTGTCGTGTCTGATCCAAGCAGCTTGGGCACTTTTTTGCATGTGATCGGTTCGGCACGCGGGCACATGGAGGTGATTCAAAACCTTAAATGTGGGGGGGCGGTTCGTCATGCCGCAGCGCAACCCCGGACCTTCCAAGTAACAAGCATTCCATCTACACTGTGATTCCCAACGGTTCAGTGTTTTTTTAAGCGTCCCGCCGAGTCTGTGCCTCCTGTACGACCTCACCCAGAAGCTTGGCCTGGCTTGAGTGGCCTACCTCGTTGGAGGTGATGCTTGACTGACCGAGGGACACTGGCGGGCTGCTGCCTTTCATTTCGCTATCCTTCCTTCTGTCTTCACTCCTTTCTCCTTTCTTCGAGATTTCCTTTTTTTTTGCCTTTCCCTTTCTAGGAAAAGACACTAGAAAATTTCCTCATTTACGCGTTCATCGCACCTCTTTATCTTGGGTGATCCTCGAGTCCTTCCGTCGGACATTTTCCTCCAGTGAACCGTGCACTCTGCGCAACAACGGCTTGGGTTTTCGTGCAGCTGATGACGTGGAGGCGAATCAGTGACAGCGAAGCAAAGCGCAACACAAACCTGCAACCAAATGTTTGAACATTCTGAGAAAATCTTAACAGCATAAAAAGATCAATGGCTGCATTTGTGAGTTGCTCTTTCTTCTTTTCTCAAATTCTATAATTTTCAGCTTTCAAGCCTCGACATCAGCAATTCGAGGTTTTCACCACAAGCTCGCTGGGGATATCTGCGGGTGAATCGACGATCATGGATCCCTGCAGGACGGCTTTTCTAGAGTTCTTCGAGTTTTAAAAAAAGTGGGTCTCCCTCCAGCGGCACCAAAGGTCAGCCCAGGGAAGAATATCCACCGGCTCGGGTGCCTGGCCTTACTGTGTGCCTGCAGGTTTAGGCTCGTCCTGCCAGCTTGTCCCGCCAGGTCGCAGTGCAGCAGTAAGGCGCCAGCGCCAGCTCCATCGCGGCGCATCATCACGCACCTTGCTTGCGCTTGCGTTTTTGACTTCGTCTTTGAAGCAGTTCAGCCGACAACAATACAATTTCTACAAATGATCGAGCTATCATAATTTTGCGCCGCGCTAACCATAGCTTTGCGCATCACAGGATCCGCCCTTTTTAAAACACATGGCCACAGCACGCAACCAGCGCGGCGAGCCGATGGACGCCTCGTCGCTCCGTTCTTCGTCAGAGACAACTCGCGCACAGAACGATGCTGGCCCGACAACGTTCATGGGCGCCCCGACGCCGACCTATGCGGCCTTTTCGCCGACGCCGATGCCTGGGGGCTCGGCCAACTTCGCCGCTGCCGCGAAGCGCAGGAGCACGATCCTGGTGCACCAGAAGTCCCCCCTGCTTCTTGCGACGCCGCCCCAAGTCACCAGGGCCCTGGCATATAGCCATCCCTTCATATTGGTGCTGAATCGTGTCTTGGGACTGATTACATGGAGCTCAGGGGATCCGTGGCAGTCCTTCCTTATGCTTTGCGGCTTTTGGATCGTCATGATCCTTGGCGACAAGATCGTCCAGTGGCTGACACCACTGCTCCTGGTCTTCTGCTTGATCGCAGGCATGTGGGGGCGCCGCTTCAGCCCGCTGAGCAGCAGCAGTTGGGGAGAGCCCGGTCCGGGGGCGGGGGGCGACAGTGGTGCGGCAGCTGCCCGACGGGCAAAAAATTTATCTGTTAACAGCGTACCGGACAAGAAAGGAGGGGCTGTCGGCGGCAAGACGGGGACCCCCAACGGCCATGTTCGCAACGCCAGCGTTGCTGATGGTGCCACGGCCCGGCACCAAAAAACGCTGGACGAAATGGTGGAGGTGCTCAAGCAGTTCTCCACGCGGTGTGAGATTCTCCTTGAGCCGCTGATGGAGCTGACTGAGTTCCTCAGCACACAGCGGACGCCAACGTCGGCTACTACTCGTCCGGCGCTCATCGCCCTCCTGGTCCGGGTCTTTTGGTGGTTGCCGGTTTGGTTGGTGTTGGCATCGGAGCGTGTCGGCTTGATCACCACCCACCGCGTGGTCCTGGTGTGCGGGACAGTCCTGTTATCGTGGCACTCCCGCCCCATGCGAGTCACCCGTACGGTCCTCTGGCGGAGCGTCGCAGTCAGGCGTCTTGTCGCATTGGTTACCGGGCTACCACTCGACATTCCCGGTGTTGGTATGAGTCAACATCCGCCGGCTGGGAAGGCCACGGCTACCGCATCTACCGCCAACTCAACCGCTGGGAAGGCCCCGGCTGACGGCCAGACGACCGGTCTTCGCAACCATCTCTCACAGGAATCTGAGCTAACTAAAGCGATTCGCCGCACACATAGACGAGAGAAAAGTACCGGCGTAAGGTTCACATTCGTGGTATACGAGAACCAGCGTCGTTGGTTTGGCCTCGGGTGGACCAACAAGATGTTGCCCACCGAGCGGGATGTTTGGACCGATGAGCACAATAATCCGGTGCCGTCGATTGACCAGTTCGAACTCCCGGAAGTAGAAGACGGTGGCAACGTCCGCTGGCAGTGGGTTGAGGGCTCACGCTGGCGAGTCGAGGGGGTCCCCGATGAGATCGCTATGCCCGAGGATGGGAAGGGCGATTGGGACTATGATAAGCCCGAGGCCATAATGGGTTGGGTATTTTATGATAACATGGTGAGCAGAGATACGTCGCGTCTGGAGAGCATCTGCTGACAAAGCTACAGTGGCAGAATGGTCGCCGAGGCCTCGACGGATGGAATCGCTTCACACGCAGGCGCAAGTGGTACCGCGATGCGGAGCTTGTCGAGATCGACCACACCGACGTGGATAACAATGCCACACCCAACCCTTCCACCGACGCCGACGCAAGCACGTCGTCCGACCAGGCCAACACCCCGCGCCCGCTACACACGCCCACCGCATCGTCGTCTTCAGTGCCCACCGTTGGTCGCAACACCCCTGACCCATCCTCCTCCGACGCCAACACCCCGCCGACCCCTCCAAACCAGCCAAACCGTGAACCAGATGATGACCCGATCGAGACAGACTCCGTCTTTTCAACCTCCAGCCGCTCCTTATTTCCTTTCCCATCCTTAGCCTTCCGCCGGCGCGTCAGTGGCATGGGCCCCATGCCCGCCGGGGACACAGCATCGACGTCGTCGGGGTCAATGACCGGCACGCGACCGCAGCAGATTCCTCATCGCCGGGTCTTCAGTAGCAGTAGTAGTGTTGGCAGCATCAGTGGGGCGAGTGCAAGGAGCAGGCGGACGAGTAGTGCTGCTGCGGAGGATGATGCTGCTATTCTAGGGACTCGGGCCAGGATCGCGGTCCAAGAGGCTGGTGAGGGGGCAAGTGCGAGTAGTTGGGGGATAGGGGACGATGTTAGGATGGGGTTAGAGTAAGCCTCGAAAAGAGGGCTGGGTACATATGATACGAGTTTTGGTTCTTTCTCGGTGGGAATATTCATGATAGGTTGTTTAATGACACTCGGGATGGGTTGGCATGATGATACGAGACTTGGTCGGCGCAAGCTGTGGTTCGTTCAGGGGATTTGGTTGCATGATGGCTAAGGATGCTAGGGTTGGTTAATGACACACTGTGGTTTTCTCTTCACTATATGATGTGTTTTTCGTGCTGCTTATGCACAGACTTCATCCATTTGTGCTGCTTTAGCATCGCTCATTCACCCGTCTGCTCCCCTGATTTGCGTAACTCAACATTCTCGCTTTGTCTTTCTTGTATCAGTCACGTGATAGTCGCGTGAATCCTCCTTTATTCCCCACCCCATTTGCTGACTTCCCCCATATTCCTATCCACATCCCTTGCTACCCCCTTCTCTCCCTGAATGGAAATTTATAGCACTCTTACTTACGATGCACCCCCTCCAAATGAATCCCAAGATGAATCATATCCCTCGCCAAGCTGTCCATAATCCTTATCACCTCTTTACACCGTCCGCGCTCCTCGTTCCTGGCCCGAAGCCGTGAGAAATTCTCGTTCCATTGGCGGGAGTGCTCCTCTTCGATTGGGTGTATGGGAGGGATGGAGGAGAGGATCGTTGAGGAGCTAGTATAGCTTGCGGGAAAACTGGTAGAACCAAGACCGAGTCCGAAGGTGATGTAGCCGTTATAGGGCAAACTCAAGGAGCTGTAGGGGCTTGGGCCGGAGCCTAGGCCGGTGTAAAGGCCAATAATGTCGCGGAAGGAGGAGGGGCTGGCGGGCCGATGGAAGTGATGATACTTGTGGTGATGGCGATGTTGGGACCGTGAACGAGACCTGGAACCGGAGCGGTTGGCATAATCGGAGTAGTAATCGGAGGAGGGGTCATCGTGACACAGCCACCTACCACACTTGCGTGAGTGGGAGCCGTGGCGCCGTTGGAGCATTGTTAGCTTGTTACGATTAAATGAGGGGTTTAATTGTATAGCTAGATGTGTATGATGAGAGGAGCAACTATCATATTAGGATTGTGTGGGAGTGAGGAGTTAGTAAATTATCGATTTGGGTCGTGAAGGGAAAGGAATGTTTTATACTTGGACAGTGAGTGGACATAGATAGCTCATTTAGTGAGTATGGTGAACTGGTCAAAGCTGTTAAAAGGTAAGCATTCTTTGTATGACTCTGCCAAAGTGTTACCTAGGTGTTACAGATGCACTGGGCTACTTTTCGGACTGCTTTTAGGCCAACAACACTTGACCTTATCGATGTAAGATCCGATTGTTTGTGATGTTGGGACGTATATCGTACATTTTTGTGTGAGCAACGATAATGGCATGAACTGGTTTTGCCTACCTGTATCCAGTCATTTTCCGACCATGGCCTATGTTTAACTTTTGAAAAAGGTATCTACAACATTTCCATCCTGAAGAATGATGAGTGCTGTGACGAGGAGCCACTACTCTCCGACCAATTTTGGAAGCTATTCATCAGGGCTATGCTATCGCTCAACTGGTGCCACTGACCTGGGTAGCAGGGGTTACATCACCTCCCGCAGGCTGGTAAGGTTGGTATTAAAACATACCGATCAACCACAAGTTTACATTCAACGTTAAGTTGTCGATACACAGTCTGCTTTCTGGATCTCTGGGGGTGAGGAGCATATCGGATAACCTTTAGAGAACCTGTTCCGATCTCCGCGGACCACTGAGATCAACACTTCTGCCTCTATCAAGAGATCAATCGAAACTTGCGTCGAATGGATAAAGCAGCAGCTTCAGCTTGACCAGAAATGTTGTTTTCTTGTTTTCCTGTAAAGTGTGATCTGGTTTAAAGGTCCATCAATCAGGAGCTCAATTCAGGCACAAGACCCTTCCTTCTTAACTGCATTACATATTGAATTTTCTGACACAACTCAGCAAGCACTAGTCATTACATTTCAATTACGCTGAACACAACACACTGCCGATTTTGCTCTTTGGAATATTACTCCTTGTCCTCATATCGTTAATGAGCATGTCCGCAGAGACACCCACACTGCCCCTTTCAGATGGCAGAGGCATATCGACAAGTGAAGCCACTGTGTCTATTCTTCGGCACTTAAGGCTATGAAACTTTGGTGCCATCATCCGGCCAAGCATCTACAGCCAATTAATCACAGCATAAGCGGCGGTCTCTCCAGTTTATACAAGAAACATGAACCATTGTGGCAGATACAGTCCACCATGTAGCAATCCTCAGTTCCTCAGCAACTAAAAGACCGATAGGCTGTTCGTTGGTTGTGATTAGTCGGAGGGACATGAACCGCGCTGGATCTAACTATATAAATACACAAAGTGGTTTTATGGTGGTTGTTGGTGGTATTAGCTCCCCTTTTTCTTCCGTTAGGCTTTCCGGTTTCGTCTTCTTATCTGGCCTTACAATCAAATTGTTTGGGCCTCTTTATTGCCACTGCCAGCTACAGTTGGTTGTTGTTGTCATCTTTTCTACTATATCTCCCAGTCAAAGTGCCTCGCCCGGTGGCTGGCAGAGGCCTCGGTCACGGCGACTTCCTGGAGTACCACACGCGGTTCAACCACTCCCCAGAGGCTATCAAAGAGTGCCCCTGCAGCGCTGTGGTGTTCAGAGGCCACTTTTCCCCCCCTTCCCTCTCACCTCTTTCAACAACCCACTTGCCAACAGGCTAGACCCAAGGGCTTTTTGGTCTTCCTTCCAGCTGTTAAAGTCCAGGGCCTCCCAGATCAACTCAGGGGGCAAGCCTGGGACACTTCCGCAGGGCACCCTATCCCGTTACCACGCCTCCCTCGCTCCCCCCTCGCAAGCCCGCCCCAAGCCCAATGTGTTGATCATCTAGACTTCGAGCCTAACGACCCGGAGTAGGTCCTAACGAGGTACATACCTGGGGCTGGCCGGTTTCAAGAACCTTTCCCTGTACATAGCACACTGCACTCCCTCTAACCTACGCCGGCTTTACCCTATGCGACTTTTCCCGGCGTTACCTGTATTTAGTCCAACTCAGGTAGCTTTTGCCCGCCGGAGTCGTGGGCACGACCCAGCACCCCCGGGGGTGAACCCGGTTGAAAATGGAATAAATAATAAAATAAATAAATCCCAGTCGAAAGGCGGATTCTGGCTTCTCTGGTGATCACGTTCGCAGAATTTTAGTTTTTTTGGGGGCAAGAGTTATGGGAGTGGGACGTTGTACAATCTGCTCTGAGTTGGAGGTCGGTTTTTATTCTGGTGTTTGGGGGCTCGGAGAAGACATAGCCTTCCGTAACATCACTTGTATATGTTATTTAGTTTAGAAAGTTTTCCGAAAACTTCAAGTGTTAAATTGCCTTGCACAATCAGTAGCGTTTGTGCAGCCAGGATGATGGTTTATAGTGACTTCAGAGAACAAAGTCCACAATGCCTTTCCTAGCAAGTTGCAGTAAGTTCCCCTACCATCCCGAAGCATAGAAAAATAAGTGTTCATAATCCTTCAGTATCAACCCCCCCCTGCCTTCTCCCCAGCCGAGAATCCCCAATCCTCACCACATACCTAGCTAACCAATCCACATCCCTTCCCCTCAACCCCCCGCAACTCTTACACGCTATCCTCGCCATCTTGAGCCCGATCATCTCCGCATTTCTGGCATTCTGTTGGTTTCCAGTACCATTCATGCTGTCACCTTGTGCCTGGGCAATGAAAACAGTCAGACCAGTCCAGCTCAGCCGTTTTTCCAGTGTCGGGTTCCACAGTTCCTCCTTTATTGCTTGTGCTATGGCGTGGTAAATAATAATGGCGGCTCTCTCGCGCTTTTCGGTATTGTCAGGATCGATGATCACTATGCTGTCAACGGAACTTATTTGGGGGGCTTGGGCGTACAGGCTGGTTAAGGAGATGTGGGATAGGCAGAAAGAGAAGAGGTAGTCTTCCATTAGCAGGCCGGAGCAGCAGGTTAAGAGTGAGCTCTTGCCAGTCAGCGGAGAGGAAGAACATGCAGGGCAGGAGGGACAGTGGAGGATGAAGACGTTGCCGCAGTAGGGGGTTTGCATGTTTTGTTGGATGCTGTGGAGGACACTAAGTTGGGCAAAGCAGCCTGATGTGAGAGCGAAGTGCTTAGGTGGATCCCATAGCAATGATTGAGTTAAATTGCGTTCTGTTAAGCGTCTTAGCTGAGATTAACAAGGCCCAGGGGAGCCGTGAGCTCGGCAGCGGCTGAGCCAAAAGTACAGATCCCTAGCTTTGAAAGCCTCTCACAGACAAAGTCAGAACAGAACTACGAAACTGATTGTAAAACTGTGATGGAACTGTCGCCGTGACAAAGGAGAACACAGCAGTTAATTGAATTGTCTACGAGTGCGCTATGTATCTGTGCAGAGGCTCCTTCACGCTTGGTTAAACAGAGGTAAGCATCTTTAGATCATTGTGGAGACAATGTCTAACTTCAGCTGAGGACCAAACAAGTTGCTCCCGTCTGTTTGAAACCCAACACAGAGCCAGAACCATTATGGCGCAAGCACAAACCCACATACTAAACACACTACCAAGAAGCACTGCTCACAATGGCACAACCATATTCATCGTACGCAGCTTGAGAACAATCAAGACAGTCTCAACACCCATAGCGGCTTTATCGGCCCATGATGCATGTCTCTTACAACAACGATGGACCATGAGCAAGTCCCAAATCAATTTTGGTGTCATGAGAAGTATCCAAATCATGCCATTGCGTAGAAGTCGAAGAATGGTCTGTTGAGAGTGTGAGGTTGTTTCATCTGCACCATCGTTGATGGGTGGTATGCATGTGAGCGGAGACGGCATGATTGACCAGGACATGGATAGCATCATGTTTGCAGTATTGGGGCTTGTTGTTGGCGAGAAGAACTGAAGGTAGTGGCTTCGGACTGGGAAAAGGTGGGGCATACTTGTGCAAGAGGTAAGCGATGTGGATATACTGGTATTGAATAGCCTCAGTAGATAAGGGCTACGTAGAGTACCAGGACGGTTACACAGCCTTTGCAGAAAACATAAATCGGGTGAGAACATGAGGGGAAGGTGTTCATAATGGTGATTATAACGTCCAAGAACGTGCTAGATGACCATATCCCCTAACCCCTACATTCCAATGAGCTAACTTACTTATTCCACCAGGAAGATCGGTGCCAGTGGCTGGGAATGAATGTTCGAGTTTGTTCAACTGGAATGGCTCTTACTTTCCGTCGTATGATCTCGGTCTCTGTTTGAAACTTTACCCTGATTGCTCTACATAACGTTCGCTGAAGAGTAACTTGGAAGTTCCCCTTTCTCTGCTTGTGGCTCAGCATGATGATGCGAATATGTACAACTCTCTCACAATTCCCGTCACAATAAGATGCTTCAGCATAACAAATTTGGCGGAAGAGGATATTGATCAAGGACGAGACAGTGAAAATCTAAAATTGGAATGGATAGGACAATTTGGGCTCTTGTTTACTCCCTTGAAGTTCCAGATCATGCAAAAGTCTGTGTCAAAATCAAGCTATCTTCTGCTACAAGCTAAAACTGACTTGCCCCCTTATGAACACATACCAAGTTTCTTGTGTGCCTAAACCTCCTGTGCTTCAGACCAGTGCGATCCGATGGTTGCAGCAACTCCACATGTAGCAAGCTTTCTGGTGATATAAACAAGTTACTTCTCGGTAGTATAGTGGTTAGTATGCAGGCTTGTCAAATTGTCTCGCCTGAGACCCGGGTTCAATTCCCGGCCGGGAAGCACTTTCTATTCACTTTTGCATTTTTTCTTGGCTTTGTCCTCAAAGTCAAATTCTTGATTTTTTGCTCTCAGTTATGGCAAATTGGATGAATAAAATTCTATTACCAAGGGATCGTAAGAGGCAAGACCTTAATGAGGGAAGGAATCCCCCTAATAGCTGACACTTTCAACATTGTCACAACATTGAACAGCAACTGCTATCCGACTTTGCTCAAACGGATGTTGGTAATGTGACAAAGCTTCATTTTCCAACAGGAGATATAGCTCCTAGGTAAATCGGTATAAGCCAATTCTTAGAGACATAATAACAAAATCTAACTCTTCATTTTTTTTTTCATCCAGGCTATGCAATTTCTTAATCCTACCAGCCACTTGTCGTCCCGCTCCTTTTTCCTGCTTACCGGAAAGAAACAACCCTCCCCCAAGTATCTCCCATCCCCCATATGCCCTCCCTCAAAGCACTCAATTGCACAATCTGCGAATGATCCACAAACAAATTCACGTCTGCGCCAAACTCTCTCACATACCAATTAAACACCTTTGGCTCAGCCGCCTCAAACATGACATTCTCCTTTGGCAGCCCCTCCAGAATCCCTCTCACCACATCCGTCCTCCACTTCCTCACATTCTCCGTGATCCCTTCTGACTCGATCATGATCCTCTCCACCCCACACTGCGCTATAAACTTCTTCCCGAGGGCGACGACTTTTTCGGGGCCAGAAGTCCCGCCTTCGACCGATTCGAGTGATGCAACGTCGGTGTCGCCACCGGCACCGAATTGGATGCCTATTTCGGGCTTGGCGATCAGGCCTTCGGAGTGCACGAGGTCGACGAGGCGGAGCCAGTCATCTGCGGGAATGGAGAGGAAGCCGGAGGAGATTTCGATCACGTCGAAACCGAGGGAGCGGCATTTGGTCAGGTAACGGGTTATGATGTCGTGGGGGGAGGGATGGGTTAGCAGGTGCTCGATCCAGCCACCCTGATATTGAGGTGAGGGAGTTAGTACCACAAAAATAGGATGCAGGGAAGACTTAAGAGGAGTTATGGGGTACAGTTGAGACGTAGACGCCGTGCTCATGGGCGAGGTCGATCAATTCGCGGAGCTGGGGCTCTGGATAGAGGGAGAAGGAACCACCGCCGAACTTGAGGCCGTCGATGTTGTAGCTCATTCTGAGGACCGTCAGCCAGGAAGAGTAAAAGAAAGGGGTTACAAGTAGGGATCTGAAAGAACTCACGTCTCCAAGACATCCTTGAGGTACCTTTTGCCCATGACGGAATAGTAAGAACCCCGAATCTCTGTGACACCAACTTTCCGGGGCTTTGGCGGACGGGTGTTGTGACGGACAAAGGAGAAGCCCTTTTCATCATCAAGGAGAATTGGTGACTGCTGCTGGGCATACTTTGGCTTGCTATCCGAGCCGTTGGCAAGCGGGTATGGTGAAGTAGAGAGCTGGCGTTGATTATAAGGAGCTCTGGCAAACGGAAGGCATCTTGCAGTTAAGCATGCGGGCCTTACAGCCCTGAATGGCCCTGAGAGCAAAGACTCGATTCCTCGAAGTGACATATTGGGCTCCAATTCAATTTGATCCGCTTTATTTTAGAATTGAAAAGACTGAAGAGATCTCGAGCCTGAAGTTTGTTCTACAGTCTCGGTGTTGACTCGGTCACCAGGAGAGCTGGCCCGAAGTGACGTCATTTGCATCACATGCTGTTCAAAGCTCCTGGTATAAGACAAGTTGCCTCCTTTCTCTGATTATATCTTCTTCTGGGCTTACCTTCTTCCAAGGCCTACGAGGCCACGAATGGATAAGCGAAACGCCGCTAGTGATGAAAAGACCTTTTCATTCGCGGAAGGGTCCCGTCATCGATGGACTGGATCGATGGCGATCGAGTTCTGAAGCGGCCAAATCTATTTTGCTCCGCAACTCGGAGACTATTTCTCTCTTCAATCTTCTTTCGGGCATGTCGTGTTCACAAAAAACGCTAATGTCAAATATTTTACCACGAAGAGAAATTCTGACAAAGGAAATATTGTACAGGAGCCATGGCTAGAGTTGGACTTTTAGTGAGATCCTCCCATTCCCGTCTTGCTGCCAATATCGTGTGTTCGCGACATTGTTCAATCATAGCTCGTCCTTCTCGTCGACCTTAGCCTCCTCCTTCTTCTCCTCGGTCTTCTCCTCAGCCTTCTCTTCGGTCTTCTCAGTGGGCTTCTCCTCGGTCTTGGTATCCTCCTCCTTCTCCTCAACCTTTTCTTCCTTCGTCTCCTCCTTTTTCTCAATCTTCTCCTCCTTCTTAGCCTCTGGCTCAACCTCCTCAGTCTCACCCGGCTTTAGAGTCAGAACCTGAGCTTTGATGGTGATCTCCATGTCACGCTCGTTTGCCCCACGATTCGGCGAGGTGTGTTTGACAGGGTACGCAATGACGCCGCCGTTCTTGGGCTTGGCACTGTACCTGGACAGATCGGAGAGCGCCTCTGCGACACGACGTCAGAAACCATCCCAAAAGCAGTCTAGCGTCAATAGGATCCTCAGAAAGAGGGGCATCTCTAAGTCCGAAAAACGTGGGGAAAAAAGCAAGTAAACTCACCAGCACAATCACTATCATCAGCCACCCACAACGGCAGCGTCTCGTAAATAGCTCCAGGCGCAAAAAGTGCGACCCTCCGATCATCATTCTCCCGCCATTCCTTCGGCACCGGGCTCTCCTGCGGCACCTTGACCGTGTGCAACACCCTAGTGCCGGGCAACGGCCGAGGATAAACCGCGAACAAGCCCTTCCCCGGACCGTCGGACCGCTCCTGGTCCTCGATCCACTCGCGCACCTTGAGCGGCATCAGATGGTAGTCCATGAACAGGATGTGCCGGTCGTAGCCGTGCGGGTCGATACCGTCCCAGCTGCCAGGGTAGTCGCGCGTGCCGAAGACGGACTTGAGCGCGTCGCGGTACGGGAGCAGGCCCTTGGGCGGGTTCTGAGAGAGGTCGTCGAGCAGGTACTCTTGCGCGGCGATGATCCTCTCGACCGTGCATACGGGGTCATATTTCTTTGTAACGGTTGAGGAGGTGAAGGGGTTTGGCCACTTCCAGTTGGACATCTTCTCGGGCTTGCCCTTTAGACGCGGCGGCTGGTCGGGCGTGGCAGGGCCGATGGCGGTGGTGCTGCCCGTGAGGAGGGCCGCAGCCAAGAGGGGGGTGAACTTCATCTTGGAGGGACAGAGAAAGGTAGGTTGTTATGGAAAGTGAAAATTAGTGTGGAAACCAGAGAAGAGAGATGAGATAATGAGGTTGAAGACACCAGATCTTCAACCGCGACTACTTATGTCAAGGCGCAGGTGACACCGCAAGCCAACCAGCGCCGACACAGAGCATGAACAAGGAGTGGGGGACAGACAAGTCAAAAGATCAAAGCCATTGGCAGCGAGCATGGCGACGACGGCCGCTATTTAGATTCGACTTCATGCACCCGTGCCCACAAGTCCACGGTTGCCTCAGCTCCGGTCATCAAAAAGTTGCTGTGCTGTCCTCCGGAGATCCCTTCCGAACTTCCAGATTGGAGAAAGCTCGCCAATGGCACGCCCGATGGGGAATTTGGAGTCACGGTTCCGGCCCGGTGGGCCATCTCCGCAGAGTGCCAGAGTGCTCGTGCGGAGAATACGCCACCGTTTTGGGGTAGCAGCCGGGTGAATGACCAGGGGAGAAGTGCCATTGATCCCCACTGCGTCACTGGGGGTTGGAGTTCGGCCCGCCCCTGGCTAATAAAGCTTAGCCGGCCCGGCCGGGTGAGGAAGAGCATGACCACGATTTGCTGCTCTTAGCTTTGAGGCTCGTGAGGTTGATCGACCAAATGGTCACCTGTTGAATGGCGCTGACATTCGATGACTGTGGTCATACGTAACGACTTAACCATGGATTTGCAAAGTCTACGCTGCAAGAAGCTGATATCCTTAGTTTAAAAAACTCTACCTAGGGTGTATATTAACACGTTATATGGTGTATACTGGTGACCTTGATGCCCTATCTCCAAGACTTCCAACTCCAGCCTTTCACAATAGCACCGACGCCCGCCCCACGCTCGCGATATGGTTGTCCACCTGCGGCATCAAGATGTTGCAACACAATGTCGAGCAGCTCGCTATGTCTAAAGCTCGTCGAGTATCAGACCCTCCGTATAAGCCGCAGCAGAGTCGTTCTCCTATTCAGACACCTTGAAAGCCCTCCAAGTCAGCACGTCAAACACTATCTACCCTCCATCTTCCGCAGCAAACACAAGCTCGCCTCTATCCGGATCGCGTCTGATACCCACAAGAGTTCCCGACAACTGGGCAATGCCCCCATTTCTGCTGCCAGGACCTCGAATGATATGTACCCTACTCAGCTTGGACTTCCAGGCCAGGATAATGATGATGGCAGGGTCTTGCCACGGCGTTTTGCAGTCATTGGGGAGACGGCCTATCTTCGATGTGCAGCGGCGTATGACGCTAGTAACTAGAGGTGCTAGAAGGTAGAAGAAGAAGAGAGATAACTGCCAGACCTGGCTTGAGGACCACTAACAGCTGTACAAATGTGTCTCAGAGGTGTGTCAGGCATAAGATTGGTGTCAATTCGCTGTGATTGTTCGGAATCTTTTTTTGAGTGCTTGATGTCACCTGGAAGCATTTGTTTCCTATCGGAGCATAACGAAGCGTTGTCTCGTTGGTGTAACAGCTCATGAGCGCGGGGCCGTTGAAGGTCAATCTGGTCAATGATTTTGTGATGATGACTCCTAAGATCTTCGGCACTCTGGCAATGGCATTGTCCCTGTCTAATACCGATGTTGACTGTACAAAGATCTGGTGGAGGAAGTCTTTGATGATATCGACATTTTGTGTGGTTCTATCATCCAAGAGCGTGCGATAGGTTGGAAATATGTAGGACAGCCAAGCTCAATCAAGCCTGACCGCCGGCTCTGCTGAGATATCTGGTTGGTTTGGAAATATCTCTTTGGAACTCGTCAGGGATGAGGAACTTGCTAACGTTGCTCCGGACGAAAACACCTGTCCCAGGAAGATAGATAGTGTGATAGGCATTCAATGGGCCACTGCACTGCAGGAAACGAAGAATCACTGTTCTCAGTAAGTGCCGTTATCTGGAAAACTGACTGTGATGAGAAAGTGTTCAACAGGACCGATACATTCAAACTGTCAAGAGATGAAAAAATAAACGAGTCAATTATGGGAAGATGCCCTTTATCTGGATCAGACTTGTTTTAGCTATTCTTTCCTTTGCCAGACTTTATATATCACTTCATTTTCATCGGGTTTGAACTAGGATGACAAGAAGTGATAGGAAGTAATATGTACCATGTTGAAAAAGGTACAGTGACAGTTTTGTTGATCATTCTTTCACATTTCGCACTTCAAAACAGTGAAGACTAGTAAAATTTAAAAATGGTCTCTCATTCTCACTCTGTGTGCTGCCAGTATAGTTACCACTTAGGTGATGTGTCTGGCAATTCATCTGCATCAATGGCTGGTAGAACAGAAGATCTTTGAGCGTCATTAGCTTGAGCTTGTATGCCTCAGCTGATAGTTTCCGACGAGCAATATCCTAATTAATGAGTCTGTATTTGAACCACTCAAAAAACGTAAGACAATGTTTAATCAGGTGCACCAGGGTAAAAGAAACACTTGTAATCATCATGACGTTACAGTAATTTTCTGATAAGAAAGCTTCTTGCGCAAAGAACCAACAGACCCATGAAACACAGGCACGTCAGCTGTGTCTCTACTAGGCAACCAAGTCCAGAGGTCTGGGTAGTTGGGGGTCGGGCACTGGACCTGGGCAGAGCAACCGATGTATTGCAATCCTGTGGCTGATTGAACCGGTGAGGTCAACAGGGTCAACAACTGGGGACCAGGCCCTGCTAAACCCAGTCCATAGTACAAAAAGAGTTGAATATCTGGGCTAAACGCCAGTTTATATGATAGTTAACGCAATATGAGCTCAGGAATAAACGAAATGGCAAAAAGAGTACCAAGACCATGTGGTGCAATCGTTTCCAGGGTGACCAATAACCCCAATAGCAATCAATTTCCCAGATTATGAGAGATTGTGAGTTGAAAATAAGTTACATCTCTGACGATATGGTGTGGTTAGATGGCCAGGAGAAATGCACGAATTGAGTAGGCGAGAACCAAAAGCCTGGATTATAGCATGACTGATTGGTGACCTCCCAGGCGATTACGGCTGGTTTGTCGGGTACCGGGCAAACAGCAGCATCTCCCTCTGCCGCACCAACTGGAAAGTTACACCCTCCTATGTTTGCCTTTCGCGACTACCATTTTCACCCAACTGGGTACCCAGGTTTATGCTCTTTCCAACAGCATCTCTACTTTGCACCTGTGAGCAGAAACGGTGCTGTCATGCACTTAGAGCTCACGATTGCGCAGTACCGAGTACCTTCAATCTTATCATCGTTCGCCAAGTATTCTGTGTTGACAGTAGTCACTCTTCTGAGTTGTACCCGCTTTCCCTGCTGCGTGGTCATCGAAATTGTTCCAAAATCTCACAGCTTGATAATATCACCGATATCTATAATAATAAAAATTGAACAAATGAAAAATCAAGTAGCAAATAAAATTTTTTAATTGTCTGAGAAAGAAGATGGCGAACACAACGTTCTTTGAAGAGTTGGCTTCATCTAGATGATTAAGAGTTGTTACAGTAAGGCTGCAAGAAAGTTCGCAAGCACGATGTTACCACTTTCGAGTTTCAAGGGGGCTTAGCACAAATACCAGACGACATAGTGTTCCCAAAAGTAAACCCCGAGTTTACAGTCGATGTGGAAAATGACCTCGATCAGTCTACCGTCTTCATCAAGTGTCCTGCTTTGGCCCAAGACCCGAGGGATGTGAATGACAAATCCCTGATGCCAAAAGCATTCGTAGACGAGGTTCGTATCATGGAGATCCTTTCCAAATACCCACACCCGGATATTGTTCGACAACACGAATGCCGCGTCCGTAGCGGACAGGTAACTGGCTTGCTCGTGGAAAGACCATTCTATCCTAGGTATCTGGGGAAAAGGTGAAGGTGTACGGGCTTCGTTTCAGGATTTTGACCTAACAGCTGTCATAGTTGATATGCAGGCAGCCATTTCCAATCTTCATTTGTCTCCCACATAAAAATCACAACCCTGCCAACATTGTGCCTTAGAAGGAATAGAGAATCGAGTCTTGCCGACATTAGGACATGCAAGCCTTTGAGAGAAAATCTTATTTGTGGATTTGGTGTTTCCTGCTACCTTGCGGATTCATCACCATAGAGAGGGTTTTTTTTTGGAAGCTTACTTCAAGGCGAGCACCCACACTGCCTGGGTTAGTGGATGGAAGGCTCCTTGAAATGCAAGCTTTGACCAAATTCCTCCTCTTTTCACACATAACAACCTATGGACATGTGAGAAGATTTAAAGGTTTGTATCTCGAGACACGGCACTTTCTCTCAGATCTCAGTGCATCTGACAACCTGAAGTGGCAGTTCTCTAAGTGTTTTCGCTCCTCAGTTCAGTGCCCATGTTCATTTCTTGAGGACCCTTACACATTCAACAGCATGAACACTGACATCTCGACTTTATAACCTTGCCCCATACATTGATCAGCCATCTTCGGCAGCTTGGGCATAACAACATTTTCAAGAACAACTGGACAAGGCGAGAGTCTGGTAAAGTGCTATGATTCTTCAGGAGGAGCGTGGCTAACGTAGCCTAATTACCCTGTGAGAAGGAGCTCAAAGTTTTTTCAAGCTGCAGGGAAAGATACCGTGCTTAAGCTTTCAGCCGTCATCTGCATTGTGATGTCAGGCAGGTAACGACTATCACGCGGATGACCAGTAGCAAGAAATTGAACTAGAAACGATTGAACATGCAGGCTGCCATCTTTCCAAAAACCACTAAACTAGGCAGCACAGCTTCACGTCACCAGAGAACGCCAAGCAATCACACTACGAGACGAACAAGATAGATGCCACGCCTAACAATTCAACATCTGGATTTGTCAGAAATTGTTCTCTGAAATACAGAAAAAGGCCTGCAAAAGCTCCAAGAGAGTGAATACTATGACTTGATTGTCCTCAAAATTGGGGGTCGTTGTGAGCTGTGCTGCATTCACTTTGCTGTATATCCGGGGTTCTAATTTGGCTGCCCCATCTCCCATTGGAGATTTACAGCATCTCATACGTAGTGTATTCCGAAGCACATTTGAACAGAAGTAGGGGGTGGGATTCTCTGTCGCATTTGCTACAGTGTCGACGCCGCTACTCAGCATATACTGTGAGATTTGTTTTCATACCCCAGGCTGGATGGCGTAAAAGTTTGGATATAATACCGGAGGAAGACACCAGAATCTTCTATGGGCTGCCATATTTTCTCAATCATGACGGCCAACTAGAGCATGGCAACAACTCCCTGGCATTGTATACATTCTGGTGCCCTGCGCAACCTATAGCAAACTGTATACCTGGTTACTAACTATTGAAAACTACTCTCTCTTCTATTACCAATTGGCGGCTCGCGGCGGGAGCTCCTCTATTCACACGGAACTTACGCAGACATCGAAGAGAGCAGATGTAAGTCGTACTTTACGTTGACAACCGTTTCGCTATGGTCTATGCTGATTATTTCGACAAAAATCATGTGGAGAACAAAAAAATGGAATTTCTCCAGGACCAGTGGCTTCCGCACGAGTTGGGCGTCACCAGTCTGCTCCCATCAACTGATATTTTACAAGTAAAACTGAAGTCGACGAATGAATCACAATCACATCAACCACCCATCCAGATGCTTATCAGATATTCAATTAGACCGCGCGAAAGACCAGTGAGAAACAGGTTCTCGATGAACCTAGGGATACACCTTTCTTCTACTTGAATGACGTTGACTGATTTAACGACGGGCACTGTGAGAACATAACCAGGACACGAGCGCACTGAGACGAGAAGCTTCAGAAGAGTTGGAAAGCCCTGCAATAATCCATCCAAGCTCATTGTTTTTTCATGGAATTCAACGTCATCTTTTCCTGGGTCGATCGAAACTTCTGAGGAAAAAACATGGAAAACGATGGTTCGAATTGAATATGACAAAGAGGACAGAAACTTAGGCTGGTTACAACAGATAACGAGCAAGAAGCGAGCAGTGAAAAGGAAGGTGAAATGCACATAGTTCAGGATATGCCTGCATAGATAGGGATATATACTTTCTTCTGTGTTCCATTGAATCGTATAACCAGGTCGGCACGCAGTTTATCTCGCCCATAGGTCTCATGAGTCTCGATTTCTTCGGTGTGTATCCATGAGTGCCTTAGTTTCATTTCTTTTACAACCCAGGCTCCAAGTCCAAAGTGACATTCTCAATCGTCGCACTCCATGAGTACCCCGGATTCTCAGTCGTACACATATCCCATCCATTCTCGTTCCCACACACAAGAGGCTCCCCAACTGTAGTGACTGTTTCACCATAAAATTTCACCCTGCATGATCGTCACTTGTCAGCACATGGCTTTTATCCTTCCGTTAGAACCCAAGATCATCACACAATGGAAAGCTTACTTCTCCACAGAACTTAGCTCTTCACACTCCCACCTCGCCCTAATCCTCAACTCCCTCGTTCCCCCATCCCACCTGAACTCACACCAATACGGCCAAAGTGCTACGCCATTCTCTCCATCTGGCCCGATTACACACTCATGCCATCCCCCTTCTTTCTCCTCCCCCTGGTACACCTCAATAGGATATTGAAACCCTCTCTCCTCAGCAGCAAGTATGATATCGAAACTCACTCCTTGCGGGATGATCGGCGTTTGAGGGTCTACGCCAATAGGCGGGATTGACTCTGGGGAAGGAACACTTCCGTTGTAGATGCGGAAATGGGAGAATGTCCAACGAGGGTTGAGGAGGGAGGTGAGCGTGCAGCCGTCTCGGGTTGGGCGGGGGTCGGTTAGGACGTAGGGGGCGAGTGTCGTGGTTGAGGAGATCGTGCCTGTGAGGGATAAAGGGCCGGAAGAGGTGCAGAGGGTTTGGATTTGGTTGGTTTCGGGGAGGGTTCTGGTTGTGCAGGACATTGGGAGGGAAGCGGTTGCGCTGGCGGTGATTTGGACTCTGGGGGTTAAGGGAGGTTAGTGCGTCTGGTTAAAGTGGAGGTTAAGGAGTTGATAACAGACTTACGGTTTAGCTGGGTCGACATCATCACAATACCAGGTCTGGTTGATCGTTAAGGTCTTTGTCGAGTCCTGGAAGGATGCCGATGTCGAGATGGGATACTGTCCGACTCTGTCTTCTCCCTGGAATTCATCGCCTGAGCAGACTAGACGAGTGAATTGTGGGCTATTGGTGTAGCTAAAGCCAGTGTTGGGCATGCAGCTTGCTTCATAGCCATTAGCCAGGTTGGTGATGGTCAGATGAAGCCCCTTGTAGGGGACTGTGTCGATCCCGTCGCCTGTTTCTTCCAGAGTGTGAATCGACGAGATAACCCAGGTCGGAGTCTCAGACTTTGCGAGGCAGCCTGGAGAACTGTGGCCCCAAGGCCCTTCGGGGTATTGAGGAGTGATTTTCACAGGTTCAAGCAGTGACCCCCTGACGAGGATGGGAGAGGTGTAGTCTGGGGCTACGGACTGGGTACCTATGGCTTTAAATTTGATGCTGCTCTTCATGAGTGATGTTCTTGTTGAGTGCCATGGAGAACTTACTCTTTGCCACGATCACTGCAGACCCACGACTGCTCAAGTGAGAATTCAATCGAAGTCTCCGTGATCCGAACCGAACCGTCAACCTCATGGTCTTCAGGGGATGCTTTACCACACGTGTAAACGTCCTTGTTTGCACCTAAGGCACAGGACACTGTCTGGTTGTAGCCTGTTGCTCGATTCGAGACATCGAAACGTATCTTTGTATCACTTGGCCATTGGACATCTGTGATGAGCCAGCCAGGGACTGTAGCTGATCGGCTGGTGCAGCTTGTTCTGGGGTTGTAACTCTGGGCCGAGGCAAGCCCCACTGTCGAAGCAAAGAAAAGCAGAGCTGGTACTAACATCATGGAGGTAACACTCAGACTGGGTGTTAACAGACCACGAACACCTCAACAGGAACATCAGTGATGGCGGTTGGACATTTTGTCAGATATATACTTCCACTGTTGGAGACGTTCATTCACACCAAGTGAGGGGTAAAAGTTGAACGGCATATCAACCTCTCAAAGCCGTGTGATGAACTACATCGTGACGTAAATAACCATATTAAGGGCGGCTGTTGAGCATTGCTCCCGTACGGCTTGTACGACACAACACTAACTGCCGATTATAACAGCACATTGGCCATAGCTCTATTGCCAAGGGCTGATCCCGGAAGAACGACAAGAAGATTAGGACAAAGAGGTCGCCGTATCTATTCTTTCTTCACTCCGAGCTGAAGTCACATAGAACAAGATATCTGGAAGAGTTACGCAATGACGGCGATTATTCGGAAAAGGGGTCTGGTTGTTTGAGTTAATGGGCTGACAGCGATGCTATTCACAGTTTGTAGAGTAGTCACCCCTGACCACTGAAGAAACTGCTGTCTCACTCCGGACATATAAACTGTTGCTTGGACCAGAAAAGTCTCGTAGAAATGGATAAATGCTGAATCAAAGCCCCGAGGGCATATATTCAACAAGACGCCAACTATGTACGAGAAGTAAAATTCAACATTCCTCTCATCAACCCCTTTTTAGCCCATCATCCAACCACAGGCCGTAACCCCAACGCTTACTTCCTGCCAGTCCAGCCGCCCTTCAGATTGTGCTTATAAGTCGAGCCAATCTCACCCCAGCGCAGGTTGCTATAGGTAACCTCCGGCTCGGGCTCAATCCGGCGAATGTTCTGTGGGTTACCCTCGTTCGGGTCGCACGGCCCAGACTCGCCGCTATCGAGCCAGTTCATGAAGCCGCTTTCATCCCACCAGATGCTCATGGCCAGCACCATACCACGCCTCAACGCCTCGCCCATGCCCGCGGTGGCACCCAGCTCAAGGTACTTCGTCGCGGCTCCCGTAGCACGGCAGAAGTCATCGTTCAGAGCGTTCACCTGAGGATAACCCGGCAGGTTGACGGTATGCGCCTCGATCAACTTGCCATCTTGCACATACATGCGATGAATCGACGTCAGCTTGCCGTTCTGATCTGCCGGAAACTGGGTGATGACGGTGAAAGGACGAGTTGTGTCGACCTTAAACTGCGGGCCGCGGCCGTAGTAATTGGTGACATTGACCTTGTACGGGTTCCATGTGCAACCCCACTTGTCGCAGACGCCGTCGAACTCGCACTCCTGGCCGGAGCACATGTAGAGACCCTGCTTGTTGCAGGTATGCGGGGCAATGGACTGGCTGCGCGAGTTGGCCTCCCAGATATCCATCTCGTTGCAGCATGAGCCTTTCCCCTCGATGTTGCCGATGCCGTTGATGAAGGGAGTGACGAAGCACTGCGCGTCGCAGTAGCCCGTGCCGTAGTAGGCGCCGCCGGGGTTGAGGCGGGAGCGGGCGCCGGTAGCGTCCATCTCGGAGAGATAGAGTGCAGCGTTCATGCCGCAGGGGAGCTTTGTCGCGTCAACGTCGAAGGTGAACTCGAAGCCGGTGAGACGCATCATTTCATACTGCTGCTCCGTCTTGTCGAGAAGGTAGACACGAGGGGAGGTGACGCGGCCCTGATGGATCTGTTTCAAGCGGAGAGAAGAGCCAGAGGTGGTCACACCGTAGGCCGAGTAATCTGGGATGCCCTCCATGATGCAATTCTGCGCGCAGGTCTCGACGTCAGGGCAGACGTTGCGCGGGGGCGGGTTGCCCCAGTCGCCGCAGTTCGCGTTGGAGTTCACCTGGTGCACGGGATGGGAGAGGGAGTCGAGGACGATGTAGTTCGTCTCCGGGCGGCATCCCTGGAGGTGGGTGCAGCGGTAGGTAGTGAGCTTGGGATGGACTTCTGGAGTATTGCCGGGCTTCTGAGCCGAGGCAAGACCCAGAAGGAGAGAAAGGAGTGCGAACTTGCGAGCCATGCTGATGGAATGTCACTGACACCGCTGCAGGATGTCTTGAATGAGTTTGGACTCTTTCAGGCGAGGAAAAGCCTGGAGAGGAAAGGTTTCGCTGATGGGAGAACTACACCCTTTATGTATCCATGGTTGCCCCTCAGATTATCATCCCCGCGATCTTCCGTACCCCAGACTCAGTTACGGCCTTTCCACGCGGCATACAATCTTGGAGACTCAATTAGGAGCCGCGCATTGGGCGCCGCAACCGTTGAGTCCGTGTGTTTCTTCCTCCGAGGCTTCTCTACCGGAGCCAAAGCAGATCGGACAACGGGCCCGGGATTCCGTCTGCAAGGTACAGTGCCAAGCGATTGGGGCGGCTAAGCCTCAGCAACGGTCATGCGCGGCATCGAAGCGGCCCAACGTTGCATTGAGTCCCGAAGAAAGTCTCATGCCAAGCCAGCCAAGAAGAGATCTCGTCAAGGTCGCGGATGTTGAGCGCCCGAAGTTCCTGGTAGGGAAGATATGGCAGGGACGGCATGAAGAGATTCGGTGTAATTTTCTAAAGCGTCTAGAAGCTGCGTGGAAGTAGGGAGTTGGATCACAAGCAAGAAGCCGCCTATATGCAAGGGATAGAAAGGATCTGGAGAATGAAAAATTGGAGCGGGCATACTTGATCCCGTGATGCGGAAGGCATTAAATAAAGAGATAGCAGTTCGAATTTTCATGCCACTTCTGTGGCTTAGATGCAAACACGATCCGATAATCCCTGGTCGGGCTTGGATCGATCAATATGAAAAGGGAAGTTATGTATTAAGAACGTTAATTTGCACCTTGTCAAGACCGCGAAGAAACCGAAGTATATTAACTTTGGATAACAATAACGACATTAGGGAAGTGACCAGCGTTAGGACAAAGTTGCTCACTCTTTGCGACGTTCGGGACTCCGAAGATCGATAGACCGATGAGCCAGTCGTTTGGACATGGGATCTCGCTGCTTCATGTTAGTGATATGGTCTAGTCAACAGAAGTGCCAATAGTCATTGAGAAAGTAAAACTAATCACTTACATAAGGCTTGCTTTGATTGGACATGTCGATGGACATGACACAAGGTATTGTCCATGGGCTCCCGGGTATCTACTGTGAGGGAATTATGCAAAACACTTAGAACCGCCCAATGTAAAACAGTTTCAAATGAATAGATAATTGCCTCAGACATGAAAAAGAGTAGAAATATGAGTTCTTTTGTATATAATACATGCGATGGAGCTACCTACGCTTGGGGAGTTAGTTGACAGGCATAGTTCGTTGGTAAGGGACCAAGGTTTTGGAAATTGATTGTGTGTATCAGCATCAAGCAAGAGATTTGCAGATTGGAACCATGAATCCAAAAAAAAGAAAAAAAAACAAAGAGTAACCAGGAGATTAGTTCAAAATTCACATTTCGAGTACAGACACTTGTCTCGGAGACGGCGACCTCCTGCATTATGAACCTTTGAAGTACGTGAAATAAATAAGGGTTAGGGTTTTTGCTATATTATCCGAAAAGGAAGTTTATAAACAGTCACGTTTCAGCCAGGGTATGCCAAGCACTCAGGATCAAGATCACTCTCCTACAATTCTTTTCAAAATCCCAGGCGTCCTCAACCCGTCAAGCCGGTTATTCCCTTAGGGACACTTATCTCCGCACCTCACAAATCCTATGGAGGCAGTTGTGATTTTTACCCCAGCCGCCTTACTCGTATTCTCTGTAAGTTTCTGCGGACAAAAGACAGACGCACTTCCAAGTCTGCGCTGAGGATTCTCGGCGAAACCAGAATCACCGCTATATCCTGCCCAGCCTGCCTGATGACTCTCCTCAGCGAAATGCCAATTTTACCAAAACCCCTTGTTTCGCCGGATCAAACTCCCTCTCATCCTTGATCCTCAAAAGCTCTCGACGCTGCTATACAGCTGCTTAATCTGCCTCTTCATGGGCATACAGATCCGATCCAAAGTAATGGTTGTGCGTCCTCCCACATGCAAGTACTTTCTTTACACATACTTAGGCCCAAAAGGCCGATGAGGAACTCGAACTGAGAGCCGACACCCACAGGCGGGAAGGGCTCACGCATGACAAGAAGTGGACGCAGGAGGACGTGCCACGGGGAGAAAGGTTGTTTCCAGCCGAACCGTATGGATGTTTGGTTGAGCGCGAATACCAGGCCGCAGGAGAGGGTAGCGAGCAGGATTTGATGGCGGTTGATGGAACCTAATTCGTCGTGCCCAGCGTGCTGGAAATGCACGGGGCGATGGATTTTTTTTTTTTTGGGTTGGAAGCTGATGAACTTTAGCTGCTTGACATAGGCTGAGCGAGGGAAGTTAGTAACTTCTCGAGTCGAAAAATGATGGAAGCTCACGCTGAACGAACAATTTCAACGGCAACCATCCATAATCTTCGTTAAACACATTCTCGCAGCACGAATGCAACAGCGCCGGCCCTGCTCACATTTTCCATCCTCTCTTGTCAAATACCTTCTTTTCAAGAAAATCCCCCACCAATAATCTTCCCCGCGCACCCGTCTTTTCCGTACACTCTAGCTGATCACACTCCAACATGACCCTGACCACTCGTCTTCCGTGTTCCATGTTCTTTTCTAATCTCCCGCAGGACACTCCTACGGAAACACACGCTCCATGATATTCTCACATATTATTTGGCACATGTTCATGGCCAGAGCAAGCTACTTTACCTGTTTGCATACCACTTTTTGCAAAGGAAAATGCTTGATCTGACGCTCCTTGCTACAATACGCTACTTTAACCGTCGTTATATCGCAATATTCACAATCACGCCATATTGGGGTTGTCAACAAGGAATGTCGGCTTCTTGAGATCCATTGATCCAGGATCGCAAGTGCGGAGGACGGCGATCTCGGCACACAACCGCAGGGAGTGGGAGTAGCGTTGGACAAGGTAGGCTGGGGGGAGGGGCAGGCGTTTGAAGAAAGCTTGGATAGGACATTCGGGGGAGCTGTTAGTAGTAGAAGATACCGGACTGTTAGTCTTGGCGGTGCTTCTGAGGGGATATCACCATCTCTGGATTGGGCGGGGGAGTTGGTTGGACTATTCAGGTCAGTGATAAATAGTTTGATAGGTCAATAGCAAAGCCTCTATCACTACTCCAACAAAGAGCGCTGCATCCACTTTGGCAAACCAGATCACCATCAGTGTACCTACCATCGCAAGAACTACCCACCTTCCCACAGGACTATTCACCATCCCCATCATACTCCCGGAGGGTTCCTCCTCCTAAGGAGACTTGACCCCCGATGTCTCCGCCCACAACTTTGCCCACTCCTCCCTTACCTCTTTCTTCTCGGCCCTCTCCACCTTGTCCTTAGCACACCACCAAATCTTGGCAACCAGATCCTCTTTGTCCTTATCTGCCATCACAACCATCGCTCCGTTCAGTCCAACATGCTTCACCAGTGTTGTGAGGCCTTGATTTGCTGTGTCAACCAATGAATCACAGATAGCAGTAAACTGCTTCTCATCTTGCAGCATGTAAAGCTCATTAACACTGGAAAACTTTTCAAGAATGTGCTTCTGAAGGGCGAGGATTGTATACTGCACAAAATGCTTCCACGCATTTTCTTTGATCGTTTGTGTCCCCTTCGACAGATGGGATAACTCGTGCTCTAGTGTGACAGGCTCGAGGGGTTTAATCTCTCTTAGGGCAAAGACGCGATGCTTCTTGTAATGCTCCCAATCGGAGATCGTCTCCTTCCAGCCAAAGCACATGCCAGCAGGGTCAAGGGCGAGTGCTTTGCCTGACGAAAGGGTCGCGACCAAAATGCTGTGACTGTCAAGCGACATGAAGCCAATCATGCCTTGCCGTGGGGTGTAGGTGACGTGGTGGGCATTTTTGACTTCACAGTCAGCATGAGAGAGGCTTTTGCAGACAGCTGGGTATCAAAATTAGCTTGTGGTCAGGTAGGTGGTAACATAGGGTGGACTTACGTGTCAGTAACAGCTCAACTAGAAATTTAGCCGACTCCAGTGTCACTAACCTCCAAGACTGCATCGTCATGAGCACCGCCTTAGCCACATCAGGGTTGGGCGCTCGTTTCTTAACAAAGGTTTCCCACTGCGTGTCATCCTTGTTCAGAACCTCGTCACATTCCTTCTCAATCATCCAAATCCCGTTCTGCTCTTTGACTGTTGTCTTTCCCCCGACCACATGCATAATCATTAAAATGATATGCTCAAAGATAGGCTGAAAGATCGACATCGCGCGCATAATCTCTTTCTGCTCTTTACAGTCGGACTTGTGATGAGGCCAATGCTTTTTCTGACACTCCCTGCTGCAGTAGAATGTAGCTAGAGTGACCTTGTCCCCAGTCTTCACAATGCACCCAGTGCATTTCAGTTCCGCGCTCTTCCCACACTTCACGCATTTTGAGTGGTCTTCTGCTGCAGGAAGGTACTCCTTTGATAGCTTGTCATCCTTCAAGCCCTTCCAATCCTCCCCAAACGGCTTCCTCTCATCTCGCTTCCCCTCAACACACCACCTCATAATCCGCAGATATTGTGCCTTATAACTATTATCGTTTTTAGAGAAGTTCTTCTTCAAAGCCAATTTTGCCAGTTCATCAGCAATATACGACCAAAGGCTGTAGCGCTTCTGGCAAGATCTCAGTACCCTTAACGACCGCATCCAAAATAAACCTCGCATCAGGGTCATCTGACCCTGTTATATGAAGTTCCTGCTCTAGCAAGTAGCACGCATGGTGTGCCCGGACACGATAGTAGCTCTGGGGGAGGTGGTCAGGGACAGTGGAAAGTCGATAAAAGAAGTTTTCGACAGGGTCACCATCGGGAGTGATATTGTAGGCATCCCAGCCTTTGAAGATAGGGTTGGGCACGGGATTGGCAAAGATGAAGTTCCATTTGCTAGTGGGTTGGGTGTCGTCGGGTTGAGAGCGGAGGACGGGGTCGCCAGTGGAGGAGAGGAGATGGTCGGAGTGGAAGAGTTCATAGCTTGATGGGGGTCAGTAATGTGGGGTGAACCTGTGGAGATTGAGAGACTTACAGGGTATTGGCGGATAATTTACTCATCGCGAAGATGAAGTACGGTTATGAAAGATGGCAGTAGGGTTAAAGATGTGACCAAGTTCAAATGAGAAGAGAGTACGAGGCAAAGTTGGACCGAGTCTGGGAGAGAAGAGAGTGCTGGGTTCCACCCGATGTGAATTTCGTCCGCGTCTAGAACATTTTGAATACAGTTGGACAAGGTTGGAGCAGGAAGTGAAGAAGTTGGCACATGAAGGGAAGCAGCGACTGTCACTATATCAGAGATTCGCTCGTTAACAGATGACTAAACAGATAGGGCTCGGCACTGAGCTGCTTAAGATGAAAGTGCATCTTTGGAACAACATTATGAAACTGACTTGTAGGCGCAGAAGTCTTAGAGCCCTGTCTGTCGGTATTGGTCAATAAGGCGAGGAATTAGTCTTTAATGGGCTCGAAATCCTGCTTCGTGAGCCAGACTAGGGAGCAGAACCTTGAGCTGGAAGACAGAATCATTACATGGCTTAAGTTCGCCATGTGCTACTCCTCCGCCCCCAACAAGCCCTCCTCCCCCAGAGTCTCCCCCAACTTGACCAAAGTCTTCTCATATACCCTGGCAACATCCATATACAGCCTCTCCTCATCTTCATTCCAAGCTTGTGGTCCATCCAGCCCATTCTCAGCCTCTGTCTCTGTCTCTGTCACCTTGCCTTCATCATTGTCCTCATCCTCATCATCATCCGTCTCTGCCACCCTCGGCCCATCTCCCTTATCCTTGTTCATAACCTCCACAATCAACACCCTCGCTTGTTGCACCAGGCTCTTACACCGCACCATGTGTGTGCGGCTCATACCTGCACTCGGGCCCCTCTCGAACCCGGGCAGGGGCTCCTTTGTGTCGACATCCTCGCCAGCGAGTAGGCTGGCGAAGCAGTGATCCAACTTGCGGAGGATCGCAAACGTCGGGGCAGGCGATGATGGGAGACCGGTCACCCAGGTGTTAAACTCGGATGCAATGTTCAGGAAATACGGGATCTGCAGCGAAGCTTTGGAATAGTCAGCCTACGCCATTCACGAAACCCATAGGACAAAGTACCTACGCGTCCCGGACAACCAAAGGATATTTATCAACCCATCCAGGTCCTTGCACAGCTCACCCATATTCTTGTAGCCCTCCACGCCATCTGCATCAGGCCCAATACTATTGCCAGTCTTCATCAAGAACCGGCGATTGATAAGCATCATCCGGTCGGATACAAAGTTCCGGACCATGTCCTCTTTCGCTGAACCAGGGCGCAGCGCATGCGCGCGAGGATGCGGTAATCCCGTGGCATTGTACCGTGTTGTAGATGCTGACGAAATGTTGCTCGGGGCGGGCGAGGGGAGGGACTGTTGCGGGAGGAAGCCTCCTGCGCTGGAGTTGGTTCTGCTGACATTTGATGCGTCAGGCGCTTCAGCCACTTTCGATATTGGCTCCATTTATAGTTATTATCGGCCGAATATCAATTGGACATCGCATGGTTGGGCGAAAAAGGTATGTTTCGCGCTGCGGCGGGTGATGCGATCTTCAAAGCGCCATGTCACTCGCAGAGCAAAAGCTATCTTCCCCGCTGTCAACGTGATGGCAGCGGTGCGGAACCGTTTGCTTGACATATTGATGTGGGGTAGTGGGGTGAGCAAAAGGACCCCTTGTCAGGTGGAGCTGTTTGGTCCGTGCATCCCTTGCGCCGCCCGCGCTGGCGATCCAAAATTTCGGACCAACGTCGCTGCAAACTTGGCTGGCCGACAAGGTCAATGATCTTTCGCATCAACACTCACACTCAGTAACCTGTCTGTCCACAGTCAGTCCATCCACATCACCAGCATGCCTCCCAAGCGCGTTTCGTACAACTCCCGCCGGTCCCTGAACCCCATCACCGGCGCGTACAACGCCCTCTTTGTCTCGGAGAACGCTTCCATTGTGCGTAGCGTTGTCGCCTTTGGCGTGAGTTTCTCCCGTACAAACCGTCTATGCCGTGCCGTTCCATTGTCTGCTGACAATAATTGCAGCTGGCTGTGACCTTCCTCGCCAGCGGTTGGGCTGAGGCCATTCTCTCGTGCGTTCCCTCCCCCCTTGTTAGTTCCCGGCAACAGCAACCCCCGTTGACTGACCTACAGAAGCCCTGCGTAAACGGCTTGATCTGAGTCGAGTCGACAACGACATCAAAACAAAAAGGGATGATCGGTGTATTTAGCATCAAAGCAGCGCGAGAGGGAGACCATGTACGATGTGCAATAAGCAACGGTCCTGTATGATATACTAGGCGGCGGGGTTACACTACTACGTACTCGGATGTTGTTGGGAATCGGGAGACCATGAATCATGGGCGGCGTTTTGCGGGTACCTCTTTGCTATTCCTGGCAACACATCTGAATTGACGGATTGGAAATCAGTGATTATTCGTACAGCGTGACTCCGTGACTTCAGACCTGCTCGAAAACGTCGCTTTTGTTCGATTCGATACTCCTGACCAGGGCTGTTTAAATGGCGAGTCGTCCTGTCCTTCCACTTCGACATCCAAAGTGCGCTCGGTAGCTTCGAGGGAGGTTTAGCCTCGAAGGCAAAGCTGCCGATTTAGTGACTCTCTCACATGGATTTGGCTCCTGTTTCGCCCTCAAGATTATGGTCTTGTTTTGCCTTTGCTTTACTCTTGCTTCTAACTGACCGAGGTCCCTGCTGATTATTGGTGTTATCGGGGTGCTAACGCTCAGCTATGGTGATGACCATGGCACTGATTAATTTTGGTACTTTTGACATGCGGCATAGGAGCTGGCACTCCATCCAGGTTATCTAGGTTTTGTTTTGTTGATTTGAAGATGCAGAGACCCATTCGAACTACCTTACTGGGCTCAAACCCCGCCACTCGTTTCTCCTAGCAACCTTTTAACAAACTGTACCTTCTCAGAAGCTGCGATCTCTGTTCGTGATGGCCGTAGCTTTCCTTGCTCCCTGGCCAGCATACAGCTATAGCTCCAGTTATTGTCACACACGGCCAAAGAAAAAATCGAGGGTGGAATTTTGCAAATGACCGCTACGTACAGATCGTCCGCTTGATTATTGAGGACAAAATGACGAAGGCTGGAGACAATGGACAGAGGGAGTTGGTCAGAGATTGATGTACAAAGAACCAAGCAGTGCTACATCCATGTGCGACCGCGAATGGACAAAGGTATGACAGGGAATCAACTAGCGAGGAAATGTCAGAAGCACCATCCGAGACGGACTGTTGACTTTACCCATTGGACAATAGATAACGGCATTGTCCCAACACCCTCAAAATATAGCTAACCCCCTTAGTCAGCATCCACTTCCTTCCACGAGACTAATGCCTCGGCCTTCGATGGCATCAACTAACAATGAACCTCCGACATATCCTCTTCCCTCGTCTCACGATCACCCTCATGTTCATCCTGCTTCTGGCAATACCCACCCATCTCGCCTCTCAACGCATCAGAGTAATCATATCTACCCCAAAGCAGCCGCCAAACTTCCGTTCGATTGCTGGACCAGGGTCGAAAAAACTGTCACAAACGGCCACATCCTCACAATATATCGGATAGCTCAAATCGATGGCTTTCGGGTCACTTGGCCCTCAACCAGACTAATCTTAACCTGTGTTTGGGGGGTTGGTGAAGACGGGAGACTGGCCTGGAAGGAATAGTACCTTTTATCCTGTTTCTGAAAGCGCATCAGTTTCAGACATTATGGAGGGACTTGATCGTCCAATGTTGATGGTGGTCTACAATGCATAATGGCATTGTAGAGTAAGTTTATCGAGCGACGCAAGCCAGGATTTAGTCGGGCAAGGAAAAGGAAGGACAAAGTGACCGAAAGGGTGGACAACACAACTGTCATCCTCGGCCGCGAAGTGTAATTTAGCAAGTATTCGACATCTTATTAGTGAACGGAGGATGAGCTTCGTAAGTCCTAACACAGGAAGAAAAATCCCACATGTTACATGTTAGTCGGCTGATGAAATGCAAAGGAGGAACTGTAGTGCGAGATTGGCGACAACGCCGAACGCGTCTTGAAGTGTGCAGGCGGGGAGGCGAATCGCAGATCGAGGACGAGATTCGGTAGATGCAACTACGAGGAATGATAAAAGTGAAGCGAACATACGAAGTAAATTGTTATATATTGTCATTGTAAGGTTTGAGTCGGAGACATCTCAGGGCTCTCTATCATATGCTTGCAGAGGAGTGTAATAGTCTCTAGCAAAAAACAAAGGAAACTTCCAAATGAACGTGAAACTACTTCCCTCATGGCGTTAGCTTACCTTTCAGGTTTCCCGTCGCTCCAATTCTGATACACTTTAGTGCAGGTTTACCTCCCCGCTTGAAATGCTCACTCCTCATCATGCTCACTTCCTCTCTCCCTCTTCCTCTCCTGCTCCTTCACCTTCACCATAATTTTCTCCGGTGTGGTTCCCATGAGCCACAGCCCGGCTCTCACCCTCCAGTCAAACGTATCCGGCTCCTTGAGGTAAGTCCTCTTCCCCGTTTTGCTCTTCTTCTTATTTTTCTCCCGCTGCTTCTTCTGCCTGATAGGGTCTTTCTTGTGCTTCAAAGGATGGTTGGGAAGAGAATTAGGGGGGAAAGCACCTCCACCTGCTCTGCGCCGTTCCTGGAAGCCCTCCTCAGCGGCGTCATCGGGACTATCGTTATCTTCATCCCCTGCGGACACCCCTTCCTCTTCTTGGTGGTTGAGCTCGAGGTCACCATCGTCGTCAAGGGGTTTAGGGTTAAAGTTAGGACGGCGAGGAGGTTGACCGCCCGCACCGCCAGCGGCCGCGGCGCCAAAAACAGCGAGATGGTTGGGCTTGAAGGCGACAGTAGACATGGTTGGAGAGAGTGATTGATAAGGAAATAATAGAGGTTCGGTAAGTAGGGAATGATGTGATTGGTGTCTTGGAATGAAAGACCAGTCTCTGGACGTGAGGGTGTTACCAACAGGTAGTTGAGAGGGGGCTTACCTGACCGGTTTGGATTTTTGGAGAGTTAGAGTTAAAGAGTGAGCTGGTTGATGTTAGCGAGTTTAGAATAGCTGGTGAGGCTGTCGAGCTGTGATGGTGGGCTTAGGAGGATGAAAGAAGCGAAGAGATGGTGAAATATCCATCTGGTCAGTTCTCGAAACTGGGATATGATACAAACAACGATAGGATTGCTATGACCATATACATATATATATATATATATAGAGAGAGAGAGAGAGAGAGAGAGAGAGAGACATTATCTTAAAGTTGGATAATGGCATCGCTCTTCTTCCTCAACTCCTTTCTGAGCCTGGTTGTCTCCCTGGATCTCCTCGCAACAACCCCTTTGTCCAACAGCACTCGACAACTGAACACCAATGAGTCCCAGAACTGTTATTCAAAATGTCAAAATACGATCAATTAAAACTTTTCATCATCGCTCTCTAATACTTATGTCAAATCCAACATGAGCGCTGAGCAATGCATATCATCAATACACAAGAGCAGAGAATACCATCCAAACAAGAAACTCAACAACTGCGGCCCAACACAAAAACATCAAACAATCCAAAAAGCCGCCCATCCGAAAAGCCCGAACTCTAAAGGGTATACTCTAACACTCTTCTCCCCCTCTCTAATAATTGCAAATCCCCCCAGTAACCCACTCCTCCTCAATTGTCCAAGTTCCCGCCAGTCCTCTCACTCCCGTCTCCTCCTCAATCACAACACCATCCGGTCTCCTATTCCTTGGCACGCCCAACCTATCGTCCTCCTTACCTGCAAAGAAGTCCCCCTGCCCCTCAGTCCTCACGACCCTCCTCATAAACCGTCTGCTCCACTCCTGCACAGCCGGCTCACCTGTCTCATCCCTAGCCTGCTTCAAGAACGCCATGAGCGCCGTGCCGCCCGTTCCCTTGAGCGCACTGGCGTTGTTGCCGTTCTTCTCCATCTCCGCAGCAGCACTCTTAGCATCAAACGCGATACCCTGAGGCTGATGACGCACGTTCTTGACCGCCGTAGCCAGATTAACCTTCTTAACTGCGCCGCGGGTAGCCTCAGGGGACCGACTCCTCGCCCTCGCGGCTTCCCTGCTAGGCATGACGATGTACCGCGTCACAATGGCAAGATGCTTATCCCTCAGGGCGCGTAGCATGGCCAAGCAGGCATCATATGCAATCGCCAGCGGACGGTGCCTAGCTGCATGGCGAGCGACAAACTCCCGAATATTCGCCACAGCTTGGACATCAGCCAGGAAACGGGCATGAGGACCAGGCATGTACCGGCGCATTTCCTGGATGAAGTTGTGCTGGGCTGCGGGGCCGGGGCCATCAGTATCAGGCTTGGGGCCCTTTTCGCCAGTCGGACGGTGCTCGATGCCGAGCACAATATCAAAGAACTGGATGAGGGAACTTTGAGCGTTGCTGCCACCGGCATATTGCCTCCAAGTGGGTGAGTCTGAGCCATCGTCATAGAGAACTCCGTTGGGCAGGCCAGCTTCGGCCATGTTCTTGCTACCTGCGAGGAAGGGGCGAATGCGGTGGTAGAAAATGTGGGGGTCGCAGTTCTCGTGCATGCGGTGAAGCAAGGTCGTGAGGTCGTCGAGGCGCTCGGCGAAGGATGTGAGGCACTGGGTGACGGTGTGCACATCATTCTCCCGCGCAGCTGCAATGGCATGCAGCATGAGGGGGATGATAGGGGCGCCGCGTGCCTCCATGGCGACTGACACCAAGTAAAACCAAGACTCGTCAAGGGATCCGGTGAATGTGCAGAGGGTCGCTAGGTTCTCCAAGTTATCGATGTCCTCGTCCATGAAGAGGGGCTTGAAGTTCCAGAGGCAGACGGCAGCATAGGTAGCGACGGGGGGCAACTCGAGGTGTTCGCTGATTTCCAGTAATGGAACAGTAATTGGAGGAGGGAGACGGTCACTGGGGCTGTCACCTCCCCAGATGTAAGCATGGGCCATGAAGCAGAGGAGCATATAGGCGCGGCGCCATTCTGACTCGTGGTAAAGACCGACCGTCGACAGGACTGGAAGACGATCAATGACAGCACGAAGGCGTTTGCTGAGGATCAAGCCCTGTAGATTGGCGACAATGGCTTCCCACTTATTGTAGTAGGGGTCTGGTAAGCGGGTGAGGGGAAGTTGGTCGGGAAGAAAGCCGCGGGTGGGCGAGATGCCGTAGTCAGCGAGGTGGGGAATAGGAGGGATCATCTTGAAAACACTTTCTTCAGAGCAACTGAGGTCAATTGAAGTCAATTAAGTCCTGACGCAAAGAGACAGATCGAATCTATCTCCTAAGCCGTGCGAGATCTGGTGCGGGGTGGCATGAGATGAAGGATATGGAGACAAGCAACCAGAGAAAGGGGCTCGGGAAAAGATCAGATTAAATGGTCAAAAAGCCTGGCATGTGGTAGATCGGTCGAGGCCGGCCGTGTTCAGATGAATGATCGGTCCTCGAGTCAATTCACAAGATTCTTCTCAAGTGAGGGGCAGCGAAGAGGGAGTCTTTGTCAGCAGCCCTCCCAAAAACAGTAGACTGGCTGCGCCGAAGGGTGAAAAGCTCGCTGTCGCCGCCGCCGTGTCAAGCAGAGCGCAGCGGCATCGGTTGCTGGCCGGTCCTTGGAGCGCCGACATGACAGAAATTTTACGCTAGAGATCTCGCCGAGAAGATGGAGGGTGGGGCAGAAAAATATCGCAGGGCGGGGCCAGTGAACCCTGATGAACACTAAGGGTTATGTTGACAAGACTGGGGGGGAGGGATAGGGAAGCAGCAAAGGAAAATCATTTTGTATGCTTCAAGAAACAACGCCAATCCGTTTCTTTGGGCCATTTGGTCACAAGCATGGAGATCATGACTCAAACGTGAATCATGGTCTCGGCTCGATGTTATTTCTCTTCTGTATGGCAACCATTAAGATCTGGTGCAACTACAGGATCGCTGGTCGGCGTTGCACAGCGTTTCTGCGGCGCAGCGTCACGGTTGCTTGTCGTTGGTTCAACTCTGGCCGACGCAAATGTAGGCAGATGGAGGGGCTGTGGTGAGCTCTGCCGAGTCGCCTGCGAGCAATTGACGCCACCCGCATAATCCGGCGTGGGGTGCAGCCAGAACCCCACCATTCCGTCCGGGATTAACCGATGGTCCAAGTTCGAGGGTCCGTGCGTACATGGTGAACAGGGTTTGAGAGAGCTGATTACATCATCTTCAAGACTAGGAGTGTGGTCGGGTTGGCGCGAACCTCAATGGCTGCCCCGCTTCCCCTCACCGTCCGCCCTGAACGCGACGCCGATCAGCTCCAGTGAGTTGCGACATCAGACCAACAACATCGCCAGTTTTTCTGCGATGTCTGGCATTATGGTCCCTCAGCATGTCCTTAACTGGTTGTACAGCGTGCTGACCAGCGTATGTTGCGAACTACCGGTCTAACCCATCCTTTTCTCTCCATTACCCCCAAGCCCCCATTTTCTCCAAGACCACCAACAACTGACAAGTGCAGGAATACCACGATGTGAACCGCACTTACAACGACGTCGCTCATACACTGGCCACCTATCCATCTCTCTCTCCCCGGACAGATGTCTATAGTATGACCCCCTCGTGGTCTTCTCCCGAGCTTGTCTGACCTCCAGCTTTTCCCAATGGCTCCTCGGCTCTCCTCGTTCTCCTCTCCGGCACAATTCCCGTCGTTTTCCGCGGCACTACCTACCGCTTCCCCATTTCCGTCTGGGTACCGCATGCCTATCCCAGTGAGCCGCCGATTGTCTACGTGACGCCAACAGAAACTATGGTCGTGCGGCCTGGCCAGCACGTCGACTCTCAGGGTTGTGTCTACCATCCGTATCTAACCGCATGGTCGACGTATTGGGATGTACGTGGACGGCTGGCTGTCAGTCAGGGGCTGTGCTGACTGTACAGAAATCCAATATTGTCGACTTCCTCAACATCTTACGCGAGGTCTTCGCTAAGGAGCCGCCCGTTGTTGCCCGCCAAAGGCCCCCTCCACCGCAACAGACGCCTACCCCTCCTCCAGTGCCGCCGCTACCACCTGAGTTTGCCCCGAGACCCCCATCGAGCCAACCTGCTGCGAGTGCCAGTTCCCCAGCCGAAGTTAGGCCGCCGCCACCGCCTCCTAAGCCGGGTCAGGAACGGCCGGTGGTTTCTCCTCCCCCTCAGACACCTAGTCCTCAGGTGCCCCCTCCTCCTCCTAAGGTCGGCGGTCCGGCTGGTCACCTAACGTTGGGACAGCCTTCTCATTTGCTTGGACAACCGCAGTTGGTAGGGCAAACCCTTCATCTAACACAAGAACATCCGGCACAGCCTTTCGCTGGACAACCACAGGGACAGCCTGCGTTTGTCCAGCCCCAGACCCAAGCAGGTTCAATACCCCCTCTTCCCCCGAAACCCGGGCCGTCACGGTACGAAGCTCCGCCGCCATTACCTCCCCAGGCGTCTACGTCTCAACAAACAACCCCCCATCAACCCCCTCTTCTGCCGCATCAGAGCCTTCAACCGACTACTCTACCTCCAGGCCCGCCGCCCTCAGTTCAACGACCAACCTCTATCTACGAACCTCCTCCCCAACCATATAGCGCCCCTCCAGCTACTCAACCATACCAGCAACCGCCTGCCCAGCCACAGCCCCCTCAACAGCTCGCCAAATCGCCTCCCCCGAACCTCCTCGACGACGACGCAACCCCCCCCCTCCCCACAACCGAATCTCCCTCTCAACCCCCACCTCCCCCACCAAACCCCGAGAAAGATGCTCTCTTGCATCAATTAGCAATAACACTCTACAATCACCGTCAAAAATCCTACCAACAAAACACCACCTCCCTCGCCGGCCTGCGCGCACAACGGAAAGCCCTCCTCCAAGCCTACGCCACCCTGCAATCCGAACTAACCCACCTCACCCAACTTTCCTCCCTCCTCCAATCCAACACCTCCATCCTGCAATCCTCTCTGCAAAAGGCAGACGAAACCATCACAAAGGCTCAACACCAACTCAAAGAAAACGGCCCCCCAGATGTAGATGAACTGTTGGTTGCGCCGACGGTGGTGGGGAACCAGTTGTATGAGCTTGTAGCGGAGGAGAGAGCAATAGGGGATGTTATTTTCGTGCTTGGGAGAGCAGTGGAGAGGGGGAGGATTGCGCCAGGGGTGTTTGTTAAGGCTGTGAGGGGGTTGGCGAGGGAGTGGTATTTGAAGAAGGCGCTTGTGAGGAAGATTGGACGGGGGATGGGGTTGGCTGGGGCATAACACATCGATTTTGTTAAGGCGTTGGTGATTTAGGGATTATTATGTTGGTTGTGTTGGCCCACAGTGATGGGTTGATGTAGGGGGATAGCGGGAGGAATAGGTCTTGGTTGTGGATAAATGATACAACGTTCCCTAGTCGAAGAAACATATGGACAGCGCATAGAATATGAGTGAGTTCATTACCAGACATAGACTACTTATGCAATAGACAATGTCCTACTGCTACTCACACTACATAGTCCATCAAGTCTCCTCACAGTACTTCATCCATCCATTGACCTTTCCCACCCAACATCTTCCTAAACTCCGTAAGACTAAACATAATCCAAGAATACATAACCAGTACGTACCTACCTGCCGATAACGCTCAACAATCCATCCTCTAACTTCGTCTCCTCTTGCCCCTTATCTGCCCAATCCAACCCCAAGTCTACTCCAATCAACCCTTGGCCTCGGACTCGGACTCACAAACCTACACTCCGGCCCGGGTCTAACAACCACAAGAACATTGCCCCAATCGCCAGCGTCCTACCACCACTCCCTCGGCCCATTTCTCTCCCTCATTGTAGCAGCCTTCACAACTGCGTGTCTTCCTATTTCAGCGCCCAAACCGGGTCTTGCTGCGTTTAGACTGTTGCTGGTGATAGTCCCCGGTTGGGTAAGGGTGTTTGTGATTCTGAGTGTGTCACCTGCACTAGGGCTGGAGGTTGACGAGGAAGATGACAACCTGCTTCCTGTCCGAAAACGGAAACTCTTCCTCCCTGCCTCAATGGCAGCAGCAGCAGCAGCAGCGGCACGCTTCCCCCAGCTTAACTCTTGGGTTGATCCAGATGACCGGGTTAGTTGAGCTTGTGTTCGTGCGGGAAGGGCCGATGCTGGTGCTGCAAGAGGAGGGTTGAGGCTGGTTAATGCTGCTAACGACCCTGCTGCACGGGATGGGAAAGGAACTTGCTCTGACACTAACGCGGCAGTGGAGACGACCTGGAAAGAGGATGCAGCTGGGGATGACCCTCGTCCCTCAGCCCTGGCCCGTATCGTGCCTGAGATGGCCCTCCTTTTCTGGAGTTTCCGTGGCGGCGTCTTCCTCTGTGTTGATGGTTGTCCTGTCACTGAAGCCGGGACAAGGTTGTTCTCTCTGCTACTACCTCCAGCTGCTTGCCGCTGAGAGGCAGGTTCATCTTTGCTGCGGGAAAGCCAGCGTCCTGAGATCGTTCTTGGCGTTATTCTTCCTTTTATAGTAGCTTGGGGTTGTGCCACAGCTTGAGCTGAGGCTGTTTTCGGCAAATCAGTTGCCGACATCGGCCCCCCTTCCATACTAAAAGCCTGACGGAGCAGTGTCTTGTCCCCGCTCGAACCTGGTTTGGGTTCTTTTTTGAAAGTTCCGCGGAGGGAGAACGATCGCTTAGGCGCTTGTTGGCGTGTCGAGAATGAAGCACTGTTGGGGGAGGGATGGCGACGCCAGAGTGGGAGCTTCAACTTGGGCTCATCTTGGGGTTGAGATTCCGAGCTTCTGCTGCCCGAGAAAAGGCGGCTGACCTTTTTGCTGGTGAAGGATTTCCTCTTGAGGGTTTCTGTGCATCTTGTTGGTTCCTCCATCGATAGGGATTTGTCTTCAACCCTGACCGTTGTTTTGGAACTTCCATCCCGTCGATTCCAGTTCATGTCTAAATCCAACGCCTCATCTATTCCCGTTGGTCTATACACCTCGTGAATGTTCTTATTCTTCTGATCCTCAAACAGGAAGATCTTGTCCTTGACCGAAACAGGCGTCCCCTCGTCCTTTGTTCCTTCGACACCTCTCTTCTCTCCTTGGGGCTGCAGCACGTTCCATCGCGAACTAATCGTCCTCATTACCCTCCTGGTACTGCTCGCAACAGTCGTCTCCGCCAACATAGGCAGGCTTGGCCTCGCCTTTAGCAGTGGATTCATCCCATTCCCATTCTCATCTGTACTGTTATTCGTCCTCTTCCAATGTCTGGCCAGGAGCGGCGAAGCAGGCGCAGGTACTGGTGCAGTGGCAGGAGTCCTAGGTACTGCAACCAATGGGGTGTTTTCGATGTCCCGAGTGCTGAGTTCTCTTCTCAGCGGCGAGCTGCCCCTATGAGAACGAGCAGCCGGACTGTGGATGGTGCATGCAGTGATTGGATTAACAGGATATGCTCTCAGCATCAATTTCCTTGCCGTCATTGGCCTTGCTGGGCTCGATTTCTCAGAGCTGTCCATCTCCGGGGAAGAGAAAGGGCCTGTTGTGTGGGAGGTAGGCGACAAGACAGATTTCCTTGCACTTGGTGTTGGGCTCGCAGTACAGGTAGGTGACTCTTTGGGAGGGAAATATTCTCTTCGAGCAAGAGGTCCTGACTGGCGGATGGTTGACACTCGAGCAATCGGACTCCCTTGGGCTGTGACCTGGGCCCTTCCGCTGCGACCGGAAGTGCAGAGGGACTCGGTCCTCCTTAGACTTTCCTGCCTGTCTACCGTAACCATGTTCTCCCCTCCGGCAACAGTCACGGGTGTGACAGTCGTCACTTTTCTCGTCTGCTTCGGGGTTCTTGGAACCAAAGCTGCCACAGCTGCACCTTCTCTCCGCTTCATACCTAAAGGCTTGATTTTCTTGACATCCAACCCAGCCTGTGGCTGATCAAAGACTCTCCTCAAGTCTGCGACACTGAGACTCTTTGTTCTGTGCACCAGGCGGAGGCGGATGTGTTCGAGGAAGAGCTCACCTTGGGAGTCGTCACTGGACTCTTGTGATTTGCACTGTGCAGAACAGGGTGGCTTGCTTGGTATCAGGGAAGGATCGCAAGTCGCATCATCGAGTCCAAGCTTGTGTGCTGGTGTCGTGAGTGCTGAGGGATGGTGAAGGGAATGCTGCGAGACATGGAGGGTCGAGTGTGTTAAAGAGAAGGTGGTATAGGCATCGCAGGAAGATTCTCCTGGTTTAGTTAGCAACTAAAACCATTCAAGGAGTTGTGTTCACATACTAGACAGTCCTTCAAACAGCCTCCTCCGCTCAGCAACTGTAGAAGTCCATCCCTTCAACTCCTTGTCTAGCATGCTCGGTCTGTCCCTCGTGCTTCTGATGGTAGAAGCAGAGATGCTGCCACTTCGTTGGGAATATCCCCGAGTACCCTATCCTTGAGTATCATCCCAACGACACTGCTTGAACTGACTGGCATCGTCGCCAAACTTATCAGACCGATGGGTCTCTAGCCCAGGGCTATCACGTCCTGAATCAAGAAGAGTCGAAGTTCCATCCTTAACTCCTGCTGAATGGCCCTCGTCACTCGAGGATCTATGTCCATCGAGCGACGACCGCAACAGCGATCTGGCGGCTACATTGAGAGTTGCTTCAGCACGCAGTCCTCGTCCCTCGGTGCTTGCGACTGCATCTAACGATTCGAATTTCGAGACGAGCGCTGCAAGCGCCGGCGATACAGAGCTCACACGTCCTATCGAGATCGCCGATCCATTGTTCCCTCTTCCCGACGCGGAGGAGCGATTCTTCCTTGGCAGTCGGAGTGGCGCAGGGGCGAGGTTGGGGTTTAGGATAGAGAAGTCGGTCGTTGTTATTGGTGGAGTACTATGTTTATCCATGTTGTGATGAGCAGCCTCCATAATGGTATGTGAGTGATAAATGGATCTCTAAGGCGCAATGTCAATGCCCTGCAGGCAATAGGCGCGTAGCTAATGCGATACTGGAATGGATTGTTGTGGTGTGGATGCAGAGGGCTTATGGCCAGGTTAGAGAAATGAAATAAAACAAAACAGCTGGGTCAGTCATGGTTGCCTGACTGCATTGATCTGTATAGGAAGAAACATCAACTGCTCAGAAAGAGATGCGACGGAAGGGGGCTTCTGCTCTATATTCCAGGCAGGAACGGGTTTGGTCAGGCAGTTCATAACAGGTCACCCTCTTGCTCCGAAGAGTTCAGTCTTTCAGTGAACAGATCGAAGTGCCAAGTTCACAAACATCGAGTGGTATTCTCGCTGCTAACTCTGCTAACAACTGAGACCGATATCCACTTGATCCTTTACATGTGACATCCAGCCTAAAACAAATCAGAATCTCAATGATGAACGTAAAACCGAATGGAAGAAGTGAAACTATTTTCATCCTGCCTAACTATGATGTGGTGCCAAGATGCTGGTCCGTATGCCAAAGACCTGAGAAAAAAAGGAAGAGACAAAGGAAACTTCTGAAACTACCTGAGCGAAGTGAATGCATTTATTTCCATCGACTCTGGACCCCGAAGCCAAGTAACAGCCCTTGTGACACCATCCACAGACCACCTCCAACCCCTCAACGGACACTGACCCATTAGGGATAAAGTTCAGACTCAGCTTACGTGTCCTCCCTCTTCCTCTGAGGCATTGCCGCCGTCGCAGCCGCAACCGGCGAAGGCCCAGAAGCCTCCCTCGAAAATATCTCAATCTTATAGTCAACCCTAACCCCGCCCAGATCAGTAGCAGGTAAGATCCGATCCTCTTCTTCAACATTCCAATTCCCATGTCCATGACCGTATCCGGCCATCGGTCCCTTCTCAATCTGTGTTATGACTCCCCGGGCAGTGCCAAAGCCTTGATGATACATGAGAACATCGGAGCCAGCCGTAGGAGTCAACTCCTTCCTTCCATGTCTATTGATCAGATGCCTCCTCGAGCTTGTTGAAGTCTGCGCGGGAGGAGTATGGACCGTCGAAGAGGGGTTGGTACCGAGACTTGGACCTGCAGAGCCACCAAGGCCGGATAAGCCCGTCGAGGGGTGGCTTGCAGCTTCGGTGCCGAACCAGTGAGGGTTGGCCAGGCGCTGAGCTATGAGAATGCCGAGGGGGAGGACGAGGATGACAGAGGTTTGGGTGAGGGATGCGGCTTCGAACTTGGCCCATTCGCCCCATTCTAGGCCTGAGAAGACGACTGCAGTGGGTTAGCGATGAGCTAGCTTTGGACACAGGAATGATGATGCCGCGAGGGAGGGGCATACCTGGGATAAACATCAGAACACCGTTGGTAATAACCAATACGTCCATGGCCTTAAGACCCTTCATGGAGGGCAGGATGCTGCGGTTGGTCCACATGTGCATTATGAGACGGACATTGAAGAGAAAGCAGAACCAACAGATCGAGGAGGTGAACAATCCGACGTATGTCTTCCTGATCCAGGTGTAGGGTACGAGATCCATAACTACAAGCGCCGCGCGCACCTGAAAGACCGTCTGCACCAAGTTGAAGCCAATTGTCGTAAGAACCAGCGCAACAGACAACATCATGGCAGCAACCTTCCAAAACGTCTGCCATAGCTGGATCATCAACGACGCTTGCACGATCAGCGCAGCTTCAATCAACACCGTCATCGGGATGCTGAGACACGTCGCCGTGATGCTCATATTACGATCAACTTGCTTCACGGTGCTCCGATCCCCGGTGAAGATGACATAAAAATCACTCCAGGAGGAGGTGAAATAGAGACTGAAGAGCAGCGTACGAACGGAGTTGAGCAAGAGCGAGAGGATACTGATGACGGTAGAGAGCCGGCGCAGACGTTTGTGCGGTGTCATGCCCAGCACGACGGCCAACATGATCAGACAGGCGCCAAGCTGCGTGCCATATAGGATGGAGAGCGAGGTGGCAGCTGTGTGGAAGTAGTTGAATGAGGACAGAGGGACGACGACTTCGGTCGAGCCATCGGGCCCGATAATGGTGACGGGCTGGTTGCGACCGTTGAAGGTGTTGAGAGACCCTGAGGACATGGTGGTGAGGTAAGAGCTTGCTTGATGTTAGAAGGTAGCTTTGTTGTTGGCACCTTAGTAAAGTAACGATCCGAGTCTTAAATGCTCAAATAGCGAGCAGTAGCTAGGTAATGCTCATACATATTGCTGAGAAATGATATCCGGCAGTGTTCAGGCCTGAAGGACATTGCATGCCCTCCTGGAGTTGAGCAGTCGCAATTGCAATTGCACGTAGGGGTACAATGCCAAGGGCCCAGGGCATTTTGGCAACGAGTGAATTCTATTGCTGACGGTTTCTTTGAGGGGTTGTGATACTAAGGACTGGCGGTGCAGTGGCGAACAATGAGAAGGGCTGTCAGTTGTGGGTCGTTGACGGCGCAAAGTGGTGGGAGTGACAGTCTCGTTAGTATTGTTCTTCCTGTTCCTTATTATTGTTCTCAGCCGCACCCCACCCCGTGTTTCGCACCCAGTACTGTAAACTGATAGCTCACCGTGATTAGTTCACTGTTGCCAAAAGTAGTGCATTTTTGAGACTAGCGAGGGAGACAATATCTTCATATCCAATGCCCACCTCTGCGTTGTGCTCATCCATTCACCGATCCCTCATTGGCACTGGGTTGACCTTGTCTTGACCTGCAACATCTTAACCTCCTCTGTGACTCTCTTCCCTGCTAAATTCTCACAGCTCGGTGTCGATCATATTCATTCTCTTCTTTGTCCACCAGCTTTCTGATTTTTACCCAGGGCTTCAGCTTCGTGTCAGGCTGATGCAGTTCCATGGCTACCGTCCCCATCATTTCTCTTGCCTGTCAAGTGTGGGTGTTTTCAATTGCTGTAGGTGGTCGGGTGAGCAAACGCATTGCCAGAGATTGCTGGGAGCATGATGGCTTTCTCATGCAAAACTAAGGATTTAAGTCGGTTGAGGGCATCCTAATCATAGATACAGTCTAAGCATCTAGATGTGAAAAAGTCGAAGACCCAAAGATCCTAAGCTCAACCTGCGAGGGCAACGCATGTCTTCAAATCTTCCTCGAGGCCGAGTCTGCACTTGGTGCGGCGGGCTTTTGCAGCACAGAGCGCACGTTCGGGCAAACTCATTCGGCGTCGCCGTCGGCAAACGCTGGACGTGGTGATGGCAAATGTCCTGAGCTGGATTACAAACCCAGTTTGCGGCTCTCATTCAAAATGTGGCTGTTTTGGGACGTAAGACCTCTCTTCTGACCCAGCGATTGCCTGCAGAGGGCCTGCAGCTTGCATGTTGTATAGTTGACACTGTGAGAGGTATTTCCCACTATTCTATCGTTTTACTCTTGACTTCAACACTCTAGGGCACGAAAGCAGCATTAAAACAAGATGACGAAGTTCCTTGGATCGACACGCACTGAAAGGCAATAGACGAAGTTCAGGGTGGGTTGGAAGGGTGGGCCAAGTTATGCTATTGGTCCACCATGGATTACATAAGCCACAGAAAACAAGATTGTCAATCTCCCTATAGAAACGCTAATCAGCCTTCTATCAGTCTGTTTATGTATTGCTATTCTCCGGAGTGTGTTGTCCCTATCCTCATTTTTTTTTGATTTGGCACCTGTGTGCATCAGCGATCTTGCGCTAGGGGGTGCTTACCAAGCGTCCGGATGGGGGATGGCGCAGTTGGAGTGTACTTAGCCAACCTATTGCCCGCCGGTCGCGGTGGGCACGATCGAGTACCTAGATAGGGTAGATAGTGGTCGAAAATATACATCCATACATACATACATACTACAAGCTTTTGGATCACGTGGTATGCTCGACTACTATCAGCGAAGGAATAAATGGTTCAAAGACACCAATAAGACTGAAAGACCAAACAACGGACAGGCCCTCCAAGCTTACCAATATTATTTGAGACGAGAACCCTATCTTATGACTTAAACCAGTGTTTGAGCGCTTGTTGATTGAGAATAGATGTAAGATACAGCTAGGTTGTCACCTTGGTACATATACCAATGACCAGTTCCCAAGTGCTTTGAACCCAGCGGGCAAAAGCCCTTGCCTGACTGATCAGAAAAATCTCACTCCCTGTTCACAATAACATCTGATAAGAAAAAGGGCATTCTGATCCCAAACGGGCTGCTGTCAAAGGTAACCTTCAATAAAAGAGTATGATCTTTCTTAAGCGTCTAACTTCTAAACTGGTTTTGACAGGGGGTTGGCATACAGTAAGGCAGATTCGTCAGAAACAATGAACATCGTTTTGTCAAGGCGACTTCGATAATTTTCAGCTTATATTAATTATGTTGTTGACTTTATCAAGTTGCCGTGGTTCCCTGAACCCTGGTTTTGGGGAACGTAGCACTAGCACACCAAGCTCGCACTAGTGACTTATTTTGGAAGAGTTTGGACCCACCAGCTGAATATGCGTCAGTAAGGGGGAAGTTTGTTATCAAGACGCCTTTTCCCAATGATTGAAACCTCAGTTAACGGAAAGCTGAGTAGGCGATTTTGCTTCAAGATAAGTTGGCTCGAGTATTGAAGACTAGACTGGTTTATAACTTTCAGAATGCTTTGCGTTGGGAATTGAACATGGTGCAGTGATACCTTCTTAATAATGAGATTTGCGAACGAATCGAGACCGATTAAAGACGAACCGAGTGTTACTGTGGCTTAATTTGCTGTTTGTTGGTTCGTCTCATTGGGACCTAACTAGTTATTTTTTTGAAGTTCAAGATCTCTCAGCCCAGGGCCTTTTCAACCTACTAAAATCTGCAGCTACCTTCTCTGATAACCATCCAATAACATCATGAGCTTCGCAGGCGGTTTTTTTGCCATTGTATTTATCTTACCTCTGCCACCCTTACTCCTTCTTTGCCTGTCTAAATCGGCTAGACGAAGTGAATGGGGAGAAGAGGCTTGGGGATTTATGCACGATATCCCGGACATATGCTTCAAAACATGGGAAAAGGGTTTCTTCCAGCGTTTCCGCTGGGTGTTTCCGACGACACGAGACCTTTGGAACGACATCATCAAGGACACCAAACAGCTTTTCAACCAACTTTTCTGGAATGCTCGTCTTGGGACTCTCAAGTCTATTGGGATTAAATCAGTGCGGCTTCTACTCTCTTGTTTCGGTTGTGTGCTGGCCGTTGGCTTTTGGTCAATGACGTTTGTTATCGGGGCAGTCGTGAGCATCATTGTTGGGATGCTTTCGTATGGCCCGATGACGTTCTATCTTGCGATTGCCGGTTATGACAGGCAGGCACAGGTCAAGTTTGCGACTTTTTGGTTTTGTGCAAGTCTTTTCGCGATGTGGGGCTATATTCTGAGATCAGCTCTCCCGATCATTGGGGAATTTATTGCAAATATTTTAGGCACAGTATGAAAGTTGATTTGTGGTCAGGATCTGGAGACACAGCTGTCCAGAATTGACTGTCTCTCAGACTTTCTGATACGCGTCATACAGGCACTAGGACTTATTGCTTAGTTTGGAATACTTTAGAGTCTAGCGTCAGAGTGTGTTTGGTTGAAGAGTGGTGATTATTGGACTCGAACACTTAAATGAAGCAAAGAGATTCTTGTTTATTGGTATCATATTCTATCATCTTCTGTCTCTAGAAAACAATTGCGCTTCAGTCGAGCGACGATATGGTTCGAAATCTGGGGTAAACGATCAAACCAGGCATTGCACTCCCCAAAGGATTGGAATGTATTGGATTATATTATCGACCGGCTTCACCCCTGGGGGCGCTGGGTCGTGCTCACGACGACGGCGAGCAATAGCTACACTACTACATACCCTATATGCATGTCACACTGGAGAAAACCACTAGAGGCGAAAAACCTGTGTGGAAGAAGGCAGCGGCGGGGAGGGGCGGAAATGGATGCCCTGAAGAGGCAAAGACCTACTCCCGCAGAGCAAGTGAGATTTTGCATCTCAACTCCGATACCGACTCCTCCGAGTCAATGTCGGGCTCTCTGTCCTCGCGGCGTGGGACCCTCAGGCGAAAGGGGGAATGAGGGGGCTGTAACGTCGGAATGGGTTGTCCTGTGGCCGCTCGTGGTCATTCTGTCTATGATAGGAGTGATGGTCCACGGGCTAGTGTTATGTTTAATCGCGCCTGCAGCTGGGACGTCCTTCTATCTCATAGCTACTAGTTCAGGACATAAGACCAGATACAACACATTGCTATTTATGGCACATTAATAGCGTTGATTGTTGGCTGCAAGTGACCACGGTGTGGTCACCGTTGACTTACCTCGGTCAGCCCCGGCTCCACTGAGGTCAGGTGCACACTTGACCTTATATAAAAGCAATGCTCATCCGCCTTCACGCGCGTGTAGTTTAGAAGGAAGAGCGCTGTTATTCTGTGGCACCCTATTGTGCCTTGAGAGATCCCCTCAGGGCCTTGCGTTCTGCAGGGCAACTTCCAAGTAAATGCTCCCATCCACTTTACATTTTTATACACCCAATATTGATGAATTTTTATTTATTTATTTATTTATTTATCTATTCCATTTTTCGACCGGGTTCACCACTGAGAGTGCTGGGTCGTGCCCACGACGCCAGTGGGCAAGAGCTACCTAAGCTGAGTCTGATACAGGATACAGGTAACGCCGGGAAAGAGCCGCATAGGGTAAAACTGGTGTGGGTTAGAGGAAGTGTAGTGTACTATGTACAGAGAAATGTTTTTGAAGCCGGCCCCAGGTGTGTGCCTCGCTGGGACCTAGTCCAGGTCGTTAGTCTCGGGGTCTGGATGATCAGCACGTTGGCCTTGAGGGCGGGCCCGTTGGGGGGGGAGGGGCAACGGAGGTGTGGTAACGGGATAGGGTGCCCTGTGGAAGCGTCCCAGGCTTGCTCCCAGAGTTCTTCCTGAAGGCCCTGGACTTGAACAGCTGGAAGAAAAACGAGAAGGCCTTTGGGTCTAGCCTGCGGGCAAGTGGTTGTTAAAGGAGGTGAGGGGGGACGAAAAGAAGTGGCCTCTGGACACCGCACCGCCACAGGGGCACTCTTCGATAGCCTCTAGTGTTGATGGTACTCAGAAAACGCTGAATTCATTTTGGGGAAAGATGGAAAAACGCAAGACCATCCGGCGCGGATGATTGCGGACTATTTGACGGAATGGGCTATCAGGTACTTCGAAATTTAGCAATCAGAATCGAGAATGAGTTGTGTGCGGACGAGCAGCTGCACTGTTAGCTCTGAAAGATGAACTTACGAACTATGTTCAGCCAAGAGACATTGAAGGACTCCTGTCCACTTACCGACTGTCAAACATATATCGCTAACATTGGTCATATGTGTACGTATTTACTCGAGGCTCTGGGATGCATGCATGACCTCGAAGTACAGACCGTGTACTGTGAACGATCTCGATCTGCTAGTTTGGGCGTTGTGATCATCGTTCAGACGCGAGTCCCATCTATTGTCTCATGGAATCATTGCTCCTTTTTTAAACTGACTGCTCCGAGTTGTGATGGAAACCGAGGTTCCCAAAACACCACATCGAGTATGACTGATAACACATGTACTCCTTCGGAACGCTAATATCACGATTGTCGTCTTTCGCATCTTTTCCTTGAGCCCCCATGCGTCGACGTTTGTCATATTTCCCCGAGATCTGCAAAAGCGCGTGGTTCGTACACGTCAGCTATCGCGTGGATTCTCGCAGGTCACATGTACCGCGTGCTATGCCCCCTTTGGATGAGACGGAGTGAAACCCCCTCGACAACTCGACAATTTCATCCCATATCTTGTTTAAGTTAGAGACCCTTCATTCAGCATAGGTCTATTACCTATGAGTTTTCAACGCGTCCAAAACATCCCACACATCCTCCTCATCCTACCTCTCCCACCGCTCCTCATCGTCTGTTGCTCCGAGCAAACACGCCAAACGCCCTGAAGCCACATCTCATGGCCCTTTCTCAAAAACAATCTCATTCCTCCGCAACGCTTGGAGCTGCCACTTTGTACTTCCCATAAATATATCGCCACGAAGTGAGGCAGGCATCAAAGGATATGCATCGCGAATATCAGGAACTATATGAGGCTCGGCATGAGCGGTGGTTTTGGCATCAAGAGCAGCTTCAAACATTATTATCCCCTCAACATTTGTCGTGGCATTCCTTGGGGGTGATGTTGCCCTAGATATTGTTCACGGAGGCATTTTGGAGTTCCCTTTGGAAATGATATTTTATCGTGTTGTTTGCTTACAGAGGCGCACTTGGGATCTAGCGGTATACTGCTGTGCTTAAGCTTCCCATCGTCTGGAATGGTCGGCTTGATTTCTGTAGTAGGTTTCGGTTATAGTACTACTAGGGACATATCTCCTTGGGATCATGCTCTGGGCGTATAGGAGAGGGGAGTAGGAATAAGGCAGGACGATCCTGGTACCGAAGGGAGTGGCAAGCGTGGTCAGTCTTGTTAATCGCATGTGTCTGTTCATTTAGCGTTACTTGCGGTAGGAAACTTTGCTCTAGCAATTGAACAATGTAGTGATTTCCAATGTCACTGATCTATAAGTCATTATCCCATTCTGTTAGCTACGTTGCCTTCTGCAATCAATGACTCGACCAGGAGCTGTTGTATTGTAGCAGAAGCAATGAATTGGTAACCATGATAGTCCTTTCTTGGGCCTTGACAAGTTGCCAACCGCTAAGAGAGCTTTGAGTCTGCATGTGACAAGCCAAAACGTGACATAGCCCATGTTGTCTGCAGGCTCATGTCGACTGTAGCTAGTTTCTGGAATACATTAAAAAAGCACATTGGATGTCGTAAAGTCTCCTGTTATTCCAGCCCGGAGCAGCCTATTCTGCTGGAGTTTCCAAGACAGCGAAATTGTGGGCCAGGGGGTGGGGGGAGCGCCTGAACCCCCCAGGGTTTCCTCGAGGTCTTTGACATCCCCCTGTGTCCAAGTAACTTCCACCACTAAAGTTACACAACGGCTTGAAGTGTCAATTTATCTTTTCCGTTTCATATGGTGTCATTTTGTTCCTGAAATCAATAATCATCAGTCCAACCAAACCAGCGCTTCAAATACGTTAGTGTCCGTCTTCGATGGCGATTCTTGTCACATGGAAACAGCAGTCCAAGGAGAAGAAATATCCTCCACAGCTAACATATAGGACACCGGTGACGCAAGAGCTAATCAAGGGAAAGGCATATTTGATTGGCAGAGCCAGGGAATATAAGAGGGTGGCAAGAATGAGTTAGATAACCTTGTCACGCTGAGGAAAACCCCTGAAGATCGCAGGAGACCGCGAGGTATTCACAAAGGCAAAGGGTTTTTATGAAGGGAGCTACTTGAACACGATAAAGGATTTCTCTTGGTTTTCTTCTCCCCAACACAAGGACACTGAGGATCAAGAAAGGTCATTACACGTAGCAATTGACTTCGCTTTGCACCCCACATCGTCAGTGGCCATCATCTAACCCATTTGACCTATTGTCGATCCTGCCTGCACCAGATAAGTCACCCGTTGCAATTCTAGGACTTGCTGCAGATTGGACTACGCACTACTTAAAAAAACTCCTCTGATTCTCACCTACGGCGCATCTCATAATTCTCAGCATTCAGCTGGTCAGAAGAACTTGATACGGCACATGCCTACGCAACTATTCGCTCAGTATACGGCAATAGTATGAGCCTCAATATCGGCGGAACCAAGGTCACCTTTAACAGGCTTAGAAAAGTTGGAGCGAGGGCAATCGCTTGTCCGTCCCGATCACAATGGCCTAGTCTGCCTCTTGGAAGCCCCATACCTGCAGTGACTGACCCAGTACTCGAGGTGGCGTTAAACGCAGTACGATCTATTATGCTCTTCTGCTTGACATTCTAGAGGCTCGCTTGGACCAGATATGCTGCCTGAGAGTGCTCCGGCTTGGGATCTATATTGGAAGGTCGTTCCTCGGAGAGGATAGCAGGAGCGTTTGAGTCGCTGAGGGAATGTGTGGATTGGCTTCATGAGGTCTGTACAGGAGGGAGCATTGAGGAGGTAATTGTCGTCTTTCAAGACAGATGACGTTATGTTCAATTATGGTTTCTCAAAAGTGAAATTCGAGCATTTGGCAGGTTTGAGTGATTTATAGAATATGATGCCAGACACTGCAGTTTTACTGTCAACTAAAATACTCAGAAAAATTGTAGCATCATATATGTCCGGGAGAGACTGGTTCTCAGCTTTACCCTTTCTCTTTAATAGCAGGTGGCCCATGAATCTGTGGGTCAACGTTGAAGCAACCAAGCATTTTTGGGCTGCTAAAAGGTCTCTTCTTAAACGGTCTGGATGTTGGTGTATTATCTCCCTCTTAGTCCCCTCTTCATATCCGTGGGTATCACCTACAGGTGGAGCTGCTTGTTGGATAAAAATGTAAAGTGGATGGGAGTATTTGGTCGATGCCCTGCAGGACAGGCGGCCCTGAGGGGATCTGTCAAGCACAATAGGGTCTCACAGAATAACAACGCTCTTCCTTCTAGACTACACGCGCGTGAGGGCGGATGAGCATGGCTCTTATATAAGGTCATGTTTGCACTGGACCTCAGTGGAGCCGGGGCTGACCGAGGTAAGTCAACGGTGACCACACCGTGGTCACTTGCAGCTAACACTGCTTGTATTGAGCCTTTTTCCTGTTCGTCAGGTAAGTCCGCTTCTCGGCTTGCGCGGCCTCCTGTGACAGGTGATTTTTTCGGTAGTATCATTGGCGTTCTGGCTCATTGCCGTAGTTCCTGCAGGAATTGGAGCCCATAAATCAATGTTTAGGCATCTGTACCTGCGCGGCTGGGATATCATGTTAACGGAGTATGAGGAGAGTTGTGAAGAAGGCTAAGAGAGATACGGACATCACATTTTCACTGGTGTTTGGGTGACTTGTAGGACACTATGGAGGCTATCAGCTATCCATGCTGCTCAGATCATACATATTGTTGCTGAGGCTCCTATGCATTACAAATAAATGGCGTGAAGATATTAGGAAGTCTGGCACTTATAAAGATACGGGGAGTGTGATAAGGGTAAGGGTTAATGTAATCTCGTTTCCCATAGTGGGGCTTAGGCTTGGCAGAAGTACACACTCTCTAAAAAGAGTATAACTTTTAGAGGCCAAGGCCCGGAGCCTAAAAAAAAAACCTCTGCCCCACTTCACAAGTATAATTTCCACCCTTCTTCAAATAACAATACCTCAATTTTCCGCGAAGGGGTGCCCACTCCACAGAAATTTCCGTAGCTGACCAACATCAACCGGAAACACCTGAATCCAATATTAAAGACTTTAACACTTAGGCACAAACTCCTTAACCTATTGACCTCCAGCTTGGCTCTTACGTGCCCAACTTCTAGAGCGCACGACTCCCGCACAGTGCACACCGTGACTGACCATTTAGCCCTCAAACATGGCTCTCATTGTACGCTATTGCTACGCTATGCACAAAATTCGCTACCCCAGAGTGTAGCTAACCAGTCCCTTCATAATACTGGTTGTCGCTACAGGCTGTAGGTCAGTTAACCTCAACAGCCTCCATGGCCCACAACTTGGCACAGTGCCGTATCTTGATAAAGAAAGCCGTTTCCTCCGGTGCGAAGGTAGCCCCCTTCCCCCATCCTAGATGACTAATAACGCACTTAACGGGGATTATTATGTGAAACACAGGCCCTATTTCTCCCAGAAGCAACAGACTATATCGCTAGCAACGGTGAGGAGACTGTCAAGCTTGCGCAGCCCGTCGACCAAAGCGAATTCGTTCTCGGACTTCGGGAAGAAGCTCGCCGAGAGAAGCTTCCAATCCATGTTGGTATTCATGAGCCCGGAAATGACAGAAGGAAAGTTAAGAACACCGTGCTATGGATTGATGAGCGTGGGGAGATTGCCCATCGCTACCAGAAGATCCATCTCTTTGATGTGGACATCAAGGATGGTCCTGTTTTGAAGGAGAGCAGGTGAGTTTCTCCCAGTTGACGTACGCGCTATATCCTCACTGACACCAAATTACTCCAGTTCCGTCGAAAGGGGCAACAAAATTCTGCCCCCGTTCGACACTGCGGTTGGTAAGGTCGGTTCAGCAATCTGCTTTGATGTAAGCCACTGAAGTCTTCCAAATACCGTTCTTCGATTGCTAACCGCTCTTAGCTCCGCTTTCCAGAAATTAGCCTTTCCTTGAGGCGCCTTGGAGCAGATATCATCACCTACCCCTCCGCTTTCACCGTCCCTACTGGTAAAGCACACTGGGAGGTATTACTCCGAGCTCGTGCGATTGAGACGCAATCCTATATAGTTGCTGCTGCGCAGGTTAGTATCGCCCTACTGGGCGGATCGACTTCTCCACCATCTGACATTATTCATAGGTGGGCAAGCACAACGATAAGCGCATCAGTTACGGCCACAGCATGATTGTTGATCCCTGGGGAAAGATTGTTGCTCAGTTAGGTGGCGATCAAGGGCTGGAGCCAGAGATCGCTACCGCTGAGATCGATCATGAGTTGTTGAGGAAGGTGAGGATGGAGGTGCCGTTAACTAGAAGAACGTAAGTCTATTAGAATCCTGTGTTTTTAAGTGGCTACTAACAATGTACAGTGACGTGTATCCCGAAGTGTAAGATTCACCATAATGTCCTTCTATCAGATTGCTCAACTCTGTCTTCATTATACGTCTTGACGCCTTTCAGTGTTAAAGCGAGTTGATCGAGTTGATTCTGCAACATCCAACTGCCTTACATAACAAGAGCATAGCATTCATGTACTCCATATCCAGCGACGTCTTCAGTCGTCAATTGTTTGTTAGAATCAACACAGACCTTTTTTTCGACTAGTTACTCTTATGGACAAGAGCTAAAAATGACTTTGATCACATGGACCACCACTTGAAGCAAACCGAATTAATTAGGCCACAGATTATCTCAAGAATTGAATACAGCACGTTGGGGATGTTGGTAGCAGAAGCAAATAAACGGTTGCCACCAATATTTTTTATCAATAAATCTCGACTGGCATGGCAATGAGAACAGCTCATCCGGGGGAGTGAGAGAGGACAGCCTTTCACAACATGACCTTTCTTCATTCAGACATGAGCCGCCCAGGCAATCTCCTGATTATGCCACTTCGAGTGCCTCCTCCTCTATTACGCTTCATTCTCCGGTATTGAATTAGGCATAAGAATCTCCCATGAATGTCCTTGACAGCTTGAACGCAGACTACCTGTTACCGTACTTCACTTCATACATGTATTAACCTCTCTCCCCTAGCCCACTGAGCCACACGATGGAATATGAGGAAATAGCCCATTCTCTCGATGGTAATACAGTGTAAGGACAAACGCAAATCATCATCTCTGATCATTCCCGAACTGCAAACACTCCTCCGCCGAAAGTCATTTGTCTGGATCATCTTCTAGCATTTGTATGATCAGATCAACCACCTTGTCATCAATCCAGCATTTGGATTTCTTTGTCGTGTAGTATAACTCCTCCGTCAAACCAATTATATATCCTTCTCCCAATTCATTCCATCTGCCTTCTTTGTCATCCCTAGAAATGATATGGATCAGAGGAGGACTATCGGTACACATGTTGACCATGAGATTTGTCGCAATGATCCCGCCAGACAGATATCAGCATTTGAGCTGTATCTCTTCCACATTTCCTTCCACAACCCGGGTGGGTTAAGTGTACTTGGGGAGCCATTATAAGTACAGCTCCGCACCATACATTCCAATTGCAACGATGAGACTCTTCCAAGCCAAAATCTGCGACTACAACAGTTAGGTTGTCATTGAACACAATATTTTCGCTTTCCAAGCCATATGCATGATGTCGCAATTGTGAAAAAAGCGAATGCCGTTCAAGATGTGGGCAACTACTTTGTTGGCCAGGGACTTGCGATAGCGCGGATTCAGGTCGTTTCCGGAGTACCGATGGGAAAGTCTTATAGTTCAGTTGGAATGTTGTTAGGCATATCCTAGTGTCAGAGTCTTGTGCTAAAAACCAAACAGGAAAGGTGTTGCGTTTTGATAATTAAGTTCACAAGTAGGTACACACGGCGGTCGATCAGAACTTAGTAAATCTGTGTAATCTTGACTGAATATCTAGCCATTTCATACCTTGAATGGTACATTGAATTGAATTGAATTGAATTGAATTTCGACCTATCTCACCCTCGAGGGTGCTTGGTTTTGCCCGCGACGGCTACGGGGAAGAGGTGATTATGGGCTGCTTACACTATACTCTTTACACGCGGGAAGAAAGTTGGAGGGAAAAAACGGTTTGTTACTGTGAGAGGATATTATCAAGAGAATGGAGAATGAGGTTAGATGGGGAGAATACCAGAAATGTCTCAATGGCACAGACCGCCGAGAATCAACATCCTTGAGGTTTGGGAATCAATGCCTCTTGGCGTTGAAGAACGCCTCCTCAATGCGTGGGGCTATTGAGCACAGATAGCTGGGTTTATTGGATCACAACTCCATTTCACTCTAATTTTTTGACTACACGGGAGGCCCTCTTCCAGATTAAGCCCTTGTTGGTCATGAAATTAGGGAAGGTACTTGAATAGATTGGGGTGCCTGAGCTATCATATACCGGAGTATAACATGCAGTTTTTGGCGATAGGGATGGAGAAGTACAGCACGTTGCATGAGAGGAATGGGATATCAACAGCGGAGGATTCGGAGTAAGCGCCCGTGGTTAAGGCGGGCTTTATTGAGTATTAAACTATGGCAACGTCCCAAGTACAACGGAGAAATATGGAGCTTAGATTGAATGGAAGAGATAGGGAGATGATGAACTCCCAGGCTCACAGTTTGACAATCGTGGTATTGTCATGTCCAGCCGCCGAAACAAACATCACTTCGGTTTACCTATGTCCGTCAGTGTTAAGGCGCAATATATCTATCAAGTAATCGTAAAACTCCCCATACCTATCAGGGGAATCTTTCAGAAATACGGATATCCACAGCAACAGCACCTTAACACAGGAAACGAATAGGCGATTGTAAGTACGTGAACTTCTCCAGGAAGAGGAATAGCGACTTTGGAAAGTTAAGTAATTATTTTGTCTGCGTCAATCGAACAAAGGGTGTGGAAGTTGGAGGAACGATAAGAGCGTAAGACTTGCGAAACGTAGCGTATGGAGTAGAACTTAGGTTTGTGCGCGGGTTCAATGCTAGCGACGCAAGTTCGACCTGCTCGAAGCTGCGTACAAGTTCGTGCCTTCTGCTCTCATCTATCAATCTATTATCCGGTATAGTGTAACGGTTAACATATCGCGTTTTCACCGCGAAGCTCGGGGTTCGACTCCCCGTACCGGAGATGTTAGCCCCAGCTGGAGAACCAGCTGTTTAATGCATTTTGTCGTCTTTTTTTCGCTTTCTGAGGCAAATTATTTTTATGTTTATTTTGCACGAGTTTTCTTTGCATCTTTTCTTCCATCATCCATCTTCTGATGGAAGCTGAGGTGGCGTTAGGTTGGAATTGTGTAAGTTACCGTATTGCTTATCAAAATTTACAGCCTGCCAACTTTTTGCCGGCAGGCGATTCCCTCGCCAGACAATCGTCTCCACATATTTTCTCTCTCGGATGACCCTCCCCAGTACCATTTCATGGAATCGATTACACTTGATTGATGCGAGTCACCTCGAATCTATTTCTTATCACAGGACATTTCTTACCACAGGACAGCCAAATATCTGCGCTTTGGCTTTCGGTGGAGCAAAGTAACAAAGCAAACAAGAGCTGAGGATGGCTGATCCGTTTGGCTGATGCTACCTTCGCCACACCCTCTCGATTCAACGCAACACTGAGGCAGATGCGCCAATATTATCGCAATTTGTGCTCTCCTATGCCTTGTGCTATATACATCGAATATGACTAACTCACAACCACCCCCCAACCTCAACATATCCTAACATCTGGAATAACCCTGTCCGGCAGACGATGCGGTGCCTTCACGCCTGTATCTCATTACCGCAGTCATCACTTACCTCCCGTCAAGCGCCTGACGAACGTATTCCAGCAGCAGAGGCCCAACACGATCAGCAATGATCCGGTCGCCGCTCAGCGACGGGTGTACACCATCGCGCAGGTCGGACCACGCGTTGAAGCCAGTGTAGCAGTCGGCGATGACGATGGGAGACTCGGTGCTGTTCATGCTGCGCGCCCACTCGGGGATACGCGCGTTGAGCTGCTCGATGCCCTGGTTGCCGAAGGAGAGGGGAATGACGAGGTCGACCTTAGACGTGTCAGTATGCGTTTTGGTACGGGAATGGGATACGGCTTACGATGATCTTCATCTTCGGGTTCGCCGCACGCATGATATTAACCATCTTGGTGTACGCGGCAATGATATCGTTCGTGCTTCTGCCACGGAAAACATCGTTCGTGCCGAGCATGAACATGACGATGTCGGCAGGCGTGTTGCGCAGCCAGCCCTCGAGATAACTGTTGGCGATGTCGATGGCCAGCCAGCCCGAGTGACCCTCGTGGCTTTGGTCCCAGTTAAATGTCTTGGGCTGGCAATTCTGCGGGTTGCTGTACTGCGAGCCGACGTAGTCGACCTTGTCGGCCAGACCCGCGTCGGCCAGCTGGTCCCAAACGAAGGCACGCCAGCAGGTGATTTCGGTGATGCTGTCACCGAGGGGCACTGGGAATGGTGTTAGTCGCGTCCTGGACGAGAGCGCCGGTAAGGGAGGGTATACTGATCCTGATCTTCTGGTTCTGCCGCTCGGCAAGCTCCTTCTGCACCGGACTGGCGGCTACCAGGCCGGCGAGGGCAAGGCAAAAAAGGTTGATGAGCTGCATCTTGCTATCTTGTGACACTCACAGTACCAGAAGATCTTGATGATCCGTTCTCGGGGGCTCTGCTGCAGATTTGCTACGCCTTCTCCCCAAAGACACCACTTTCCCCTTATATGAGCAGCAATCACCCTCTGACTGCCCTCCGCTCTTCATATCCTGTAGACCCCATCGCCCATACCATTCGCGCCCTTCCATTCTCCCTCTTCCATGACCTTTCTGGAAAATATCTGGAATCCGTTTAAATGGGGCGCTTAATGTTCATCTTTATTATCCGGCCAGCACTAAGTGTTTCCTGTCCTCCGGGCGCAACGCTGTCGAAGGACCTTAAGCCCCCATCTCTTCCCTATCACCGTTCACGTGTTCATCTACCGGCTTAACGGAGACGCCCAGAAGTTCTCAACATAGCCATTGCTAACGCGGTGGACGTCGCAAGCGAGGCATTCAACTCTTCATTGTAGTATAACGAAACTTTTTGCGCTTGACCGGACCAGACCACCATGCTGTTCCGAGTTGGGAAAGATGTTGCTTTGAGCCAGGGAGGGAACTATATACGTGTGCCGAAGATTTTGTGCGGATTTAATGTAGACGCAATTTATCCCGGGTCGTCGGCGTTGGATCTCGGATGTTTGCGGTGCGGAGGGTTGCGTCGACGAGGCGGAGGTGAAACATTGTGTGGGCCGCGCAAGAATTAGAGCTTGTAAATTGTTCCTACAGTTGCCCTACGTATGTGTTCCGTTTGCTGGGGAGGTATGACCCAGTTTGTAGAGATATTGAACCATGCTGCTATATATCATACCGCCTTGGTGAGGGAATCTCTGGGCTTCATCGACGCCTGGGATATTTCGGATCACGCTCCGTCGATGTAGCACACCGATAACATACCAAACAGACCAAAAATGTTTGCCTGTAAAAATAGCGAAAAATGGACGCTGACAACTGTGAGATTCGAACTCACGCCTCTGAACGAGAGTGCATAACCCCCATCCATAGGGGAAGGAGGAAATCTCCTTGAGTGCACCGCCTTAGACCACTCGGCCAAGTTGCCATCTGTGATGATAGAATGTTCCAGGCTGACTTTCTAGCTTTCCAGGACCAACCAAAAGTTGCACCGTGCGAACAAGAGGGGCCAAATGTCTGATGAAGGATGGAGGGAGGTTTTGTATGAACTTGAGGTGGCAGAAACGTCGAAGTGCTTCACATCTCAATTTGCTGCGAGCAATATCAACAAAACATGAGAGAAACATGGCAATTGTGCTTTGCAATGTCGAGAAATGAAGGCTTTCCAGGGAAGAAGAAGGCAACTGATCGAATTTATTGGAAAAAAAGGACCGAAGGTTCCTTGCAGTTGGTGAAATGTTTACATCGGGGACGGTTTGACAGCCTGAAGCTCGTTTCTCGTCCCTGAAGACGCATGCTCGGAGGAAAGGTCCGATTAAGCATGTCGTGATTGGGGCGCTTGTATGCTGTCTACTTATCTTTTCAAGGCCACCAAGTATGCATGGTAGAACTGTTAACGCAAGAATTGGCAACATAGCTATGAGCTAGACGTGGAATGGCAACTCTATGACGAGACTTACTCCAAGATGTGAAAAGTCCGCAACAATGAGCCGGAAGAAAAACGTGTTCTCAGTTAAATTCAAGCAGGATATCACAACGGATACTATATATATCAACATCAAGAGTGTTCGCGCTTCCGCTCCGAAGACAAAACCTCCCGGTAACACAAGACCACATGACAAATATCCCAAAGATCCTCCAAGACACCCCATCCAGACCCAAAACCCTATGAGTATCACCTGAAGTCAGCTAACTTAAGTTTGCTGAGGAAAAAGCCAATCCCTACTCGGTTCCATCATAAAATCCGTGATATTAAACTCCCCGGGCGGCACGACCTGTGGGCCTTGCACCACGGCCGCAGACCCGTTGACTGCCTCCTCCTGTCCCGCGCCCGTTGGGGCACTCGCTACCGTGGCAGGCCCTCCTCCCCCGTCAGCTCCGGCCGAAGTCTGGGCTTGCTGCTGCCCGACAGGCAATCGGGGCACATTAAAGAAGTCAAACACATCCAAATACTCGAGCTCGTTCGGCTGAGGCGTCCTCGCCGCAGGAGTAACACTCGCGAAGCGGCTCTGCCATCCGCTCCCCGAGACACCAGGACCAGGACAGGCGGAGCCGATAGCATGCCCGATCCCAGAGGTCCCAAGTCCCCCGACATGTGCAGCTCCCCCGTTGCCTATCCTCGGCTGCCGGCTGATCAACCAGTCGAGGTCGAACGCCGTACGACGCATATCCGCTAGGATGGCCACACTGCTCGGCGTCTCGCCCCGTCCCTGGCGCTCGCTGTCATGGTATTCGTCCAGCACCCTGCATAGCAGGTTACAATACCTGCTCGCAATAGGCCAATACCTTCCCATCTCGCGCAGGGTATCCACAAACGGAGCGATCTGGTTTTGATCCAGCTTACGCTCGACAGTGCTGCCATGGACAAGCAACACGCGGGCGGCGACCCATAAGGTAAAGGCAAACGGAGGACCGAGCTTGGTGAGCAGGTTGTTGCTAACAACGAACTGTCGTATTTTGGCTATTTCTGCGACAGCCCCAAGGCAACGCTGGGATGCAAGGTAGGAGGGACGAAAGATGGGGGAACGGGTGGTAGGGTAGGCGGCAGAGGAGTGTAGACGAATGACGGCTGTATGGAAAGTCGCGTGAAGCATGATCCAGCAGCAGTTGATGGACTTGGCGGCGGCCGGCTGGTAGAGCTTATCCATGTTACCGTACTCAGGAGGAAGCTCGTACTTCCAGGTCGCCAACTGGCTGTCGAGCTCCTTGTAGCGCATCTGCCAGGTCTCGACGTCGGCCAGGGCGCTGATGTCGACAGGCCGCTTCAGAAATTTGTGGATATTAGAGAGGATCCCAAGAATCTCAATGTAATAACTGAAGGCGCCCAAGTTTTCGGGCTTGTCGATGAAGGTCCCTGAGGGAGCACCGCATGGGCCACCAGGCTTACAGCTGTCATCAGCAGGACTGAAGCAGCGGGTCTCAACCTTTTGATTCTTGAGCCAGAGGTCTTCACGACATGGTAGCTTGCGGTCAATCTCCCGGTCATCGACACCAAACTCAAATGCTGTCGCGATCGTCGCGTAACGATCAAGGAGGTACACCATCCAAAATAGCCGCCGCCTCGACTCCTCCTCGATAAAGTCACGGGGCTCTGGTAGGATCATAGCTCGAAGTGTGTAGATGGATGTGTAACTTGGGGCAACCATGAAGGAGTTGCTCTCGACAGCTAACCCCAATTGCACAACGGCCCGTGTGATCAAGGCCATGACATTCCATCCAGGTGGCCCGTGACTTGTCCCGCAGAGATCCAGTGCCAAGATGACAAGGGCCTGAAGCGTCTTAACAGACAGGTGTTCCATGCCATAAAGGAGCACCCGCTGTTTCGACGAGTCGTGAAAGCGCTGCCGGCTCTCATCTGTGAGACGGGGGTCTGTTGAGTATCGTAGGGTCGTCGCGACGATAGCATGCAGAAGAACTTTATCCTCCTCATCTATCATGGATTGTCCAAAGAATGTTTCGAATGTGTGTTTGCGGTGTAGAATAGGACACCATGTGTTGATATGTTTGAAGTAGAGATCAACTAGGGAGTACAGGAGGTCATAGGGTGGTAGCTCTGCTTCGTGAACGACATGACTAGATCGTTGCGACACAGTAGCAGGAGACTGCAAGGTAGCAGCAACAGAAGGAGCATTCCCATAGTACTCCTCTCCTGATGTACTGGGACCAGCAGCACCCGATAATGCGGCTGCGGGCTGCATATGAGTTCGAGGTGAGAGACCTGTCGTAGAGTAGCTGTCTTGCGGCACCTGCGCAGCAGATGGCTCGTAATCAATGGACCGAGAGGACTTTTGGTGCCCGTACATGTTCGCTTCAGGGTGTGGAGTAGGTATCGGATCGCTGTTCGGCCTGGAAAACATTGACGACGGCATTGGATCTTTCGGAGTCCCCTGCTCGCTCGGTTGACTCCCCTTGATACTCGGAGGATTCGGTTGTGCCGCAGACCCAACATTGCTGCCGAGACCGCTCCCAGCATTCATGTTAGAGGTCAAGACCTGCAATATCTCAGCATGCTGGCGTAACTTCTCCTCGAGCTTATCGAGGCGCTGCTCCAGCTCACGACCATAACCGGCACGTAGCCCAGGCTTTTTCCTCTCCTTATATTCGCAAGGGGCGCCATTGCGAGCGCACCATCCACAGGCAGGCTGTCCGCGATCGCATTTCACCTGGGCCGGTCAGTGATGTTGACTGCTTAGGGATCGACAGTGGAAGCCTACTTTTCGCTGCTTGCATAGCTCACATCTGGGACAAAGGACTTAACATTAGCATGGGCTTGGCTTAGGGTGCAATTCGGCAGAGCAGGTGATAAGCCCCTGACAGCACAGAGTGTTGACAGCGACGACAAGCGACAACTGCGCCAAGGAATTGAACTTACGACACAGAGAGGGGCCGCTTGCGCTTGCCTAGCCGAGTGGCCTCGTTCTGGTCATCTTCATTGTTATCGGCATCGTCGGCACTCTGTTGGGCAGCATCATCGCTCTCGGCGGGGTCAGGGGGAGGACGGGCGGGATGGTGTTGTGGGTGATGCTGCGCCGATTGCGGCTGAGGATGAAGGGAGTTCGGGTGACCATTGTATCGCGCAGCCTGGGCCTGCATTGTGGCCTCTTGCATCCTGGCTTTTGGCTAGAGGGCCAAAATAGGGGGTGGGCCAGCAGCAGACAACGGAGTACGCGTGACGTCGACGTTGATGACTGACCGGCGAGACACACCACCACACCAATACACCCAATACAGCACGGGAGAGACAACAACGGAAAGCAGCGGCGGCGGGACTCCGGCGACGCTGAGAGAGACAGCTCACAGGGCCGATGAGGAGTGGAGCGCGTCACCTCAGCAAGCGGCAGGCGTTCCAGCACAGTCGGTGGTGCTTGCGGTGTGGTGCGTGATCCCGTCAAGCTGGGCCGAACCGAACCCGAGCACCGAGCTTCAGGTTGCGGTCAGCAGCGTCAGCGGACGGCTGTCTCAACCACTCTCGGGTAAGAAGTACAAGGAGAAGGCCGAACAAGAGACCCTACGGACGGGCTCGGGATAATGTTGAGTAGAGGAGCGAGGTAGTAAGAGGAGAGACTTCGGCCGTCCTCGTACTGTGTGCTGCAATTGCTTTGATCCGATTGGAAGACAATTTCAAATGGTCCGTGCGTTATGGGGAATTGCAGCTGCGGAGAACGTGGGGTAGGAAAGATCTCACGGAACTTCAGGCCAGCGCTGCCTTTCAGGAAGCCAGAGGGAGCGGAGAGGGGCAAAAGGCCTACTTGTCGCATCTCACCTTTCTCCTGAGCTTACCCAATTCCAAACATTATTTTTGCTTCTTAGGAGGACGTTCTGCGGCCAACACGCACGACATACGACGTTATCTGTTGGCAGCGTCTGGTTCGGCTTGTGCGTGGCAGGTGACCATGTTTGCTTGCGACTGTCCCGCCCGCCGCAGAATCCCCAGACCTGTAATCTGCAGCCTCGTGAACTCAATGAGTGGTCGCTGACGATTTTGATCCTTGCATTTGCTTGGCCAAGTACAAGGGGCTTCTGCTCCAGATTGCTCTGTGCAACCCTCCAGCGTCCACTATCCAAGCATCTTGCGGCTTGCCGAGTTGCAGAGTCGTCCACTGCCGGCATCCAGCCATGCCATGAGATCTCGCACAGTTATGTTCGGGTCTTTCGTGATGAGATGGGACAGTTTTGACCATAATGGGTGTCAAATGATATGCATCTTCTCTTCTGCGCTGTAACCAAACTCCGTTGCTCCAAGACATTAACAGCCTTATTGTTCGGATAACACGAGTCTTACTCGAGCGACATTCTCCCTGAGGCCTGACCACAGAACAACACAATGTGGTAAGGACATATTTAAACCCATATTTACAGTATTGTTGATGTCGACGCCAGCCAGTCACTTAGAGCCAAAGATCAAGTCACAGCTTAATCGTGCAGTGACAAGGGGTCACAAGGCAGGCGAGCACAACTTGCAGATAATGCTCCTATCCGTCGAATCACCCTCCACTCCCTTTGTCCAAGTGTTTTTCCCGCTGCTCTAGCGCGGGCTCGTGGCTCGCCATTGACGGGAACCCCAATCATCAGCGCCAAAAGAATATGTAGATGCGACCAATATCAGGGCCATGCAGATGCGGAAGTGGGGTTGAAGTCCAAGGATACCAAGAAAACCTATCACCAGCATAGTCATCGCGGGTAATAACAAAGAAACATCAGAGGGATGCCGCCCAGATTTTCTATCGTCGGGTGATCAAAGCCCGATCGTTGTTGATCAATCAATGTTAAGCCCCACAAGCCAAGGAACATCATGGGCAACTGATTCAAAGCCTGGGCTAGGTATAAAAGGCTTGATCACCAAACAGTACTCATCCAGGCAGCCTGGCCTTGTGATACTTCGCTATCTTATTCATTCCTGAGGTTTGCATTGATCCACCAGGTCCTTGACGGACAGCATGCCCGGGCTGCGAAGCTTTCCGACCATCAAGACTGTGCACTCCTACGTCATTCAGGGCGTCGGCTCTGGTAAGTGCGCACACAACAAGTTCCAATTGGACATTTATACTGATAGACTAGGTGGCGACTATCACAATGTAGCGGGGGGTCACTGGTACGGGCTCTCATCATCATAGTTGAGGGATATTGTGGTAACTCTGCTAGGCTTGTCGACTCTCCCATCTCAACCCCCTGCTCCCGTTGGGAGAAGTACAGGACATCTCGGACAAGCTGGGGCATCAATGTCCTTGGGTCCTTCTTTGTCGAGATAGAAGCCAGTGATGGCACCGTCGGCTTTGCGACTGGCTTCGGCGGTAAGTCTCCCTCACTTGTCACACATACACAGAGTGTTTAATGGCCTCCGTGTGGTTCAGGTCCCCCAGCATGCTGGCTCATCCACCAGCACTTTGAGCGCTTCTTAATTGGCGCCGATCCACGAAACACGAACATCATTTTCGAGCAGATGTACCGCGCTTCGATGTTTTATGGTCGCAAAGGACTCCCTGTCGCTGTCATATCGGTAATTGACCTCGCCATTTGGGACCTGCTAGGAAAGCTCCGTGGGGAACCAGTCTACAAGATGATTGGAGGGGCATCACGAGACCGTATTAACTTTTACTGCACAACCCCTGACTCGGCGGCCGCCAAAGCTATGGGCTTCTGGGGTGCCAAGGTCCCCCTGCCTTACTGTCCAGAGGAGGGTCCAGAAGGCCTCAAAAAGAACGTCGAGTTCCTGCGCAAACACCGCGAGGCCGTCGGTCCGGACTTCCCTCTCATGGTCGACTGCTACATGTCTCTCAACGTACCCTACACCATCGAACTAGCAAAGGCCTGTTTAGACCTCAACATTCATTGGTGGGAGGAGTGTCTCAGTCCTGACGATACCGAGGGTTTTGCGCTGCTCAAGCGAGCACATCCCACTCTCCGTTTCACGACCGGTGAACACGAATATTCTAGGTACGGGTTCCGCAAGCTCATAGAGGGTCGTAACGTGGACATTCTACAGCCCGACGTTATGTGGGTGGGCGGTATGACTGAGCTGCTGAAGATTGCTGCCATGGCTGCTGCATACGACATACCCGTTGTACCCCATGCCAGCGGCCCGTACAGCTACCACTTCGTTGTCAGCCAGCCGAATACCCCGTTTCAGGAGTACTTGGCCAATTCTCCTGATGGCAAGTCAGTCTTTCCTGTCTTTGGGGATTTATTCCTGGATGAACCTATCCCCACCAAAGGCTTCTTGACCACGGCGGATTTGGACAAGCCTGGATTTGGACTGACCGTGAATCCGACCGCGAGGGCGAAGCTTATCCAGCTTGGAGACACAAGCTTATCTGCCATCCCTCCTGCCCCACATATTCCCAATGGCCATGCCAGGAATCACGAGGACAAGAGCAAAAAGTAAACGGGATTCCTGGGTTTGGCGTCTTAGGTTTTTATCATCTTTTTCCGACATACCTCTGGTAGTTTTAGGATCTAACGAGTTAATTGGCGCAATGAAATCTCAGACCAACCTTGCATTCGTCTGTCCTTTTGACCTTCAAAGTCGCTTCTGACTCAACCTTGCTCCAGACCCTTGCAGACTGACGTCATCTGCTCGGGGCTCAAATACCGAGCGCGAACTCCCCCCTTATCTTGCAGGCACACGGCCGCATCAATCTTCACCGCCAAATTGCCGCGGACTTCATCTACGCGGCTAAGCAGAGTAACAAAGACATGCATTTGTCTACCAGTGCTGCAGTGCGTGAACACGTCATCCTACAGTACCTTAACAGCACCTCGCTGTAATTGATGCCGAGATGTGGGTCCCAACCATATGGGTCTTCGGAACAGCATCGTCATAAAGTTAACCTCGTGATCTTCGTGTTCAGATGCCCCTGAGATGTTTTTGTTTACTTTTTGATTGAGTCTTTTTTTGAGATGTTTGAAGGTGAAACACCCCAAAGCCAAGTGACTACAGCTTAAGATACTCCACGAGATTCTTCAGATGTGCCGTCTACGGTTACATTCCCGAAATTCCGGCGCCGGTTGAACGAAGCTCTGCACAGTTGGCAGATGACGACTTTGGCTGACGCGATTCCGGATGACAGATTTCGTCCATTGTGTGGACAATGGAGACAGGAGTGCTTGAGGAAATGAGCTGACGCGGGAGATGGAGCGTGTATAAAAGGTGGGGTTGTGGAATAAAAAAGGGCAGGTCTTGCCTCGACCTTTCGGCTGCCACTGCCGTGTTTTGAGCTCAAATCCTATCACCTATTTGGGGATACAAAGAAAAGCAAGGAGAACGAAAGACTTTCATAGTTATACAATGACGCCAACCGGCCTTCTCCAAGGCAAAACGGCGGTTATCACTGGCGGTACAACCGGCATTGGCCGAGCTATCGCCCTCGCCTATGTCGCGCAAGGCTGTGATGTGGCAGTCAATCATCTTGACTTACCAAAGGACAAGGCCCATCTAGAGTCTCTGCTTGCTGAAGCTGCTGCCGTGAAGAAAAGGAACCCCTCTGCTGGTCGACTCGCTTACTTACCTGGCGATGTTAGGGATCCAAGCTCGGGACGGCAGCTGATCGAGTTTGCTTTGAGGGAGTTTGGCAAAGATCGGTTGGATGTGTGTGTTGCAAACGCGGGGATCTGTACCTTTGCAGATTTATTGGGGGAGGAAAGCGAGGATGAGGAAGGCCATGAGGAAGAGCATGAGGGAACCGTGAAGGTCAGTGGCCATAACGGGGCCAATATGTACTCAACCGGTGTCAACGGCAACTCCCACAGAGTCAACGGACGGTTGGACTGGGTCAACGGCTACACAAACTGCCACAAGAACGGCTCCTCTCATCACAGAATCGCTCCGCTAACCCTCGATCTCTACACCAACACCGTCCGTACCAACCTCGACGGCACCTTCTACCTCTTGCGCGCTGCAGCCCGCCAAATGGCCCTCAAACAACATCCCCCCGGCGGCTCCATCATCGGCATCTCCTCCATCTCAGCCCTTGTCGGCGGCGGCCACCAAATTCACTACACCCCCACCAAAGCCGGCGTCCTCTCCCTCATGCAAAGCGCTGCTGTGGCGCTGGGCCGACACGGCATCCGGTGCAATGCCATCTTGCCTGGTACTGTGTACACACAGTTAAACGAGGAAGATTTGAGAGATGAAGGGAAGAGGGCTTACATGCAGGGGAGGATACCGCTGGGGAGAATTGGAGAACCGAGGGATGTGGCGGGCCCGGCGGTGTTTTTGGCCTGTGAAGAGTTGAGTGGGTATGTGACGGGAGCGCAAGTGCTTGTGGATGGGGGACTGTTTGTGAATCTGCAGTAACAAGTTGGACTGTTTTCTTGTGCTAGGGCACTAAAGGGAGTTGAGGGGCTCATAGCGGGTGTCGGTAATGGCCTGTCGATCACCCTGAATGGAGTGGAGAAAGATCCTCGCCGCATTCTGTATTTTCGGTTCACGTATGATCTTTAGATTGAGCTGACTGCTTAAGAGGATGAAATATCGATAGAGTTAGGGACACTTAAATGAGATAGAACACCACCATGTTCCCCTTGCGAAGCTTTACCACTTCTCTGCCCATGAATCGGTCGCAGTATGCCTCTCCCACAAAATGCAAGCATAATCTGATTCTAGCGTTTTCACAGGTCTGATGATGAACGGTTGCTTTCTACCACAGAAGCCACAACAAGTTCTTCAAGCTTCGTGCCGTATGGGCTGATGTCTAGGCGTCCAGACGCTGTAACGAAGGAAATCATATGGTCCAAACAATCCATCGTCTCCCTATACCTCTGCCCCTCCTTTTCGTCTTGGCACAAACCATCTCATTTTGATGGCACTTTCTGTCATTCTTCCAGACGAACCTCCTCCACAGTGGCCACTTATTTTTCCTCATTCGCCACTCCAAGGGTCTGGTACCCACCCGTCTCAACCAGCCTCTGTCTGTTTCTCGCCAAATCTATGGAGAGGTGCGCCCTGGAGACTTTAACTACATCCTTCAAGTCTTTGGAGCTATCAGAACGTTGTCCTGAAAAGTCTCCAATTAACCTCCAATTCCAAAACAGGATTTCGCAAGTTACAGCTGGCGGCTTGTCCTAGCATCCTTCAGCACAATCTTTAGCTCCTGCCATTTTGCTACGAAGATACGGGAGTTGTGTGTCTCATGTTTGATTCCTAACCCTCAAGATGCCTGAATTGTCCAAGTCCATTAACCATAACGGACCCATGGCTTTTAGAAATTTTGACTCTCGGTATTAAGGCGCCACTTTGTTTCAAACAGCTTTCTTTGTACTTCCCCACTACAAAAATTACCAGAGTTCACCAATGACGGAGCTACCGTTAGCATTTCCGGTTCATGAACTTCCCGCTAGCTGTTTTGGAGAACATCAGGCAAAGCACAGTCCATCTGAGTCAGCGCTAAAGTCAAAGACATCTTCAGACTAATACGTTTTGAGTTCACATAAATCTCTTTACTCGACTTAGGTACATACTTTAGTTTGAAAGAACGCAGATTCCCATCGTGTGCTGCTTTCATGTTAGCCGCAAGTGACCACGGTGTTGTCACCGTTGACCTACCTCGGTCAGCCCGGGCTCCACTGAGAGCAGGTGCACACTTGACCTTATATCAGAGCCATGCTCATCCATCTTCACGCGTGTGTAGTCTAGAAGGTAGAGCGTTGTTATTCTGTGGCACCCATTGTGCTTGACAGATTCCCTTGGGGCCGCGTGTTCTGCAGGGCAACGCACAAGTAAATACTCCCATCCACATCCACCATTTCACTTCAGACAGCCCTTGGCGCTTCTTGGATAATCTTCACTCGGGAGGAAATATTGGTCATATCCCTCAAGTAAGGTTCAAGTAGCGATCCAGATCAAACAGCCATCCCATTGTTCATATATGTTGTCAACTTTCGGGGATGGGGGGCCGCAATAGGTAGACCAAGTAGCAGCAACCAAACCACATCGTAGCTGAGGGTTAGCGGCACTTGACGAGTCCACTGCTGCATCCCCTTTGGTGACCAGACATGGTAAAAATTGCCATACCCTCTCAAGCATAATACAATGTTGGCCAGGGTTCAACGGCTGAAAGCATGCCGCTTAAGTGGAAAAGTTAAGTGGAAAGGTAGATATAAGCCAAACAATTATGCTGAAAGCAGCGTCAAAACGTCAATTCTTGCCTTCGTTTCTGTTCACTACGTTTAATGAAAAAGAGAGTATCAAACACCTGCACCCTCAATCGTTCTTCAAACGCTATCTTAGACTTCCACTCTCTATACCTTATTACTATGGAAACCATCCGTGGTAAGCATAAGATGTCCGGAATCTTATTCCTATACAATCCAAGTGTAGAAATCAGCGAATGTTGTCCTGGAGCTTCACAAGGGGAGGAGGCTTGTTTGATCGTGCATACCTGTTTCTTTTTATAAGACCGATGGGCCGCCTGAAGAGTTTTATTCAACTGCGACGCAGCGTACCGATGATGTGAAGAGCATGGGAAATGTGTTAAGATATACTTAATGTTAAAAGGTAAGCTACAATCGGCACTTGCTAACCGTCAGAGCACTTCATTTTCCTCAAAGTACATATACTTATGATCCTCAGATCCCAAGCTCGCGGAATGAAGCTTGGAAGACTCTGACGATCCGTTCAGAAACATCTTCGCTTATCTCGTGCACTACCGTAATGCGATATGAAGCACAAGCAGAAAACGATATTTTCTGTCAACAAAAACACCGACACAGAGAAGTTTCTCAACTACATCCTCATCTAGCGTGCCGATTACAGCTTCCTTGACACAACTAGTGTTCCCACAAGATCAGCATCCAATCTCCACGTCTTACTCTGCTGGGGCTGCGTCGTTTCTGACACGCGCAAGGCAGGCATTGAAACTTTAGCAGTGCTTTTCAGCATCGCCTGGGGATTATAATCTTCCTTCCGCTCGGATAATGTAAAAAAAGTGTCCACTTGTGAGGGAGGTTGCTGGGGAGCAATTTGAGTTCAGAAGATAAGGACAGTCCTAGGCTAATTGTGGAGCGGCCCGGTATAGGAAACCCACAGGAGCTTGATGGAAATTGTATTGAAGCTCACCTGCCTGCGCCAGAAATTTACGAACTACTACGTATAGATGTCTGATAGAGATATGGGGGTCCTTCTCGTGCAAACGAGAAAGAAAGGGAGGTTCAGCGATTAACAGAGACATGATGCCAAATCCCGGGAGCCGAAGTCCATGATAATTAGGTATACACCTCTGCTAGCGAGGGCTCAGTTGGATCTACTTAAAATAATCAGTTCGCAGAAAGCCAAAGGGGACATCAAGTTGCCCTTAGATACCATCAGTATTCTACCGGAAAGGTTAATCTATCCTATCCACCCTCAGGCTGGGGGAATATAGTCAACTTGGGAATATCTGTAATAGATGTCAATATCTGCCACTTCCACGTGCTTTCAAAAGTCAACTAAATGAAGATACGCTGCGCAGAATACAGTATATAATTCCAATCCTTGAACTCAGCATGAAACTTGAATTTAATCCACGGTGGTTAACGTTGCACAGTACCACCCCGCTGTACTGCGGCTAAGGTCAGGCGATCCAGTCATTTTACTCTGGATATCATCTGGCTGAAACAATAAGCACGGCTCTTCGACTATTCCGCCCAAGAAGCTGAAAGTGTGCTCCCTCCCCTGCCAATGTAACATGGGGGTCGAGACGTTGTAAGCATTCAAACAAATCAGGATAGAAATATCAAGGGCAGGTTTTCTTTGTTGAACTATCAACCTGTTTTCCATCGATCTGCAATTGAATGTGGCCAAAACCAACCATTCGACCGAATAGCATCGAATCAGCACCCAGATGATACCACGATGGACATCGATCGGTCTCTGGGCAGTCTGGTTTTGGGACACTTCTAGCGCCAAGAGGGAATGTTTCCATCGAGACGGGACTGCAGCTCACCTCCATGTCCCATGCGATGCCGACGCTACCACAAGCCAATGTTGTTTCGGTGGTGAAGGAATGGCTTGCATGGTTTTTGGGGGATGTGCGCTCTTCAAACCAGATGGACAAGTAATGTACGAGGCAGGTGCATTTACAAATCAGTCGTGGGGATCTGAAGACAAGCTGTGTTCTCAAATATGTGACCCGGTCTCTGGAAATGGTAAGACGCATTTAATCAACTAATTCCAGTCCCATCTGGATTGTGAAGGTCTTGGTGAGGAATCCGGAGCTAATGTGGTTGTAGATCAAAAGCCGAAGAACTGTGCTTTGCATGGAGTTTCTTTTGATTATGATCAACTGTCTGGAGACGTCTATGCAATGTGGGATGCAAATCAAGGCCAGTTCAAGATTATGGTCCCACTGACCAGTGTTGGGTCTGCCAATTCCCCGAAGACAACGAGTACAACCTCACAACGATCCCAAACAACTATCAAAACATCAGTAGAAAGAACTCAATCCTCGCCTACTGCAACCTCTTTACGTGTAACGACGGAAGCACAAAGGGAAACGCAGACAATAGTGACGACGCGATCGGGTTTATCGCCAGAAACACTGCCGACAGGATTAAAAACTTCACCCACAACGACAGACTAAGTGATTACAACGATACAAGTGGAAGAAACGCAAACGTCATCGACAACCACAAGTTCACTTTCCCCTGGTGCCAAAGCAGGAATTTCTATCGGCGTTGTGGTCATAATTGTCTGTATTGGTGTGATAGTCGTTCTAATTTTAAAGCTGTGCAGAAAGAGAACTCAACTTGCTAAGGTGTTAGGCCAGCATCACATGGAGGCATCTAAAGAGGCACAAATAGCAAAGGAAAAGCCTCTCCTGCGTGCTCAGCACACGAATATGGATACTTCAAGTCCTCAGGAGCTGGATGGGGCGGTAATTGCAGCTGAATTACCAAGCTTCAGCACGGTTTATGAGTTGCCTGGTAGTCAAGTGATAGCTGAGTTAGATGGTTCTATAGCAAGACAACAGAATAGCTGTATGTAGTGTAATTATTTAAAGGAAGGTGTAATCCACGGAATTTGGCGGAACGAGGGCACATGGTACCAGGTATATGAGACCACACCAGTATAGACTTCGGTCCAAGAAGACGATACATATATTTCTCATCATCTCAAACCTCACCCAGATCATCACACCGGTACAGTTGCGGTGTAGCATTGGGTGTTGACAACCATATACTGACTCGTGATTCTTTGGCGTCTATCTTAACGAGAGATATCCAGAGCTCTCCCCGCACGTTAAAATACAGACTATCTTCCACTCAATGTTTTGAGATGTTAGTATACTTATCATTGACAGCACAGAACGGGAGAACTCAGACAGATCATGTTTGCAGACGTGAAGAAATAAAATAACGTATGAACGTTTTGTTGCAATATGAACGCAAAGATGAGGTAAGCAATAGCAAACATGCTCCGAGTGCCAGGAGGATCAGGGCCTCGAGGCTTTACATTGCTGAGATCGGCCGTTGGAGCTTCAACATGAAGTTTCAAGCACCACCACGCAGTTAAGCTCTTGTTAGTACGATGTGACCTACTTTGAATAGGTCTTACCCAGCCAACGTTTCTCAATAGCTCACCATTTTCTTCACCAAACATCCCATATATTTGCATAAGAACTCCTTGTAGCAGTCATGTAAAGAATCGATCTCCTATTCGCTTCTGTCAGTATTTGCTTCTTTTTGACTCTTATGTCTTGTCAGAGACATTTGGAATAGTTCGAGCGCTAATCCTTCCTGGCTCCAGAGCCCTGCACAAATTGTTAAACCAGGGGTCCAGCACAGGGTTGCATTCCTCTGGCTGCTCAACCATAACGCAGCAAACTTTTAGCAGCGACAACATGAGATGGCCGAGCTCAAGCCGCGCGGAAAAGCTGCGTTTATTCCTAGATCAGTTGGAAAATCGACATCGATTGGTTTGAGCTGAAAATAGTCAAGGTAGGAAGAAAATGCTCGGCCCTTGCATTCCATCTCCGTATCTGCGTGAGGTGGTCCCCAATTTAGACCAATCCAACGCCATACGGACGTGCCGTGCTTAACCTTGCATCCACTCTTTTACTTTTGCAATACCCGATTCTGTTTGCCGCTTCCCTTAGCCACAACATGAGATCCGTCAGGCTAAATGGATGAATTTTAGAAATAGCTTTGTAAGATATGCTTTGTCCAAATCATCGCGCTGAGGGAAAGCTGGAACTCTCATGTATGCTGGGAATTCCGGCAACTCTTTGTTTTCGATGATCGTTCTACTGCTATTTGCTATCCAGGACCTCTAGGAGAGAAACCACCATAACAACATCTATCATCATATCGTTCAACTTTCACTCAAGTGAGATTATTTCTATAATACATCCCAATAATGGTCTTGAATGTCATGGCCATCTTTGTTCCTGTCACGCTTCAAGGATTTGGACATGAATGGAGGTTAACCTCCCATCATAAACAGCTGGTATAGAGCGTTGGAATGCGGCAGAAGTTGATGATGGAAACATCTCCGTCGGTTTCTGTGCCGTCTATTCTATTGACTACCAAAATTCGCAGACAATAACGCGCGCTGCAAGACCAAGAATCCACGTCCCGGTTGACGTCGTCAACAGTGCCTTTGGGTATTGTCCGAATACCGTCTATCAACCTGAAGTACGTGGAATGTTTGGTGCATATCTAGGCGCAGCAGAATGAACCTCAGTGTGCGGAGCGACAGACAAGCGTGTCAGCACCCTTTACTAGAGAGCCCTTTCTCATCATGTTTCCTTGCATCAAACATATACATACTAAATACCTATCATCTGGATCATAGTACCAGGACTGCCGTTTGCTCCCTCTCCCTCCTCCACATCACCGAGGGGAACATCCCCGCCATACAATATTCCTGTGACAAAAGTTGTGGGGCGGCAGAATGCCGCCTATCCCAGAGGAATGCTGACTACTAATGTTGCCGATACCGCTCGAGTCACCTTCCGGTCTGTCTCCACACATCCGAACCGGGACCCACACTCACCGTCAATAATGTATACATCAACAGCTCCAGTTCCCTCCCTGAGCATCCCCCTAGCTCCACACCTTCCGAGATACGACACCCTCTGGCGGACACAACCCGCACATTCCTCAAGCTTATTGGTGGAGTGATCTGCTGCATGGCATTAATCTGTCTCTTGAGCGTTCTTATCTTTTAGATTATGTATCTAATTATTCTAATTTTCGACCGGGTTTACCCTGATGGTGCTGGGTCGTGCCCACGACGCCGGCGGACAAGAGCTGTCTAAATTGGACTAAAGGCAGGCAACAACGGGAAAAAGCTGCATAGGGTAAACCCAGCGTGGGATAGAGGGAGTGGAGTAGTGTAATATGTACAGGGGGAGGTTCTTGAAACTGGTTGGCCTCAGGTATGTGTCTCGCTGGGATCTACTCCGGGTCGCCAGGCTCGGAACCTGGATGATCGGCACGCTGGGCTTGGGAGCGGGCCCGGGGGAGGGGAGCACGAGGGCGTCGTGATATCGGGATAGGGCGCCCTGTGGCAGCGTCCCAGGCTTGCTCGGAGAGTTCGACCTGGGAGGATCTGGACTTAAACAGATGGAAAAAGGACCAGAAGGCCATCCGGTCTAGCCTGCCAGCGAGTGGGTTGTTGAAGGAGATGAAAGGGCAAGAAAAGAAGTGGCCTCTGTACACCACACCGCCACAGGGACACCCTTCAATGGCCTCCGGGGAGGGGGGGGAGGGAGAGAGACGTGACGTTTTTGGGTAGAGAGGGAAGGAGGCCAAGTCACGCCCTGATGCCGCACGTTTGGGCTCCCACTTGGGCCTAGCCTTAAGGTCAGAGACTGCTTAGTGCAAGCGAAATCAACCGGGGTGAGGGAGTCGGGCAAGCCTAGTCCACCGACAATGACTGATCGGCAACACCACAATGCGGTTCCTCTATTGTACCCGTTGTCTATCCAGCAGGTACTCGGAGTAGAGGCCGACCAATCACCAGAGCTACGGGGTTATTATTTTCTCCACACCGGGAATACTACCCTCAGTGCCGTGCTTGCAACCTTGGTGAGAGATGACCACATCGACGTGAGCCTGGATAGGATCAATCCGCCGCTGACATCAGCCCTATATGAACCGGTATTGAGTTGGACGATGCCGTATAGAAGGGAGAGGGTAACGACCGCATTGAAGATATTGGGGCCTGCCGCAGTGGGGAACCCCCGGGCCCAGCATGCTCATCCTTATTCTTATTCTTATTCTATTTTTCGACCGGGTCCACCATGAGGGTGCTAGGTCGTGCCCACGACGACGGCGAGCAATAGCTACTGAACAAACCTATATACAAGTAACGCCGGAGGAAAAGCCTGCACTTGAGGCAAAAACCGGTGTAAGCCAAGGGGGGTTGTGTGTCTTGGGCTGAATGAGAGGTTCACACTTGTACGAACCCGGGGATGTGGATTTCCAGCTCCGACTCCGAATCCGAGGAATCGGTGTCGGGGTCGGTGCCCCTGTGGGACTGTGGTCGCGTACGGAGGAGGAAGTGGAGGGGTCTCAACGTTACGATAAGGCGCCCCGAGGCGACATCCCAGGCCTGGCCCCAGAGCTCGATCTGGCAGGCCCTGGACCTGAATAGTTGAAAAGAGAACCAGAACGCCCTCGGGTCCAGCCTGCCGCCGAGCGGGTTGTTAAAGGCAGCGAGGGGAACAAGCTCATCGTTTGGCTCCGCCGACACCGATCGAACTCCCCCGCCTGGACGGCGCTGTTTCAGCGCATAATCCGGAACACATGTCTTAATATGGACCCCAGGCAGAGGATGACAGGGATGTGGCCGCAGTTTCCTGTAGTGGCAGGTACGCTCCCATCAGGACGACACCCAGTGAAAGTTCCAGGCTACGATACTTGTACAGGTAGGTATAGGAAGGTTGCAGCAAACATGGAGCCTTCGAAGTTGCCTGGACATCAGGTAGACAGAGGGAAGATGGAGGGGATTGGTTTGGGAGGTGGTAAATATTTAGGAGGGGATGAAGTAGTGTTTGTGAGTGTAAGCTGAGGAGAAGAGGCATTTCAAGAGTCCTGAATGCCTAGTTATTGCCTTTTTTTCAAGGTGAAGCGGCGATGTAAGTGTATTTGACGTGGTTGCCTTGAGTGAAGACTTCACATCTTTTTGGATGTAACGGGGGGACTTGGTCTGGTGCAGACATGGGTCAACAATGGGTCAAATGGGTTAGACAATAGCCAATAATGATGTAGGATGCACAACGAAGTCAACTGATATGTGTGATAATCTTTCTTTGTCCTCAGTATCCTTGTGTTAAGGATAGGAAAACCAAGAGAAGTCTTTCATCGTGTCCGGCTGGCTTTCCCTAGAATCCTCCCGGCAATTTGATTCATTCCTTTCGGTTATGCGGCTCCAGATATCTCTTGAATCAACCACGGTTTGTGCCACTCACAATCATTCTATCTCCGGTGCCTTTGTGTTGGCACTTAGGTGTTGGATGTATAAGAAAACGGTGAATGTGGATGGGAGTATTTACTTGGGCGTTTCCCTGCAGGACACGCGGCCCTGAGGGAATCTGTCAAGCACAATGGGTGCCGCAGAATAACAACGCTCTACCTTTTAAACTACACACACGTGAAGGTGGATGAGCATGGCTCTGATATAAGGTCAAGTGTGCACCTGCTCTCAGTGGAGCCCGGGCTGACCAAGTAGGTTGACGGTGACCACACCGTGGTCACTTGCAGCTAACATTAGGGATACCCATTTTCCTCGGACTGCCATGTCAGTGTGACATTGGATGTGAAATTCACAGATTATACTAGTATACTATGGTGATCTATCGGCGAATTATGAAACTTCATGTCAATATTAGCAGTCGTGATTGATCTAAGCAGACAATTATCTCTTTACGTAGCAAAGACCTCAATTGTTGGGTTCATTGGGCATCCTTTATTATCAGAGTTATACCTGGAATCAAGATTCATGAGGCCGTAGTTCACTGCCCTCAACCCTGCCTTGAAGATAGCAGCTTCCAAAAAAAAGCCTTCTATCTCCTCTCCCCGCAGATTACCTGAGCAGCAGTTGCACCACCATAACTACGAGGACGTGGTAACTGCTCAACCCTCGCGGCAATCTCCTTGATTCTTTCTTGACGGTCATGAGCTTCGTAGCAGCCGATAAAAAAAAGAATCCAGTGATGAAGCCTGTACCATGTTAGTCAGTACCACACTCGAAATACAGGGACCACATCACCCAGCAGGTAGTACATACGTGACAAACACAGAAAACGCTATAAACACCCTCCCCATGTGAACTAACCGATTGTACACCACCTTCGCCACAGCCTCCACCACCTCAGGGGGGTCGTCTGAGGCCGCTATCCGCGAGATGTTGTCCCAGAATGCCTTTAGGCTGGGCTCAGTCCATATCCTGACAGCAAAATAAACGAGGACCACCCAGCCCAACCCCATTAGCAGGTCGAGAATGATAACGACGCCGGGATAAACGCCCCTGCGGCCGGCACGGCGATATATGCTGAGAGCCTCAGCGATGTCCCAGATGAAGGTTGCGATGAGCTATAGGGATAGTGGTTAGTGAGAGTGCGGGGGGTTGGGGATGTCGGTGATCTTTACCGGTCCGACGAAGGCTGCGGCAAAAAAGATGCCGTGGCCTATTTCATTCCATTGATTGAGGATCGAGATGCCCATGGCAGTTATGATGGCAAGGCAGATGATGTCAAAGGCACGAAGACCAAGCTTGATACGCCATAACCTTGAGGTGTAGATCGGCTGTTTTTTGGCACTGTCTGTTTCCATGGGCTCCATGTTGAGGGATGTGATTGGATAGTTCAGGTATCTAACAATGTTTTGCTGACAAACTTTAGAGAAGAAAGTGCATGTATACAACACAAAAGTTATCGTCTGCGTGTTTGGCAATCAGGTAGTCCCCAGCATAGTTATTACTCTCTACAATGGCGGAGTCAACACCAACATGGCTGTTTAACAGGCCTACTTACGTACTTACTAACGCACGGCACTTCCATCGTCGAGCTCGTATCGACTCGTATGATGCGCGGCTTTTTATGGCCCTTCATAACACAATCCGTTCTAGCGAGTCGAAAGCTTGGCCTCATGCTTGGCCGCAGTGTAGGATTAGGCAGCGTGCATCCTGATGATGTGGCCCTGCGGATTTCCAGAACCGCGGCGGCACAGCCACAAGAATAAAGTGTTAGATGCAACGGTGCAGCTGCACGATTACGTCTGCCGCAAAAGAAAACCAACTATATCGTGATAATTTAGGACTGTAAGGCTGGTTGGTTGCATGAATGCGACAGGGAAAATGTTCTACAGTAACTGGCCAACCTGGGCTTCCGTTAGGAAAGTAGAACTGATCAGTCCTAGCCCACATAGTGGTTGCATCAAATGGCAGTATTCAACAACCTTTGGTCCTGAAATGGTAACTATCTTTCAAAAAGGTGCATAATGGTTCTTTTTGACGGTTGAATGGGAGTTTATGTCGAAACGAAGTGGATACGCCAACCAAACAATCGTTTTCAGTTAGGATAATAATCGCACCAACAACAAGCCATTCCCTCAGTAAAGCGGATGCAGGAAGACTTGAATCGAAACACCTCATTGTAACACTGTTAGAATGACCAAGAGATTCTAACGGCCAATGTGTCTGTACAATGCCTGTTTATTCCCAACCCAGTCGCCCCTTCCAAGTCCCACGGCCTATCCCTTCCCAGAAACGCAACAGCCAGGCCATGTATCCAGCATATCAGTCGCTATGCAGCGAACTATCTAGTTAACTCTTTAATAACCAGCCGAGTACACGCTGGGTACGAGCAGACATCCGTTGGAAAGTTCAACGGAGGGTCCGTGCAAGAAGGGTCCCAGTCACCCAAGACCGGGACCACTCCTAGGTTCTTAGGTATCCTCCTGTACGAATTTTTTCGAAGACTCTTCTCAGGTGGGTTAGTGTCATGAAGATGACGATCGCCACCCTTAAGACCACGTATAGCCTCTTGTATACCGGTTAGCGCTTATTAGGAGGTGCCCGTTCGATAGCACGTGCTATTCCTCGCAAGAAGATAAATATCATACCCTGATTGAGGACATAAACTTTGTTGCAGCGTCACGGACCAGTCCATCCAGTCCATTATTAGTCCCCACCTCCCGATATCACCTCCTTAGGGGATAGACTCCGAAAAAATCTTCAGTTCTTCGAGCAGGGCCGTTTGTGTTCGAGGTATTCGTCCAGCTATTCCTTTCGAGCAAAGCCTGTATTGCGAATGGGTCAGCGAACACGGGCACAAGTGCCATGCTTCTCGAGTATTTGTGCTGCTTGTGCCGGTCTTGGCAGGAATTGAAGGACCTGCCACAGCCACGCTCGCAAGGGTAAAGGCGTTGGCTCGGGGTTCTGTACGTGTCAAAACACCAATGCTACCTTTGATTGGATGTGGATGTTGAGAAGGTACTGACAGTTGGGAAACAAACTTCGGGTCACCGTCTAGTTGAATGAGACCTCTTGAGGTAGGAGAGCTTGTCAGGCTGGAGTCGGACTGTTCATTGATGCTATAACTCGTTGTAGCCGCAAAAGACTTATCAGATAGTGGAGAGCTGGACCACTCTGTCTGCTTATCTGGAGTCAAGTCCAACTCAGGTGCGGATGGAGCCACAACGGTCGACCTTGACATGAAAGGTACTTTTGTCCAGTCACTCGGAACGCGTCATCAGGGGCAAGGGGATTGAGCTCAGTCACGACGTTACCAAGTAAAATGTTGTCGGCAACGTCATGTGAAGAGGCCAACCTAACCTCACCGGTCGCATGGCACGTATGTACGGCATCAGCTGGCAGAAACTGTGAGCTGGGAATCTCCAGACAGACACTCAAACAACAAGCAGCCAACGGTCCATCGAACCCGCCGTTTCGGAACTCTAAGCTTATCTCCCAGAGTGGGTTCGGTCAGTCCAACGAAACGCTTCTTAATGCATGATGCAACTCCAATGTGAAAATATCTCCCAGTGACGAAATAATCGACCCTGTGACCAATGAAGCAAGTAACTGTGTGTCGCCATCGGCTCCAAATGATCTGTTCGAGATAGTTGTCTATACCAAAAGGGTTAAAAAATTTCACTCAAGTTGACATCTTTTGTTCGAAATTGAAGTCTCTCACCTCCTATATGCCCCTCACATCTTTATCCCAGTAGTCAAGGGACAGGAGATTCCTGCATGCCCCTAAGCCCATTTTGCACATGTCCATCTGAGATTCCGGAAGCACAGAGCAAAACGAGCCCACGAGAGCATACCCAAGGGATCTTTCTCCACGTTGATCACTGCTACATTGTAAGGATATTGGGCAGTACGTGGGCAGTGCAGGGGTTAGCGGCCCCCATGCCGGGTAACAATGGATGAACCGATGGGACAAGTGACTGCTCACTTGTTGAATTAGCCCCAGCTGCCACAGGGCCGAAGTAAACAACTGACGGTCTCGGTTTGGATATGGCGTCATTGTGGAGAGCTAATGAACCGCAATCTAGCCTTTGAGACGGCCCTTCGGCCAAAGCTTTCCTCAGCCTGTTCTACAGGAGATCCCTCGCTAGGTGGCTTTCCGAGGGATCGGGACACGGTGACTTTCAGGAGTACCACGTTTGATTCAATCACACCCCCTCCCCCCGGGAATACGATCAAAACTTGCTCTTGTGGCGCAACGGTCTCATAGGCCACATCATCCGATGTCCTTCTCCTCTAACCTGCTCGCCAGCCGCATAGCCCCAGGGCGTCTTGGCATTTATATCATCTATTCGAGAATAGAAAATCACAACTTGAACTCTATGGCTCACCCAGAGACCATCAAACAGGACAAACTATCCCCATTCTACGCCCTACCCCCGGCCCCCCTCTCCCTCACACACGACCTTACACTCTCAAATGATACGCATCCCTAACAACGAAGAATCAGATTCAAAACCCTCTAGTTTAGGCATCCACATACCTCGCGCTCTTCCCTGCTTGCCCATTTTTCCCCTACATCTTTCCCTTTCCTAAGCTGTTGTCTGAGTGTTAAAGCTAGGGTCTTGCTTACAACAGTGGAACATCATTGATTATTTATTCATTCTTTTTTTCGACCAGATTCATCACCGAGGGTGCTGGGTCGTGCCCACGACGCCGGCGGGCAAAACTACCTGAATTGGACAAACTATAGGTAACGCCGGGAAAGAGCCGCATAAGGTAAAACCGGCGTGGGTTAGAAGGAGTGCAGTGTGCTATGTACAGGGGAGGGTTCTTCAAACCGGCAGGGCCCAGATAGCTGCCTCGTTGGGACCTACTCCGGGTCATTAGGCTCGGAGTCTAGATGATCAGTATGTTGGGTTTGGGGCGGGCTTGCAAGGGGGAGAGAGGGAGGTGCGGTAACGGGATAGGATGCCCTGTGGCAGCGTCCCAGGCTTGCTTCCAGAGTTCGAACTCGGAGGCCCTGGACTTGAACAGCTGGAAGGAAGACCAAAAGTCTCTGGGGTATAGCCTGCCGGCAAGTGGGTTGTTGAAGGAGGTAAGAGAGCGAGAAAAGAAGTGGCTTCTGTACACCACACCGCCGCAGGGGCACTCTTTAATTGTCTCTGGTGTAACAGGTGACTTGGTCTGGTACAGACAGGGATCGACAATGGGTCAAATGGGTTAGATAATGGCTACTGACGATGTGGGGTGCACAGCGAAGTCAATTGATACGTGTAATGATTTTTCTTGGTCCTCAGTGTTCTTGTGTTAGGGAGGAGAAGAACCAAGAGAAGTCTATCATGTTTGGGCAGCTTCGTTTATAGAATCCTCATCATGCCTCGGCCATATGGCTCATTCTTTTCGGTCACCCGGCTCCGAGGCCTCTGCCAGCAAGCGGAGAGGCACTGTCGGGAAAACTTCTCGAGGAAGGGTTTGGCTGAGTGCCCGCTCCATCGAGCCAAGGAGGATCTGTTGGCCTTCCAGCATCAGTGTATGTTCGGGGGAGGGACGCGACGTTTCTTGAGAGGAGAGGAAGGGAGGGCAAGCCATGCCCTGATGCCTGCGCGTTTGGGCTCCCACTGGGGCTTAGCCCTCACTGGAATATCTCCCAAAGCACCTCGTTGGGTGCCTAAAGGTAAGTGCTCCGAAGCAATATGGTTCGCAGATTTTCTCTGGGAAGATACTCGAAAAGATTCCAGGTTGACTGAATTCTCTTGAAGAAGATTGAGCCTTGGCCATGGCTTAGATTGGACAATGTGCAGCGCTCCGCTCAAGGACAGTTCACATTTTGTTCGCAAGTAGCGACTATTGCTTTTCATAGTTAGGAGTCAAGATTTAGATCAACCAACACCAAGGCTCACTAACTGCAGAGTCTGACACTCATACCAACTATTCAACGCTCCTTCTGTGGCGTGTTGATATCTGCCATTTTAGCTTTCACCACCAAAATATTTCCTCTGGGGATGGCCCGTACTAGATCAACACAGTCACATTCTTTGGGCATAGTAATATAAGACTACGATTGCGCGTTCGCTGAATGATGGAGTTTGCATGAGATTAAGGCTCCATAGTCGGGCCTGCTGGTTCAACAAACTTCTTGCCAGCCTGTCCACCCATCAGGCTGCGGGAGAATTCCCGAATTGGTCGTAATGCAGAGGGAGCATTATTTGAGGCAGCCAAGAGATGGTTGGTGGAAAACTGGTCTGCCATGTAGAGGCGAAATATCTATGTCTCATAGAAACGGAAGGCCCTGCAGGCCCTACACCTGAGGAATTGACGAAGTCACATTCCAGAACTTAACCTATATTCGTGCATCAAATGACTGGACACAGTTACGAGCGACACTTCCGAAAGATCCAGAAGGCCCGTGAGATTGCTTGGTCTTTGCACAGTCTCTCCTACACATGGGTCGACACATGCTGCATTGATAAGTTGAGTAGTTCCGAGCTGCAAGAAGCGATGAATAGCATGTTTGTGTGGTGTGCAAATGTGAGAGTCTGTTACGTTTACTTCTTGGACCTTGAGTCCGGGATCATGGAAGATCTTACTAGAAAGGTGACACGATGTCAATGGTTTGCTCGCGGATGAAAACTTTAGGACTTGATTGCGTCAAGCTAGGTTCTGTTTCTACAAGGAACGGAATTACCACGGTGACAAGCGGGAGCTTTCCTGCTTTATTGCAACAATCACGAAGATACCTAAGAGTGTTCTACAACCAGAAGCCTCTCTTTTTGTGCATTTTTGCGTGCTTTTTGGCCAGGTGTATATCTTGGACAACTCAGCGGACGACCACCTTACTGGAGGACATGACTTACTTCCTGATTTGAATCCTTGACATCATTATGCCCTTTCTGTATGGAGAGGGACATAGGGCCTTCGAGAGGCTACAGCTGGAGGTCATGAGAAAGACTCCTGACCTCAAGCACCTAGCGTAGGTTGACGGCAGGAAACCTAGCCCGGAATACTCTGGTATGCTGGCTGAGTCACAAGAACAATCCGCTGCATGCGGTGAAGTTAGCGTTAAAAACGCGACAAGTCCATTTATTCCGATTCCAGAGTCCAGCCTAAAGGTGTTCATATCGACGCTAGCCTGGTTTTGATATCTATGCCAGGAGTGAGGGAAGCCGTCATAGCAGGAACTACGTTCTTGATTTTTGCTGCACAAGCATAACAAATTTGGGAATTTGTATCTGAAAATTTCGTGTTGGGTTGTATTCACAATAGAGGTTTGATTTGTTGGGTCGTAGGGACCTTGGCTATCTACGATTGGGGAGATATCATGACGAAAAGCTTGGTGTAAGCAACTAAACTACCTCAGCACTTCCTCTTTCACCCCGGAGGCAATCCCGTGTTGTGGAACAAACGTTCCGCTTTTCTAAATTGAACCGAAGCCGTTGATTTTTTTTTTTGAATAATATCGTTAAGCTCCAAAGTCCTTAAGATGTTCGTCATTGGGTGTTTATCACCGCCAATCATGTATCCTATGAATGGTGGTTCCTCGCCTGGAAAACTCAAGTGGATCTCTGCCTATATCAAGTTTGGAAAGGAAATCTCACAATCGAAAGCCTAAGGCTAAATTTCGCGCTTGTTAGCTGGGACCGTTGGAATAACCCAAATCGGCCTTCCATGCTTATGGTATTTAAGCTCAGGACAATGGGCCCGGGCCTGATGGCAAATTTGGAAGTGGTCCTCGACCAATTCAATTCGGAAGTTGTATCTAGGCTTGGCTGATAGTCTGACCCTAGGAAATTTGCTGTTGAGAAAGCCTTTCAAATTCCTTGACAGGGAAAAGCGACAGTATTCTCTTTGAGATGTGAGAACCCTTACGCACAGGTGCTGCCAACTGGGCAAGACCGGAAAGATGTTGTTGAAATCACAATAAGCAAAGAACAGGCCCTGAACAAATGTACCTATCCCATAGTGCGGCTAGGTGTACAGCTGCGTCTTGATGGAAATGCAGTTCATAACAACTGATCCAGGTCATCCTGCAATCGTCGTCGATATGGGTAGCAAAGCTCGGCGGGTAGAAGAGCCGTATCCGAAGGATTGAAGTGTTTCCGTACAAAGATTGTACATCATATATTCAGGCGGTGACCTATGTACCTTGGTGAAGAGAACAATCGTTCTGGCAATTTATGAAGCCCGTGCAAAAATTTAGTGCCGTGGCCCGCTGTATCCTGCGTCCTTGTCAGGAACCGAAACTAACAGGATGAGCAAAAAAGTGAAAAAGACAAGTCCCCTCGACCGGAATCGAGCCGGTGACCTTTCGGTATCAGTAAACCATTTACAGCCGAACGTGATAGCCAACTACACCACAAGGGGCTCTGTTAGTTGTTTAGTGCGAAATTTGCATTGAGATCCTTGATTATTGGTAAGGTTACAGCGATGGTGGGTTCCAAACAGCCGGTTTCTTGGACGTTTTGAAGCAATACACAATATCCCAACACTAAACTTGGCGCTGCCACTTGTTATGTGGTAGGGGGAGCACTGATAGAAGAGAAAAAAAGGGTCTCGGCGGCTGTCGCACTTTCCTCGGGGAAAATTACGGACTGTATTACGTATAGTTTACAAACACTTGGGCGGGTCCTCACGGCATTGTTTCTCCCAGGTCGTTCAGCGACGCATTCATTATGCGTCTGTTGTGCCAACTCGCCGGCGATAGAAATCCGAGACTCCCGCAATCAGCTGATAGAAGTACACAATGGCTGACCGCTCCAAGCACCTTCCAGAAGCCGGATCGCAACAATCATTGCAGTGGAGCCGCATACATGGCCGACGGCCGGGAGAGTTCCCCATATTGGCACAATGACTGCGACGTAGCCCAGATCCCCGGCCCGAAGAGGAAGGTCATTGACAGCATAATGGGGATCCTCGGCGACGGCTCATCGCGGGGACGTCGTGGTATACAGGTAGCATACAAATGAATCCTAACTACGGGAGTTACACGACGCCAGGCACCATGCCACGCAGCAGTGAACTGCACGCGACGACGTAGCCTCGGGATGCGAGGCCAATCACACCTTAGTGAACTGCCTGCTTGGTTTGGATCTGTCCTGTCCTGCCCCTGGCCACCGCGTGCGTGTCACTGTTGAAGAGTCAGTCGGTCGTCAAGAGCGTTGAGGGGGTGGTTTTTCGTGGCTGAAATAACAGTCAAACAGCTTCCTCCCATATTACCTCCAACAGCTTTTCATCCCTCTCACAGCCTAAGGACAGCCAACAATCCACGTCCTGACCAACTAGGCAGATACATCATGAGGGCCACAGTTCTCTCCAGCGCCCTCGTGGCGGCCTTTGCGACCCAACAAGTCTCCGCGGCGTTCTTCCGCGGCACGGCCATGGATATTGGTCCAGACGATGAAGACGTTCACGCCCTGAACAAGCGCGCAGAGATCTACAATGGCTGGGGCACCTTCGACCAGCTCATTGACCACAACAACCCTTCCCTAGGGACCTTCAAGCAGCGCTACTGGTACGGCACCGAGTACTGGCGGGGCCCTGGCTCTCCCATCTACCTGACCACGCCTGGCGAGCAGAGCGCGACTGGCTTCAATAAGACGTGGCTAACGAGCTCGCGTCTCTCGGGCTTGATGGCTAACCGCACTGGTGGTGCAGTTATTATTCTGGAGCACCGCTACTGGGGCGAGTCGTCTCCTTATGAGGAGCTGACCGTCGATAACCTCAAGTACCTTACGCTGGAGCAGTCTCTTAAGGATCTGACCTACTTCGCGAAGAACTTTGTCCCTCCCTTTGATCCTTCCGGCAACAGCTCGGCCGACAAGGCACCGTGGATCTTCTCTGGTGGTTCATACTCTGGCGCTCTTGCTGGCTGGCTAGCTGCCCTGGAGCCTGGCACTTTCTGGGCGTACTACAGCTCCAGCGGCGTCGTTGAGGCAATTGGCGACTTCTGGCAGTACTTTGTTCCCGTGCAGGAGGCTACCCCCAAAAACTGCAGCTCTGATGTGAACGCTGTCATCGAGTATGTCGACACGATCTTGCGTTTCGGCACTTCTCAGCAGAAGAAGGCCCTCAAGGATAAGTTCATGCTTGGCGACCTGACTGATCAGGACTTTGCCTCGTAAGTTTCAGGGCCAGTGACAAATCAAGTGAACTCAAGCTAATTTCACTCTTAGTGCTCTGGAGTGGGGTCCTTGGCAGTGGCAGTCGACTCAGTTCTACAACAGCAAGGTCCAGGGCTACACCCCGTATTACCGCTTCTGCGACTATGTCGAGAACGTCTGGCCTGGTTCGAACAACAAGATACCTGGCGCTCTCGGCGTTGGTCTCTCCAAGGCTCTTGATGGCTACGCCAAGTGGATTAAGGAGGAGATGCTCCCTGGATGTATGTCTCCTTTCTTCCTATTGTCTCAGACCGTCTACTAATCGTGTCTCAGTCTGCGAGTCTGCCGGCTACCCCGAATGGAATGGCACTTACAACACTGGCTGCCTGCAGAACCAGAACCCCGACAATGTGGCTTACAAGGACCTCTCCCCTGGCAACTGGCTCAATCGTCAGTGGTTTTGGATGCTCTGCAACGAGCCGTACGTCCCCGCTCCTTGATCCGTCTCACATTTTACACACAGCTAATACCTCTCAGCTTTGAATGGTGGCAAGATGGTGCTCCCCTCTCCCGCCCTACCCTCGTCTCACACCTCGTCGACCCAGCCTACTGGCGTAACCAGTGCCCACTCATCTTCCCCGCCTCGCAGTCCAGCACCGGCAAGCTTGCCTACGGCCTGGCTAAGGGCCAGCGAGCGGAGCGCGTGAACCGCTGGACGGGCGGCTGGAGCGCGACTAACACCACGCGCGCCATGCACACCAACGGTCAGCACGACCCGTGGAGGGATGCTACCTTGTCTAGCATCTTCCGGCCGGGCGGTCCGGTTAAGAGCACGGAAAAGTTGCCTGTCAGGGTTGTCGAGGGTGGTGTGCACTGCTCGGATTTGTATGGGCCTAATTGGGATGCGAATGAGGGAGTTAGGAAGGTCGCGTATGATGCGGTTGAGCAGATGACGCAGTGGGTTGGTGAGTGGTATGAGGAGAAGGGGGTGGAGAAGCCTTGGAAGGAGTGAAATACCCTAGGTAATGGTTGAGCGATGATTGAGTAGACACGGCATATATGTCTTCACCTTAATGAATACATATTATTGGTTTCGCAAGGGTCCAGTTTCTTCTCAGTGTAGCCCTCTTGACAGCTGCTTGCATATGCAGGGAAGACGCCATGTGACACCAACACTCGTAGTATTTCTCGGAAGGCTTCCAAATAAGTGCAGTGCACATACCCATGGGAACTGGCTGATATAGTAAACTGTGCTTAACGCTTCGGTACTCTCCCTCCAAGGATCCAGTTTCGCGTTCAAAGAGGTCTCACTTAGACAGGTGCTTCTCCTTCATTTCTACTTTGCTCATCGACATCAGAAGCGGACTTGCGAGGGACTGTTTCATCACACAAATGCTGTCCAACCGGACAAACTCTCTGCAAGCAACTGGCTGCTTGCCTGCAGTAGTTCGTGCAACTCTCAGGTGCTTACCGCTCATCCCTCTCCCAGTAAACAGCAAGCCCTGCCACGTCACTCAGTTCCCCTTTGTCTTGGTGACTTTATATAATGAAACAGTAGAGGAGATGCGCATACATACTGAGAGATAAATCTTTACAATCTTAACCAGACGTTGTGTGATAAGGAGTTAAATACTGTAAGTGGTGCGGTCATTGTGATTGTTGGCTCCTCTTGACCCTCCTGGAGCAAACCCTAACCCTAACTCCTCTGATTTGGGACGTACTTTGCAAGACCCTGATCCTGACGTGAATTCTTGGCAGCATCTGTCGAACTGTGCTTTGATCCCAAGCCAAACTGCCCCTCGCCGGCTGCACTAAGCCCACAACGACGACGTTGACGGCAGGCCTCAACCTCCAGCTAAATCATATATTTCCTCCCATCTCTGGTCAATCGTGGCATAGATCTGTTTCTTGTCATTCTGCAACGCAGTCAGCTGCCAAAATGTTGGGGCAAGTCCAGATGACGCCGAACTTTGTGATACTCTGTTGCGGGAGAACCTTTAAAAGTATGACTGCCTTTCACCAACACAACAAGAACGCTCCAACCCACCGCCGTCTGGCACCGGCACCTGCGGCGCAACCGGCCACGCGAACAACTGCGTCGTCTACCAATGGTGGTGTCATTTCTGCAAGTGCCAGCTCAATGGCTGTCTCGACTACAAGCCCAGATGATGCATTGGGCGAGGTGGGCTGAATTTACTGGACTCTGGGTTGGCTTAGGTAATCCGCGGGAGGGGGACTAATGATTTGGCTGTTGTCCAGATTTCATGCACTTCTGGGTTCAGTTTTGTCAGCCAAGAGGCTATGAAGCAGCATAAAAAGGACGCGAAATATCATCAATTCAACAACGACGATAATAAAGCAGGTAGGGTATGTTGATAATTTGCCGAATCAAGAATATAGCCGGTGTTTGAAAGTCTTGAACTGATGCCAAGAAAGGTATGCTTGGACTGCGGGGTTAAGTTCTCCAGCATCAAGGTACTGGAATGTCATAAGCGCGAGGCTCCACAGCACCAAATACCTTCTGCTGATGGAGTTGCGGATGGGGTTGACAAGGTAAATGACTCCAACAATGTGCGTTATGAAAGCTTCTTCCATTTAACAATTACCATTCGTCAACTGACAACAGCTAGGAGTCATCTGTCCTCGAGGCCACATCTATAAACTGGGATAATTCGCCCTCAGAAACTGAATACGCTGCAAACCGTGAGATTAAGTTCATCAAAAGCGAGTGCCTTCCCTCTGATGCAGTAGAGACCGATAGCACGTCTCATGCATCAAGCGATCACACTGTACAAGAACCCAGCGAGGTCATAAAAGCCACTAATACACCCAAAATGCCCACAGAACAATATACGCGGGCTCCGAGTCAGGTTTCGGCAGCGTGCTGCAATAGGGCTACCGTAGTGCAGATTGTCATACACAACGGCCAATGCCTTGCAACTACCAGCAATGAGAAAAATCCTGCCGTAATAGCTGGAAACTCCCTGGAGCCCCAGTCAAACCCTATCATCTCCATTCCTATTACCATCAACTGCCATGGGGGAACTGTCGAGTTGGGTCAAGGGGCGGTTAGTTACACTTCGTCATGTATACTTTTCCATTCCCTTTACGCTAACACCGTCAGATCCAGAACTCCGTTCCTATTGCCAATAGTCACAATGCGGTGCCATCTAAACCACTAGTCAACGGAGATACAGACGTCCAACAGCCTCAGACCCAAGAACCGAAAGAGTCTTGGGAAAATGGGAATAGGAGAGAATCCGCGAGTGATGTGGTATCATTACAACAGGAGAGAGCCTCATCCGTTCAGGATCCTCCCCGTCCTTCCGTAGCTTCTAGCTGGGCTACCGGCGACTCTGACAGGAACCAGGTTGGTTCATCTCGGTCGGATGATCATGGTGATTCCAGACCGACGGATGATGGGGATAACAAACCAGCTCCTAACAAGGTTCGTGTCCCCACTAGACGTTCCACTTTCATTCGACCGACGCCTTACTGACAGCGTGATCAGCATCGCTGCACATGCGGGAAAGTCTTCGCTTCCTTCACAACCCTGGAACAACACAAGGTCAATTCGCCTGCCCACCGAAACGAGCACAGCGTCGCGCTCTTGTGCTCGTGTGGGAAGAAGTTCTCCCATAAATACCAGCTCTCACAACATAAAAAACAATTTATCTGGCACAAGGTTGTTTGCGATTGCGGCGCACAGTCCAAGGATTCAGAGGCCATGGAACAGCACCGGGTCACCTCAAAAGCACATCGTGGGCGTGTCCTGGATGGTCAGGTCCAAAACGGTGGCATCTCAAACCCTTCCAAAGGTTCAGAACGTGGCGGACATTCCCCATATGGGGCTGGGCATAGAAGGTTGGTGTCTTCACAAGCCGGAAGTGACATTGCCGGAGCTCGGAACAGCCAGCAGCGGAGCAGCCAGCAAGAGTTCGCGCCGCAGAATGCAAACCACCGCGGATCTCTGCACGTTGATAACGGGTCGGTGACTTCAGCCAGCAAACCTGCATCCTCTCGTCCCGGGAAAAATAACGGCACGCCCGATCTTGAGAGCTTGATCAGTCTCTCTGGAACCTCGAATAGCGCTAAGACCGTGAGGGACGATGGGAGAGATTCCTGGAGCAGGACTAGCTCTAAGCAAGAGTCAAATCAAAGTCGGGCTAGTAATGGAACTTGGAAGGGAACACCGAATGCTGGGGGATGGAAAAACTCGAGGAGTGGTGGGAAACCATGGGGTCAGGAGAGCTCTCCGGCAAGCTGGGCTGATGGTATCGCTGATACCGGTTTGGTGAGCTCGAGTTGGGGTGTTAGCAACACCAATAGTGTGGCGCAAAATAGCACCGAGTGCTCGGAGGCGTGTGGGTTCTGTGGATTGTGTGGGTGGTAAAGGACTAAAGGGTCGTGCACGTATGGATAAAATTGAGAGGTCTTATTGTATCAACGACATGTCGAGTCTGGTGTAACTAACTAGCAACTGGGGAAATAACATTGTCCGCTAACTTACCCTCTCCTAACCTCTTTTCGACGACATCACTTCCCCCACTCCATCATCGGATTACCAGGCAGCTTTGCCATCCCTAAATGGAAGAAGGTCAGTCATTGGCACACATCAGCGAGAAAGATAGAGGCACTTACACCCCTCGAAATCCTCCTCCACCCTCACCGGCACCTTACACCTCCCGGCCTCCTCCACGCTCTGCACCTTCAAATCGGCACACCTCGCCCCCAGACAACTACTATCCAGCGCCCTTTGCAACGAATCCCCCTTCCACCCAAACACATAGTCCCCGTGCTGTCCGTACCCCGTGGTATCCCCCGTCGACAAGACGAAGGGCTTCCCGTCCTCGGGCCAGTCGTCCTTGTTCATAAACTCGGTTGTGTTCCAGATGATTTCGAGCATTAGTTGGGGGATTTTCACGGGGTGAGTTGGAGGGCATTCTTCGCCTACTTGGTTGCCTGTGAACAATTGAGGGCCGGCGACGGGGTAGGCGACGTGCGATTTGTGGTCGGGTGAGTCGAGGTTTTGGCCGTCCCAACAGCTGGAGGGGATTGGGGGTTAGTATCTTGGCTGGGAGGGTGTCGAGATATGTTTGTTTTGGGGTCTGATTGTTGATGTTGGACTCACGTTGGGTACAGAATATTCGACCTTACGCCGTAGCAGGGCTTCTGAGGGAGTTCTTCCGTATCTCGAGCAGGGTCGGCACAAGGGGCGAGAAAGTCACCGTCGAATCCTGGACCGTCGAAGCACCGGAAACAGGTTTGTGACTTCATGTCGGCTTTTTCCCGACGCGCGGCGTCACCCGTGAGCATACGGAAGCCCTGGCCAGATTATCAGCTCTATCCAGGGGTAAAATCCATTCAGTGATCGACACTTGAAAATGAGCACCTACTGGCTTGAACGCCGTCACACCCCCTTTACTAGGCGAAACATAGTACACCGTAAACCCGCCATCCGTTTTAGTCGTAAACTCATCCCCAAAAAGCAACCTGTCTCTCCCCATCAACACCCAATGCCATTCCCCCTTTAGAATCCCGTCACTCACCTATTCGGAACCTGCTTAACCCTTTTGTACGTCCCATTCCTCGCTCTGAAGTACAAATTCGCCGTCCAGTAGTTACTCAAGTCATCTGCGAAGCTACACGTCGTGCATGTGGCGATTTCGGCAATGTCTGTATAAGGCATGGAGACGTTAAACGCGTTGCCGCCTACCACTTGGTGCATGTGGGGCGAGGGAGCGACGCCGGGGTTCACGAGGGGATCGATGCGGTCGATGACGAGCTGGGAGCAGCCGAACCGCAGCATCGTGGCGGTGCCGCCAGGGAAGCCGCGTTGTGCGGCGGTTGGAAGGGGTATTACCGTGAGGAGGAGCGGGAGGAGCATCGTGACAGTTTGGTAAGTGCGGTGGTGACTGTGCTGGGATGGTGAGGGGCTAAGAAGATGGTGAATTTGAGGAGAATGCGTGAAACCGAATAGAAGATCTCATGGAGTCCAACATATACACATGGCATTGAGATATTGATGTTGCAAAGCGTTGCTGAGTAATCTTCCTGTTTGATCAATCTAAACACAACTGCCGAATCCCACAAGACTATCTTGGTATGTTGCCGCATAGAAAATGACTGCCATTCTCCGAACAGTGCTTGTCCAATAACTTCCTCCCTTTATGTGAAGCAAGTAGCAATCCATTCGTTGCCCATTTTGCCTATAATATCTCCCGGCGGTTGGAAGCTTAGATCCGGGTTTTTGGGCATGAGACTCCCTGCTGGTCGTCCGGCCTTCGGCATCCAGACTAAAGTTGCCCTTCAGGCCTAAGCACGCCTAGAGCAGGACTCACTCAGACTCCGTGACAAGCAATATCATTTGCTAAGCCTCAATAAAAGTCCGTAATCTTGAGGCGTTATAATAATCCGCCACATATCCCCCGATGACAGCTAACGGCTTGGCCTAGAGATCATCATCATCATCGGGAAGAGGTACATTCCGGAGAGCAATAATACCGTGAATCTCATTGTTTCACCATTCAAGGAAGCTTGCTCGGTCCCGCTGCGGGTCAAACACTGGCCAACGGTCATCCTCCATGTGACGTCTGTTGCACCATCCACAGCGGAACTTGATCGCAGGGGGCCCGAGTGCGCCGCAGGGGCAGCAGAACTAGCGGTAGAGAAAACAAAGATTAGTCCTCCAGGTTCTTAACCAGAAATATCACTACTACTATTGGCTATCTCGAAGAAACAAACTTACGTAGTACCCGTATGTCGAGTGTTGCGGTATCACCCTCTTAGTCTTGGTGGCCATTTTTTGCGCTCCTAGCATTCCATTAAAATGAAGCCTGACATACGACACCCGGATGGAATAATACTCCGTGCAGGCTTTTAATTCTTTGCCTCGACAGGGAAGGCAAATCCAGCGATCAAAGACGTTGCAATTGCAAATGAGCTCATCTTGGCCGTCGTGTTGGACATTGTTCCCACCATCCAGGTCCATCCTATTGCGAGCATCTGTATGCGAACCTCCTTCGTTCTGCCGCACTCCGTACTTCATTCTTACTCTTCGCTCCACCCTCTCATCACACCTTTCACAGTACGCCACCAACGACTCCGTTGTCCAGAGGCTCAATATAAGCTTTGGATTGGTATCTGGTGCATTGTTTGGTAGCCTATCGACTGTCCCATGATATCTGCCTTGCCATGGACACTCGGCACAAATCTTAATCCCACACTTCTCACACTCCCTCACGCGTTCTTCATCACAACCTCCCGTAGGCGCCTCATACATACCTTCCTCATATTTTTTCTGCTTCCAAGGAACAATTGGTATCACATTCACAGCAGCAAACTCTCTCCCCTCAGTCATCGGCGGCTTCTTCAGCCTAGATACAACCCCATGGATTCCTGCTGTGCGCAAGGCATAGGGATCTCGCACACGGGCGACGCGCCCGGTACCGTCGCACTTCGTCCGCGCTCTGAGGGTTACCCAAGTAAGCTTGTTCGCACAGATATTGGCGTAGGCTGTCCGGCGGGTGACGGCGAGGTGGTAGAGATCAAGGGTTGATATGTAGTTGGCGAGACGGCATAGGATTGGATGTGGGGCGAGGAGAGCTTCAAATTTTAAGGTAGGGGCAGCGGGCGGACATGGTTGCTGAGGAGTCATCATTGGATTAGGGCGCCGTGGCTGCTCGTAATTGCCTGGAGAGCTGCAGAAGGCTAGGATAGCTGTTGGTTTGGGTTGAACTTTGAAAGGGGCTTGGGATATTGATTATAGACTTATACCTCAACTAGTGAGTCAACGGTGATCATATATATGTCGAGCCTTCCAAATCTACAACATTGAGGCTTACCAATAGTTGAAAGCCACAAATCTACTTGGCAAGAGATAATGCGGATCCTTCCAGGCTGCCATTACAACCCAGGGAAAACGTTGCATTTCGGCCCGCAACCAGGCATCCGGGCATTCGTCAGATGACCTGCCCACCGCTTGGACATCCAATGCCACCCAGGGGGTTTTACTATAAAGATTCCTCGCGTATCCTGTCTCCTTCAGACATCTCCCAGCTCTTCAATCCCACCAGTCAAATATGCCACTGAATGTGTGGACGCGTTTTACCACCGGCTGCTCTAGAGCCAGTTTTCATTTTCCTTATGACTGCGTTTGCACCACATGAATCGGAATGGAATATGAGACGGTACACTGGCGCCGCAGGAGTAAAAAAACTAATGACATTAGTTTTCTGGAAGAGTTGCATATACATGGAAATACGTACCCAGCATCCATGCTCTTCACCCACTAGGAACCTCTTTCCCATAGGCATATATATCTTCACCCAAGTCCTGCCATTACCGTTTAAGTCTGGGTAACTGGCTTTGCAGAACGGGTCCATACATCGTCTAGAATACTCCCGTGACCTGGAGACCAGATCAGGCCAAGGATACCACGGGCTACTGATTACACTCGACGTGGACTTGGCCTGCCCCTCAGTTCAGTCCTGATGGACCAGGGGCGGCACCCAAGCATCTCCAGGGTGGCAACGACCTTCTGCAAGAGGCGTCGCTTCTCCTTCAGGTGGGCACGATCTACCTTTCATTCGGACACTGGGCTGCCCCAAGGATCCCCCATGGTCACCAATACTCATCGTGTTATACTCATAACCCATCATCACTACGTCGCAACAAAGGGCGTCGTTCATGTGTTCGGACGACCACGCACAACTCTCTTGGAGCCGGGACCCGACCCAACTGCCACTCCATGCTGCTCTTCGTGTCCAGTCCTTACATCAAAAGGTAAACGGCCTCGGTCTTAGAGCGTACCCCAACAAAACAGACGTCATGTACATTCCCCGCGTGAATTAGGCTCGAAGCGACATAAGACGTACTTATATCGGCTTACTCTTCTGTCTGACGACCTTTCAGTCTCCTCCGTAGACCTCAATGAAGTGGCTCGGAGTAGTTCTGGGTGGTGAACTAAGCCGATGAGCCCAAGCATCCTCGAGAGCAGCTGCCACATCCTGCATGGTGTGCCTATGAAAAAGACTCTCAACATTAAAGCTAAAAGCTTTCCTCCCAAATCTGGACCAAACATTTTCAACACGGTAGTGATGCCCTCCTGATATATGGCCTGGCTGAACTTGATATAGACCTTTTAGAGCCGGGGCTAGGGGTCAGCTGACACTCGCCGGCCTCGGTGCGGTCCGGGAGGTCTTGTTCAAAGCTACTGTCACATGGACACGTCGGTCCAAGGAGAAGAAATATCCTTAACAGCCAACATATAGAACACCGATGATACAAGAGATGAGAATGGCAAAGGCATATCTGATTGGTAGAGCCCGGGAAATATGAGGGGGTGGCAAGAATGAGTTTGTTTACCTTGCCACGCTGAAGAGAACCCCTGAAGATTGCAGGAGACCGCGAGGCACTCGCAAGGGCAAAGGGATTTTATTAAGGGGGCTACATGGAAATATGAAGGATTTCTCTTGGTTTTCCTCTCCCCAACACAAGGACACTGAGGACCAAGAAAGATTATTACACATAGTAATTGACTTCGCTGTGCACCCCACATCGTCAGTAGCCATTATCTAACCCATTTGACCCATTGTCGATCCCTGTCTGTACCAGACCAAGTCACCCGTTACAGCTGCCCAGGTAACCCTCAGGGTTCTTCTCCCGGTCTGGCGTACCATCCAAACGCCGTGGCTAGGGTGGCTCGATGGATTACACCCACAGTACCTACTAGACCAGAAAAGGTACACGTAGCGGAATCGGATCTAAACTCTACCTCCAAACCATCCACTACGGAGAAGGGTTGCATATTTCCCCGCACAGAGACTGGTCTAGTCTGCGTCAAACAGCCCAAGGAATCCAACCAGGACCTCTCTGGAAGCCATGCCGTCCGGGGCCTAGAGCTTGGCTCGGGCTCCCTTAGCCTCGCCCAAACCATAAAAGGTCCCGCCACCGGATATGGAGTCATGGTGGAGGGCCAATGAACCGCAATCCAGCCTCTGGGACGACCCTTCGGCCAAAGCTTTCCTCAGCCTGTTCGACAGGAGGTTCCTCTCTAGGTGGTTTTCCGAGGCATCGGAATGCAGTGACTTCCCCGAGTATCACGTCCGATTCAACAACCTCCAAGTACGATCAAAACTTGCTCTTGCGGCGCGACGGTCTCCAGACGCCCCCTCTCCTCCAACAACCCGCGCGCCAGCCGCCCTGACCCAGGGCATCTTAATACTCATACCAACTATTCGGGAATATAAAATCACAACTCGAACTTTACGGCTCACCCATAGACCATCAGACAGGACAAAGGATTCCCATTCTACGGCCCACTCCCGGCTCTCCCTTACACACGACCTTACAATCTCGAACGATGCACACCCCTAACGACAAAAAACCAGAATCACAACCGTCTAGTGTGGACGCCCACATCCTAACGCTCTCCCCTCCTAACCAATATTTTTTTCTTTTCCTACATTTTTCCTTGTTTCTAACATCACTCCTTTGTCTCGCAGATACACACCGGTGTCCCCCCTCAGGGTTTTCCCCGCGTATACACAGCTTAAACTAGCCAGTGCATATATGCTTTTTTTGCCTGTCGGCGTCGTGGGCACGACCGAGCATCGTCATAGTTAATACGTGTCAGAAATGCAATTCAGTTCAATTCAATACTCCCGCGACCTGTTCTTCTCTTTTTCACGGCACCTGTAACAAATTCATCTCTCCCAGACATTGCAATTGCATATCAACCCCATTCGTAAATTTTCTCCTCAAATTCCTCCCTCACCTCCTTTTCGACCATCGAGTCACGCTTCTCACACAACTCCAGAAGTGACTCACTAGTGGCCAAATCGTCATTAAGCATGAGGCTTTGGCTATCGCAAGGATCGAGGACATTATGGAGAAGTACAGCCAGCGACATCCTGCGCAAACGATGACTCCATAGGTTACATAGCACTACATCTAGGGCAATGCATGGGTCCCGCTGACTAGGCGTTCGTATATTAAGCTGGTCCTGCCCAAAATGGATTGAATCCTTTTGCCATGAAGTTCCTAGAAAATCTTCTTAACAGTCTCTGATCCGTTAAAAGTGCCAAGTTCTTACGGTGGCATTCCTACAATCCTCCATCAATCGATTGATCGTGCAACAACGCCGGTCCCGTCACACTGGGTCCACGTCTTGAGGGCTTGCCAAGACAAAGTACCATCGAGAATGTTGGCATGAGCCGTTAATGAACCGAGGGAAAGTCAATAAACATCCAGCATGGTGAGGTGCGACGCAAAGTCATAGAGGATTAGCCAAGTCATGTGAGTAAGGCATGAAGGGTGGGTGACTTCGTGGTATAAACTCATGCGGAGATTATTGTGACTGCGCAAGAGCTGTAAGAGTTTTGGTGTTACGAGAACTGTCGTCTAGCAGTTGTTGCTTCAGGTCGCACAATGGCTCAGGAACTGGAGCTGAAGGAGTGTTTATGTCACATCGGAGTAGTTCACGGCCCCAAGGCTCCGACAGCACAGTGGACGTGTGAAAACTTGGCGAATTACTGCTGGGGAGATCTACCTAGCTAAACATTCCTTATCGCAGGTTGTTGTCCAAACAACGACTGCGGGAAGGTTGAAGTGGGATCCGGCCCCCAATGAACTCCTGAGGAGACCCTAGTATCATGGGTTCTGTTCTCTGGAAAAACAAGTGGTTGAACTGGAGACAAAAGCTGACAGCAGGAGGACTTGGCTCCGACGCCAGAATTTACGCTTTAAACGGACCTCTTCACCTGCATCGTAACTTACTTAACGAAACTAATCCCTCCTTTTACAGTTCTTTGTGGTTGTGTCACCAAGCCACACTACTTACCAACTTTAGTTGTTATCGTGCGAAAACAGTGGAGGCAGCGCAGTATTGTGGCAGCGAGCTTCTTGCTCGTCGATATAAACCACAATTACTCCTTAGCAGCAGTCCCTGTGTGACAATGCTGTTATACTGCTTCGCCGGTTCAACCCAATGAGTCGAATAGGGTTGATCCTACGGTTATTTCCTCTCTTTGTTGTGTTGACCATCCTATCCAAAGGTAGAACTTCAGTCACCCTCCATGCTTCATAACAAACGGTATGTGCTTTGTAGTTTCCTCATCAAATCGGTTTACGGTTCCATTACCGCGCCACCATGTCCCTGTACCCGAATCACGGCGACATCATAACGGCCCAGCCGACGTCAATGCGGGTGCCAAGAGCCTCATCGGATCCGCCCGGCGACAGGGCGAGCAGCCAGCGGCAAGTTCCGTCCTGATATCGACGTCATGTCAGCCTGAATATGACGATCCAGAAAGGCCTCCTAGAGATGGGTTTCGAGAGGTACCAGACCTCTGAAGCTGAGAGAGAGGAGTTCTCACACAGTCAGAATGATCGCTGTAATCACTAGTTGAACGGACAACTGTTTGTATCGCTGACGAGGAGCTTCATCGGCCAGATCTCCCTGCTTGAAAACTATCTCTATCTCATACACTTTTGTGCCTTCCTTTGCTCCTTCCCCCTCAATGGCACAGACCGTTGAGAATCAGCATCCTTGAGTGTTGAGGATTAAATTCCTCTTGGTGTTGAGGAGCGCCTCCCCAATGCGTGGAGTCGTTGGGGGCGGATATCTGAATTTGATGGATCAGAACACTCTTTTACTCCGATTAGTTGGCTGCACGGAACCCAGTCTTCCAGATGGAGCCCTTATTGTTCGTGACACCAGAGGTAAGATTCTGGTCTGTTACGAAGGTACAGACTCGAGCTCAAGGACAATGAGGGCCTGCTAAGGGTACCTGATGTGCCTTATATGTTAGTCAAGATCGGAGAGTGATTCTTACTCTCCAGGGAAACACTTCGAATCTAATATTGCAACAGATGAAAAACTATTTATAATAGGTATTTTCTCACTTTTAACGCTTTATTTAAAATAGTAATAAGTATTAAGACACCTAGAAAATGAAAAATTGTCTTAATCACCTTGTCTACAGTCTCACCTGGATCACTTTGAAATTCGAAGACGTTTTCGGTGGATCCGCCGCAGGCGCCGGTCCACGAAAAAAGTTCTGTGCACTCATGACTCGATCAAAAGGACACGAGCCCTAAAATATCTCGGATACGGGGAGTCGAACCCCGGGCTAGCGAGCACTCGTATTTGAGAGTCGCTGATGTTACCGCTACACCCATACCCGATTGACTTCGGATATGTTTCCGACTGGCTTGCTGGTGCTCACCGGCCAAACTCACTTTAATGAAGTAGCGTCCCTTTTCAGGATGGGCGCTGAGAACTCAGTCCTGGGCCGGTGACGATGAGCTTTCCTGGAGCCGGATAGGCCTTCGTTAAAATAGCTGTGCCTGCACATAGCATTTGGTAATCTTTCAACAGTTAAAACGTAAAGCCGTTGGACGGGAGTTGGCCGGTCTCTGGTGATACATGCGGAGATGGGATCGTGGGACGTAAGTTAGTAGCCTCTGACTCAATTCACAAAAGTTTGGCGCGACTGGTCGATGCTGAGTGTAGACGCCCGAGATATGGTAAGTACCTCAAGTCTTACCTATCGTGCCAGGTACCTGGTGTGAGAAGGCAAGCGCCACTGTCAGCACATTCCCCACTGAGTACTAGATTGCAGAGCTGAAATTTGCAAGCTCAAACTTGGTGTTGTGGTTGACATCAACACCGCGCATAATCCATCATCACTAGTTCGCCACAACCGCCCTCGGATCACGGACTATCTTGAAGCAGTCCATCAGCAGTATTGTTACGCGCATCCTTATCACCAAATACAGGTCATCTTTTTGTAAAAAGTTAAACAAAATATTGTTCTTGATAGCTCCTAACATCCAAGCTTAATGGCAATATGGTTAGTTGCGACGGTTCAAGTAGGGAACTCATCTGAAACTGATCCGCTGACTGTCCAAACAGGATCCTTCATCTATCTGGCAAGCGGACTTTGACGAAAAATTGATGTTTATGATCAGCAAAAATGAAGACTGGAGTGTTATGTCACAGGTACTATCGATGCTGTCTTATGGAAGACTTCGCTCCCGGTCATTAATAGGATTCACAGGTCTTGGGAGTCAGCGAACATTCACTTCGTGAGCGGTGCCTTCAGCTCCAAGAACGACCGCAGACATTCTATCAACTGAATAGTGCAACTGAAGTCAAAATAACAAGTCTTCCCTCTGCGCCTAATCAAAAATTCGAGGACGTTCGGAGCACCATTGACTAGTTCACCGATGGTGATGAACTATCTCACTACCCCTGGGCCATACCCGGTTCTATGGCCTTGCCGTCTCCTAAGCCCACGTATCAGGTGACCTCAATGACCAGCTTCGCTGGCAATACAGGATACCCAGCTCCTCAGGTTGTGTTTGCCTCCACACCCCTTTTCAGCTGGAGTCCTGTGGCTTCAGAGAGTGAGTATCTTGATCCTACTCGCCATCCCATTGTCTCAAGTGTTAGTCTTGGGCACAATCCGATGAGTATTGCCCCGGTCTTTGGCCAACCCCTTTTGGAGGAGACTGCAAGAGCGCCAGAATCCAAAGATGGGACTGCACCTTATCTTTCCTGGGCCCCCCTATGTCACGGTACAACCTCAAGCCGAAAACCAAGTTTTGACTACTGGAATCTGGGTACCAATGGTCCGATTCAAACATTACCGGATTCCAGCCGACTCCTCCAGCCCTTTTCGCGGGTCTTTTCGAATTCTGGGTGCTTGGAGCCTTTCCAGACCCCCGTCCCCTCGTCACAATACAATGTTGTTGACGCTGATTCTATTGTGGCCGAGTTCGACAAAAGCGACTTGGGCAGCTCCGCTCCGGCCTGCCATATTGTTCATCGCAGAAAGCGTAAAACAAGGACCGACTCCAAATCCATAACCTGCGAAGTACCAGAACTTTCTGGTAAACTGCAGTGTGCACCGAGAAGTCGTAGTCAAAAAAACAGCGAGCTGGCATTCCTATCACCATTCTGCGACTCAGGAGACCGACTGGCCGAAAAATCGTTTCCGGTCTACAATATCTCTTTCCATCATTTGCGTCTAGAAGAGCCGTTACTTTCGGTCAATCCCAATATGGTACATGCAACCCCCAATAAAAGTGTCGAACGAGGAAGACCTGACTCCCCGGATTTTAACGACCTGGGCAATTACACCTGGACTATCGAATGCGCCAGGGCTGTTCCGATTATGAAGGTCAAACCGAAGCTGGTCGAAATACCCCCGCGCAAGGGTCATATCTATGGGCAGAGCGTCCCCCAGCCCCAGCCTGGTAAGAGCTCCGGAAATCTCAAGGGCTCGACGACAGTGAGTAATCGGCACCCCTGGAAACCAGTGAGTTTATCGAAGGACTTTGGCGAGGTTGCCGAATCATTGACGTTGCAGGCGCATAAGCCCAGGATCTTCCAGAGCGGACTTCAGGCTGCGATCTACGCTACACTTTACCCAGAGAGGAGGAGAAAACTGCAGGAGTCATTAGATTTTGATGATGGAGTTGAGGTAAACGAAAGCATAGATGTATCAGTTCATCTCTACGATAGATGGACTTTTGAAACGGGTAAGGTTGGAACGCTAAGTGTCATTGATTAGCATACTGACTCTGGATATCTTGAAGATGCGGGTGACAGTGAGAAAGGCGATAAAGGCGCTCATGAATTCTGATTGCGAACAGTCCAATATGAAAGGGCGTGTAGTCGAGAAGTTCCCATCCTGAGAAAAGAACCTTCAGTTGACGGCATGGAGCATGATGCCCCGTTGAAGCTACCGTTCAGTGGTGTAGATAGCGAAATTCTATGAGTCAATATCACAAATAAGGACCATGAGTCATTCAAAAGTACGAAGATATACTCGAGCACAGAGATTGATTAACAATATTGACAATTCTTCAGTGTAGGAACAGATCTGGCTAACTGCTGCTTCCAGGACTTGAAACACAACATGGGCAATGGCTGACAGCAATCATAGAAGGGTACGAACAATAACGTTCTGAAACGAATCAGGTCGCGAAGGATCGCCAAGATTGCTGAGATTCTTCCCGAAATATCCTCCAGGACTGAACAAGAACCAAAGAGAACCAATGTACCCCGGAAAGCAAAGAGTTGAGTTACATCGGATGAGCCAGGTGTTCCTGCCCAGGCAGATGGTCAAGCCCTATCCCCATGATAGTCAGCAACTTTCTACATTTGCAACTCCACTGGATTTGAACTCCACTGGATTTGACTGGATTTGAACAAGAACAAAAAAAAAAAAAACTTACACCCATCGTTATCCTCATTCACAAGCCTCTTCACAGTGCAGGCATTCGCCTTATCGAAGCCTTGTGTCGTCAGCCCACGACAGGTTGGACCAAAGCAGCGATTGTCCATAGCGTGCTGGAGCGAGTTGTCTTTCCAGCCAAAGACGTAGTCGCCGTGTTGGCCGTATCCAGTGCTAGACAATCTTTGTCAGCATTTCATGACAGTTATCTAAAATGGGACACATCAAACTTACGGATCACCAGTGCTGAGAACAAATGGCTGCGAGCCATCCACTGGCCAGTCTTCCTTACGATTGAAGGCTGTGGTGTCCCAGACGATCTGAGAATGTGTTAGTCGTGTCGAAGTATGACGATGAGGAGCAAAGAAGCTGACTGGGGCTCACATACCTCATAGTGAACCTGCGGAATCTTAACCGGGTGACTGTCGGGGCACTTCCCATCGACTACTGCAAATGGCGCGGGACCATCAATCGGATGGGCGACATGGTCCATGTGGTTCGGTGTATCGAGGTTCTTTCCGTCCCAGCAACTGTTCCCCCAATCAGTACTTTTCGTCCTCATTTATCACTCACCGTGATACCTCATACTAACAAAGTGAATCACACCTGAGGAAAGGGGGACTTACATCGGAAAGATGACACTTGACCGAATGCCACCCGGACAAGGCTGCGTCGGGAAATGTTCCGTATCCCTTTGCGGATCCATGCATGGTGCATAGATGTTCCCGCCAAAGTTCGGCCCCGTATAGCACCGGAAGCAGCTCTGCACCCTCCGGCCCAGGTTCGTCGGCGTGCGCCGGTTGACGTCGCCCGTGAACATGCGGAAGCCCTACCAGCAATCATCCACACAGTTAGCGCTCAACTTCTCAGGGTATACATGCGTTAGGAGAGAGGAACATACAGGCTTAAACGCAGTAACTGTATTCGGCCCCGGCGCAGTGTAATACACCGTGATACCGCCGTTTGCGGGGCCGATGGCCTCATTGACCATTTGTGGAACACGCTTATAGGAACCGTTCCGTGCGCGGAAGTAAACGTTGGCGGTCCAGTAGTTGGAGAGGTCTTGGTCAAAGGTGCATGAGGTGCAGGTGGCGAGTTTGGAGATGTCTGTGACGGGCATGCTGGCGTTGAAGGCGTTCTTGAACAGAGCATTAGCACACACTCGGAACGAAGCAGCGAGAGGTAAATGGGGAGAATTACACCGCCAACGATCTGGTGAACGTGGGCCGAGGGGACGTTGCCTGGTTCGACGAGGCTGGTCAGGTTAGCATGCCGAAGGGCCATTTGTGAGCAGCTCGTGACGAGAGTAAGCATACGGATCGACGCGATCAATCGCAATCTGCGAGCAGCCAAAGCGCAGCATGGTCGTGCTGAAGCCCTGCCCCTGGACGGCAGCGGGCAGGGTGAGTAGTGGTAGCCAGAACATGGTGAGAGCGCGATATTGTGAAAACACACTACACAACAATCCACCGACAACAGTGGTGAGTAGTCAGTCGCTTCACAGAAAAAGTATAGGAGTTCCTCACAAAAGAGTTCAAATCCGCTGCAGCACCCCCAGGGTATCCAAGTCCTAGATATTCCCTCCCTTACTCCGTCTCAGCCATCACCCGTTCTACCCCACAAGTTTCCCCCTTCGGAAGGCTTCCTCCCAAGTGCCGGCATGGTGACGGAGAGTTTGTGGGGTGCAAGATTGTTTATTTTATCCCTGGCCTATCACAGCCGGCGCCGTTGATGGAAGTGGCAATAAAGCACGGGTAACAAGCATTTTACCGAATGGACGTGTCCAGGCATCCGGCTGGGCAGTTAACGTCTTGTGACAGGAGCGCTATAGTTGGCAGAGTTTAAAGTAAAGACGGTAGAGGAAATCGGAAGTAGCGCCCTAATTGGTATTATGGCAGGTAAAAAGATTGGTTTGCTGGAGTTAAGGGAGTTATGTGGTTGGTGCGGATGAGATATGTGGATGGTGTTTTTCGTTTCGCACGGCTGATGAACCATGACCAAGTGCAGACCGTTAAGAAGATTGGTATTCCATAATAGATATGGAAGCCAGTTTAAAAACCAGTTTTCGACTAGTTCGGCAATGAGCATGCGCCACTGTTGATGCCATATGGGAGGGTATCCAACAGCCAAAAACACTCGAGCCAAGCCCAATAAATGCGCATAGCAGAATGATGAGATAGTCTCAATGCTCTCCTTCCCACCTTCACAGCCCTCAACCTCAAGGCTCCGGCAACCCATGCCCCAACGGGACCGTCTCCTCCCAGCTCCAGCCCATTCCTCCCGCCTTGGTCTCCTCCCATTGCCTCAACTTAACCTCCTCCCCCTCCTCAAACTCAAACACCCTCCAATCAGCATTCATGAACCAATGCCCCGTACACCCCAATCTGAGGAACCCCGAGTGTGAAACTACAATAACAGCCTTCTCCGGCCGCTCACGAAGTTCTATGAGTACAGTCTGCCCTCGGTTGATGATAGCTGACTTCGTTTCATGATAAAACGCTGCTTCTGGCGAAGATTTATCCGGGAAGACAGGATCAACCTGCGAGAAATCGACCTGCGGGAACATGGCCTTGAGCTCGTCGATAGAAGACCCAATGTCGCAGGGTTGGACGCCGTTTTCTGGGGCAGGAGTTAGTTTGCGGAGTCTGCGGATTGCTGGAAGATAGAACGAGAGAGACAACGATAGTTGTAAGCGGAGTGGACATCAAAAACAATGTGAACGCCAAGCGAGGAGGGAAATGTGCAAGTGAGGAGTGGATGAAGAAACTCACCTTGCCATCCGGCATGAGCCATGATGGGGACGCCTCTCTCGATGAGCTCCCCGAACATGAGCAAAGCTGTCTGGATTGTGCGCTTCATGGGGCTGACGATGATTAGGCCGACGTCAAAGTCTTTTGGGATGCGGGGGACAAGTTTGTCGCGAACTTGCCGGCATTGATCCCGGCCGAGTTCGGTCAGTTCGGGGTCATGGAGGCTGTAGTCTTGTGCGGTGAGTTAGCTGGAAGTAATGGCAAGGAATAGAATTATGTTTTGGCGTGTATTGATGAGATCAAGAGGAGCGAATGTCAGGGGGAAAAGCTGAGAGAGCTGGAATGGACGCTCCCCGACCCTCTCCCATCTTTCCCGCTTAGGGCCGGAGAACAGAGAACCAAGATTCCTGCTGGGTATACAAGGAAAATATTTCTCTCTAATCATGCCTGTGTCTTCTCCATAGGCATGATAACAAGGTACCAGGTGAAGAAAACACGGGGAACGGGGGGCACTTATTCTCCACATTGTGATACCCCTGAGCGTGGCGGACGAGGATCACCGTTGGGGCCATAGCGATGTGTCAGTAAAATGAACGAAGGAAGATCCAAAAGACTGAACGTGTGATTAAGGAACAAAGCTTAGTTCAAATGAAATAAAAAAAACCTCTCATCTGTTGACTCACGCAGACATGCGCTGGTGTTGATCTTGAGGGGTCAGGGGCTAAATGAAACCAGGGTTAGGGTTCCAGAATATACAGTGCGAACTAACGGTACAGATAAAGGTTGATAACTGTACCCTGGTGACATCTTCACCAGCAACGGTGCCATCTTAAGGGAACAAAACAAAGCAACAACAGGCTTCGAGCATCAAGGTCGTTACCACATCCATCCCCCACAATGGCAAGCATAGACGAAATCTTCCAGGTATTTCTCTCACTTCCAATTCCAATTGCCATGAACTTAACTAATATCATTTGCAGAAATCCGGCATACCCAGTAAACGCAAGCTGGAGCCCATCCGCGACCCAAGTGCGTCCCTTCTTACCCGCCATCTTTCCTTCAGCCTCCAATTAACCAGGTTTTTCCAGCTGAGATCTACAAATCTGCCAAACTCTCCCCAGCCTCTCGCCACGCTCGTGTCGAAGACGAACCCGGTCCCTCCGCCCCTCCTCCCGACGAAGCAGACGACGAAGACTATGGCCCAGCCGCCCCCCTCCCGACGACGACTACGAAGAACCAGGCGACGACGACGAAGGCCGCTTCTTCGGCGGCGGTATCTCCAAGACTGAGCGCGAAATCCTCGACTACATCGATACCTCCAACCCAGCTGCCAACTCCGCGACCGCGGACCTGTTACCCGAGGACGGCACACTCGATGCAGGGAGTCTAAAGAAGCTGGCGCTTGCGTTCGAGAAGAAAATAAATCGGAATGCGGAGCTACGTGCGCGGTATGAGGACGAGCCAGCAAAGTTTATTGATAGCGAGGCGGATCTGGATGCGGCGATTAAGGCGCTCTCGTTGTTGTCGGAGCATCCGGGGCTGTATCCGGAGTTTGTGAAATTGGGGAGTGCGGCAAGTTTGGTGTCGTTGCTGGCACATGAGAATACGGATATTGCGCTTGCAGCGGTGGAGATAATTGGTGAGTTGACGGACGAGGATGTGCCTGCGACGGAGGAGCAGTTTAGCGGGCTCGTGCAGGCGATGATGGATGCGGATTTGGTGGGGTTATTGGTGAGTAATTTGCAGAGGTTGCAGGAAGATAAGGATGAGGTTGATCGAGAGGGGGTGTACCGGGTCCTCGGGGTGGTTGAGAACCTTTGCTCGAGCGCAAGGAAAGAAACTGTTTCGGAGCTTGGCCGCGATAAGAGCTTGGTAACATGGCTCTTGGACAGGGTTAAAAAAGAAGAGACTACGCCTGGTGTTGTGGTCTCCCAGAACCGGCAATATGCGGCCGAAATCCTGGCCATCTTGGTCCAGGAAAGTAGAGAAAATCGCCGGCGTCTGGCAGAGATGGATGCTGTCGACCGCATGCTGCAGCTTGTGGCGCGTTACCGTAAACGCGATCCTGAGAAGGGCGGCGACGAGGAGGAGTACGTCGAGAATCTCTTTGCTGCTCTGACCAGCCTTGTGGACGAGCCAGAGGGGAAGGAGAAGTTCGTGGAGGCAGAGGGCATTGAGCTTATCCTAATCATGCTGAAAGATGGCGGGAAACTTGTCAAGCCCGCTGCGTTACGGCTGTTGGACCACGCAACAATCGGTGGGGGTGCTGCCACATTAGGAGTCTGCCAGCGTCTGGTCGAGGCCGGCGGGTTGAAGACCATCTTCACCATGTTCATGAAGAAGGATGACGCACGGATTATTGAACACCTGGTCGGCATCTTCTCACAAATGCTGCGCCTTCTGCCGGGCGACTCGCCTGAGCGGATACGGACTCTAGCCAAATTCGTGGAGAAGGACTATGAGAAGATCGAGAGGCTGATGAAGATCCGGCGGGACGTTGCTGCTAAGATGGCTAGGGTTGACGCCAAGATTGACGAGGAAAAAGCAGGTATGAACGAGGAAGAGAGGGAAGAGATGGAGGACGAGTGGTTCTCGCGGAGGTTGGATGCCGGGTTGTTCACATTGCAGACGATCGATGTCATTTTGGCGTGGTTGGTCGCGGAGGATGATGGAGCGAGGAGGAAGATAAAGGAGCTGCTGGCTGATCGAGATGAGACGTTTGATGTGATCAAGGCTACGATCCAAGAGCAGATCGACGGGATTGACATTGATACCGAGGAGGGCAAGGAAATGAAGGAGATGCTGAAGACACTTGTTGAGTTCCTGCAATAATGGATAATATCACAGATGGAATATAGTACAGGTGATTTTGATACCAAGATACCACGGCGAGGCATTCCGTTTATACCGCTCTATTATTCGCATTTGATCGTTTAGGCGAGCCAGCCTTGACATGGAATTCAAAGCTACATCACTCCTACACCTCGTAATCTTCAACTATCAGTCAACCCCCCTTATGACGTTGGAATCGCCTTAGCAGTATACACCGCCTCCAACAACTGCTCAATCACCTTGTCCTGGTTCTTTTTGCCTGCCTCCTTAATGGCAGCGATCTTGGCCTCAGCCTCACGGTTGGCCTCCTCCTCGGCCTGCTTGTTGCCACGTGTATGCTGCCCATCTGTCAGTATCCCTTAAGTGACCCCTTTTTCTATGTTGCCGGAGCTGGTAGTCTTAGTGGCCGTACCTCTGCCTCAAAAGCCCTGTACTCCGCCTCCTTCTGCGCCCGATAGGCCTCAATCTCTTTCTTGGCCTCGTCGCGCGCTTCTCTTACGCGCTTGGTGCGATCTGTGGGGGCGAACGGTCAGGGGCCTGCCATGTTTCGATAGGAGGTTTAGGGGAGGATAGGTTAGGAGGGCGTACATTCTCTGGCTGTCGTCGCGCATGTTAGCAGGTAGTTCAAGGGCATGTGGGAGAACATTGCAAACCTTTCTGAACAATCTTCTGCGCCTCCCTTTCGGCCTGGGGTCATTGTGAGTCCCAGTCACTCTGGCGTGTGGCTGGCATCTTGGACCAAGAACATGAATGACATACGTCGAGGAGAGTCTGGATACCCGCTGAGTTTTGTGCAGACTGTGACGATGTCAGCATCCCGTAGGTTAGGAGACCAATACGGGCATCATCTCAAGATGCTATCAGGACGGGTGACATCCAGGGGTCCAACATACCATGGTGGTTGCTATTATGAACTAGGAGGAAGGGAAGAAGAGGAGAAAAGCGGGCCTTGAAGTATCGGTCTTGATTTTCAACAGCTCAATAAATATCCGCCTTGAAATAGTTCCGCTTTCAATTGCAAGCGTTAGAAATCGTTGTCAACCCTCGAGAACTGATGTTTGCAACAGAAGTCGTCAACCAAGTCGGCGGAGCACCAACCGAGCGGGACCCTCCACCAACAGGCCGCGCAACGAACCCCTACCTGCACCGCTGACGTTCTGCGGCCGGCGAAGCTTCCCCACCTTGTCGCAGGCTTATCTTATCATAGCACGAGCTTTCTCAGCGTAGAGATTCTTCCTATTGCAGTAGGCGGTGAAGAAGTCTCCACCAATTACCCCGACCAAATCTGCAATCGCCCGCACACCTTCACGACCTCAGTGGTCCCTTCGTCCCTGCTGAAGCTACCTCCGGGTCCATCTCGGCGTCTCATGACAGTTCTGAGCTCCTGAGACTGACAACTTGAGATCAATCGACTGCGATGTGCTACGAAAAAGACTACCACAGCTAGTAGAACCCAAAAAGAGACCAAAACAATGTCCCGCGCATCCAAACTCACACTCCTCGGCACGTCTCTGTTTGCGGCTGGCACCATCGTGCTGGTGCACTTCCAGCAGAAGTGGGAGCAAGAGGTACCTACCACTCTTCACCGTTTCACCTCGTTATTCATCTCATGCATTGAACTGCCTTATCGCGGTTTATTTCCAGGTCAAATTAACTAACTCCCCGACAATAGGCCATGCACGCCGGCGTGATCCGCGATCTCGAGCAGCAGCGCCTGAAGATGGCACAGCGCCAGGCCGAGTTCGATGCTCAGCGCGCGTTGGAGGCGGAGTACAAGAAGGAGCAGAGTGTACGGGATACTACGAATGATGCGCCGCTAGTTGCTTCAGGTAAATCTTCGAGTTCTGGAGAAGGTTGGAGTTTGTGGAAGAAATAGGAGCCCTTCTCGAGAGCCAACTTAGGTACACCAGTCTGGCTGTAAATCAATTGGTTAGAGTCAGTTGTGTTGGGAAGGGGGATATATGATACCCAGGATAGAGCTAGCACAGCATGTGTCGATTGTACGATGTGTTTGTGTACATTACGGTACAGACTTTCCACTCGTCTCATTTTATCCATGTTCGATGTAAAGACAGATGAGAGTCAAGAAAGAGCTCGACATGAAAAGATTCTCTCATAAGAAAGAAGTGCGATGGTAAAATTGAGGTGTTGGCACGACGATCCCCGGGGGGGGGGGCGGGGGGAAAGAGAGGGGAGATTCGGTACAATGATCGCGAAGAGCTTCTGTGTCAAGGACATTCATCACGGGGCCACGAGAGGTGTCGAATCACATCAATTCAACCACCACGCTGGTTTTCACGCAGTAGGCATAACGGCACTAAGTCTAATTAGCGACAATCGCAGCCAACACACCCACCCTTCAGTCCCTTCTCCCATCCCAACGGTCTCATCCCACCTGTTCACCTTTTCCTTAAGACCAACTAACCCAGACACCCGTCCATCCTTCCCAGGACGGTACCGCCAACCAACCAACCTACTTGCACCACACTCTAACCCAACGTCTCCGAAAAGATCTTTACTCTCATAATAACTAGCATAGACAACAATGTGTTTCTTTGATTGAGCAAATGATAACGTCATACGTCTTCCGAAATAAAAACGAAAAACGCCCAAACGACCCGAGGGGAAAAGCAACCTTCTTAGTACTCTTTCTACGAACTCGTCGCGGCCACCGGCTTCCTCTTCTCGCGTATCTCCCGGATGACAAATAGGGAGTCCCATTCGTAGGGACTTGGTGACCTCTGCTGCCTCCGTCTCCTCTCCACGTCCAGTGCGTTTCCTTAGCGCACCGAGATGCCCGATCGAGTGGTGAACATGCGGGCTGCGATATTCATGGCCATGAGTTCCTGGAAGAGCAGCTTGGCTGCATACGGGATGTGCACCTGCGCAATCTTGGTCTTGTTTTTACAGGGCCGGCATTCGAAGGATTGTTTGGTGAGGTTGCTGAAGGCAGTTAGTAAAATGTCACACAGTTGGGAAAACGAAATAAAGAAGACCTACGCAATGGGCGTCATCAACCCGCAAATCTCGCAGATATGGACACGGAACGCATCCGACACCTCAAACAACCGCTCCTTCAAGAACGCCGCCGCACCGTGCGCAATCATACAATCGCGCTCCATTTCACCGAAACGCAGACCACCGTCGCGAGCACGACCCTCGACCGGCTGGCGTGTCATGATCTGCAGAGGACCGCGCGCACGGGCATGAATCTTGTCGTCGACCATGTGGCGCAAACGCTGGTAGTAGGTAGGGCCAAAAAAGACCTGCGCGCGCAGCTTGCGGCCCGTGTGGCCGTTATACATGATCTCGAAGCCACGAGACTGGTAGCCGTGCTCGCGTAATAGCGCCGACACGCTGTCGACTGTGACCTCGGTGAAGGGCGTGGCGTCGCCCTCCATGCCCTTGAGCGTGGAGACCTTGGACAGCAAGCACTCGATCAAGTGGGCAATTGTCATACGAGACGGAATGGCGTGCGGGTTGATGATGATATCAGGGGTGATACCCTCGCAGGTGAACGGCATGTCTTCTTGACGGTAGGTAACGCCAATAGTACCCTTCTGACCGTGACGGGAGGCAAACTTGTCGCCAATTTGCGGAATCTTGGTAGTGCGCACGCGCACCTTGACGTACCGCATGCCGTCTTGATTGGTAGTCAAAATGACTGAGTCGACAATGCCGTTCTCTGTGCTGCGCAGAGCTGTCGATACGTCGCGCTTGACATGCTGAGCCGTCCTTGAGCCGAGCTCAGCATTCTCCGGGTTGATCGGGCAAGTCTTGCCAATAATAATGTCGTCGCCCGACACACGCGTGCCCGGCGCAACGATACCGTCGGCATCGAGCTTATCGTATGTACTATGCTTCATGCGCAGCGTCTCAGTCCTGTTGGGCTTCTCAAACATCTCGACGATGTTGATACCGACGCGCTTCTCGCAATCCGTGTACGAACGGAAGAACAAACTGCGGAAGAGACCGCGGTCGATGCTGCTTTGGTTCATAATGACCGAGTCTTCTTGGTTGTAACCCGAGTAGCACAAGATAGCCACGATAGCATTCTGACCGGCAGGCAGCTCACGGAACTTGAGGAATTCCATGGACCGTGTCGTCGCCAGCGGCTTCTGAGGATAGTAGAGAATGTTCGCCATAGTGTCCATGCGGTGCGAGTAGTTGGTGAGGAAGAAACCCATCGCTTGTTTACCCATGGCAGACTGATACGTATTTCTGGGCGACTGGTTATGATCGGGGAAAGGAATGATACTTGCGCAGACACCGAGAAGCATGCTGGGGTGAATCTCGCAGTGGGTATACGCGTGCGTCGTCATGTTCATCTTCGTACGGATGCGGTTATTGCCGACGCCTGAATTGTCATGCACTTGGAAGCCGAGCTTGGTCAGGCGGTACATGTCAAGGTCCTCGGGGGTCATGCAGATCATGGCCGTCTCTTCCTCTTCGGCGTCCAGGTACTCGACAGCACCCGACTTCAACAGACCATCCCAACCCCAGTAGTCTGGGTGGTACTTGCCAAGCTCCTTGTCGCGCTCCAACCGCGCAATGTGCTCCTTCTTGAGCAGCAGCTGACCCTTCTCGACACCATTCTCGCCGTTGTCTTCTTGCTCAACAGTAAAGAGTGGCCTCATGACGCGACCAGCATCAGAGAAGATCTTGAACTCTCGGTCGCGGATGTCCCGGACCAACGACACCTCGAAGTTGATAATATTCTTGCGGCGCAGGCCCTGGACCAGGGACACGAGATGCTTGGGATCTTGGTGAACGCCAACCCACGTCCCGTTGACGAACACCTTGGTGGCGTTAGGGTACCGCAGTGGCTCGTACTCTTCCAACACCTCCATGTTCCTAGCAATCATGAATTCGATGATAGGCTCCGCAGGCGTACCAACGCTCACGTAGCACATGAGAGACAGGTTCTTGACGAGACCACAAGCCTGACCCTCGGGAGTCTCGGCAGGGCACACTAGACCCCAGTGGGTGTTGTGAAGCTGACGGGGCTTGGCCAGCTTACCATCACGACCGATAGGCGTGTTAGTGCGCCGCAAGTGTGACAGGGTCGAGGCGAACGTGTAACGGTTGAGCACCTGGGAAACGCCTGCAGTAGAGCTCATGGCCTTCTTCTGCTCACCCCAGTTGCCCGTAGCCAGCGAGTACTTCAGCGCGTTTGTGAGGGTCGAGTGCTTGATGCCCAGCGCCAAAGAGAAGTTCTTGTTAGTGTCGATACAGCGCTTCATGTAAGACATAAGATCCTGTGTCATGCGGCGGATGACACCACGGAACAGCTTAGCTAGCAGGGGACCAGCCAGATCCAGACGCTTCTTGCCGAAGTGGTCACGGTCATCGGGGTCACGACGACCAAGAGCGCACTGGAGGAGCTTGTGGACCATGTAACCGAGGAAGAAAGCCTTACGCGTCTCGCAGCCTTCCGACTGAGAGATGTGCGGGAGCATCTCCTTCTGAAGAAGGTCCTTGGCGGCGCGAATACGGTTCACGCGGTTCTGCCCGGCGTTACCATTACCACGTTTGCCGATGAAATCCAGGGCGACCTCACGGTCCTGGATGCAGAAAGCTTCTTCAATACACGGGCGAAGAGCCTCAAGCATCTGGGTATCGGTGCGGTCGTAGCAGATGTGGTTTAGAATATCCTCATCGGAGACGACACCAAGCGCGCGGAAGACGATGGCAAGCGAGATGTCCTCTCGGACATAAGGCAACGTTACGCTGACAGTATTAGCAAGGCGACCCTTTTCCGGCGAGGCCTTGGTGTGTAGCTTCATCTGCAGCGATGAGATGAGACGCGAGCCCTTCTCAAGGGCGCTGCGGATCTCGGCGACGTATGCGACGCTACCACCCGGTGGCTTCTTGAAAATCTGAACAATATTGGCCGCGGAGCGCTCCTGTGCGATGAGCACCTTCTCGCTGCCATTAATGATGAAGTAACCTCCTTGATCGTACGGGCACTCATTGAGCAGGAAGAGGGAATCATCGTCTTCGCCGTACAAATGGCACACCTTGGATTTCACCATAATGGGCAGCTTGCCAAGGAAGATGTAATCGGCCTTGTCCTTATCTCCCTTAAGAGGCCCATCGCGTGGTGCTTCACGAGGCCCGGTGTCCTCTTCCTCCCAGCGGATCGTCGTCGGGTGCTCGCCAGTCTTGGCTAAGTGCTCGCGTTGCTCATCGTCCAGCTCGTGATAGGGGATCGGCTCATTAATGGCAATTCGCGCCCGCTTCGTCACTTTGCAGTACATAGGAGCAGAGTAAGTCAGGTTGCGGTCACGACATTCATAGGGAAGAAGGAATGTCGTCTCGCCAGTCGTCTCGGTAAGGGTCGGCTTCGAAAGCAGAACATCCTGGAAGTGGATGTCATATCGCCGCATGGCAATGTCGCGGCCTTCATCGTCTCCGGGGTTCGGGTGGTCGAGCGTCAAATGGGCATATTCGTTCACGAGGGACTGGATTGTACTCTGGGTGAACTCGTTGAACGAGTCGATCTGTTGTGACACTAGGCCGTTCTTGTCGAAGTAGGCCGAAATTACCTCCCAGCAATCCTCGGGTGTGATACTATCGTCGCCGCCGTAGCCAGCTCCATCGTCGTAGCCGCCGGTATTTTCATAATTATCGTCGTTTTCGTAGGTATCGGCGTAGTCGCCATATGGCTGGCCGCCTTGAGTCGAGTAGTCGGCCATTGTGGAAGCTGGCAATCAGAATGTGGCGGTCCAATCCGGTCGGGTACAATGGAAACTTGAGGGAAAAGAGTAGAGAGAGATGGGAATCGGCGGGGGAAATTTTGGCTTTTGCAGGGTATGTGTCGGGATACGAAAATTAAATCAGAATTCTATGCAGGAATTGTAATGCTGATTTGAAGTGGTCGTCTCGTGATGAAGAACGAAATCAACGAGTGCAGCTTAGAAATCGCCACCGCAGGCGAGCGCGCGCATCAAACGCCGGCGCAAAGGCTTCCTCGCATCAATCGAGTGCCCGCAATCGACGTGATTTCGACAAGCACGAAGAGATGGGACAATATTGTAGCAATCGCGGCTAGAGCTGGCCGCGGCCGAAGTGATGGTCGCGGTTTGTGTTGAGAGGTTGTCGAGGAGAAGCGACACCAGGCGATTTTCCGCCTGCGGGAGGCTGAAAGACTGGAGCGACGCGGCCAGCTCGCTAGCCTTTTTGGGCTAAAAGTGGGGTGCCAGCTGCGGCGGGCCCGTGCTTGTGTCGCGTCAGCGCACCGAGCACACCGAGGTGAAAACGGTGTGGGGGAGAAGCCGGAGTTTCGGTAAAGAGATCTTCCGAAACCACGGGTTTGTGATGAGGCTCAGTTTTGTGGCTTGTGGAGTGGCTACGCTAGTCCATGCGTCCCCTCGTTGGCCGTTTTTCGGCAGCCAGAACGTTGAGCCAAGCTTTGTGGAGAAGCATCCTTAGTTTTCAAAAGCTCGGATCGCAAAGCCGACCTGAGCTCACCCATCGCCCAATGCAACGCGGGGATGCATCGAATCCCGTGTCCATCCCAAGATTTTCTTCCGGATTCCATCTTTGGCCCCTCACACGACATGAGCGACGCGTCAACCTCTATAAAGCACTACGATAGGCCAATTCTTGATGAGTTTCTCGTCGAATACTTCCCGTCTCTACGCTCACATGATGCTCAGCCCTGATTGCTGCACCCCTGAGAACTTGATGCAATGAAGGACCCCAAGTGAGATGACAGTCGGGATGATTTTGCGACAGCCACCAGCCCTTCACTTTACTCCCAACTAAAAAACTAGTCTTCCACCGCCTACGTGCTTTCCCGCCGCGGTCGGAATATCTTCACAGTAACCGTGTCGTCAATACAGCGCTCTGCCGCTTGGCGTCGATCTACGCGGCTCTTATTCCCAACGTCTCCATCCCAGGAATTCGCTCCGGCATTCCGAGCGCACGGAGCCCTATCTTCAAGCCGTGCCCCCGTGTGCCTGGTCGCGGCGCTACCCCCGCTATTACCCAAAACAGACACACATCCACGGCGCTGCCGGACCAGCTTCCGGGAAAGTGGAACGCTTTTGTTTCATTGGAACAACTTGGCTTGCTGCATTGAACGTTGTAATCCCGGTTAGGCGCCTGTTTGATGCCATTTTGGCGGGATTCTACCGCCCTCCGAGCTCCTTGTTCTCCCCGTTTGGCAAACACCATCTCGTCTAGGGCCCTTTCGCCGATCTGCTGTGATCCGCTATGCGTACCTGGTTGTCACGGTCCCCGCGTTCCCTCGACCTGGGGCTGCTGCAGTCATGGGCTGAAAACCGGGCTTGAAGGATGGCGCTAGATTGCTATCCCAAGGTGTATAAAAGCTGTATATGATGGAAGCTATCCCTCTGTCGTGTTTGTTGTCCTTGGCTCTCCAGTGATAAACGTCCCATCGATATCTCCTCACTCACGTCCGTAAAAGTCTGAGCACCCCAGACGAGCTTCAGAATGCGGTCGACTCCTGTTCTCCGTACCGCCCTTGCGGCTGCTCTCCCCTTCACTGTCCTGGCTGCCGACGGCAAGTCCACTAGGTACTGGGACTGCTGCAAGCCTTCTTGCTCGTGGCCCGGCAAGGCTGCTGTGAGCCAACCCGTCTTCGCCTGTGACCGCAACTTCAACCGCATCTATGACTTCGGTGCCAAGTCTGGCTGCGAGGGCGGTCCGGCCTATTCTTGCGCCGACCAGACCCCGTGGGCTGTCAACGACCAATTCTCGTACGGCTTCGCTGCCACCAACATTGCCGGCGGTAACGAGGCTTCATGGTGCTGCGCTTGCTACAAGTGAGTTCTTGCGTTTCCAAGAATAGCCAAGGGATCTCGGCTAATGCACTTTAGGCTCACCTTCACCTCGGGGCCCGTGGCCGGCAAGGTCATGGTTGTCCAGTCGACCAGCACGGGCGGTGACCTTGGCAACAACCATTTCGACCTGAACATCCCAGGTGGAGGCGTTGGTATCTTCGATGGTTGCACGCCCCAGTTCGGCGGTCTGCCCGGCGAGCGGTACGGCGGGATCTCGTCGCGCAGCCAGTGCGACAGCTTCCCGGATGCCCTCAAGCCTGGCTGCTACTGGCGCTTCGACTGGTTCCTGAACGCTGACAACCCGAACTTCACCTTCGAGCGCGTCCAGTGTCCTTCCGAGCTTGTTGCCCGCACCGGCTGCAAGCGCAATGACGACGGCAACTACCCCGTCTTCACTCCTCCTTCGGGAGACAGCCCCAGCAGCAGCAGCGCTGCTCCTACCTCCACCTCGACTGTAAGTCTTATTCTTACGGAGGCCAAGGATACACTTGGATGATCTCCTTGCTAACGATAATTTTCCTACAGTCGCAGCAGCCGCAGCAGCCGACCTCCAGCAGCTCGCAGGCTTCTGTGCCGACTAGCAACCCTGGTGGCTGCACCTCTCAAAAGTGGGCTCAGTGCGGCGGCATTGGCTTCACTGGCTGCACTACCTGCGTCTCGGGCACCACTTGCACCAAGCTGAATGACTGGTACTCGCAGTGGTATGTCTTATACGGTTCTGTCTCTGGGCGTGATCAGCAGCTAACATTACGCAGCTTGTAAGCACAATGATCAACCTGTGATCCTTCAACCTTGCGTTGAGCAACACATAGCCTCACTCATGACCATGACCATTCACTGTCACATATTTCAACGTACATAGTTCTCCACTTCTCGTACATAGCTTTGGATACAATTTTAGATCTTATTGCGCTTTCGGTCCCGGTGTGATGGTGACTCTCTTGAAGGAGCATTAAGCTTAATCCAAGACTTCTTGGTCTGCTTGTATCCTTGACCATCCGAGCTAACCATGATGTGTGTTGAAATTTCATTAGGCTTCCACAGGATTGATAATTGTCTCTCCAGAAGTGTTAGCCTCATTCCATTGGCTTGTCATTTTGTTTTGTCATTTGTATGACCGGTGCTCAAACGTACCTTGCCGAAGCAAGCCTGATGGCTTCCCGGGATATACGCGTTTGGTAAGCTGAGCTTACATACTAGGATTTCGTAGGCCATTCCAGATGGATGCCCAAGATCCCATAATATTTTTGGACTCAATTACAGTACCGACGCCCAAGTCGTTCGCAAACATGGAATTGAGAAGAGTTGACCTGAGATGCTCAATTTTTTTTCCCGAAGGAAATAGCGTAGTAATCATGGAATAGCATAGCATAATTCTTCAACACCATCTCAACAAAAGTATGGAAGAAATTCCACTGATATCCTTTGCCGTTAACTTACTTTTCTCATCCGCATGATCTCTTCTCCGAAACACAACATCGCTTAACTCACCTTGAACTTTCACTAACCATCCGACTCTTATCATACCATTTCCCACCAATCGCCTCAATCTAACTAAACTCCCATTCGCTTGTTCGGAATCCGGCAATCCGGCTGTCCCACGAACCAAAGCCCCAGCAAACAGCACACCGTCCTTAGCTATGCTCTGCTGCCCCATCCTCCAGCTCAGCGAATCGCATCCGGCCAGTTAACATAAAATGCCCAAATTCAATATATTTCCTCTGCATGACAACAATATGCGGTCTGAAAGCCACCCGCTAAACAAAGAAATTCATCTGCATGTTAGTTACACAAACACTTGCACAGCCGCCATTCCCGCCCAACAGCGCGCGAAGCCACACCCACACACCCAAAGCTAAGTTTGGCCCAAAAACCAGGCCAACACCATTTTACACTGCATACTTGCCGCATGCCAGATCTTTGCTCTGCATGTGGTGTAGTAATACTAAAATAAAAACGGTCCGGCTCTGCCTACCCCGCCAATGATGGTGTCTAGCTACCCACCCTCCATCGTGACATGTTTCGCCCAAAATCTAAGCTTTGCATGCCAAATCCGTGCCAATGGCATTTTCCATGTGGAACTTCCCGTCCTCACCTTTTTCTGCCGCCCTCCAGCTGGCCTAACTCCAGGCCAAGGCTAGACGAAGTGAGGCGAAGTTAGGCTAAGCCAAGCTGGTGGTGGTGAGCTGACAAGCAAAATTTCCCCGGATGGTCATCTTCCCGGTTCCGAGTAACTGGTAATTGTGTAGGTTATGTCGTAGTGCAGTAGCCGTTTTGGAGGTGTGCTGAACAGCTAGCCCGAAAGTACGCGGGCTGCCAACAACACAGAAGATAGTCAAGCCTGACTTCCCAAGCCGAGCCAGGCTCGGCTGAGATCATCTGCTTGATGTCTCTGTGTGTAATGTCTAATGTTAGATGCTGCTGTTACTGAGATGACCGACAGACAGGCTGGGCCTCTTTTCATGGATGGGGCTGGAGACGGACGGATGCCGTGAGATCCGGGAATGGATGCTGGAGGATAGGGCTATGTTTGCTGCTTGCTGCTGATTATAGTGGTGATGATAAATAATTTTGGTATGATTTTGTAAAGTGTGTTTGGTGTATATAAGGATGCGTTAAGTCCTGTGTTGAAGGGTCTGTCTCATCGCCATCACTTAGAGCATCTTCAAGAAAACAAGACAGGAAACACCCAAGACACGCTCAACACTCAAGCTTGAAGTCTCTTGACTCCCCATAACTTCCTCTCATCACACTCCATTTCACCAACAAAACATAACAACAACCAAAATGTACTTCACCACCCTCACCACCCTCCTCACCCTGGCCGCCAGCGCCCTTGCGGCTCCGGCCCCCGCCCCAACATACCACAACTGGCCGGGCGCCCCAACCAAGACCTACACCGCGCCGCGCATCACCCACACCGTAGTTGCCGGCCGGGGCGGACAACTGCGCTTCGATCCCGAAAACGTGGTTGCCGAAGTCGGTAGCATCGTCGAGTTCCACTTCCTTCCCGCCAACCACTCCGTCGTCGAAGCGGCCTTCAACGCGCCCTGCCGTCCGCGTAGCGACGTCGACCCTGCGGCCCCGAACTCCTTCTTCAGCGGCTTCTTCCCCGTCACACCAAACCCGGATGGATCCTTGTGCCAGAGCGAAGAGGTCTTCCAGATTGAGGTCAAGGACGACAAGCCAATTTGGTACTACTGCGGTCAGCCCGGCGGTGGCGGGCACTGCCAGAGGGGCATGGTTGGTGTGATTAACCAGCGGTTTGACACGCCGTTTACGCTGGAGAAGTTCCGTCAAGAGGCCGCTAAGGTTCCCCCTCCGCCTGGGCTGCCAGCTGGTGGCGTCCGTGGTGGTTGGCGGATCCCGAATCCTAACCCTCTGGGTGGCTTCTAAGCCACAACGAGGACTGAAGCGATGGGATTGGCTTGGGGGATTTGATTGGCTTCTTCCTTTCCCTTATGGCAATATTTGGTCTTTGAGCATTAGGAATAACTGGCATCTAGATGGATGAGCTTCACAAGCGTTGGTGATTGGCATGAAGAAGTTGAGGGTAGGGTTCTCATTGGAAAGGGGCCATAGACAGAGCTTTGCATATGGGTTCAGTTCAAAGATGTCTGCATTTCTTAGTTTCTGGTTTTCTTCTTAGTTTGCAATTAACGCTCCTTCCTATTCTGATAATTTCCATTTACATAGCCAGATTGTGAAAGAAGATGAACAAGTGAAGATCGAGTACTTGCCTAAAACCAGCCTCGCCCTTCTCTCTCCCAGTAAGCTTGAGGAGCAAAGGGAAGTCCCATCATGAGTAATCCTGGTATCTTCCACTGTTTCAAGTCCTTGAAAATACTTTCTCGAAGAGCTGTAGTGCCTTCAAGTATTGCCTTTCAGTCATCCCCAACTGACTGCTCCCCGGTGTCCCTTCGAAGGGGTTGAGGGGGGGATCGAAAGGAAGCAGAAATCGCGCCATGTGAACCGCGAGACAACATGCTGGTGCTATGGTAGTTAATAACAGGAGTAATTAGCTTTTCAATTTTGACATCTGTAAGAAGTTACAGTAATTCATGGATGAACCTCAGGGCAATGTCGAGATGAAGTTGCGTTAGGGTTGCAGATCTGAGATGACGCCTTGGTGGTGCTCTCGAGACTTGGCGCCGTCTCTCCATACCAACCCCAATCCTGATTACTTGAACAAAACTCCACGCCGAGAAATGAGAGTGCTTCTGTAGTTTGTATTCGGCCGGATTCTCGGGGACCTTATTTCGGAATGCATGGGACTTATATCAGATTCTTATGGCTGGCTGGCTTCTAGGTCAAAACAGAAACCCGAAGGAATTGTTCTTGGTTCATTTGTTAGCATTGTTCAAGGGGAAAGCAGATCGTTTGTCAGTGGTGACACACGATTTCAATCGCTACCTGAAATAAAGACACAAAAACTCTCTCATCTCCTGCAGAATCGTCGCCTTAACCGGATGGTCAGCACTTTGCCCTCCTTCAGGGCATTCCTCACTTCTTCCGGGAACGCGCCCTTCCAAAACTCTACACTGCCCGCCACTCACTCGTCCACGACGTGTGATCAAGATTTTCGCCACTAATATCGATCCACCCGGCTCTGTGGACGGTCGTGCTCGCCATCCAGGTCATGGCGCCGCTGGGATATTTGGTTTATGCATTGAGCCCTTGACCTAGTTGAAGGGATCAGCCCTGGGACTCAAGTTGGATGCCAGCAGCGGTAGGTCAGCCTCCTTAGTGAGCGGGGTGAATGTTTGACCAGGTAGACGAGCTGGGCGTTGAGCTTGTGGGCGTAGGTACAGAGATGATCATTGAAGCGGCATGGATTACATTTTCTTGTCCATGGCGAGGCCGAAGGCCTGGAGGCAACTGCTGCGAAGGATACCATAGGGACGCAGCTTCTTGGCCGTCGCGATGTAGCAGGCCATGATGGAGTTCAGGTTCTTAGTACTGGCGATGTGGTTGTCCCGCTCAAGTTGGGTCAGCATAGCCAGAAACGCGCGGATGCAGAGTTGGTAGGTTGCGTCGGCTATATAACTACCATTACTCCTGATTCAGGTGTCAATATTTCACAATCGAGTTGTGAAAGGAGCTTGAGGGAGACGTGCTGTGTGACAGCGAGCGAAACATCCCTCTGCAGGAAGCATCCCAAGGCCTCGCAAACAGCTCACTGCTCTTTGTTTCGAGGCCTCCGAGCCAGCCGAGGGTGGTCCCATTACCACATGTGGTCGATCGACCTTTTAGGCCTCGACTAAGAGAATTAAGGCTTGTTAAGCCATTACCTTCCAGTTGCCGACTTTTCTGGCCTTCTCATAGTTGAGGAAGATGTTTTGGAGCATTTCAATAAGACCATAACCCTTATGATCATTGAACGTATACATGCGGAAGTCCGGCACGCGCAGCCTGTAATAGATAAACTGCTTGTGGAACACTCTACTTCCCAGTATTGGTCATATTCCACGGGTGATTTGGGTGTTCATCGGCCGGCTTCTTCCACATGAACGTTTTACTGCCGTCGGATTTACCCTCGCGAGGATTCACACCGCCCTCCTCTTCCTCTTCCTCCTCGGCCTTGGTGAAAGGAGGTTGGCATAGGCACATACAGCTGTACGCCTTGACTGGATCCTCAGTAATGAGTTCCCGGTACTCTATGTCAGCATTCTTCGTTCGAACCCGAGACCGCGGACCAGAGCTTTCTCGGGGACACGGGGCGCACTCCCGCATCGGCCGGAGCCTAAGAAGCAGCAGTTTAGGGAGCAAAGGCCCCTGAAGGGGGGGGTTCTCAGCAGCAGAAGCATGCTCGGCAACGGCTAAGGTGGTGGCGGCGTCCATGGGGACAAAGGACAATCTCGATTCTTTTTCAATGCGCCAGATTGCGCGCCCGTGGAAAGGCGTTTGCGGGTAAGCATGGAAGTCGTGATGACAATAGCGACTAATATAGGACGGACAATGGAGAGTAGAAATTTGGCCAAAAGCCGTACAATTGAACGTAATGGAAGTTTTTCAATAAGACGATGGCAAATGTTGGATTGAAAAAAAGCGAGAAACGTAGAAGGGGATCTTCATGCCCTTAAGGGTCAGAGTGGTTATTGGCAGTGAAGGTACATTGATCATTTTCTGGAGCGTCACTGGCTGAGCCGGATGGATGCATTAGACAAAAGCGATGGGAACAACATCACAGACAGTCGCGGCCGACGCACAGCTGGCTGATCTCACTGGAGGGTTTCATCGAGTGGGAGTCGACAGCTTTGTTTTGTTGGCCGACATTTTGCGAGGTGCGGCAGCAAGCTCTCCGAGGCAAGAATCAGCAAATTGCCAACAGCCTTTAGCGGGTCAACAGGGAAAGAATGGAGAGAGCAACTGCACGAGCTGGAAGTTGCACAGTGTGGATGGCGAGGAGGGAAGCCATTTCCTTGAGGCTTCCACGCAAGCTTTGGGAGCAACATCACACTTCCCTTTGGGTCCTGTTAGTCTCTTGTCACAAGCAATCATTATCCATGCTTTTGAAGGCAAAATTTCAACTCATTGGTGTGCTGAGAAGTTTTTGCTGCTAAATTCGTCTTAATCAACATAATCTTGGAAGAAGTATCCAAAGTTTGAATTCTTTCTTGATGACGCTGTGTTGTTCCGGGGGTAAGGGACCTAGCTTTTGACTCTGCAACCTCCGGAGACACTGACAACCTAAGTGTCAGTGCCTTGACTTTATCACTTCCGACCACCGATTGCTTCTGACAGAAGCCTCTCGGAAGCTTTAATCCTCTCTAAGATGTCCTTCCTCTTCATCACCAGAGCTCCCTCGGGCGACGTCTTTCCGGTTGAGCTCGTCCCAGCATGGGTTTACACAGTCATCCTCTTCTTGTGTGTGGTGGCAGCCGGTTGGTACACGGGCATGTAGGGTACTGTTCCCGACTCGGTCTTTCGCTCTGATTCAGTTGACCGCCGACAACGCCCAAGACACCAAGCCAAGGGAAGGAAAGGGAAGAAAGAGTGGCAGGGAAGTAAAGGAGGGAATGAATCATCTTCGACAACACTTGTTCCTGTCAATTTCTATATCGACACGACACTAGCGACTATCCCTCCGGAATGGCTGTCAGGAGAATCCCCGACAACCCTAATCGACTTCGACGGTCTGGCAGAGATGTTGCAGTCGTTGCTCCAGTATGCCCCGTTCAATGTGTCACAAAGCCAGCCTGGTGGCAACAAAAATTTAACTGTTGCTTATAAATTTTACGAAGGAAGGCTTAGAGTTGGAATACCGTATCGCTTGTTCAAAGACCTGGCTCGCCTCAGTGGTTCCAGAACCTATCGTGAAGCAGCAGAGCCGCCAGTTGACCCGAAGGTTACAGGAGATGATAGAAACAAGAACGACAATAACCCTGCCAAAATTGTATCCAACCCAGAAATATTGTCTGAGGAAAATAAATAACAGAGCAGCATGGTTCTTTGGAGATGCTAAAGAGGGAGTTGTCTCAACAATACCGTTTGTATACCTACATCCTGTAAAGCAACACGTAAGCGAAATTGAAAGAAGCATAGAGGCTACCTTGGAGGGAGAATTATCTCAACATGAAAAGAGATATGTGCCATTCAGTTTCACAAGACGCAGCTTCCATCCGATTATTGGCCAGCTGTAAGTGAAACACAAAGTTCAATGGCATCACAAAAGATTTGCATGGTTTGCTCTCCACAGCTTTCAAAGAAGATATTACTAAAACCATTCAAATACATGTTCATGTCTTCAAAGTTTCAAAGTCATGAGATCAAACAATCTTACTCGCACTGAAGCAATATTTGCACGGGAGCAGAGCGTTATACGTACGCGAAATTAGCATGCCTGTTCCTGGATTGATTGCATCATGTGGGACTCTGAACACTGAGATACTGAACTTCGTGTGCTTCAGCTAGAATCAAGCATTTTTAACAGCAAGATGGGCTGTATCTAATGATTCAAACAACTAGATGACCTCATATGAATTAGAAACACTACGTATTCCAGAATTTTATTGCAGTTCAATCCTCAACATCAACAAATTCACCATTTGGATCACTTGCTGATGGTAAATCCTTCCTCTATCTCCTCTTCCCAAGGAACGATACATCCCGGTCAACATCCAAATTCCTTGCAGCAGCCTGAACTCTTGAATCCGGGCCAACACAATATGAAGGGTGGTGAATGAGCGTGCCTTTTCAAACATTACACACACCGAGTCATTGATCTTCACAATGAGAAGGTTCTTTTTTTGTATTGTCCATGGTCAAGGGATCGGGGTATGTGAGCTCGCAAATCAACCTGTCATTGTCCCAAGCGCTATCGACTTGGTTAGAAGAATAGAATCGAATGACAGCACTACGCCGACATTCTTCCTGCAACCTAGAAAGTGGTAGCACAAAAGCTTACTCGCTCCAACATGATCCGAGTTCCCTTTTCTTAAATCAACCTATTCCTGCAGCCTGCTTGAAGTTTTGTGGTAATCATTGACCCAATGTTCACCAGTATTTTGAATTTACGTTGCTGATCGAGATAAAAGCCGAATGTATATTGTGACATTCACCATGAAAGGGCAGATCCTTTTTCTTCGGGCGATAATGAAGGAAGCGGGAACAGGGAGGATCTCTTTTTTGGGGTTGAGGCACATATTGAGTCTAGAAACAAAGTTGCACTCCGACTCACAGGTTCACAAACTTCGGTTGACTTAATAGATGCTGCCAAAGTTTCAGGATTGCTACCACGTGTACCAAATGCAAGTGATTGCACTTCTCGCTTATGTGGCCCAGAAGAGCAGGATCACGTATATACAGATTTCGCTGATTTCAATTATGATGGTTTGGCCTATGATACCTCCCCATACTCTCTGATACAAAACAGAGGACTTGTTCCAAACCATGAAACAAGCCAGAGCCCTTGGCAAAAAGATAACATCCGGTTGATCTGCAAGTGCTGATATGTTAGCAGTTGACCAGTCGGTTGTAAGCTTAAGAACACTATGACACAATTGGCTCTGAAGACCAAACCACGTTTCAAGGCATAGCACATATAACGCTTGAGGTATGTGGTTTTTGAAGCTAGACAGCTGGTTTTTTTGATACAATTGGACTTGGGTCACGAATGATTATAACAGGCACCGTGATAATTTTTGAGGATAAGGGTTGAAGTCATCAAACACCTGTCGATGTTTTCAATGTTGATTAGGTCATATCACGGAGAGTACAGAGATCAAGAAAGTATGATTCTATCAGCATCAGCCAGCCATGTGACATCATGATAAACACCTGAGGCGAAGATAAAGAAAAATTAAGGATGCCGTTCTGGCGGTGCCACTAACTTTCTCTGCCAGGGGCTCGGATTCTTGCTGGTGGCCCCCAAAGCACTGCCCCTCTAATTGATGGCCTTCTGCAGCATCGGCATGTTCCCTATCCCACCAGTCCCACCACCCGGTTTATGTGCCCCGTTGGTAGTGCTGATGCAACCCCAGGTCGGAGTGCATCTGCAGGGTACGGAGGGGTAATCGTCTGAAGTTGCTTGTAACCTTCTCGCCGTGGGCCGAGGGGCTTTCTCCTAGCGCAACAGTCACCGGGAAGAGTTTCCAGAAGGTTTTCGTCAGCCGTTGGAGGTTAATGCCATGGCCACCAGATCGGGTGATCGCTGTCAGTTGATCATGACAGGGACCGGGGTCCCAGATCCTTGGTCTGCCGTCGCAGATCGACAAAATGGCGCCGATCCTGTTTCGAAATCGGCTTAAAACATTGGCTCTGAGTGGTGGTGGAGAAACTGGATGGTGAGCTGGGCGATGAGCGAGCGAGCAATACTGCGTTGCACTCCAGCCAGGCCTGATGGGGCTCGAGGAGATGTTGATGCCTCTAGAGAGTGCAACGTTGAAAGTCGGATAGAGGATGGCAAAGGGAAGGGGTTGGAGTAGATAAGCATCTTTTTCTCTCACCATAATCTGTTTGTCAGGGCATCCTCCTGAAGCCATTCTCTTTAGCCAGAAGCACATTCATTGATTCGAATTCGCTCATTTCTTTGAGGTCGCAGGTCGACTGCAACTGTTTAATCCCATATATCCACCTGTTTACGAAGAATTAGTCCACACTGCAAGCAAAATGCATAAACTCGCCCTTCTCTCCCTTCTTCCAGCCGTCCTGGCCTGCCTCGATCCCAGCAAGAATGCCTGCGCAAGCTTCATGAATGCCAACAAGGCGACCGCGTCCGCCTTCTGCGCGACCTTCACCCGCAGCTTAGTCACTACCACGCAAGGCCTGCCTGTATGGGCCACAAACTGCAGCAACAAGCCCAGCTTGCTCTCCAAGAAATGCAGCTGTTACTTCACGGGTAATACTGCCCCTCCAACGATAGTGAAGGCGACGACCGCGGCCGAGGCTCCCACTATCAAGACTATGACGGGGCTCAAGGCGACCACTACAAACAAGGCTACCACCCTCCAGACCAGCACGGTTCGGGTCACGGCTGCCCCGTTGGAGGTGACCACTGCTCTGCCCAAGAGCTCTGGCGCCGTGTCAACCTCGGCGGCAATTACCGTCAAGGCCGGCCAGACCTTCGACGGCGGCATGAAGAACTATGACCGGTGGCGTATGTATCTTCTGTATTCCACATTGTAAACGCGTAATCACTAATCTCCTCCCAGCCCGCGTCTGCCAAGAACAAAAAGAAACGGGCGAAGCGGACGCAATGTTCGTCCTCGAAGACGGCGCAACCCTGCAAAACGTGATCATCGGCCCAAACCAAGCCGAAGGCGTGCACTGCAAGGGCCGGTGCAACATCATCAATGTGTGGTGGCAAGACGTGTGTGAAGATGCCATCACCCTCAAGCAGTCCTCGGGCACCTCCAACATCATCGGCGGTGGCGCGTTCAAGGCCTCCGACAAGATCGTTCAGTTCAATGGGTTCGGCACGGTCAACATTAGGAACTTCTACGCGAAGGACTACGGCAAGGTCGCACGCAGCTGCGGTAACTGCAAGACTAACGGCAAAGGGTCACGGCACATCGTGCTGGAGAATATTAAGGCAGTTGATGGCGGTGTCCTGTGTGGGATTAACACCAATTATGGGGATACCTGCACGATAAAGAGCAGCTGCCAGAAAAAGAATAAGACCTGTGACCGGTTCACAGGGAATAATAGTGGGAAGGAGCCAAACAAGATTGGAAGTGGTGCTGATGGGCAGTATTGCAAGGTTAGTTCGTTTGTCACGAGCTGCTGAGGGTGGTCATGGTTGAGGTTAAGGGCCGGTGGACTGGCTCTGCCTGGTTGAATGAGGATGCGGTTTGGCTTTGTTGCGCATAATCTTGTTTTTTTTCTTGGACACATTCTGTGCCTGTAGAATCCTTCAATTCTCGTAAACAATGGGCTTCTGTACAGTACTTATTGTTGAGGTTGCTTCATTCCTTGATTGTGATCTCTGTTGTGTAATTTGTGTCTTGACGTAGTTGGCACAAGGCTCAGAAAAAGACGAAATCATGAGGCTGCTCCGTCAGTTTAGAACCAATAACCATCCCTCGTAAACAGATGTAACAGCTCCGAGCAGAAATTGCAACGCTCTTGGAAAAATCTCTGAGACTCCGGCCGGGTGAAGCGTTTGATCACAGGGGTTTGCCCGCGGGATCTGGGATTATGCTCTAATGCCAAGAACGCATAGGCTGAGGCCACGAATGGTTGCCTAACATGGAGTTGATGTCTACAGCACCAACCATCGTTGTACTAATTTTCTTACAACTTTCGTGTTTGTCAAAAATGGAGTTTGCTCGCTAGAAAGTGAGGAGAAATGTTCATGGGGGCAAAAGAAAAGCTTCCCGGCCCGGGAATTGAACCCGGGTCTCAGGCGTGACAAGCCTGCATACTAACCACTATACTACCGAGAACTTGTTCCGTTAGCAGAGGCATAATTAGTAACCTATCAGGCGGCTCTGAGCATGTCACGAAATCACCAAACGGACACAATTCGAGCAAAACTTCCCGAACGTCCTCAAGATGCAGTGACTTGAAATAACAGAGGTGACTCCGATGCTTTGCTGATACTCAAGTGCACAACAGGGAACTTTGAGTTACCCTGTAGTCCTCCATTCCACGCTGCACGTTGGCTGTTGGAAGAGAAAAACCGACTCTGAAAAACCAATTAATACTTATTTCCTAACTATTCTGCATGCTTCACGGAGCGGGCTGCTACAGTGGCAGAATAATTTCCCCTTCAATGTCGGTATTCTGCTAGAGGAAACGAGCAAAAATAAACTGGAAGTCAAACATACAACACCGGGGATTCCCCAGTCGTCACCGACCTGAGTACTAACCCGGCCCTCAGTGGCTTATCTATGGGGGAGCGGACGGGATCCCGAGTTTTCCACTGGGTATGGTCGTATGTGACTGAACATCGGCCAGTATAGAGTTTAAAAAGATCAAGTAAAAGTCTTGTCTGGTGATGCAGGCGAAAACAGCGTTTCGTGGTCAGACTTAAGGGGGAAACTGGCGTTGAACTCACTCAAAGTCAAAATATCTTTGCAACACTATACTTATTTCCAAAATGAACAAGATACAACTTAAAGCGAACCTTGAGTATCTCTAACCTCTCTCCCCTCTATCAATCTACCTTGAGGCCCCTAATTCCCCGCCCCCATAGTCTGCGCTTTATAATACTCCTCCCCCTTCCTTCTCTCCTCTTCAATAATTTCCTGTACTGACTTCCCGCCCTCCACCTTCCCCCCATAATACTTCTCCGCCAACTCGATACATCTCAGGTTCGCAGCCAACTTATTCATCGTCTCCATCCACTCCTCTGTCTTCTCGCTATCAAACACAATCCCGCCCCCTGCCTGCAAATACGCCACGCGATCCTTAATCAGCATCGTCCGAATCGCAATACAAGTATCCATTTGCCCGTCGTCCAGCTCCGTTACCCCCTTTTCATTGACCCTAACAACATCATACGCAAACCATCCCACCGCACCGGCATAAATTCCCCTTTTTTCCTGTTCAAGGTCGTAGATTAACTCCATCGCGCGGATCTTCGGCGCGCCAGAGACGGTTCCGGCCGGGAAGATACTCCGCATCGCGTCCCAGCGTGTGCACTCCGGCCTGAGAAGGCCGGATACCTCTGACGTGAGGTGCTGCACGTGCGAAAACCGATCAATCCGCATTAGTCGGTCGACCTTGACCGTGCTAGGGTGGCAGACGCGATTCACATCATTGCGAGCGAGATCAACAAGCATGACGTGCTCGGCGCGGTCCTTGGTGCTGGCCTGCAGCTGCGCGGCGAGGGCATCGTCTTCGGCCGGGTTGGCTCCTCTTCTAATCGTCCCAGCAATGGCATGGTTGACAATGCGTGGCCTTAGCCGGGCCTGCTCCTCTGTAGAATACGCAAACCTCGCATCCACAGGCAGGGTTGCATACCCGTCCGTCTTCATCAGACACTCGGGCGAGGCACCTACGATGTGAAATTCCTTACAGGAAAGGAAGAAGAGGTAGGGTGAGGGGTTGAGCGTGCGCAGAGTGCGGTAGATGTTGAAGGGGTGGAGCGTAGTGGGGCGTGAGAAGCGTTGCGAAGGGACCGCTTGGATGATGTCGCCTTTAATGATGTGCTCTTTTAGTACGGTCACGAATCCTTCGTATCCGTGACGACCGACGTTGGATTCGTATTTGACTTCGCTGGAGGAAGGGTGGCAGTCGGATTTTGGGGGGAGGGGGGTCTCAGGGGTTTGGATGCGGTCGAGGGTCTCCTTTAAAGTAGCGATCGCAGCGTCATATGCGCCCTGGAAGCCGTCGAGGGAGGAGGGAAGACGCATGTGCGTGACAATGGTAAGGGTCTGGTTGAAGTGATCGAAGATAACCAGCGTATCGAACAGCATGAACAGGGCCTCGGGGATGTGCAGGTTGTCCTTCAGAGGCCGGGCGGTCTTCGGCTCGAAGTACATGATGCAGTCGTACGAGAGATAGCCGACGGCACCTCCAGTCAAGGAGGGGAGCTTGAGGGAGGGGATGGCGAGCACGCTGTCTTGGGCGAGCTCGGCCTCGAGGGCACGTAGAGGGTCGCCGACATCTTGGTAGCTGGGGCCCGTGGCTAAAACTTTACGGGGGTCTAGAAGCGGGTTAGATATGAGCAATTGGTGAGAGATTGGGATGAGATGAAGGCATACTGGCTCCAATAAAGCTATAACGTCCAACCGTTTCTGTGCTGCCTGTAGCACTCTCTAGGAGGAATGAGTACTCGGCCGTAGCGCTGTAAGGAGCCGTCAGTATTTCATTCCAACTCATTTATTAGCCTTTATTCATCATCAATTGGCCAAAAAAAAACCTTCACCCTCATCTCATGAATAAAGGGATCAATTACCCATTAGACAGCTTAAGATAAATCGCCGACGGCGTCAGAAGATCTGACGGCACCGTGACGCACACAGGCAGCAGGGTCGGCCGCGGGGCTTTCTCAGTGCTCGCGCTAGCCTTCAGCGTCTGCTCAAAGAGCTTGTGAGCCTCGGCGGCTGTTGGCCTGGCATCGATCTGATCGGTGGCCATTTTATCTTCAGAGAATCGGGGACTGACCACTGCCCGGCCTAGCCGTCGCGTTTAAGACTCTTAAGTAATGGCTGTTGGGTCAGGGTCCCGATAAGACAGGCGCGTGCTGCGGACCGTTAAGCTTAAGCTTGCTGTCTCTGAAGTTCTCGCTCTGCGGTGATGTACCCCTCCGAGTTCGGGTGAGTCACGGCGATGTTGTGGTGGGGCACCGACGGAGTTGGACCCCACAGTGACCCTAACCCTGGACGAGAGATAAAAGAGGGGAAACACAAGGGAGAAGAGACGAAGCCAACAAGTTCTCTTCGACACTCAAGAATTAATTGTAAAGAATTGAAGCCATGTCATTTTTTCAGGTTAGTAAACTACTCGTCTCTGTTGCTACTTCGCCTCTACAATGCCCATTTGTTCAGGGCTCGCTAATATCAGGATCTCTGCCAAGACTCAGATAACCAGTGACAACCACTAATGAAGCATCGGAATGTTTCGATCCGCAATCACTCGACATACGTTTCATGAAGTGCTTTGATACAGCAAAAAGGAGCTAAGAACCTCGTTCTGTTTATGGATTTGCGAACGGATATCAGTGCTTATCAGAGAAGATATGTCGTCGTCGGTGTCTGACTCATATCTACGAGGAGTCAAATTTGAGGGCCATGGAGAGTTCATCTTAGTTAAACGCCCCCTGTTCTTCGTGATCCAGTCGGTCAAGAAAAGTCGATTCGACATCAACTGCCGTTAACCAATACGAGTATAATAGATAAAAGAAAAAATCAACGCCCATTCCAAATCCCAGGTATCATATCAACCATCATAACCAGCCATGCCGAATCCGATCCTCAGCCATGACCCTTGCCTTCAGAAACTTCCTGCTTCGATCTCCCTCTGTTAACTCAGGTTACCCTTAAAGAGGAATGGGAATAATGCAGCAATTGCATGGAATCGGACACGGGATACAGAAGCAGAACCTGCCCGGGCACGGTCCCCTATCAGATTGCCCGCCACGGAGGGAGAGGTCCTGTTCTTCTGACTGTTGTTGAGTCGAAGCTGGAGCTCGTTCTGCGACACTCGTCAGCGTTTTAACATCACAAGGCTGACGCTAGTGTGAGTACGTACGTGGCGCCATAGTCATAGGCTCCTGCTGCATAGGCTGCACCGTCGTCGGCCTCTTGAAGTATGTCGGCTGGGGGAAAGTCAGGGGCGCAGGACCCGCGGAGGTGAAAGAAGCAGACTCGTCGCTGCTGGAGAGGGAGGAGCGTGTTGACGGCGCCATCTTGCTAACTATGAACTCAGTGAGCAATTCTGGCAAACACAGCTCCCAAAGCCCTGATGTCTACAAGAACAATCCTTGACGGCCCAACAAGCGGGAGGAGATCAGGTCAAAATAAGCTTTCCGAGTTCAAACCAACAACAGCTCAGCGCGAAGGAAGCGGCTGAGCTGGCGGTCGGTCGAGGAGCTGAAGGTGCGGGGACTCTCGAGAGGGATCGACTTGATTGGACCCTGAGGAGCCAATTGTTGCGGTTCAAGACCTCCCAGCCACAGGAACTGACGTCATCCGCTCAGGACCCCTGTTCATATTGGGGGCTGAGCAGAGGTGGCGCTGGGGCTTTGTGTTGGGTTTTGTGCTGCTGCATCCTTGGGAGATGGGGTGAGAGGATTTTGAGGGCCAGTAATTAATGTTGCATCAGTTATCAACGACTACGATGACTTTTAGGGGAGTTTTGAGGGTGGCGGTCGTTTTGGATTTCCGTTCGGAGAATAATACAGAGATGGCGACATCCAGCTACCAAGCTCAATCGCGATCTCCCCCTTCCGACCTGTCAAAAGGCATTGGTACAAAGATATGCCCTCAGAAGTACACCGACCATCGCTGAAACAACGCCCCAAACAACTAAACGCTGAGTCTATTAGTATTCATACCAGCTGAGCATACTCCAACCCGACATGCGATACTCCAAGCGCCTGTCGTCCTCACCGCAACTCCTCAAACCCAACCAACACGCCCTCCTCAGCCAGCAGACCTCATACAAAGACTTTCGAACCCTCAATCCCCCAATCCCCTACCTCGGCCTCTTCCCCTGCGTCCAAGGCATATACTTCAAGGGCGACGTCGTATCCCCCACCTCCGGCAGCCTCTCCTCATACCTATCATGATAACCAGGATACTCTTCCCCCTCATAATCAATCAACCACACCTTTTTTCCACCCCCAATATTCGTACACTGTTCCCCTTCACTCCCCTTCTTCCACCCATTATCACACTCTCCATTCTTACACCTCCGATCAAATCCTGCCGTCCACTCTCCATCGTAGTACCACCCGGTACTACTATTCTGAGTCACCCGTATCCACGCCCACGCTTCGTATAACTCCCGGATGTCGCAGTCGCGCTTCGTGCCTTTGAAGTCGTACGTGCCGCGGTAGTTGCACATGTACGCGACAGAATCGTTGATGGTGCAGCGCGCCTTGGAGTGTGAGGGCATGGGGCCTTTAGAGCAGACGTTGGCGTGGAGACAGAAGATGGCTTGATGCATGTCGGACTCGGAGATGGGGTTGTGGGTGCCGAAGATTTCGGGGCCGGTTTTGAGTTTTTTGGCGTGTGCTGTGAGGGGGAGGTTGAGGAGGGGCAAGATTAGGAGGAGGGGGGGGAGGAGAGAGAAGATAGTGCGTAGGCACATTTTGGTGATGAAGATGCGGGGCTAAGTTTGAGAAGGTTGCCAGTAGGTTGGATGATGGTGTTGAGGTTAACGAGGGACTCATTGGAAAGCTGAGGGAGATGACGAGGATGAACTGGACTTCATCGGCGCATCAAGGTTCCAAAGTTAATGTCCAGCAATCTTCCAGCTCTCAGTAGCCCCTGCCATCCTGCCATGCCAAAACAGACAGGTAGACAACATCTCCCTCGACACCGGTCTAAACCTTGGAAACAGCTACTCGTCTGGAAAGAGCACCCAGGCGGGATCAGGCATCCATTTGGTTCTCATCTTCTTATTTTAGTTTATTTTATCTTTTGCCATGCAATAAGTCAACCTTCATCGGACGGCGGGGTCCATAGAAAATCCCAGAAATACATCATGGACACTGTGCTGACTCTATTCGATCACAGCGAAATATGTACAAGAACTAAACGGCTATATACCCACAAACACCCTTTTAGATCTCTTCCCCCTCCTCTTAACAAATGGTCTTCTTCGCATTCCCCGAGATATTCCACTGAATATTCGTCCCGCAAGGCTGCTCCCGCACCGAGTTGTTATTCACCGTCAGTGTGAGCGAGATATCCCTATTATTCGCAAACTCCGACCTCGCCGCCAGCCGCACCTCACCACCGCCATTAACCGTCCCGCTCTTGATCTTAACATTATAGCAGTTCTCAATCAAGATGGCATTATTCCCGTTATTCGCCAGATCCACGTTGTTAATTTCAGCACCACCGCTCTGCGACACGCAGAAAATACCCCGGCCACCGCCGCGGGAAACAACGCGATCGACATAGACGTTGGTCGTGTATTGCCCATTCGACAGTTTACCATTCTCATTCGCCATTCTAAACGTGGCATACCCATTTCCAGTCGCGACATTCTCACCATCCACCAGACCAACCCTCGCATTTGTCGTCTTCTGCAGCAGCAAGCCGCACTCCCCCACGTTGCGAGCGATGACGCTGCCAACCTGCAGCCCGTCGATATTCCACGTCTCCACGGCGTGGCTACCTGCACCAGTGACTCTGATCTCGTCCATGAGGACGTTATAGTTTTGCGCTGCGTCACGGTCAAACCGGATTCCTAGCCCCCCGCTAAGGTTCATGGTGATTTTGCCTAGCTTGAGATTCCGTGTGCCGCTGAAGCGAAGACCGAAGTACGGGTTTCCCGTCATAGTCAGATACGGAATCGACACATCATTGGTATTGGTGCTCTCGATCGCGCCCCTCCCGGCACGGTACCCCACGTTGATGGTCCCGCAGACCTCGAGCGTCTTGCCGGAGGAGATTGTAATTGTGCTTGCGCCGATTGAGCCGGACGCGGTGACGACCACACGCTGACCATATGAGATGGAGTCTAAAGCGGACTGGATTGCTTGCCGGTAGTCGGAGCCGGAGTAGACTTGGGCACCGTTGGAGCGGGTCGCGACGAAGTTGTTGCCAGAGGAGGTGACGCGGATGTCGGGGTTGCCGGAGCCGCAGGATTGGGAGAGGGCTGTGGCGGGGAGGAGGGCGGCGAAAAGGAAGGTGGTGACTTTCTTCATTTTCGTGATCCCCAATCGATGTTTTGGTTAAGTATACACTTGACAAATTAAGCTTGGTGCGTAGTGTAGTGTGAGAAGTGAAGACGGGTTCCAGCTCGTGAAAGGGTAAGAAAAGCTTATATCAACCTACGACCTGTTTTAACATCGGCATATGCTCAACCACATCCTGGAGCGAGATCTACCTAACCCTTTCTACTTTCCTCTCACACAGAGTTACCCCAACCGGATAATTTACCTCCGCTCCCATACCATTGACGGAATTTCTCGACCCCCTATCTACCTGACTCCCCTCCCTAGCAACAGCTGCCCGGTACGGAGCTACACGCCCGGCTTGGCTTTCCCGTTCACGGGCCTTGAAACCAATGTTACCCCAGATTCAGGATACGGCAATATATCAATTAGGGGCTCGGGTGCCCCGCACGGGAACCGTTGGTTGCAACGGCTACGGTTTTTGGTGCTCCGTGCGCGTCTGTTTTGGTTTCGGATTTTTTGGCGAGGGGTGAGCAAAGCTCTTAAGAACTGCCTTATTCGGCTTGACTATGTCATGCCATTGGTAGTTTTCTTGATACCAGACTCTCCTGCTTCTTGTTTGATTCTCTTTTGTTTGTCGGCCTGAGGTTTCTCGCTGACCCTCACCCCAGTAGCCTGGAAGGGGGATGAGTTAAATTTAAGCTTAACATGCGCCAGGTCACCTCACACATACACAATTCATCTTCCGCAGCTTTATATATACCGAAACATGTTCTCCCTCACGCTCCTCTTCATTGCCACGGGCTTGCCGTCCTCATATTCGACGCCTGCAGCGCCCCCTTCCCCAGAAATCCCTTCCATTTTCTCCCGCAGCTCCTCATCTTGCTCAAGTTGCGTTTTCGGGCGGGCACTACTTCGAACTTCAGGCTTCTGGTTTGGGCTGGTGTCGGAGCTGGGCTGACTTGTGGTTGTGTCGTTGGTGAGAGAGCTGATGGGTTGTTTGCGGACTTGGCGGTGGGAGATGGACTTGAGGCTGGGGACGTAGGTCCAGATTTGGAAGGCGTATTGGAAGGGCTGAGAACATGGACCACGATGAGTGTTTGTCCGGACAGGTACATAGGATAGACAGACATACCCTGGGAGGAGGAAGCCTGGTCCTCTTCAGTTGTCCACGGCCAGAGTTACGAGTGGTTAGACGCACGCATTGGAGGACTACTCTCTTCCCGGCTGGTGCCATGCTTTCAACTGGTGATGCTGAGCCACCAACACGACACTGAGTATGGGATTGGTATGGCCAGAGGGAGGAGTGAAATGGTTAGGTTCGATGATGTCATCTTTTCGTACAAGGTTCTCATCATCTCCAAGGTTAAGGGTAGGCTACCCCGATGTTTTAGGAAGGCGGTAGACATGTTGGGGACTCCAAGAAGTTCATGAAAGAATGAGAATTTGCAGATGCCGACACAGCATTCCATCGAAAGCCTCTGACTCTGTAACGCCACTTACATTGTCGGTACCTCCTTCAACCCCTTCAACCTCACCCACAGCTCTCAGCTTCACAGAACGATGAAATACCCTCCCCCCCCCATCCTAATTTTTTTAAAAAAAAAAACAACTTCAAGAACTCACGACTCCATTCGCACTACGTAGGTACACTCAACATCACCCTACATACATGTACACACTACGCTCTCTCAACTTCCTCCATTCTCCCATTCCTTGCCCCTCGATAAGACAGTCTCACCTGCCTCTCACCCAGCTTGATACATAGCAACCGCCCGAACATGCGGATTCAACATGGTCAAATTATACGGCGTGATCGGCAGATCCGTATCAGTCACCAACAAAAATATCGTCCCATTCACCGCCGGATCTCCCTGAAACGTACTCATATTCGGCTGGATCGTCCACGCCGAGTTCCCCTGGATGTCATGAAGCGGCGTGTACGTGACATTCAGCTGGCTGACCCACGCGGCCCACACGGGCGCGCCCGCCTGCGTGTCCGTGATGTAGCTATTGTTCGGGCCAACTGGCTTGCCCGGGTCGTCCCATTCCAAAAAGACCTGGCGACCGGGGTAACTAAGGGGGGATGAGCGGTTGCGGGTTATCCCCGGAGAGCAGTTGATGCCGACTTCGTTTGTGCTTAGGCAATCGTCCTCTGCTGAGATATCGGACGTGTTGAGGGTGTTTGCCCAACCGCCTGTGATCTCCCTGAACGCGTCGGCGCCGTTCTTACGGGCTGGATTCGGCTGGTTAAGAATATAAAGGGCTGGGAAGTTCTGCCACACCAAACGCGTCTGGTTCTCTGGGCAAGAGGAAATATATGGCGCTAGGAGAGACCATGCCCATGACTGGGGCACCCCGACGAGGAACCATTCTGGTGTGGGAAACAGCCCTTCGAACTGGCGGAAGATCATTTGTTGCCTTGCTTCGGTTGTGATACTTTGCAGCAGCATCTGCGCCACGGGCCCAGAGTTGAGATGCGGCAGGAAGCCATACACGCCGGCCTCGCCCCAGCGGGTGAGTTTCTGGCAGAAGTCGACATACTCGCGGACGTTGCTGACGGGGTAGTTGTAGGTGCATTGTTTGGGAGCCTGTGGGCCGAGCATGTTGCTGAGCAGTGTGGCGTGTCCGACTTCCTGTTCGGCCATGAACTGGATGAGGAAGCGGTCTTCCGCTGTTAGCCCAGCTGCCTCAAAGTCCTCAACGGAGAAGGTAGCCAGGCCCCAATGGAAGAGGTCTAGCTCGATCCATTCTTGGTAGAGGGCCAGAGCAATGGATTCATAGTCGAAGTCTGTGAGCATGCGATAAACTGGTTCTGAGCCATTCGTGCCGATTCCGCCAGAGGGAGTGTATGGAGCTGGCAAGGGGGCATGTAACTCTCCATCACTTGGGTAATCGAATGCACCGGGGGGAGGAGGCAGAGCGGGGATTGAGGGGCTGAGGACAGATGTGCTGAGGGCTCCGGTGGTTGTGGGGGACGGGCCGGTGAAAGGGCCGTGGGAGGTTACATTGGTGTGAGGGCGGACGGGAGGAGTGAAGGCGGCAGCAGAGGTGAAGGTTGTTGTCGGTGTCGATACGACGGGCACGGAGAGGGAGTGTCCAACGAGGGACAGTAGAACGAGGCCTGCTGAGAGTTTGAGGCCAATCATCGTGATGGCGAAGCCTGGCTCGATGGTGCGAGGGCTTCCAACTCAGCTGGGGGTGGAGGGGGTGGAGTGTGAGAGGAAACTGTTTCGTGGAGAGACAGCTAGCCAAACGAGCAGGCTTATACCGCTAGCTCTCGGTCTTTCTCTTTCCCCTCCGGAGAGTATCGCCGAAGCATTGACATCTTTAAATGGTGCATCCTGGCCGTCATGGACAGTAACAGCAGCTGAGCTGAAAATGTGGAGAGCCAAAGGCTTTCTTCCAAGACCATGTGAAGAGCGGATAGCACCGGCAAAGGTTGTCCAAGTCAGCGTATGATGAAAGTTGAACAAGGCAAACTTGTCTGCTAGGGGAACGTGAGGTCATGGATGGATATGTACCGAGGTAGCATGTGTTGTTGTTGTCAAGCAATATCCTGGGGTTCATCATCGACAAAGATGAACCTACAAGTCTGTGCTCAAAGTTACCGTGGGAGTTGTCGTTGTGGGTGATGACATGTTTCCTGAAAGTCCAGAGTACCGGCAGCCGTGCTCTGAGTAGCATTGGACTCACTCGGGATAGATGTGAGGTATGTTTTGAAACTCTCAATCCTTCGGTGGAAGAGACTAAGTGAAATATAAACGGACTGTTCAGCATCGATGTCGGCGGCACACGAATAACTAGAGTGCTCCCGAGAAAACCGGGAGAGGGGTTGTGTTGTCGAGGGTTAGGAGCCTGTGCTGTGCGGTCGGATGTGGCTTGAGAAACAAGCAGCCTACCCAAAGTCCAAGCACAGATCGTTCCCGGGAAAGCACAGTGCCGATTTCATGCCTCTAAGGTTTCCTTTGAAGCGATCTAATAAGCTGAGTTTTAGGCAAGGAGTTATGTTGCCCTGGAGACAAAGTAAACAAATCGATTCCACTTATCCCCTGATCCATGAATAGTTTTACTGCCAACTGATTAACACCAAACCTCACGTTTAGCACCTTCAATCCTCACCATTAAACCCCCATCACGGACTTGAATCGTACACCCTCCCCATCGTACAAGCGCCATCCACCGTCTCGGCATCCACAACCTGGGCAATGATCCCATGGCTCCCAAACCGAACCAAGTCCCTTCCTCCAGTCGAACTCCGCTGGTCCCCATAAGGGAACCATCCGAACCTCCTTAAGCCATTCTCCGGATCGTTCATAAAAATGAGTAAATAGTCCTGCATCGCATATGCCACCTGTCTCTGAAACTCTGTCACCTCGGCCGTGTCCCCTATTGTCTCGAAAGTCCCCATAATCATTGGGATATCACTTGCATGGTACGCACCCAACCATGGATAAGGAGTCACACTCGAGAAGTTCCCGGCATATTGGTACCGGTACGTTGTTACTCCCGCCAATAGCCTCTCTTGAGTCGTATTACTGGCCATGCACACCCAGTTCAACACAGTTAAGGTATCGACATCCGTCTGGTTCGGCCCCTCCTCCAGATCAGCCGGCACAAAGGTAAGAGAAGCAGCCTCATTCGACGTTGCGCTCACCAGCACGGGAATACTCGCCAGTCTCCCCTGTATTGCACTCTGGGTGTAATTCTCAAACACCAGCCTCCCATCCGGGATGGGAAAGAAGAATGGCAGCAATGGTGTGGTACCATTCTCACGATATTGTCCAGCGAAGTTCATAATCTTGTTCATAGGAATTTGTCGCATGCATTGTAGCTCCGCAACCGGGTCATTTGGGAAGTCGCAGCCAAGGTTACGCGCAACGAAAGAAAAACCTGCTCCTACTTCGCTCTGTCCACCGAGACGAAGGAGGTTAAACATCGCTGTGCCAGACTGTAAGAACAGAGCGTGGGCGATTGGGTTCGAAGGGAACGCGTGCGCAAGCATATCGGCGCCTATGCCGCCTGCTGAGTGACCCCATAATGTAATGCGCGTTGGGTCTCCGCCGAAGGGGGCGATGTTGTCTCTGACCCATTCGAGTGCCGCCCTCTGGTCAAGCAGGCCGAGATTTTGTTCCGATAAGCCAGCTGCCCCGGGGAAGCCAGCTATGTCGAGACGGTAGTTGGCCACGACGACAATGTGTGACTGCGACCTCTCTACCCAAGGGGCTGGGTTCTGGAATGACACATCGATGCCGCCGATAGTGAACGCGCCGCCGGGGAAGAAGAGGATGACGGGGAGGTTGGAATATGAGGTTGCTGTGAGAGGAGCAAAGAGGGAGAGAAAAAGGCAGTCTTCTGAGGACGTACGTGCCACTTCACCTGGCAAGACAGGCTGCCCGTCGAGAGGGATAGAGAAGTTTGTCAAGAGGGCGGTAAAGACGACGGGCGTGCTGCTGAGATATTGTGTGCAGGATGGCGGGAAGGTGTATGAGAAGATTTGTTGTGTTGAGGGGGGCACTGGAACCGGAGGGAGCCATCTTAGTTGGCCTAGTGGCGGTTCAGCATAGCGGATGGCTCGAAATTGCCGGACATTTGGGAACACGGGGTCGATAAGGCCAGTATAGATGCCGGTGGTTGTTTGGACGGTGAGTTGAGCGAAGATTGATGGCACCTGGGCCAGAGAGATGAGGATAAGTGGGGTGATAGCCTTCATGTTGAGATGCTTCATGACATGGCCTCAACCCCACTGTCGTAAGTTTTATATCAGGTGGGTAGCGCGATAAGTCTTAGATGTTATCTAATGCCTGTTCCAGGAAAGACAGCCTAAACTTAGCAGACAAGGTTGAATCTGGCAATGATGCCCTTTCATGAACTCGTTGACAACAGTCATCAAATACAGTGTCGAGTCAACATGGAAAGCTCAGAAAGTCTAATTTCCAGCTCATTGCCAGGTTTCAGCTATCAAAACGATCCGGCTCCAATGGGAATGTGCGAGTGTTTATCATGAGAGTGCGCCCCTGATCCTTTTTAGGCAGTGATAGAAAGATCAAGAGAATGGATTTTGTTGTCCATATAAAAAAAAAGATCATCGCACCAAAAACAGCACAAGCATCATGACCTTCATGGGATTCCTCTTCGAACGTTCTGCATCACTCTGTTGCCTCAAGGTGTTGAGAGGAAGACAAACGGAAAGCGGCTTGAGGTCTCTTGTCGGAGTTTACCTCCGAACGGCCGAGTCCTGCTCTTGGCATACATCAATGACGTCCACAAGACGGCCGAAAGTTGATGAAATTTCGGAAGATCGTCTCGTCGATTCGATTGCCTGCTGGATGCCTTACTGACATCGGGAACTGGTCCGCAACACCAAAGCCTGCGGTAATGGATGATATACCAACTTTTGGGTACTCGTGGCAGTGTGTCAGGGGCTCTCAACAATACTGCATTTGTTTATCAGCCTTAAAACGTGCCGGTCCATATGGATTGAGAAAACCGTTTGCAGATTGTCCCCCCAGACTCATATCCTCCATATCCTCCAAGCACACTCCGTCGTCAGGAACCCCTTCCAGGCTGCTGACACACATCAACAAACCCTTCAACAGCTTCCTTACAGTTGTTTCAATCTCCTGAGCTCCCCACTTTCTTTCCCTAGAGCAAAGTGCCACGGTAGGCTCTCTTGAACCCAGCCATGCCCAGCAGTTGTGTAACAACGCACACACCCCATCATCCATGTACAACCCGGAAAGTCCTGGCTGCACGTCGCACGTGCTTGTGTACTGGCCACAGCACCAGCAGCGTGCGAAAGGAAAAGCCTGTGCGCCACTATCTCGCTTACTCCGTGCACCTGGACTCACTTCCTCGTGACCTGAACCCTGACCGCAGCCTGCAAGACAGATCTGGTCCAGCGTCGTCAAAGGCCCCGGTGCAGCAGATATGACGGCACAACGGTAACTCCGTGGCCGAGCCAATGAGGATCGATAGGCTTGCAGAGCACAGGACAGGGTGACGTGCAGTTCGTGAGAGGGATGGAGCGAGACCAAGCTGAGGGGCTGGGAAGGGTCAATGAGCGTCTTGATGAAGTTTGTCAGAGTTGTTGACAGCTCACGAAGAAGATCAATGACTGCTTGATCTCTGTATTAACTGGAATGTTAGCGAAGAAAACTCATTGTTTGCAGGGCCAGCTCACTGCAAACCCATTTGACATTAAAACGACCATCAATACAAATTGCCACCTCAGGTAGTCCAGCCCTTGTGCCCGAAACAGCGAAACAGAAACATCCTGGCAACACCCGCTCACACGTACACAACGACCACATCATCGTTCAGGTTCCATAAGGAACACCCAAGACAAGCCAATGCTTGTCTATGTCGTGCCATGCTTCCAGAATCCGAGCTTTCTCAGGGATAGGCCAACGAAAGCGACTCGACGAACCCGATTATCGGCAGGCTGCAGCTAACACCGCAGATAAACAAGCAAAGCAGCCGTGCGAGCGACCGACCGGAGTAGTTGGGTGTCATCGGAGAAAAATCATTCATTCAGTCTTGCTGCAGGAATATCCGAACTTGTGGCACACATAGTTGATTAGATGGCAACACTGCCAACAATGCCTGAGAAAACAGGGAAATAATAACAAAGGGCACAAATACCTTTATCAACCAGCAAATCAACATTTCCTCGTCGTCTGAACTATCAAAAAGCCAACATTTCATGATGGCTGGCATGAATGCTATCAGGTTTTGGGATTCTAGTGTGTTATGTGTGTGAGATGTAAAGGGATAGTCGAAGAACAATAACAAAGAAGGCGAGGCTGAATGGCTCTCAATAACAAAGTACTCTGCCTTGGGGTTGTTGCCTTCTTGATAAATGTCAGTCGCCTTGACAAGTTTCTGCCAGGCAGTCAACGCAACCTTCACCTCTTTGCTTTTACTTATTTATTTCCCATTCAGCTGCGGAAAATGCGCTTCTTCCACCTTTCCTAACGCGTGTGTGTTGGTTCCCAAGAACCAGCCTAGACGCGCGCTACACAAAGTGCGTAACACACGCCGGCTCGGTCTTGCCATCAGCAGTTTCTGCAAGACATTGAAAAACAACAAAGTACAAAGTACAAGTACCATATTCAACAGGTTTTGTTTCAATTGACTTGCTGGGGAGTAGGTGGTTAACGCTCACACCGGGGCTACCGATCGCGTTTCTCACAGCACAGGAACTGTTCCCCTCACCTTAAAGCCTCGTTCTTAGGGGATCCTGTTCTCTTTTCTTTTGCTTTTCTCTTTCTTCCTTTTCCCTCTCTTCTTTTTTCCTTCTTCTTTTCCCCCTTGGGTGTCATTCATTCCTTTTTGACACCTCCCCCCCCCCCCCCAAAAAAAAAAAAACGGCCAGAATGTTTTGGGGTACCATCCTGGTAGGCACCGTCACGGCCTACTGGGTCCTCCGCTACCTCTTTTGCCGTCTCATGTACCCTAAGCCACTCCCCGGTATCCCCTATATCGAGTCCTCTCTCGATCGTATCCTCGGCGACCTGCCTCAGATTAAGTCTCACAGTCGCATGACCAAGGAAACCACAGAGGGCATGTTCGCTGTCGCAAAGCGTCTCGGTTCTCCAATTGCTCAGCTCATCTTCCCGGTTTTTCAATCCCGTCGTATTGTCATTGTCGACGACCCCCGCGAGGCAGAGCACATCCTTTGTCATCGGCACCATGAGTTTGACCGGTCAATTGTCACCTCGCAATTTTGGCTTCCCCTCTTCCCTCACTCAACGATCGCGCAGGCTACGACGCCCAAGCTGAAGGCGCAGAAACGCCTCTGGGCAGGTACCATGAACACCAAGTTTCTCGACCGAGTGGTCGCGCCGAATATGTGGTACGCTTCAATGGAGCTCGTGGATCTCTGGCGGCTCAAGGCAGTTGCGAGCGACGGAAACGCGTTCGATGTGGCTAAGGACTTCTCAAATGCGGCTCTGGACGCGATTTGGGTGGCAGTTTTCGGTCAGCCGTTGGGTGTCCTTAAGAGGGAGCTGCACGATCTGGTCATGGTGTTGGCCAAGAAGCAAGGTATCAAACCTGAAATGTTCGACGGCGAGAAGTATCACACAGAGAATATGACTGCGACCGAGAAGAAACGAATGGAGAATGCTGCCGTGGTTCAGCAGGCAGTCACTTACATGAACGAGATCGTCTTGATGGGTTTCCGGTCCTTTTGGCCTGCGCTAACGTTCTCCCTGCTCAAGCTGTCGCCGACTTATCGCCGGTTCAAGAAGGTCACGTATGGCAAGGTCAAGGAGTTGATGGCTCAGGCGTGCCAGCGGTACCAGAGGGAGGTGATGCTCTTTGAGGCTGCCAATTCCGATGTCGAGGGCGAGTATCTGGATACGTGCGCTATGGACTTGGTGTTACGCAGGCAGATTTTGACGGCAAAGAAGGAGGGTCATCCCATGGGTGATCCGACGAAGGACCAGGCTATGCTGGAGGAGCTGTTACTTCTTTTGTTAGCAGTAAGTTCCTTTTCAGGATTGATTTTTACAATTCGGTTTTAACTGACTGTCCAGGGCCACGAGTCGACCGCCGCTGCACTCTCCTGGTTTACAAACCTCATCGCTCTGTACCCGAAAGTCCAACGTCAGCTCCGCCGAACTCTCGAGCTGGCTTTTTGCATGGATTCTGCTCCCTCGACCCCCTCCACTGATGCGATCAACAAGTTATTTAAGCTCCCTTCCGCCGCGCAGATTCTCGCGGCCCAAATCCCCTACCTCGACGCCGTCATGTACGAGACTCTGCGCTTCGCGCCCCCGACTGGTGCCGTCGTCCGTCAAGCGACAGTCGACACGACCATCCTGGGCTGTCCCATTCCCAAGGGCACCCACGTGATGTTGAACACACGCATTTTCTATCCCCCGAAGAAGCTCGAGACTCATGGCGAGCAGGCTGAAGATGTCGGTTTGGGCTTTATTGGGGGGATGGAGACTGCGGTACGGAGGAGGGACGTGTCCGTGGACAAGGGCCCATGCGGAATTACGAAGCTGAGTCGAAGCTGTACCCAGGGCTTCGAGCTTCTTAGGGATAGCTGGAGCCATCTTGAGCGTTTTGCGCCTGAGAGGTGGTTGGTCGAGAAGGATAGTGAAGTGGTCTTTGATGCGAACGCCCTGCCCAGCTTGGTGTTTGGCGGGGGTTATCGGGGGTGCTTTGGTAGGTTTGGTTTTGCCATTGTATTCGGCTTTTGCTGACTTTCTGTGTCTAGGCCGAAAGCTTGCCATGCGCGAGCTCAAGATCATGATCACGCTGCTAATCCTCAGCTTTGAGTTTCTTCCCATAGAGTCCGGGGAGTCGATCCTGGCCGGCGAGGAGAGGACTTTCCGTCGCCCCAAAACCTGCCAGGTGCGCTTGAAGCAGCTGTAACAATAATAATATCATGGGCGAGCGGTGATGTTTTTTTTCCTATTCATCATGTGAGGGATTTCTGAGCATTATAGAATCTACATTTTAGGCATTTATTGGGGAGTTGAGGTCACTGGTCAAAAGTTGGTTTGATGATTTGATCAGAATCCAAAGAGTTGTTGATATCACCAAGTGGTGGATCCGACTCAGCTGGAACTGAGCATCAAGTTACCGGTATTGAGTGGCATAGTCGCATAGGCGATCGACAGTAAATAACAGTGCGCTGTATTTAGCCAAGAGCAATAAATCAAGTAGTCTTTAAAGTCTTGTTTGGGTTAAGTGTAGTGATTTATTTTTTTGGTAGGCCAGGACCCTTTGTTGCTTTCGTTGAGTCACGGTCAATGTGTTAGGGTTAGGGTAGCCCTTAAGTCCTTGTTCACACTGGGGTTAGGGTTGCCAAAGCGATGAGGCATAAATGAGGTATAAATGATTTGTGGCACGACAAAGTACAAGTTAAGACAAAGGTTAATATCAAACAAGGTTGACATATTGATTTGAAGCCAAAAATAAAGTGCATATTTGTTGCTGGTAATCCTGTTACCCAGTACCCGTTGAAGGATGTGTGTTTGTGAAGGCTAGGGTTTTGCAAACGCAAACATCGTGCTTGAACCACTTTTCAATCCATTTCGTCCAATGGAATTTGGGCGCTTCCCCAAGCTCCCGAGCGCCCCGCTGACCTCGTAACGATGCGTCTCTGCCAGCTCGGCTCCTGGCACTCGACGACGACATGTCGAATGCCTATGTCATTCAACAATTTCAGCTGACTGTCGACGCCTCAGCGCAGAGCACTGTACGGATCAAAGCTTATATCAGATTTTTGCCAGATGTATGCTGATGACCACAGGAAGTAGTCCAACGCGCAAGGCGTCGCCGCGTCCACCCTCGCAAAAACAAGACGACAGAACAGCCCCCGCAAAACCCGCTTTCGTTGCCGCCGGCCCAGGAACCTGAGCAGACATTAGACGAAGTCTCACCCGACAGAGAGCCATCGCCTTCTGCTCAACTTCAAGTCGAGCAGACCCAGGCAGCACAGGCAGAACTTACGCAGGAGCAAGCGCGAACCGCTGAGAACAATGCTGCCGCTGCCACAACAACAGAGCGCAGTCGTCTCGGGCCCAAGCCCAAGGACCCAACAAAACCGCCGCGTAAGCGAACCAAGAACCCACCAGAATATGTTAAACGGATGAAGTTGTACCAAGAAATCGACAAGACTGTCACCCCTGAGCAAATCGAGCAAGCAAAGCGCAACTACGAGCGCATCTATCGCCACCAGCAGATCCACAAGCTGTACCACAGCATTGACGACTATGGCAGCGCCGAGTACCTCCGTCGGCCGGGCTACCTGCGGCTGACCGCCCCGTTATTAGAGGCCAAGAGGCAGATGATGGCCCAGCAGCCTGGACAATGGCAGACGCCGGATCTTGAGCCGCATGAGGTCATGGAGCCGGTTGATTTGTCGAAGGTGCCTGCACCGGGGACGTTGTATGATCCGAACGGCTTGCCGTATTCGCAGCCTATTACGGCTTTGCAGTTGCCGAAGGTTAGACCGACGCTGTGTCTGGGCCCGTATGACACGTTTGAAGAGGGGAAAAATGCAGCGATCCAGTATGCTGTGGTGCAGGGATACATGCTCATCCAGCAGTCTTCTGTCCGTGAGAAGGATAAGGACGGCAAGTACCTGCGCGACTCACCCATTTTGCGTGTGGATCTGCTGTGTGATAGGGCTGGCCAGTGCTACAGCCAGGCGAAGACTGATCGGCGACGGCCAACGCACAAGCTGGGGTGTCCGGCACATTTGGTCCTGCTCAGGAGGAGGCGTGATGGGAATAAGTGGTTCATTGATCCCAGGTGCGAGTACCATAACCATGATCTTGTGCCGGATGATATGGAGAGTATCGCGGCGTATCGGCGGTGGAAGAGACAGATGGAGGGTCTACCTAAGGAGACCAAGCATGAGGCGTATCTAAGGTTGCGAGCGAGGAAGATGAAGTTTGCTGGACAGGGCCAGGCCGGTACCAGTCAGGGAGTGTCAACGTCTCAGTCATCCGCACAGACGCCGATTCCACAAACGTCCCCTCAGCAGATGATGTCCACGCCAAGTCTAGCATCACAGGCGGCATACGCACAACAAGCTCTCCAGCATCACCAGCATCGGAACATGTCTGCTCAAACCTTGCCCCAGACAAGCTCTCAAGCCATGCTGTCCTACCAACAGCAACAACAGACCGCAGCTCGAATTCCCTCCCCACAATCCCTCCCTCCACTTCATTCCCAGCATCAGCAACAACAACAACCACCCTCTCAACCCACCCAACAACAACAACAACAACGACAACAACAACAACCGCCTACCCAATCCCAATCCCAATCCTGTCGCCAACAAAACCAACCACCCCCCAACCCAACCTCCCCTCTCCACATGGCCGCCTTCAAAGGCCAGCTCAAGATCCTCACCATGCTTCTCGACCGCGGCGCAGACGTTAACATGCTCGATGGGACAGGGCGCACACCCCTGCACTGTGCCATTGAGGGAAAGCAGCTCCGTGCTGTCCAGATGCTGGTACTGCGGGGAGCAGATATCTCCAGGGAAAATAGCGACGGGCTGAGTCCACTGCATATGGCTGTTGAAAGCGGAGAAGAGGAAGTTGTGGCGGTTTTGTTGGATAGGGGGGCGGATCCGAATCGGTAGGTTCAGGAAAGGGGTCTAGTGTGAGGTGAAGGCTGCCTGAAATGGTGCGTTTGTCAGCATCTGGTTACTATTGTTCCTTGCTATGGCATCTGCATTGCTCTTTTGCTTTGGGATCTTTGCATTACTTTGGGAACGCCGGTCTAAGCCTGGTGTATGGTTCATCGTGTTACCATTGTCGTGTTGAGTCCAGTCTAGCATCAGTAATATCCTAACGGTATCTATTCATTGCTGTCATGGTCATAGATCCGAAATACCGGAAGCAGTCTTCAAAACAAAACTCGTAAATCATAATCCATAGCCCGATATTTTAGCGGTCTTCATCCCAGCGTGCGCCCCGGTCTCAAGCAAAAGAAAAATCATCATCCGAAACCCAAACGCCATCGCTGCCTTGTCCATAACTCCCCAGCCTGTCAAACCAAGTTCCATTCTCAGCCAAAACCCGTCAAAGAACGAAGTTGTGTCCCCCAGCTCATGTTTCTATCCCGGCTCCCTTCCCTATGCCAAAGTTATCCCATCAACTATCCAATCATGTCACTTCTTTCCAACGGCCTTATTAACGATCCTCTCCGCCAGCAACCCGCCCAACGCACCAACAACTTCCATGGCCAAATCACTCTTCCCATTCTTCTTCTTCCTGTAGTCCCTCTCATAATAATCATCCTCATCATACCCCCTTCTCCGTTCATGCCCCCTGTCCCTGCCCCTCTCATAATTCTCATAATCTCGTTCCCGATCCTTTCTCCCGAAAAGACCCTTCTCCGCCGCAACCTCCCCCACAGCAGCCCCCAGTGCCGCGGTCGCTACCTTCGCGCCCTTAAGTGGATTCCACGGGCCGGGCTTGGTGTGCTGGTGTAAGGCTGCCGCTCCTCCAGCTTTGAGGGCTGCGAGGGTCGCGCGGCGGATTAACTTCGTGTCAATGGGCACCTCGCCCACGATCGGCAGCGTTGCTGTACGAGTTGGCTTACGCTGGGCTGGGGGGAGAGAACGGGAACGAGGGTTCTTCGGACTGCGGTGGGAGGACTGCGGGGGATAATAGTTGTGGTTGCGGGATGGAGAGGCGGGGCGACGGTGGTCGCGGGAGCGGGGGCTGCGATGAGTGTACTCGCGTTCATAGTCGGAGTGGGAGGCAGCTGAGGAGACGGAAGGGGAGCGACGCTGTTGGCGGTGGGAGGAGCGGGTGCACCGCGAGGGGCGAGCGTCATAGTCGTGGTCGTAGGAGTCGTAGTCGTAGGAGTCGTAGTAGCGGGGCATTTTGGTATCTGGTCTCAGAGTCGAAGTTGTAAGATGGCTTTAGTTGAGCTGGGCCAAGTTGCTTTGAAAGAGCGACTTTGTGAGTGCCACTCGCTGCTTCGTAAAGAGAGTATGAACGACGATGATGAGTTTGAACTTTCCTTGCTCCTCAACCTTTGCCTACGAGAAGGAAAATCTGATTTTGTGTGACTGTGCCTTGTGATCTTCTGTGTGACAGCCTCTCACGACCTCACCGTCTCATCAGCAGGGCAACATTCTTATACCCATCACCAGAGAGGTAACCAGCCGCCACCGTCAGCGGGAGACCTCCAATGAGATCATCGTGCTACTGGCGCGGTGTCTGCCAAGCCCTGTTTAATTGGCCCCGGTGGCCCACTCGGCGGCCGCCCAGCCGGCCCCGCTAAGGCAGGTAGTCAGTGTGGCAGCGCAGGTGCTGTCCATTCGGCGAGCGGCCACGAAGGTGAAGACTCTAGCTGAATGTGACGATTGGCTGGTTGCGACTGGTGTAGAGGGGAAACGTGGACTGGTCATGGAGTTAACACGAGGGTAAGGTTGGAGTCGGTGTTGCCGTTGTCGTTGTTGAGTGGTAGTCTGAGGGTTGAGGGAAAGGCTTCACGTGGGGTTTTGCGTGGAGGAGAGAAAGCTGTGTTTGCGGTGATGTGAAGATTTTGATTGATGGTGTGGGCAAGGCGGATTCATATTTTTGGACGGCGATACATATGCAATTTCACTTCACAAGGACTTAAACTGTTCAATGAGATCCGAGATCTTGGTGTAAGTGGCAAGCCAAGCTTGGAGGCCCACTCATTCATTGGGTGGCTTTTCAGGACGTCGAAAATCACACCAGTCTTGTTATTGACTCAACCCAATGTACATGACTTCTGGAATATCACGTATAAGAGAGGACTATTCAAAAATTTAATGTTGCTTAAAATCGGTTTGACCAATTTTTGGTCTTCAATAAGGTATTAGCGGTGTGCCTATATTACTGGTAGAGAGCAGCGAGGTGCATGCAAGGTACAAGGCACAGATGAGGGAAGTTTCCAATGCTTGGCAGCGATGTAAACAGGCGGATCTTCTTTTTCAAGTTTCATTCAACTGCCAGGCAGTAGTAAAGCACATTACAGAAGCCTGAAGCATGTCTATGAGAGGTCCAGGCTGGGGGAGTTAAAATCACTCTACAAACGAATGCTTGAGTTCACACTCACATGATATATGACAAGGAGAACAGCCACACTGGGTGCTCTTGTTCCATTCCCGAATCCGTTTTCCGATATCAGTGTGTCAGATCGAGATGATAACAAACCACATAGCCATTTCTTCGGAGAAAATGTCTCTGTCTCAACATATATGTCAGCAACAGTGTGCTCAGCGGTCAATTCGATGGTTAACAGATGAAGACATGGGCTTACACTCTGACTACTGTCATCTTCAGGGAACTCCCTTTGAAAATCGATCAATATATTCTCAGCTCAACTTTCTGACCTTCAACACGCCCACAATGAAAAATCTAAATCAAACCAGAACCCAGCTCTATTTACAAAGCCTTGACAAAAGTTCATCACGAAATATTTATCAACAGCTCAACTTCCAGCTTGACTAGAATTTTTGCACGATGAAATGTTTGTGAACTGGAATTCCGAGCCTACGATCAGTCTGGAGTGACGTAGGAAGGGTAGCTTTCACGAGTACCTGCACAGTCAATCCCTCCCTCCCTCCCTCCCCCCCGTAGTACCAATTTACTTCAGCCTGCGGTGCTTGTGCTCATCGCTGCAAGCAATCATGGAGTGACGGCCCAGGAAGTAACCCAAGCGAAAATATTCCGGCCTTGAATGAACCAGATAGTGCACTGCTGGGAGCTGAGACTCGAGAAAACTCTGTGATGGGGATCCCAGGGCGTTGCAGCGCTGCACTATTGGGCGTGACCGAGTAAGGATCGCAGGGCCCCTGTGCGGCCGGGGGACATACTTCTCAGGAGCCGGCAGAGGTTTGTTGCCAAGTACTTTAAGGATGAGCAGCAAGGCCATCAGGTGGCCATTCGGGAGATGAGGAAACAGAAGCTGATGCTGACAGTGAGATATCCCTCTTAAGAGGTGTTTTAAGAGGTGTTGAGACTGGACAGAGACTACTTTGTTGACGGAGTATAAGTGGCTGAGAGGAGCCTTGCATATCACTCAAATCCTGAACTGGCCGGATCCGTACCCCAGCAATCATCTTCATCAAGACCGAAATCTGATTCGATGGCCGCCACAAGTACCAAGTCGCATCATGTTGCTCGAGTACCTCCCTTGCGGAAAGCCTTAACAAAGTTCGGACCAAACGTTGGGAGTTAGACACCGATATTCCCAGCTTAGCGCTTTTGCTACTGTTTCGATGTTGTGTATGTCATCTCTTCTGTTTTGCTTCTTTTGTTCATAGTGTCCAGCACCACCGTGCAGTTGAGTCACAAAACATTCGAATTTCGGACAATGGCTAAGAGCTGCATCGCCATGCAATATCCTCGAAAAAGTGATCCAAACATTAGGCGCTACATCACGAACAAGTGAAAGGTGGCTCATTACGCTCCTGTTCATCCAAACCTCAACTTCAGGTCAACAGGTCAGCGAAGAGGCAGATCCGACCCGAGCAAGAAGAAATATAACCATTTTGATCTTGATCCGACTAATGGTAAGTCAACTCTCCAAACATAGTTGGTGAAATGATCGCTCCCAAAAACGCAGTGTTTCATCGGGGGTTACAATATCGGTCCCCCGCATGAAGACCACAGCGATCTTCCCGTCTTCGAAGAGAGAGACTTTGGCTTGGCTGGAGAAATTGGCAGTAATGTTCACCGTAATGCGTACGGCTTCCAATCTGTTCAATCCAATCTTCACGGATGAATCCATGTCCTGACGTGATCCCCTTTCCTATGTAGGAGGAAGAAGTGGCAGTTGTGGATATGCGGGAAAGCCAACAACTACACACCTGTTAGTCCAGTCTGGGTGATGCCCAAACGCTCTCACGTTGAGTACTAACATAAGCTCTCTTAGGAACAATTCTCGCTCGAGTGGGAATGTGTTCGTGCCGACCCCATCACGACCGTACCCGTCCCCTAGACTGCCGGCCAGCGCGGTGCAGATATGGACATCTTCCAGGTCGGCATGGTAAATGCTCGCTTAACCACAAACCACAGTCTCCTAGTCTCATTCTAACCCCCCATCCCTTGGCACTACCAGTGCATGTCTCCGCCATAACGCACTGCTACCCACCAGCGACACCAAACCGGAGGGAAATTACATCGCACTATCGTGGCGGCGAACCATACACTGGCACCTCAGAGGACGCCTTCCTGCTCGGTCCAGCCTTCAATAATGTTTACCCCATGTTGCGGCTGTACATCGCATGGTGTACGTACGACAACCCTAGGGCGTGGCTGAGGGCGAACGTCCTGCTGCGGTGGATACCCAGATTGCGTTGATCCATCCCCCGGGCGCTCAGAAGAGGGCGAACATTGGGCAGTAGACGCAGTAGGCTTTTAAGCTGCACCCGAATCAACGGTCGAGGAGGCCAGTTGTTTGGGAACATCTACGCGGTAATCGGGACTAGGTGGGTAAGGGGTATTTTACGTTGTTTGGATGAGTAAAAATGCATACACATGTGACGGCTGCTTGGATGTTCGGCATAGATTTGAAAGTAGATGTTAATCATGATAGAAGCCAGACCTTGGTTTGTAGACTCAGTCAGAGTGCTCAGATATCCCCGGCGAAAGAAATGACGACCAGAAGCACTCCGAAACGTATGTTCCCTTGGAAGTTGAGTTGCTACTCTTGCCTTCCAATATTTTGCCCAGAATTTCAAGCTCCACCTCGCTAGTCTAAGTCATTGTTCGAATTGGTTGGAGTGGTGATGGGATTAAGTTCGCTCAAAAATATCCCTGCTTCGACGTCATCGACCTCTGACCAGTGCCTGAATTCTCAGCATTCGTCCGTCTAGCACAGTAACAATCTTCTAACCATGAAGTTACAGCCAACTCCCATGAATTGCTTGATTCCTTACTATCCGACAATTGACGACAACCTTTTTGTCATTTCCACGATGCGGGACTCGTTCGATCAGGAACACACAGACCAATGATTGCAGCAGCCGGGGTCTGTGCAACACTCGTGAGAGAGCACCATCCAAGCACGCATCGTAGTGGCGGAAATGGCGACATCGATTTGCTCACAGCGCGCTCACCGGGCTGCAGAACCACATGCAATGCTACCTGAAGGGTAAGCTCCCGGCCGGCAAGCTTCGAGCTCAATCTTAACAGCAACCATCAGGGAGGGAAATAAATACATGACTGCTGCTCAACTTTCGTTTTGGCTTTACATCATGCTCGACAGCTGAACCCACACCTCTCATGAACTTCACCTCACTTCAAGAATCAAACTTCATCAAACATGACAGCAACAGAGGCCACCTCTCCCCCAGCATCCGGCCCTCCGGGCCAGCCAGACATCAGCTACACCCCCGATCACGGAAAGTACCTTGCTCGAGCAAGACGCCGTCTCGAGACCGAGAAACTCCAGAAAACCCTGCCTCCTGCCTTTCCTGAACAGTTACACTCTGACCTCGCCTGGGACGGCAATGACCTTCATGAACGATATGACTGGAATTACTATCTCACGGAAGAAGACCTCAGGGAGGTTGATGCTGCGTTGCAGCATTTTAAATGTACCCCTCCTCATCCAGCCTGTCTCTTTTAAATATCAAATCTGACTCCTCCTAGCGCTCAATCTGCCCCTTGGTCACCTTACCCAAAAAACGTTCCCTCTCCCTACGCTTCACGGCATACTACGTGCGATTTCCTACGAACTTCACTTCGGCCATGGCTTCAAAGTTCTCCGGGGCCTGCCCGTGCACAAATATTCCCGGCTCGACAACATCACTATCTACGTCGGCCTCTCGGTACACGTCGCCCCTGTCCTCGGCCGACAAGACCACCAATTCGACGGCAAGGAAGCAGACGTCATCCTGGCGCATATCAAGGACCTCAGCTCGGAGGTTGATACGTCCAAAATCGGGGCCCCTGCATATACGAGTGAGAGACAGGTGTTTCATACGGATGTGGGGGATTTGATCGCGTTATTTTGTTTGTCTGAAGCGGCAGAAGGGGGCAAGAGTTTCCTGGCGAGTAGCTGGAGATTGTATAATGAGCTGGCTGCGACCAGACCGGATTTGATACACACTTTATCGGAGCCGTGGGCGGCCGACACGTATGTAGAGGCTTATCGAGCACTTCGGAGTCGATACTAACGCCAAATAGCTTCGGCAAAGTACCCGGGAAGCCGTACATCCTCGCCCCACTCTTACACCACCAACCCGCTACCGAAACAACCCCTGAACGATTGATCATCCAGTATGCGCGGCGGACATTCACAGGGTACTGGGGCCTGCCACGGTCGTATAACATCCCTCCCATCACGGAAGCCCAGGCTGAAGCCCTTGATGCTCTGCATTACACTGCCGAGAAGTACGCTGTGGTGCTTGACTTTAAGCAGGGTGATATTCAGTATGTCAATAACTTGAGTATCTTCCATGCTAGGGGGGAGTTTAGGGATTTGCCGGAGAAGAGGTACGTGCCCTGCTATTAGTTTTGGGAGTTGGACAGAGAGGGAGTGCTGACCTTGTGAAATAGGAGGCATCTTGTTCGATTGTGGCTGCGAGACCCTGAGTACGCGTGGAAGACACCTGAAGTGTTGCAGGACAAATGGGATCGGGTGTATAAGGGGGTGACGCCGGAGAAAAGTGTCTTCCCGTTAGAGCCGTATATTAGGAGTGCGAGTAAGGGGGAGGTCAAGCCTGAAGGCGACCAAGATGCCATGTGAAGGTGATGGGTTGAATAGTTGGGGTTGTAGAGCTGCAGGTAGGTCAGCTGTGAGTCACTGAGCATGTCATCATGTTGTCTGATTTTGGGTTCTTAATGCAATGGAGCATCTGGCAAGAGGGTATCGAACTCTCGATGGATGATACTCACAAGGCGTCTTAAGGTGAGCAGGAGTCTACTTCGTCAAGAATTGTTTTGGACATCATTTCCTCGACAGCTATAGGGCCATGTGCATTGAGGGTGATGACATCCACACGTTAGCAACAGCACTCACGAGGAAAACAGAGCATTGGAAGCGCTTGGATGCGAGAGACTGACATTATCAGCCACAGTGTTTACCAAGAGTATAGGAAAAGACTTAGATGGTGAAGACTGACACCGAATACTCCAAAACACAGCCCACTGCATAAGACAAGCACCTAAGAATGTCCAATTCGAAACGATTTCGTTCTTACTGTACCACGAACCGTTCTCTTTTCCTAATGACGTTATCTGCTGCTGGTAATTCGCAACGGCTTGTCGGCTTGTACAACCTTCCCCGATCGGCAGGAGGGTTGCCGGTGAAACTCACGTAGGAGCATTGTCCCGGCAGATGCTACGGTACGATAGGCTTCCCGTTGACCTTAGATTGTTGCAAAGGATGTCGTAAGAGCAAAGCGCCGGCGAGGCTTAGATGGCAATTGGGGGAGAATTACTGTGGAGTGATTATAGACGGTCCTTTAGGTGAGCCTGACAGCCATTGTGGTCGACAACTGCCTGAACAGAGGACTCGTTTGACGTCATGATACCTAACAGTAGGAAAGGTAGCAGATAAAACATAGAATTCAGGAGGTTTCCTGACCTCATTGGCCTGTCAAGGTGCACGGAAGCAGCAATATGCATCCGTGCGACGACGTATAAGATATAAACTTTCCCTAGGCGGTCTGCACCCTTAATGTCTCACCCAACCCACACAGGGCTCATAACCCGGTTATCGTGATATAAATAGATGCTTACTATCAAGGATTTCCGGTTTTTCAGACAATCCCAACTCATTAGCTCTTACTCTGGCCTCCAAATACTCTTGAGCCGCATCTACTATTACAATGCCCGAAACACTCGCTAATCCATTCCCCTCACCCTCTTTCGAAAACCCAACTTCTAACCCAAAACTCGAACCGTCAACGGCCATAAGGGAGGTAACAGATGGCAGCCTAAAATATACACTCGAGCTCGGAAACAATGACTCGCCGCCATCCTACCAAGAAGCATCCGGCGCCCCCGTTGAGCGGCACTCACCGCTCGGATATGAAGTCGGGGCCGCGACAATTATCTTCCTCAATGTGAGCAAGATGATTGGAACGGGGATTTACTCGACACGTAGGTCCCTTCTCCCTACACTGCTTCTACCAGGACAGTAATATGCTGAGAGGATTGACTGACACGGAAAAAGCGAGTCCCATCCTTAAGGGAACCGGCTCCGTCGGCCTAAGCATGATCTACTGGTTTCTCGGCTTCCTCCTCTCGCTTGCTTCACTCTGCGTCTACCTCGAGTACGCAGCATACTTCCCTAACCGGTCTGGATCAGAGGTCGTGTACCTGGAACAAGCGTATCCAAGGCCGAAGTGGCTTATCCCAACGGCGTTCGCATTCCAGAGTGTGGCGCTGTCGTTTAGCAGTGCGAATACCATCGGTGAGTTGCCTTCTGCCATTTAGGAGTTGAACAAGTGCTGATGATAAGTCAGTCCTGGCTCGCTATCTCTTCCGCATAAGCGGGCACACCCCAACCGACTGGCAACTCATAGGCGTCGCCGTGGCAGGCTACACCCTGGCAACACTCTGTAAACCCTCCCCCCCCCTTCCCGATATTCCCCCTTCCTACACAATTCTCCCATTAACCCTGCTTCACGAAGTCGTAATCTTCCATACGCGCTTCTCCTACCGCATCTCCAACGCAATCGGCATCATCAAAGTTCTCACTCTCATTTTCATCTCCATCACCGGGTTCGTCGTGCTGGGCGGGCATGTCAAAGCTGTCTCAGATCCAAAAGCCAACTTTGTCGATGCTTTTGTGGGACGCGCAACACCGTATGGGTTGCCGAACGCATTGTACAGGATTATTTTCTCTTATACTGGGTTTGAGAATGCGTTTAATGTTGTTAACGAGGTCAAGGGACGCTTCAGCGGTCCTCTTTACATCTTCTGCGCCTAAAAAGGGGAGGAATAGCTAACATTGCGATGCAGAATCCCGTCAAACAACTCCGGCGCAATGGCTTCCTCTCCCTGACCATCGTGGCCATACTCTACGTCCTTGCGAACATAGCTTACTTCAGCGCAATCCCGAAAGATGAGCTTCGCGAAGCCCGCGAAATTGCAGCAAGCCTGTTCTTTCAGAGGGTATTTGGCTCTAGCAATGCAGTTCGCGGGCTTAACTTTCTCATTGCACTCAGTTCCTTCGGGAATTTGCTCGCTGTTCTGTTGGGCTCGTCTAGGATGCTAAGAGAATGTGGAAGGTATGTTCTGACCTACCAAACCCTCCGCTGACTGTCGAGTAGCACTTACTGACGATCGCGTTTGACGCCAAAGACAAGGCGTTCTCCCTTTCCCCTCCTTCTGGGCATCGACCCGCCCTTTCAACACCCCCCTCGGCCCCTACCTCACCAAGTACACCTTAACAGTCCTCATGATCCTGGCCCCTCCGGCCGGTGACGCCTTCAACTTCGTCACCGACCTACAAGTCTTCCCAAGTGCATTCTTCAGCGTCCTTATGGCAGTCGGGCTGTACGTCGTGCGCTACCGACGTAAGAGGCTGGGTCTTACGCGCAAGGACACCCAGTTCTGGGCATGGGATGTCGTGGTAGTGTTTAACATCTTCGTTAATTTGTATCTGCTCGTCATGCCGTGGTACCCGCCCGAAAAGGGACAGGGAGATGTGAGTTTTTGGTATGGGACTTATATCGTCACCGGAATTGGGATGTAAGCTTCCTCCTTCTCTCCCCTACACTGCTCACGGTCGGAAAACTGACAAGACCAGCATCATCGGCTGCGGCGTCTATTACTACCTATGGATCTGGGCGATTCCCAGGCTACGGGGGTACTGCATCCGCCAAGAGACGCTGGCATTGGAGAATGGAGCGCAGAGCCATCGGCTGGCGAAGGTACCTGTTGCTGAGGTGGCACAATGGGATGCAACCCATGATGCAGTCGGCCGTTCAATTGGCACCCAGGCGGGTAGCTCATCGGGGTCTGGACCTATGACTGGATTGGAAGAACAACGTTGAGGTTCGAAGCCTGGTGAAGATCCGATTTTGATTCAATGAGACCTTCTATCGCCGTGGAACTGATACGGAGCCTGTTTCTTAGTCTTATTTTGTGTTTACTTCATGAATCCATCTTTGATGACTGCTTTCTTCCCTCGGTGTAGGCAACACCCCCAACAAAGAGCTCTGAGAGTCTTGGTTAATTGTTGAAACCTCTCGGTCTAGAACAACCTACCTTGTATAAACTGCCTATTTCAAGCTCCCACCCTTTGCGCTCCCCCATTCAGCTTTGCTCCCTTTTCAGCTCCCAGCACTACATCCTCTTGGCACCGGGGAACCACACCGTGCATCGCTCCCGTCGATCGTTGCATTACCCAAACGTTGTCAATTCAGCCCATTCCCTCACCCACGAGCCCCTTAAACCGTTAGGTAATCTTGTGCAACACCATTGGTTTCCTCTCCTTGCTGCGCGGCTGAGCGTCGTCGCGTGCAAGGTGGGGTACATAAGGTGGGGTACCTAGGAGAAGCGATCCGGGCGCGGGCTGGGGGACAACGGTCAATCGGGGGGACCCCACTGCACAATGCAGACTGCGAGCGAGGGGTAGAGGAAATGATGGGATGCTCTTCACAGCTCTTCAGTTCGCATGCAGAAAATATCCCCTTGGCGTCGTACAGAACCAGTCTGCAGCAGAAACTGGTCCCTTTTTTGTTTTTGCGAAGCGGTGCCAAGCACGGCCCTTGAGGATCTCGACCGGTCGTAGGATAGGGGTCTTGATCAAGATCGCGACGGATACTCAAAGCGGGGATGACCCAGCAAGATCACAGGCTTGCCAAGAAACGTGCACACTTCCGCAAACGCTCAAGGCCGAGCACCAATCAGGCGACGAATCCAGACACTGGAAGGATTTCCAAGAGACATCGACGGGATCTTCTTCTGTCGCTCGATCTTAACAATGAAGGATGTTGTACAGCACATGGACAGTACGAGACGAGGTCGAGATCGTACCATGACGGCCCGAAACAGATCGCGATCAGATGTACCCATAGGGAGCCTATCCTCGACCGTTGTCGGCTGCAACCCGCAGCAAAAAAAAAAATGGAGCCGCTAACATTGCCACCGGTTAACACCAGCAGCGCTACATGAGGTATGCAGCAACATCACGCGGAGGCGATTGGTGGTGAGATGATGACCCGGCAGGGCGATAAGCCAGGGTGCGAACCAGGGCTGGACCTTGGCCTTCGGGTTTGCTCAAGTGCCAAGCACCAACTTCGGTGTTCACCTCTTCGATTGATCCTCGAGAGGGGCAAATGAAGCATCCAAGTGCGGGGAAAGAAAGTGATCAAGAACAAAAGCATAAGAACAAAATATGAAGCAAAATGTAAAAATAGCGTGTCGTTTCCTCGAAGATAGCAAGAGGAGATTTCACGGCCCGTATCTCAGTTTTTATCCGAGCATCGGAAGCATAGTGCATCGCTATCGCCGTGCATCCAACCCGTGCCTGCGCTCTGGGTGGCATGCAGCTGGGGAGTCGTCACAGCTGATTTCCTGTTCTGTCCCAGAACCTTGAAGGATATCCGGTCAGTCCCCCTTCCAATTCTACCATTGGTGAAAAGATCATAATCCAGAAAACAAATTTGAAGGCAGCCCATCCACTTGGACCCGTGGGCAACAGATCTAAGACGGCTTGTATCTTTATAACGCGAACCCATCGCTTTGCAATGACGACCAACAATGAGAACACACAGTACATCAATGGACGCCATGAAGAGACAGTAGGCCGACATGCGAGCGAGACCACCCCGCTGTTGGGGTCTCAGACGGTACAGAAAACATCGTATGTGACCTTTGCCGGTCAAATTAATGACGACTCATGGACTCCTCCACGAGGCTTCTGGTGGATAGAGACTGGTAGGTGACCTCAAGAACCAAACATTAACATACCTGCTAACCAGAGACAGCCCTCTGGGCCAATGTCTTCCTGTCTGGGTTCGACGGAACCATCACAGCATCGACTTATGCTGCCATCAGCTCTGACTTTAACGCCGCCAACAATGCTGCGTGGCTGACGACGTCGTACTTGATCACCAGCACGGCCTTCCAGCCGTTGTATGGTCGCTTTTCTGACATGTTCGGACGTCGGATATGCTTCTTCATCTCCACAGTGACCTTCATGGTAGGATGCTTAGGTTGTTCACTGGCGCAGAGCATGTTTATGCTTGACTTGATGAGGGCAGTGACTGGCTTCGGAGGAGGTGGGCTTATCACGATGGGTGAGTGCATCTGCTAGCTCTGGTTTCGACCTCCGGCTAAGACCACACAGCAACCGTCGTGAACTCCGACATGATCCCCTTCAAGAAGAGAGGAATGTACCAAGCGATGCAAAACATACTTGTCGGGTTCGGTGCCGTACTTGGTGCCTCACTCGGCGGTGTAATTGCGGAAAGCATCGGTTGGAGATGGTGCTTTCTGCTGCAGGTGCCTGTATCCGTTCTGGCGCTAGTCGTTGGGTACCTTGTTCTGGAAAACCCACCCTGCATGATCCCAACAGTAGATCCCAAGAACCAATTCCGTTCTGCTCTGCAGCGTCTGGATCTGTCTGGCGCCGTCACTCTAGTCTTTGGTCTGGTCGCCCAGCTTTTAGGATTGAGTCTCGGTGGTAATGAGTATCCATGGGGAAGTCAGATCGTCATTGGGTCGCTTCTCGCCAGCATGGTGTTCCTGGCTATCTTTGTTGCCATCGAGGCAAATACGAAAGCCATTCCCATGATTCCCCTTCGCATGCTGCGGGGCTGGCAGCCGATTGCTGTACAGATGTCAAATGTGTTCTCTGGCATGGCAGCGTATGCGGTATGTTGGACGAAACTCATCATACCTTGAACATCACTGACGAAAGCAGTATATGTTCATGATCCCTCTATATTTCCAAGCTGTCCGGGGGGATTCCCCATCAGAAGCTGGGATGAAGCTAATGATCCCAGCCATGGCTACCCCCATTGGAGGCGTTATTGCCGGATCACTCATGTCTAGAGGACATCCTCTTTGTGTCAATGTTCGTTTAGGAACGGCTACGATGCTGTTCGGCAACTTGCTCGCGATGACAATGGGCATGACGGGGGATCGGCGAAAGGAGTTCTTCTATCTCCTGCCTGCTAATATGGGGCTTGGACTCACTAATCCGAGCGTACTGTTTAGCTTCGTGTCTCTATTTGAACACAGAGGTAATTATCTTTATACCAACGAGAAGGCTAAAAAGACTAACCTCGAGCAGAACAAGCCGTTGCTACCTCAACGGTGTATCTCATCCGTTCCATGGGCACCATTTACGGTGTCACCGTAACTTCAGCCATAGTTCAGAACATCCTTCTTTCCAGATTGCCCGGTACCCTCGGTGATGCAGCGACAGAAGAGGTTGGTCCAGGAGACCCTGCTTCCAACAAGCTCAGTTACTGACATGGACACAGTTGATCGAAAAACTCCGCAAGTCGCTCTTCTCACTGCATGAGCTTCCTCCCGATCTTGAATGGGCTGTACGTAGATTGTATCAAGATGCTCTCAGGATAGCATTTGCAGCATCGAGTGCGTTTGCGTTTTTGTCGTTCTTGTTCTCGCTGGCTCATAAGACTGGTGCGTTACGGAGGAAGCAAACGCCTCAAGAAGAGGAGGGACAAGATCGCAAAAATAGCATGGAGCAATCGGCGTAGTGTAATTTCATAGTCTGGTGGCACGATAGTTTGAGCTCTTTGGTCCCATAGAATGAATAACAAAGGTTAAAAGACGAAACCTAATGTGCGACATGAGATGAACTGTGGGGGAAGTCAGGCACATGATGGGGAAGTCCTTCCTGATCTGGATTCTGTCGTCAGCCTGCCCCGCAATGGCGTGCTGGGGTCACACAACCATATAACCCTAACCCTGGTTGCCCTGGAAACCGTAAGTACATACACCCCCTTAATCACAGCCCCTGACTCCAGTTTACAAAAGTTAGATTATATATTCAACATATAGCTCTATGAGAATATATCTAGATCTATACTCTAGCCCTGCTACCTTCCACCTTATACGCTGCCTGGCGCATCATAATTGTGCATTCAAGGTTAGCTTTAACTTGTTCGCGATCAGGGGTTCTACCCATCCGATTTTTGTACACCTTGCTCTTTAGATCCTTGCATATCTCCCTGAGGTTCGCGTATAGAATGGACTAAGGTAGTTCAATATCAAAGCCTAGGCTTCTTCGAGTTCGCTGCTGCACGCCAGCTCTAACGGAAAGAGTCTCTCTCCGTTTCTGGTCTTTGTGACCGCATCGCCACCTGCAGCGGTGGATTCCTCACCCCGCTGTCTGGGAGGTCTGTCTGGCAGCCGCGTGCCAGCAATTCTCTCACCACCTCCCAAACCCCGGCTCGACCTGCTTCATAGACAAGTGCATTACCCCTAGCATTCACAACCAACAGCGGGCCGCCGTTGCTAGCCAGGAGCTGGACCAGGTCGAGGTCCTGCTTTCGGGTGGTGAGTTGAAGGGGTGTGTGTCCTGATATGAAGGAGGCATCGGGCTATGCACCGCGCTTATGAAGTAGGCGCGCGACAAGGGTATTTTGGTGGAGGACTGCGTAGTGCAGCCCAGTGAAGCCAATGTTGTTGGGGGCCGTTGGTCTAGTCCCATGGTTAAGGGGCGCTTTAAGGAACGCCACCACGTTGTGGAGAGCGGCGACATTGATTGCCGTGTCGCCTACTCTGTCGAGTTTTTTCAAGGGAGTTGGACTCTGAGCCGGGCTGGAATCGGAAAGTTCGGTCCTGCATTGCACCAAATGAGGACTTCTGCCTTTGGTTGGTAAGATTTGCCGAATTGTGTCGGTCAATAGGAACTCATACCCATCAATCCATGTTCTGCTGCCATATGTAATACGGTTTTCTTGAAATTTTTGGCGGAATTGACACTTGGGCAACTGTGCTTCGATGTTGTCTGCCGAAGATCTCGATGTTGTTCTTGAGTGAGCTGGTATTGCCCCTCTGCGCTTCTGCCAAAAGGGCGAAGAATTGGTCCTCTATCAGCAAGATGCGGATGTGGTCCCTTCATGGTGTGTTAGTGTCGAATAAAGAGAACAGAGCTACTCTAATATCTTTTGCATCGCGCCTATATCCTAACTAGTTTTGTGTTTTCCTTACATCAAATGGCTGCAGTTTGAAATGAATGTGGAATATCTCGATGTCCACTGAGCCAATTTCTTATTCTTAGCAGCAGTTACTGTGAGACATTTGATCTCGTCCAGAGGATATCCTTCAGACGTAAGTAAGCGGCTGGCTTATATGTTATATTTAGAATGCTACCATCAATGGTATGAATTGGATAAAGACTGGCACAGACTTGATAGAGCTGATAACCGCTGTAAGGATGGTAGGTGTATCGCACTGCTTGTTTTCTTTTGAGAGTTTCTAGGCTCTCTGTCATTGGAATAGTGGATGCTGCAAGCTCGTAAATGCTTTAGGAACTTGCACTGGAATCTCATGTTTGAAGTTTATTCATATTAACTGTTGGGAGTTCGTTCGAGATCGGTTTCAATGACTATGTGATTCATTATCTATAGATGTCAATCATGCTTGCGCACACTCACAAGCGTGCCACTCCTTCTTACCTCTTTGTATCTCCAGGTCATCCACCCATCATCTGAGACCTTCCGCCTTTTTGAAGGTGAGGTAAGGCTGCTGTCATTGTTTGCTAACTGCTTGTTCAGTATAAGACTGTGTAGTTACCCCAGGATTGGTCATTCGTCAAACACTGGCTCCAAGCTCCGTGCGTCACCTATTTGAGCCTTCCATTACGGGACATCTTCGTTCCATAATGTTATCGTTCTCCTCGCCCAGCGACTTTGGCAGTGATACCTCGAGTAACAACTGTACGTAATAAGTTAGCTTCTTCAGCCAAATTAGTGCGATCGATGACGAATGGTTTTGTAACTTTATTTGTCTTAAACTTGCCGGTCGCTGTGGTTCTTCATGATGTTTGACAACCGGCGGCCCTTTGTGACACCAATAAATGGTAGGTGCTGAATATTTAATCAGGTCTCGGTTCAAGTTGGGGCAGATAATTAGCCTTATCATGTAATAGGTTCTTTGCCTAAGGTCCGGTTCAAAGTCGAGGCGATCATTTTGGATGCCGCTTAAGTTTAGTGTGGAGAGTTCAGCAAGAGTGTGTCACTTTAGACTATTGAGCATATGGCTATTCTATTCCAAGCTGTCAGTATTTTCGTTTAAACATGCACATCTTTCAGAGCTCAATACTTTTGAACACTTCACCTTCGATAAATGCACCCCAAAGAATATATTCCGTAGTCATGAAACATCCGAATAGAATTATGGAATGTTCCAGATTGATTCAGGACTAAGTCCCTTACTCCTCAGTCTTGTTGTAATATCCCTCCGCCCGCTTATAAAGCACTATATGCTTTGCTGCTCGCCTTGCTGTCTTATCTGTTCGCTTTAGTAGAATCGTTCTCGCTTTGGTGAGCGATCTGACATACCATATGCTATGACATACATAAAGCATTGCTGCTCATACTTGTTTGCCTCGCGGTCTGGTAGACTTCAGTCTGTTCTGGACGAAGTTTTTGTCAATAACGTCACATGGGGACTCTATCGTTAAGGGAGATGTTTCGGCGACAGACCAATGGTCTTAAGGTTAACATTCATGCTACTGGTTTGGAAAGTGCTATGCTTGGTATGAGAGTTGATGAGGCACTGTCGATTGACCAACAGCTTACAAGTTCAGAGCTATCGAGCTTAAATGTAAACTCAGATTACCCAATGTTGACATAAGGAGCTAAGGTAAGTTATATTTATGTTCGTATCTCGTATATATGTTTGGCTGTATCACAGAATACCCTCTGAGTGAGAATTCAGGGAATTCAGGCAAGAATGTTGGAGTGGAGAGATGAGGCAGTCCTTAGCAAATCCAGTAGGCAGCCTAGTGGCAAACTATATCTTGACCGGGAACAGCGTAGTACGCCTAGGTCATGCTCAAGACATCGGTATGACTGCAACCTAGTCTATAGAATACTTACAAACTAGAAAAAGCCTGAAGGAAACCTGTGGCTTGTTATAAGTGGATACCTTGCAGAGTTACTACCGCCAGACCCTAGCTCATCTTTACTATCGCAGATATTGGAAAGTAGTTATAATAGTGGGGTAGACAGACGGTCTGAGGGCATACTGATCGACCGGAGATGTAATCCAGCCAGTCAATGCCAGTCAATGCCAGATGGGCAATTCTGTAATAGTTGCCGCCACTGGCTTCAGGGAGAGTAACATAGATGACTGCAGACGAAGATCATAGTGACTATTGAGATAGAAGTTCTCGAGGCAGAAATGTTTATTTGCTTCACTAATTAGGTTCGCCAGTGCCACAAAATGCAGGAAAGAACCATCATACCTAATATAGTCTCATGGCATATAATCGAGCAACGCCGCACTTTCTTGTGATATGGCCCTCCCACTTATCAGCCGCACACGGTGTAGCCTTCCCTGTTGATTAACTGTGCTGTCTTAACCCTCTCACTTGCTTTTGCACTTTCCGATGCACTATTCCATGCTTCGTTCTCATACTTCTACCGTTCAACAAACAGCTACAGGAATCAGACATGTCACACAAATACATCATGCAATTGGAAAAACGTTCGAACCTTCTGGCCCAGTGCTGGACAGCCAGATTAAAGGAGATCCACCCCTCTTTGCAAGAGATCAGGGCGATCGTTTGCATTCAAATCCTCCCCATATCCTTTGACTAGACCCTTCAGAGCAAATTAGAGAGTTTGTGTTGCGCACAAAATTGCGGAGCTTCTTCAAACCCTCCTGCTGCAAGAAGCTTGCCGACAAACATCACGAGGCCTTCAGTGCGGATAATGTTCGTATTGGAGGAGTCAAAATACTCTTGAAGCTTGTCCAGGCCTTTGGGAGAACGAACGCCTATGGTGTGCACCCATCACGATCTGCTAAGTGCGGATCAACTCGGCCATCAGATAAAAGTTGTAACAACCTTAGTACGTCCATACCCTGCAGCCTAACTCAGTGGTGTTCGGTCACAGTTGTCTTGTCTGTCTGGATCGATTCGGCCTCGGATAACAGAGTCTTAACAACCTCGGTATGGCCATTCGCGCAGCCCGACTGCGCGGCGTTTGACTTTCGTTGTCTTGTCGGTCTGGATCGACTCTGCCATCAGATAAAAGAGTCTTAACTACTTCCAAATGGCCATTTTCAGCAGCCCAACTAAGCGGCGTTCGGCCTTCTTTATCTTGGCGATCTGGAACGACTCGGCTATCAAATAACAGAGCTTTGACAACCACGATATGACCATTCTTTGCAGCCCAGCTCAGCGGCGTTCGGTCATAATTGTCTTGTCGGTCTGGATTGACTCGGCTATCCGATAACAAAATTTTAACAACCTCCATATGGCCATTCCGTGCAGCGTCACTCAGCGGCGTTTGGCCATAATTGTCTTGTCTGTCTGGGTCGACTCGGTCATCCGATACCAGAGACTTAACAACCTCGGTATGGCCATTCCACGCAGCCCGACTTAGCGGCGTTCGACCTTCGTTGTCTTGTCGGTCTGGACTAACACGGCCATCCGATACCAGAGTGTGAACAGCCTCTGTATGGCCATTCCACGCAGCCCAACTCAGCGGCGTTCGGCCATAGTTGTCTCGTCTGTCTTGATCGACTTGGCCATTGGATAATAGGGTCTTAACAACTTCCATATGGCCATTCCGTGCAGCCCAACTCAGTGGTGTTCTGTCATAGTTATCTTGTCGATTTGAATCAACTCGGCCATCGGATAACAGAGCCTTAACAACTTCCGTATGGCCACTACGTGTCGCCCAACTCAGCGTGGTTCGGCCATAGTCATCTTGCCGGTCAGGATCAACTCGGCCATCGGATAACAGAGTTTTAACAACCTCCATGTGGCTATTCTCTGCAGCCCAACTCAGTGGCGTTCGGCCATAGTTGTCTTGTCGGTCTGGATCAACTCGGTCATCGAATAACAGAGTTCTAACAACATTTGCATGACCATTCCGTGCTGCCCAACTTAGTGGCGTTCGGCCATAATTGTCTTGTCGGTTTGGATCGACTCGGCCATCGGATAACAGAGTCCTAACAACCTCCATATGGTCATTCCATGCAGCCCAAGTCAATGGCGTTCGACCCTCGTTGTCTTGTCGGTCTGGGTCAACTCGGCCATCTGATAAGAAAATTTTGACAACCTCCGTATGACCATACTTTGCAGCCCAAATCAACGGCGTTCGGCCTCGATGATCTTCTTGGTCAGGATCAGTATCCTGGGCACTTGTAAGGAGCACCGTGACTAGATTATCGAGCCCGTAGACACCAACCATGTGAAATGCATTCTGAGAGGGCCTCAAGTACTCCGAACTTAGGTTTTGACCCTCAAGGAGCCAAGGCTGCTCTCTGATGTCGGAAGATATGGCACAAAGTTGTACTACCATATTGACCCATTCCGATTTTGTCAGTAAGTCAAGCAGCTGAGGAGTGTAGAAGGAACATGCAGATGCATGATGTCCCCAGTAGTCCACAGCATAGGCGAAGAGAGGTTTTTCAAGTCGCTCAAGCGCCTCCTCATGCGTCCTGACAAGGCCACATGAAAAGTCCTTAAACGACAGGTATAATACGCAGGTATTGGCGATATCAAGATGGACGGTCGGAAACCACCGAGTCAAAGCATCATGGAAATATTCCTGAACTGTATAGTGGACAAGCCGAATGATTTCGCTTTCTTTGTCGATGACAACAAGCCCGCAACATGCCGAAAGCATGTCTTCGACATCAGGAACTGCGGTTTCATCAAGCTCGTCCTCACTATCCTTGACAGCCCATGCATACTGAACCTCTTTCGTTTTCAGAGGACGTTTGGCGCAAATGATCCAGGATAGCACATGGTTGGCAAGCTCCTTGTATCCAGCCGGTTGACCATTGATTCGTTCCATCGCGTTGTCATATGCCCGGCGTAATAGGGCAAGCTTTGGCTCCTTTTCCTTAGAGTCGCTGTGAAGCTCATTCAGTGTTTTACGGATAAGCTTTGCGCTAACTTTATCTTTCAAGGACTCGAAGAAGAGCTGAGCGAGTAGAAACCTAAGTTTGTAAGTCATATGCTCAATTGAGTCGTTAACTCAAGGTTCATGGAACACTGATGACTTACATGCCATCTGCGACACTGGCAATGCAACTGATGATCTCGTGTTGGAGGTCCGGGTACTTTGAGACAGCGCGCAAATTAGACATCCGATTGCGCATATATCGCTCGATATCGTCCCTTTGGGCCACGATCTCAAGCCGGGGGTGTCCATCGAAAGCTTCCACAATATCAGGTACAGGGCGGGATGTGGCCAAGAGGTTGATATTAGTTTTTCTGGATTGAAGGCGCAGAAGTGTTTCAATGAACTTAAAACGAACATTATCGCTCATTTGGCATTCGTCCAGCGCATCAACAACAACAAAGGCCCTATCCTTGTATAGTGCGGCAACAGCATGGAACATCTCCTCAAGATCGCTCAACGATGGCTGTGATCTATGCTTCTCGTGCCGAGCATAGACATCCATGACTGCGGGTGGTGGCGGAAACTTGTTCCTGAGTAGTTGCTTTACGAGGTTGGCAATGAGCTGCTCCACGCTTTGGTCATCTACGCGCCGGAAGTTACAATAAAGATATGCAATACCAGCGTCACAGTCTGCCAAATTCCTTTGGAGATAGTCGATGATGATCGATACAAGAATAGTCTTTCCAGCACCAGGTATGCCGGGGCAGAAGAGAGTCACTGGCTTCCTTGAGAGACTGGTGGACTGATCAGCTTGAGGAAGAATAGGAATAAGACAGGTATGAAGGTAACAAGGACTATACCATTCCTGAAGCTGATGAGATTCTAGGAACCACTGTCCTGTGCCTTCTTCTCTTTGCCGTAAAAAGTCAGCTTGTTGTGGCGAATAGTCTGCTGAAGAGAGCCACTGAAGCAGTTCTCCATGTTTTTGCCGAGCTTCAGCGGTATGTGTCTCCTGCACCATGGAATTCACACCGGATGCTACAGTATTGACGCTCACTTCGATCTCACTCGTCCGTTGTTCAATAGACCGGAGCTTCTGAAATTGGGTCTGATGGTTTCGGTTCTGATCTTCTCTGCCCTCAATCGCCTGTTGTAAAATCTTGGTTTGAAGAACAAGTTGATCGCGCCCAAAAAGCAAGTTTAGAGTTTGGTATCGCCGATGGAGATTTTCAACAGCTTCGCGAGCTTTCCCGCCATCAAGTGCAGCCTTGAGGCACTCCCATCCTAACCTATGACCATCTGCCCGCTTTTTCATTTTGGCGAGCAAATGTTGCAGCTCATTCTCACATGTAGATAAGAGGACAGCGGTGTCCGTACCATGCAGGGGATCAAGCTCAGAAAGCAATGCTGAAGAACCATTTTTTGAAGGCGCTTGCAGAATTTGGGTCCGAGAGAATAGTACGGGTATGTAGTAGAGTAGTCTTGAGGGCCCCTACTTCGAGAATGAAACTTTTTGTGTCCGCTTTAACATCCTTCCAGTTGTTGTAAAACTTGAAGGTAAACTCCAAGAGCTGGCCGGCCAAGCCAATAACGCCGATAGGATCAACCATGGTGATACCCTTGACGCATTGGTGAAAGTACAATAGAGTGTGGCAGGGGAGTATTTGAGAGGGGTTAGATGGAAAAAAAATTTTACAAAATGACTCAAGAGTGTCAACACTGTAAAGGGATTGAGTGAGAAGTGTTCTCAGTCAGAGGTAAGAATGCAATCGCAAAAATTGATATGGCCAGATAGTGCGAAACGTCTTTGCAGGTTTGTTAACAAAAGTAGTTTCAACTTTATGCCTCTTGCTATAGTCTAGAGACCTTTCAACCTTCCCCTCTTTTCTTCCTTTGATTCCTGATCCAGCCAATCAGAGGAGACGACGTTAGATAAACCAATCAGATGTGGTTAACCTGGGCGTTTTGACAATGCCAAAGCCTACTACGAGCCTCTCCAAGATGGCCCCCTCGAGCGCGGGCATTCTGGCAGCCCTCAACAGAGCCCGCGAGGAAAAGGTGAAGGAGCTCAGCGCAATTTTCTTCGTCACCGAGAAGCTCCCGCGAACCGTTGAGGACATTGAGAAGAGCCTTGAAGTGAGCTTGGAGAGGAAGGTTGGGAAGTGTCAGGCTGATGTGGGACCTAGTCATAGGACCCACTGTCCGTGGACATCAATACGCCCCACTTTCTCTGCTTTCATATGTATCTTTCATATGTATACATAGACTACACTCGGGCAGGATAGAACCTAGGGCCTTCTTGTCCTCCTTCCAACTGTTTAAATCTAGAGTCCCCCGAGCCGAACTCTGGGGACAGCCTGCGAACCCCGTCTGGTGACGGCTCTCCCTCTCCCCACATTCATCTTTTCCCTCAGATCCCCCTTCGAACCCGAGGGCTGGACACGGCTCCCCCGAACTACTCTCCCTCCCCTCGACCATGCGACATAACAGCCCTTTAATATCTCACGTCAGTTTTTCTCCAACGTGAGGTTCTTCTCTGGCGTCGCCTGTAATCAGTATATCTTAGATAGCTCTTGCCTGCCGGCGTCGTGGGCACGATTTAGCATCCCCGGTAGTGAAACGGTCGGAAAAAGAAATAAATAAATAATATACTACACTCATAGTTGCTTCTTATGACAGGCCCAGTAAGCACTGTCTCCTTCCAGACACTCATTAAAAAAGGCTCTCCACCCACGATTTGCTCCTGACTGTGCGACAGGTTGTGTACAAGATCTTGTTCAGCTCATCAGCACCGATATCAACAGCACCAGGAGCCGAGCCTTTGGGTAGATTATGTATTGGGGTCTGCTTCCAGGGTGTCTCGCCCTCAGATACCTTCTCCACAACCAGCAGAGATGAGGCACCTTGTTCACTTGGGTCTACGGGCAACTAGCAGCCAGATAGATGCAGCTGATGAGTCTAGGATTGCCACATCCAGCGGGTTGCTTGGAATCTTGATAGTCTCGCTACGCTGCATGGTGTTACCTTCCTGCTCTGTACCTATTCAACCCAAAGAATCGGATAAAAATGCCGGACTCTGACTGGGATAAACTGAAGGGGGGCCAAAAGAAGTGATAATCCAAGCAGTAAGTTCAACATTGAGGTTAGCCCTAACTGCGTCCTAAAGGTCCGCGCACGCCACCGAGCTACAATACAATCTGTCACAAACATGCCAGAAAAGGGATTTCTTGAAGCAGAGAAGGGGTGTCATCCTCTACTTCGTTTCTGTTCTCGAAACCTGAGAGAGCGAGAGCTGGGCGAGGTCACCCCACCCATATTCCGACACTTCAAGTGCTTATCCGACTGCTATTACCGGAACTGTTCCATAAGCTATCAGCTGAGGAGCCCAAGACAGGAGTTCACAAGCCGGCAGGAGCCTTTATCCAATGGCTTGTGTTCCGCTGCTTGAAAGCGTATCAAAAGGCCTTGTCCCTGAAGCGTGGTTCCTGGGTACGGGAATTATTCGCGGATCTGGACAAGCTGACCCCTAAGAAGATGGAGAACCTGACAATTTTATATCGACGTTGGGATTAAGTAGCCATGTGACGCGAATCCATGAAACAAGAACAGTCAAGGTTATCTCATGTGTACTGCATCTTCCTAGCTACTTAATCTTACATTTCGATAATACAATAGGAATTGTAATCATGTTATTTTTCTGGGTACGTCCCTTGATGCTCTGCTACAATTCTTATCTCTTTTACTCCTTTTCCGACATGAGGTACCCCAAACTACACAAGCAGTAGCCAGCGTTCTTCCAGTTTATCGTCAACAGACGCTTTACCTTTATACGTCCAGGTCAGACTGGGTTCTCATAATCGGGTCCGATCTCCTTGAGATTATTTGAGCAACTTGATTAGTAAGAATGGTAGTAAACTATGAATGAATCGATGGAAGGGAGCCTTGGTTTTGAAAAATAACAGAAAGGTATGGGTGCAGACAAGGCATAGCAGAAACATCACCGGCAAGTAAAGAAAGAAGTTGTTGAACTGTTGGTTCAAACGGGCCGGTATGCGAGTCCGGGGAAGAACAAGATTCCTTTTTTCCTTCAAAGGCCTTCACTTTAACATGCTCACGGAATCCGGAAACAGCCATATTTTTCTAGCAAAAGCCTAGGAGCACAATGAGTTCGTAGCATCTGATATTATGCCAAAGAAAATTTCCTAGAAAAGAATAGTTTTTCTCTATTCTCCACAAACTTCTTAGATATTTACATCCCACTGCAGTCCATAGAGAGTGTTTTTGTTCCCGGAGCTGCTGATGCGATAACCTACGAGCATCTATATTTTCTTAAAGTAAATTGTAATTAATGACGATATAGCTCCTTTGCCGTGGGCCGTTCAGTGCCAGCTGCCAGCCTGTCAGTCTGCCGTTCCTTTGTTGGGCATACTATGAGCAACCCATGATCGAAGAGCCAACCAAAAGTCAATCTCGTGTCAAGCTGCAGTTTTTTGTCCGTTTCGTGTTGGATTAAACATGTCCTTAGCGAAATACCGCTTTCTCTGGCAATCAAACGTCCGCAGGACCGCAGCCATGGGCCATAAGGGTCAAAACTGGCACGGCATGCCAAACATGCAAGCGGTTACCGCGTTGCACCTATACACTCCCATTTCCCCGCTTCTTTCACAAGAACAATGGAAAACCGGACTGAAGTGCCCATGAAAACTCGGGGAAGGTCGGTTCACCATGATATCAAGAGCCTTTTTCTACAACGCAGTAGTTCCTGTCAGCCGAATTTTTTGTATGTTTGTTGCAAGCAAGTTCGCATTTATCATTACTTATTCCGAAGTATACTTGTTTCGGCACTATGGACAAGGCATCACAGAGAGCATAGACGTACCCAAGCGCGTTGGAATGCCGTTCCACGACTTGTTTCAGTGGGAAACCTGCCTAGAGGATGTGAAGGATCCTAAACACTCTTCCAAGCCTAAATACCCGCAATTCTACGCTGCCCGCAGGCCTCGTCTTGTGAACGACACAAATACGTGGTTGATCTGGAAGATATATGGAGCCACACGACCGAATGAGCCAGATGACCGAGGCAGGAGGACGAGACCCCTGAAAACCCTGGAAGGCTGAGGGACTCATAAGGGCAGGAGGATTCCATAAAGAAACTGCCAAGACACGATTAAGGACTTCTCTTGGTTCTTTCTCTTCCTAACACAGGGACACTGACGACCAAGAAAAATTATTACACGTATTAATTGAATTAATCGTGCACCCCACATCGTCAGTGGCTATCGTCTAACCCATCTGACCCACTGTCGATCCCTTCCTGCACCAGACCTAGTCCCCCGTTACACGGATGCAGTTGACCTATCAACCGCCGTTTGCCCATATATTTGAATAAGTTTAGTAAAGCAAATAGATCAAGAGAATCATAAGATAGTCTTTCCATGAGCCTCAAGTTCTGCACAGTCTTTTAGGTGACATGAACAGAGGCCTCATGGAACAAAGAAGAGAATCATGACCTCAAGCTATTATGACAAATGATCATACCTTCATGTGTCAAGCTTCCAGGGATCTGGTCCCATTTAGTTTGGGCGTTTGATTATACCATAGAGTTTCGTTTATTGAGCGCCGAGTTTGACCATCAGAATCCAGAACCACGTCAATTCTTGCTAAGACTTCTCGGCAGCTGATGGATGTCAATTCTTCTCGAGCCATGGCCAAATCTTGGCAATAAAAAAGCGGCGTATCTCTCTTTACTTTAATATTCTAATAGGGAAAAAAGCAGCTAGGAACAAAAAAGGCGTCAAATTTCAATATAAAAAAAGCAGTAGTCCAACAGCCCAACAGCCGAATTCAACAAAGCAGTGATGTGCTGCGTCAGCTTGGTATCGACACTGTTCCCGTGCTACCAACACCAACAAAAAGACATCGCCTGACAGCGGCTAACAAGTTTGTCGCCCAGAGGATGGTGTGTCGAAGTACTCGTCAAGCTTCCCGTCCAGCGGGAGATCATATATCGGATGTTTGTATCCGGAGAGTTTAGTTCATTCACGCTTTTGTCTCATCGGTTGGTGTGTTGATTGTACCTCCAAGCGCACCATAGATGTGGGATGGCATCTTTCTTCGCTTCAGAGGCAGTTAGCCAGCCAAGTAGCATTTCTCTCGGTCAGTTAGCATATATCAAGCACCCAATCGATGAATTGGCAGTCTAAGTAGTAAGATGATTGGTTTAGGGAATCAAAAACGGTGCTCGTGGGGTAACCAAGATTCAATGATGCATTTACTCTTGGAAGCATCGACGACAACTCATTTTCCCTCATATTCGTCAGAAAATAATTTCTGCATCAGCTTGCTTGAGAGGTCATGATAAGGTCTTTAGGAAGTTTTCTCATGATCAAGGTTAGTTCTCGGTCTTGGTGTAATAGCTTTGGTAGCTCAAGATCAAGCCGTAGTTGTAACCTAGCTGATAATCAAGGATGAATTAGACATCCTAGGTCTTTTTGAGCATCAGAAAAATATATTCAACTGTATCTTGGCCGTGGCAACATCCAAGAAAGTGAGAAGCCTAAGGATCATCCTACACAAAAAGTGGGGCGGATTCAGGGGCTTAACTCCAAGGTAATCAAATGCATCAGTGGGAAGTAAACAAAGGAGAGAAACCAAAATCAACAAGTAAAAAGGCCCTTGAAATGGCAATCCTAATGTCGAGAAGATGACTGAAGGCTCGCAATGTCGCATGGAGATAGGAAAGTCGACAGTTTCAGCGCGCACGTCCCAGGGCCAGACTGCGCTGGAGTGGGCAACAACCCCTCCATGACCGACTTCTGCGCATTTTCCCCGGCGACAATAGCGGGCAAGAAAATAATTTTCCAAATCCACGCTCACATACACGGTGCTGTGAGGACAACAGATTGGATGGCAGAACTGCGAAGCACGCAGAGCTGCCTATAGATACTTGCATTTTCACTGTCTCTTCTCTTCCTCTTCCTCTCTTGACACATCGGGAAACATCACAAGCTGCGAGTGCTTTTTAAAACTAAAGTTTCCTGACAAGTACAACTTTATTGCCGATCTTACAATTTTCACCAGTCGATCACCCTTGAGAAAAATGTCTTCTCCCTCGTCCGTTACGCAGGGCTCCCTTCGCAGGAGGGCCAGAGTTGTCAATCGGTCCCGTCAGGGTCAGCAGCCATCTGCGTCGGCTGCGTCTGGGAACACTGAGACCACCCTTACGGCGAATTCCACGGGCGCCACTTCAGTCACCAAAGCGGGCGACAGAGCTGCGGTTGACCTGCCCGCTGCTTCCGTGCAGCCCGAGTCGCCAGTCGATGTCCAGTCCTCTACTGACACCAACGTTGGCGCCGCCAGCAGCTCCCGCCGCCCGCTGCCCACGATCGAGAACGACTACATACCGCAGTGGGGGCGCGAGCTCTGGCACCAGAGAGCCAGGGAGCGCGCGAGAGCCGAGGAGCTCAGGCGCGGCAAGTGGAGTGATGAGTCAAAGACTATGCTTTTGGCTTACCTGGCCAAAGGCTATACAATTCATGAGATTGCGGTAAGTTAGCTGCTCATTTAACCTCGTTTCCGTAGCTTTTCGTTGTCCTTAAGCTGTCCAGTCCGTGGGACGGGGTTGCTTCGCCAGTTGTCTGTTCGACTTTTTCTGAAAGTAAGAGTTGTCGCTACATTCTTCACCACTCAGGCGCGGGTGTCTTGATCAGGACAGGGAGCTAATGAGCACTTTGGCAACAGGACTTCGAGAAACGCACTCCTGAAGAGTGCTACCGCGAGGCCCACAAGATTGGAAAGATCTATAATGACAAAGCACTATTGAACAAGCTCGAGGCAATCAAGGGCAACCTTGAGGTTACCGACGACGACGAAGAGGGAAACGGAAAAAATTACTGGGAGGTGCATGGGGTCAGCCCTGGGCCCAATCGGGGCCCTGGAGTTGCTTAGAGGGCACCGGGCAACAAGTCACTTTTCGGGCTGCGTTACTGAACAACGAGCTCACTACCTGATTCAACTACCAGCGTATATTCAGCAATCAACCTTTGTTCCATACCTTTGACGTGTCAAGCCTTGATCCCACCGTCTAACCTTTCCTTCCTTTGCCCAAAGCCTGCCAACAACCGTACCATCCTCACTCCGGCTATTGAACTCTGTTAAGAAGTTTGCGTTAGTGTTTCAATGATCTCGCCAACTTTTATAGTCTAGATAGTTGTCAACGTTATTGCCTCTACAAACCTATATTTTTGATTTGCTGTTCTGTGACCTAGATTCGGATGAAGAGGAAGTATCGGTCGAAGAACGATTCCGGGACGGCTGAGGCTATGCAGACGCTTCTACGAGCAAGCAAGGTTGACTGATTGTTCTCTCTTACAAGCTATCAGGAATGATGTCTGTCGTTGATAAGAAGCACACTTGGGAATTCTTTACAGTGGGGAAGGAGGAAACTTGTCCCAGAGTTGGGGTACTTATTCCCACAAAAGAAATACGCCTGTGTGATCTCTTTTTAATCTTTACACCAAGTCGCTTCCTACCTTGGAATATCCTACTAAACCTTTTTTTTATCAACGCATAGCTTCCTCCATCATGAGTCAGCAGCCCATAACGGCCATATGACTAGTAGGAGATCAGTCATGACTTGGGTACGTTGGACTGACTCCTCATTACAGCATCACCTCAGCATCTAACCCAGCTTTACTGGCGTCAAACCCTGTATTTTCGTAGAGAATGACACAAATGACCTCTATCAGACGAACATTTTCACCATCTTTGAAGCAGAACACCGCTCTCTCATCATTCCTCGGGTCCTGCACATAGAAACATCGTATCTATGTTTTGTAACCACATCCTTCCTCCAGTCCACGCCAATCCCAAAACACCCCTCACAATCCCATTCCATCACTTCCAACCCTAAATCTACCCGTCATATTCCCCAACCTCCCAGGATATTGAACCCCGTTTCAATCCCACGTCCATCCCATCTTCCTCAGCTACCCCCCTGATTCCCCTCACCACCTGTAGTAGCCACATTCCCCGCATTCCCCTCCGCTTGCCCCTCTCCCGCAACATTACCATTGATATCGCCATTTGCTGCTCCATTTCCATCTCCAGTTGCATTCCGAGCGGCCTGAGCTCTAGCTAAAGCTGAAGTTTGTCCTTAACCCTGAGGCTGCTCCCCCTGCGCCTCTGCTCCTCCAGCAGCTTGAGCCTGAGCTTCAGTTGGTTCACCCCATCCTTCTCCTCCCCCAGTTGCAGCAGGCCGTTCCCCTTCTCCTTGGGCTCCAGGAGGTCGCGCTCCCTCTGGCTGGAGCTGTTCGTGACCTGCTGCTGCTGCTGCTGCTGCTGTCGTCTGTTGTTGTTGGCCCTCTTGGGCTGGTTGTTGTCCCTGCTGACCTTGGGCCTGGCCCTCAGTCGGACCTCGCTCTTCCTCTCCCTCAATATCCCCTGCCGAAACCCGACGGGCACGAACATCAAGTGGCTTATTGATCTGCAATCCCCTCCACGCCGAATCCTCCCCCTCCCTCTCAATATCCCCCCTCAAATCCTCCGGCGGCACAATCGTCACAATGTTCGGCGGTAAGTGCTCCCCTTCTTGAGCAGCCATCCCCTCCAACAATCGCCCCCAATTCTGCTCCACCATCGCCGCCGGCACAGGCACACCCCTCGCCTCTCTTGGGATTCCTACCCTTTCAGTATCGTTTTGTGAGGTCTGGTGGTGCTGAAAGTTCCACGGACACCATGCGTCTGTGCAGACGGGGTAGAAGACGGTGTAATACGTGTGCGGGTCAACATAGGTGTGCAGGTGATGATCGGGGGAGTTGGGGCAGGGCCAAGCGGGGAAGGGGAGAGTGACAGAACAGGAAGAGGAGGGTTTGGAGAAGCCGAGACGCATGTGGATGTAGCGCCGGGCGAGGTGGTGTGGATGGCCGCCAGCTAGGTAGATTAGCGTGTCTAGGCGGGACCAGGTTTGTTTTTTGGGTTTGTCTTTCTTGGAACCCATCTTCGTGAAGTGAGAGGTGATGGTGCTAAGGCTTTCCCGGAACTCGTCGAGTGTGAATCCAGAGCAATGCTTTTAAAGGGAGAAATCAAGACTATGACAGTTGCTTCTCATAAGGGAGGGGGATAATCATAACCCAAGGGGTATTGATATGCTAAAGAAGCCACCAGGCTGGCGTTTGAAGTTTCCGCGATCGGAAGTTTTCGCGTCGAACTGGTACACGACATTCGTGTTGGGGTAACGATGACGCTGCTTTCCGCATGACCACGTTGTGTCGTGCAGCCGCTTGGCCTAGTTTTACTGCTGATGAGGCTGTGAGCAGTGTTGCAGTGTACTAGCTAGCTGATATGTTAGACATGGTGAGATCATGGGAAACCTTCCCGTCTGAGCTGACGATTCAATGTTGCTACATACGAGGGTCGAAAGAGAGAGCCTGATGGGATACTAGAGTCTCAAACCGTTGTGTGTTACTCAGCTTCAGTTACATGCTCTTTACTCCTGTGCTTTAGCCGTTAGTATTTACGAGAATCTATTCAGAACTCTTAAACACAAGTTTCTCGTCCTCCAGGTGTCACCGTAATGAAGCACAAACACTCAAATTCCCACTGAGTAACCACTTAATCTATTGTCTCTAGATAAGCAACAAGAGCTCTAATGAGCTCAAGACTTAAACTTAGCCCCAGATCAGCGGCTCTTAAGCTTCAGTTATTCCAGAATCCTCAAGTCGCGGGCAGCTGAGAAACAGGGGGCAGAGGAGGGGCAGGCAGAGCCGGACGGAGAGGGGAGCAGGCGGCTGCAGGAAGAGGATTGCAGGATTTAGACCACTGGGTCCGACTGTGGCAGAACAATGAAAACGCTGCAAGGAAGCGGATGCGATGAGGGGTGTTACGAATGATTAGAAGCCACAGAGCAATGAGAGCCAACAGGGCGAACTGAACCTGCAACCGATGAAGCACGAACTGCCTGCTGTGAAGGAGCCTAATGATGAGAAATATGTGAGCCAACCTAGCACTGAGAGCCAGCCACTGAGGGAGCACGAGATGGGCGCTGCGAAGCCACCAAATGCTGCGAACGATGAGAAAATGCTGAGTGGTGGGAATGATGTGAGCCAACTGAGAGAACCGAGCCTGCCACTGAGGGAGCTCTAGACGGCTGGCACAAAACAGCCGAGTTATGAAAATCGTGTAAGCTAGCCGAGCGGTGCAAAGCCGCAGAGCGATGGGAGTCAGCCATCGATGGCGCCCCTGATGGCGCACGAGAGCTCTGAGGCAAAGGGGCAGGCGAATGGTGAGACCTCGCAGCAGCAGAAGCTGAAGCTTGAGCAGCCGAGTGCCGGGAAAATATTGAGCGAGGGCTCAGAGCACGAGGACTGGCCACAGAAGCCATCTGCACCGCGCCCGCTGAACTTTGAGCAGCAGCTAATTTTTGAGAAGAATGCACATCATCGTGGTCGCCCGTCAGATGGGGAATAAGAGAAGAAACCAAGGGAGGAAGAGGAGGGGGTAGTTCGAGTAGCTCGCGATCAGCCTTCTGCTCTATACGCTTGGTGACATAGCGGCGGGCCTTCCAAAAGGGATGGCCGCCAGCTAGAAAGACGAGGACGTCGAGTTTGTCGAACATCGTGCTTGAGCATCGGCCATTGCGAAGATCATCACCAGTCGGTGGATTTAAGGGAGTCTTGACTTCGTAATGTGGCCACATTGTGGTAAATATGAATATCTGACTGTTGCTGTAGTTCGTCCGTTCCTCTGCCGTTGTGTTCATTTCTAAGTAAACAGCAACTTGTCCGCCCTGCTGCCCTGTTGTTGATCTCGATCACGACAACTTCTGGCCTTAAACATGAATCTCATGGTCCAATCTTCATCTCTTTGTAGTTCGGCGATCCTAACTCTTTGACCACAAGAGGGGATCACAAAGAACAATACCAAATTGACCGCAATAGCCCGGCCGACTCCCTCTCGCTATATTCATCCCAATTCCCCCAAATCACCCCTCAATGCCATTCGAGCCCTGAATCTCACCCATACCTTTTCAACAATCCTCGCTCAACCCTTTTTTTTTCCCTCCTTCCTCGCTCACCAAACATAAACATCCCCCTGAGTCCCTCGACATCGACCTTTTCTTTCCTCCTCCTCACTAACCGCCTTCTCGCAGAGCCATCAGTCAAGTAACAAAATCCACGATGCGGCTCCCTCATGCACTCACTGTCCTCCTGCTGGCCAGTCTGCCGACGAAAGTTCTCTCCCAAGCCGGCGGACAAGGCACAGTAATGCTCTACACCGACCCTGACACTGGCATTCCCTTCTACGGCTATGTCGTCCCCGGCGGATACCGCTTCGGCATCGTCATGCCCGAAAAGCCGACATCCGACTTTATCATGCAGCTCACGGCGCCGCTGCTGGAGAAGGGACACGGATGGGTGGGGGTGTCGATGGGGGCTTCAATGAAGGGGAGTTTGCTTCTCATCACTTGGTAAGTCGCCGTGTCTGAGAAACAGCGATCTCGTAAGAGCGGTTGAGCGACCTACCTGACTTGTTGTTTTCAGGCCGAACGGTAACGACGTGATAACCTCCGCCCGCCTAGCAACAGGCTACACCTCCAGCAGCGTGATCCCGTACTCCAAAACCAGCTTTTCCAAACACAACACCATCAGTCTTGCCCCCCTCCCCACCGGGACCTACGCCAACAGCACGCACCTCGTCTCAACATTCCTCTGCACAGGCTGCATCCACCCCAAGTTGAGCTTCTCAACCGACTGGGCATATGACTCCAGCTATAGTGGAGAACACTATTTTTCGCTGGCGTATTCAAGCATGCCAGTTGACGAGCCCGAGAAGGAGGATACCATACTGAGCTCGCATAAGGGTGATGGAGCGAAGGGGTGGTATGCGGGGTTTAATTTGGGGTTAGGGAATGCGAAGAATAGGGCGTTTGAGAAGTTTCTTGATCTGGTCGACTCCCAGCTCAAAGGAGAAAGGAGGACCAGCGTCTCTAACGAGGGAGGCTATTCTAAACCGACAGGAACCGGAACCGGGCCGATCACCCCAACCGCAACGGGCCGAGTCGTAGGCAATTACACCGCCTCACTTGCAACCTTCCGAACCACGCCGCCAGCATTCACAATCACCAGCGCCTCAACAGAGACAGAGAAAGTGTACGCGGGTATCGCGACGGGCACGGAAGCCATAGTGACAACCAAGACGGCAGACCCGTGGGTACACGAGACACAGACGCCGACGCAGCCAAGCACGGTGCATGCGAAGATTGATCCGTTCTGGGCATGGATGACGGCGCTGGCCGTGGGGGTTTATGTGTTGCAGGCTTTTTCGAACTGAGGGACCAGGCGCAGTTGAGGGTCGACTAGCTCTGGGTCATTAATAAGAAAATATCTGGGTTATAAGGGAGGGGGAAAAAAATGTGGTCAAGTGAGTTGGGTTTGGAGTGATGCGAATGGGTAGGGAAAGTTGACCTGCTTTTCAAGAAGTTTTTTTAAGTGAGAAAATGGTTAACTGCTTTTTATCTGGTTGATTTGCGTCAAGGAAAACAAGCTTGAGTCTCCTCAAATGGGGATGAAGATTTGCGAAGTTCATTGTACATACCGAACGATACGAGACATTTCTAAGAGTTTTGAGGTTTTAGTAATATCAAGACTCCATTGGAACAACTAACTTGTCTTTTTGCCCTTTCACATTTCCGGAATTCCACTCCAAAGTCTCTTTCATTGCAGAAGGCTAGTTTTGGGAACCTCTGCCCTTCAAAGACCCCTCACTTACACTAGGTAGCCACCGGGTCTTTTCTCCGCGTGTCACTTCTCCGCCTTAACCCTCATCCCGTGCAACCTCCGGCGCAGCGGAGCGCTTCCGGTTATGATGCTGGTGTTGTTTCACCGGTTCATCATGTTACTCTTGCAGTTTACAAGGACCGAAGAGTAATTATATAAAAATGTCAGGGTCTGAGGCACAGAGTTCACGAATACAGGATACCCAATGACAATGACGCTAGACACTAGTGTCACAACACTTTATCATTCATTGCTCACAAAAAAAAAACTAGTCATTCTTCTTTTCCCTGCCCGCGTAACCTAACAAAAGAGAACTGCTATCCCTTTATACTTCCCTCCACGTGGAATCTGAAACACTTGTCCCACCTAAAACAACCTCTAGACCCCAATAGCTGCTACTAACCGACCTGGTGCCCCGAACACACACGGAACAACCCTCCCCGAAACTCCTCCCGATCCCGACATCTTTCCATGAAACCTTCACTTTCCAAAGAAATGCGTAATCTTCAAACTCTGCTCCGCCCCTCCCCCAGCCTTAACTTTTGACTTGACTGGACTCTTGCTCACATTCTTCATTGCACTGATTTTCCCTTTCGTTGTTGTTGTTGTTGGCTTGATAGGGGATGTGTACTCCTTAATTGGGGAGGGTGATGGCGAGGGGGCAGTTTCTGTCTTCTTGAACGGAGGCTCGCCCTTGAGGGGGGTGGTGTCGGCTTCGCGCTTGACAGCCTTTACGGGTGAAGAAGGAGGTGGTTTTCTCTCCCCTTCGGCCTCTTCTCCCTGATCGCCAGCCATTCCCCCTTTCTCGTGCCCCTTCCCGCCCCCCTTGCCCGCCTTCGCAAAGAAATTTTTGATACTCCCCTTGCTTTCTTTCTCCTGGATGGGTATAACGAACGAAGGGTCGTCCTTCCCCACCTTCCCAACCTCCCTCGCCACCGGATACACCTCAAGTTCCCCTTCAAACGGCCTCAAGCATCCCTGCAACTCCCCACTCCACTCCCTCCTTTGGGGGTCCAACCATCTCCAGAACTCTTCCGACCCGGGCTCGAATATTACAGGCATGCGATCATGCAAGAACCTCAACTGCTCATTACTACTCGTCGTAATGATCGTGTACGTCCACTCCTCTCTCGCTTCCTGCGTTTCGTTATCTTCCCAGCGGATGCAGTCCCATAACCCCGCGAAGAGCATTAGCTTCCCGTCTTTGCGTTTGACATAATGCGGGATCTTGTCTTTCTTGCCAGGAGGGTGCAGCCATTCATAAAACCCTTCTGCTACCACCACGCAGCGTTTGCGGAGTTTCATACTCCCCCACAGCCCGCCAGGATGGGAGAGGGAGTCGTCTCGGCAGTTGATGGTTTTGAGGAGGGTGCCATAGTCCGGGGCGCGCTTCGACCAGGAGGGGATGAGGCCCCACTTCATCGTCTGCAGCTTATACCTCACCCTCTTACCATCCTTCCCCTCCTTATGGGTATCCTCATCGACAGCAGAATGGCCAGCCCCCTTGCCTTGAGCGTTAGCATCAGCCTCACCCTCGACGAGCCCGGCGAAGCTGTGGAGAGAGTGATAACCGTAGGAGTCCTCGGCACGGTAAATAGTCCCGTAATATCCCGGCGCAAAGTTATAGCTTGAGCGCGGCGAGCCATCACCTTCGTCAGCGGGAGCCTCGTCGACAGGCATGTTGTCGGCTTGGAAGAGGCGGCGGACTTGGGAGGGCCGCTTTTGATCAGCGTTAGCCAGTGCATTGAGAGAGAAAGGGGATGATGGATAGAGAGGGGTCCTTACCAGGGCCATGGCGTAGCGGCCGCACATTTTTGATCATATATGGACGGATTTGAGTTCTTGATGAGAATTATCTAGCAATTCAGGGGTTGATTTTGTTGTGGTTTGTGGCCGCCGTCGAGATGGTGACGGACCATCGCCGTTCACAGGGTTAACGAAGGTAGCTATGACGTCGATGCTGCGACGCGCTCAAGAGTGGGGTTATTACGCGAAGTGAGACGCCAGGTCACGTGAGTTCACTATCCCAACTCCGCTGGACCACCTCACACAACAACCACACATCACCAACAGACATGCTCTTTCTCAAGCACAACATCTTATCTTGAGCTAGGTAGTATTCCATCCAGTCTACCGCACGCTACTAATCAACCAAAAAAAAAAAAAAAAGAAGAGAGAGAGAGAGAGAGAGAGAGAGAGAGAGAGAGAGAGAGAGAGAGAGA